ATTACAGTCATTTGATTCTGCCCAAAAAAAAAAAAAAGATAGGTACATTGTCCTAAAGAAGAGAAAGCAATAAGAGAGTATGGGAAACAAGTAGAATATCTCGCCACAAAATTGATTACTTGATACACTGGGAAAAAAAAAAAAAAAGGCCATAGGCATCGTCGTCTATCGTTTTTCATGGGTGATACTCTTTCTCTTTCCTCGTTTGGATGATTTTCTAACAATCCGCCGAATCTATTTAATATATTGCTAAAATATTAGAGTTCTTTATTCATCCGGGCTTATTCTCGGATAATAAATGGGATAATATGGATTTAATGATGATATGAAAAAAAAAAAGGCATTTCAACAAACACATCCTTGGTCTAATCAGCATGTTGGATTGGTCTACTTGAAACAAGCGTAACGCACATGCACACACACACACACACACACACACACACACAACAAAGCAAATTATAAACAATACCGAGGTTTGATTGTGTACTTTTTCATGTTATTATCACTAGGGCCGATGAATAAAAGAAAGCAGTAAATAGTAAAACAAGCACGGTGAAATTACTATTTGGTCGTATAAACGTATCCGTTGAAACTTGAAAATTGATTATGGATAGAGAATCTTGCCAATATATCACGGGGAAACTAAAGTCGGGTATGGATGATGGATTAAGGTAAGGGAATTAATCAATGGAATAGGTTATGGATAAAACATGATGTAAGGGATATCATTGATAACCAGTGAGGACTCAATGGATAGGCTTATTCTCACATTGTTTGTTGGATATCATTGTTTTCTAAATACATTTTACATTGTTTGTGTACATATTACAATAAACATAATGTTTGATGATCTTTATTGGAATTCAGTCCCTTGTTTTTTTTATTGTTCTGTTGACTAATCATTGAGGCTGATATGACCTAATATTGGTTAAATTCAAGATATATAACTACGATGAGTGCTCATAATCCACCAGTAGTAGTCTATTTTTATTGTATCTTTAAAAAGCTTGATATCCCGTCCGCTTTAAATTATAATATATTGAAAACCTTATCCGGCTGCATCACTATTTATGAAATTTAAATAAAGGGTTTATTATGGATATCTAAGACAGAGAAGAAGAAGAAGAAAAAAAAAATATTACAGATAATAAAAAAGGAAACGAGAAAGTTATATTACAAGGATAGGTAAAAAAAAACCATGTATAGCAGTTTTAGCCAGAGGTCTGTTCAGTTACCTATAGAAGAAATACCCGGAGGTTTAGTTTTACCCGGTAATAAAACTAAAAAAAAAAAAAAAAAAAAAAACTCATACTTACGTAATTGCTGGGAATCATTCCAACAGCGCCTGTTGATTTCTTGGCCTGCCACCAACTGCCTTTCTTTTCGTGAACATATAATACCTCGCCCTTTGAAAATGATAGCTCATTTGGATCTTCCTTATTTGCAACATCTGACCGCGTAAGAAAAAAAAAAAATAACTCGTCCATTAGATTATGTAATTTTCTCTCTCTCTTGTTCCCAAACTTACAATTGTGAATGGCTGTTACTGGTATTAAATAGTCAGTATTTGGAGACAGAAAGATGGTGTTTTGAGTAGGAGGACTCATATACATTGGAACTGAAACCATACGATCATGAGATCCAGATAGATAAGACGATTGTGTAGGAATTGGTGTGGGATAATTGGGACCAGCTGCATCCATGATTGGGTTATTAATAAAAACCGCACCTCCATTTTCCTTTTGATATGGGTTACCAGAACTATAGACACGACTATGATAACGATTGTTATTCAAATCGCTGAATGATCGTAGCACCGAAGCTTCGTGTTGTATTCCAAATAAAAATATCCACATAAACTATTGGAGGAGCAGAAATCCATGTTAGATACACGAAAACAATAATTTAAAAAAGGTATCTACTTACTTGGGTCAACATGAGTATAATATAGCCAGAAGCAGCTGCTGATAAGGATGGTTTTCCAGCAGAGATATACATGAGTACCTCACCCGTGGTATAAGGAACACTGATAGCAATCAATGTAAGCACAACGGGATAGTAAATTCGAATCGAGTTTGACCAGAATACTACACATGCCATCAAAACCACAAAAAACTCGTAGCTTACCACCCACCAAGACATTGACTGCGTGAATGCAAAGGAAGCGCACAGACCAACAAATGTAACGATCCACCCAGACTATAAAAAATATCGTTAGATCAATGCTTTTTTTAGACAGGATTCATTCGAGGGTTATTACAACTCCTAAAGCACAGCTTAATATAGTGAAAGGACTATCCAGTATATTTGACATGATAAAGCGTAAAAAAAAAAAAAATGTGTATGAAAGAAGACGGTAAAAATGAAAAGGGTGATTATTTATACCGGAACAAAATTAAAAAGGATCTTTTTTAATGCAGTGCTCTCCTTAGGGTTGTAAATGAAATTGTACAGTAGAAAAAAGATTTATGCCTGACGAAAATATTGAGAGTTTGTCGTTTGTTAATATTTATTCCCCTTAAATAAGATAGGTTTAACCCTACTTTTTTTTTTTTTTTTTTTTTTTTTTTTTGGCGCACATTCTTTAGTTATGCTTTAGCCATTTTTTTTTTTTTTACCCAGGCTTAATATATTGTCAATAGTTACTGACACCTGTAATTGTTTCGGTTGCATAAATTCATAATTCTAATATATGCAATCACGTACATAAAACCTATTAATTTTCTGTATTTAGCAAATAAAAAGAAGAAAGAACAAGGATTACTGAATATGAAGAATGAGGCAACTTAAAAATTTATTTTTTTATACGCACGCACACATACGCTTTTATTTTGCAGTTTAAATTAGACCGATCACAACTTAAAAAGCCCACTGCATCACCAACGAATAGAATTTCATTATTTTCTCAGTCAGGGTGTCAGAAAGTTAATTATTACTACTAATAGCGAAGCGGTCTAGATCGATATTTTTTATTGAATGGTTCTCATGAGCTCAATCAAGGCTCTGGTGGGTCTACCACTCATGCCTTTAATATGATGACCCTTGGTGGCATGGCAATCCATGACACCAGCAATATCAATATGAGCCCAGGGAATATCCTTACCCACAAACTCCTTCAAAAATCCGGCGGCTGCACATGATCCTCCTGAACGACGGAACCCAACGTTGCTCAAATCAGCCACTAAAGATTGCTTCATTTCACGAACATAGTCGTCATGAATAGGCATGCGCCAAAATGGATCGGATACGCTCTCGCCTGCTGTTTCCAATTGCTTCCACAGTTTATCGGAATTGGTAAACACACCAGCATACACCTGACCAAGAGCTACATCAATTGCACCAGTTAGAGTAGCAAGATCAATGATATGCTTGGGCTGGAAACGCGAGGAAATGTAATGAAGAGCATCCGCCTTTTAAGAGTCATTTTTAGCGATTTATAATTTAGATATTGATACGCGTATTTTTTTTTCTTTTTTTTTGCTTACCAAGATCATTCGTCCTTCTGCATCTGTATTTAAAACTTCAATTGATTTACCATTCATTGCCTTGACCACATCACCAGGCTTGGTAGCATTGCCCGAGGGCATATTCTCACACAAGGGAATGATGGCAACGATATTGACTGGTAGCTTCATCTTACAGATACCGTATAATGCACCAGCAACTGTAGCAGCACCGCCCATATCTCCCTTCATCAAGGCCATGTTAGCAGAAGGCTTTAAAGAAATTCCCCCAGAATCAAATGTAATTCCCTTTCCAACTAAACCGTAAGGTTTTTCCTCCTTATTTTCAGCTCCCTTATAATGGATTTCCATAAATCTTAATGGCTCTTCACTAGATTCAGATAGTTGAATAATCCCATAAGCGCTAAAAATATTTTAATGAAAAATACTTTTTTTTTTACCTTCCCTTAGAAACAGACAAGAAGGCATTCATGTTTTGACGTGTGACCCAGTCCTCATCATGCACTTCGATATCCACATTTTCCAATCCTGCCAACAAATAAGCCACTTCCTCAGCAAACAATTTGGGTGTCATTAAGTTAGCGGGGGATGTCATGAGCATACGTGCCACGTTTTGGGAAGCACCATAGATCTGTCCCATCTCCCAATGCTTTTCCACACGGGCCTCGTCCATGCCTGCAGCATAAGGCTCGACCCCATTATCCACCTCTTTTTTATCCTGCTTCAACTTGTCAAAAGAGAACTGGGCTAATACAGCACCTTCAGCTGCTGCCTGAATATCGACTGAGACGTCTACACCTGTGTATGTAGCTCCTTGCTTTTGGAGTGTTTGAATGCCGATAGCCGTCTTTTTTTTTTAAATGAGTCAAAGTAGGATAATGATCAATTATAAAAAAAAAACTTACGGCTGAGCGCACACTTTCTCTTTCTTTCGTCTTGCTCTGATGCTTCTTTTCACCAAGCGAGACAACAGCCAGTTGTTTTACGCCACCCATGTCATAAAATACACGCACGTCGCCCTGTTTTTTAAAGCGACTCAGGGCTAATTGATTTTGAATGAGGTTACGGGTCTCATGCGAGACATGGGTTGTTAATTGCGTGGGTTCAGTATAGGCACCAATCACAAGACTGTCAAAGCCTTTGGTGTTTGAGAAGAATCGTCTTCCCCTTGTTGGTAAAGTGGTGGTGCGTTTCAATAAATGGAACATATGGTTTTTTTTGGGCTAAAAAAAAGGGGGACGACATTAGATCATATGAATCCCCGCATTTTTTTAAACAGGCATTTTTTTTTTTTTTATATGAGCGCTGCGGATGAAAGTAAAAGGCTATTCATAGACATGGAGAAGCTATGTATAGCCTTCAAAAGACCTTTATTCTAAATAATTACGCTGACACCAGGTGATGTATTTCTTGTTTTTTTTTACACCTTGAAGATCTATTAATAAAACTGTCTTTATTACCAAAAAAAAAAAAAAAAAAAAAAAGGGAGGGGGGGGGATATAAATACTAATTATCTTTGGCACTAAAGATGATACTTCCTCTACTACTAGAGCTCAAAGAACGATGTCTACTTCCACTTTGGGATCTGCCTCTCTTCCAAGCCTTTTCTAATCTTCCCATCTCCTTTTGGGTATCAGGACTGGGTGGATGGGTAGCGTCTGTCAGGTGCCAATCGGTACCAGCAAAATTGCTTACGACGCCATGCACGCCTTCCTCCAGTTTCATGAGTTCGGCAACAAAGCCAATGTTTGGAGAAATGTTGGGTCTTGCTTTGACAATATGACGGTAAGCTCGTTTAAGGGTCCAATGTTCTGATAGTACCAAATAAGCTAATATAGCCGCTGCAGATCTTGATTTACCTGCCTTACAGTGTACATAAATAGGTTCATGATGTTTCTTTGCATCATCTATAAATACATTTTTTTTTAACAATCAATTGTCCCTCCTCCCCCCCCCCTCTCCCCTTTTTTTATATAGATGTGTGTGTGTGTGTGTGTGTATGTGCATGAAAAGAAGTGAGAAGAGTAAAAGGAAAATAGATATTTACCAATAACTTGTACAGCTTTTCTAAGGGTTTCCTCTACATTTTGCATTTCTACAGTATCTCTGGCATCTATCTTTACATATTTAAAGGTTTCTTTCAAACTGGGAACATCATCATCACACTCTTCTGCCATGTTGAGGATCCGTTTGATCGATTTTGACTTTAGCCCACCCAGTTGATCTGGCGTGGCTATTTCAGGACCCAAGTACAAGAAATGGGGAATGATTTCGGATATGACAAAATCAAATTCACCATCCACTTTGGGTGTATGATTGGCAGTCAACATAGTGGAGGCTGTGGGGAACTGCTCTAATGGTGTGTGGAAAACATCGGGCGAGGTGGTGGTTGCAGGTGTGCTTGGTGAAAACAAGCAAGGCTTTTCATTTATACTGGATATCCTTCTCTGAGGAGGAGTGGTATTTACATTGGCCATAGCAGAAGGATGCTTGGATCGGAGTGTGGTGGTGTCGAGACTGAATAAACTAGCTCTTCTTTGTACATTGATTTGATTGTTTTTGTTGGATAGGGTGGTTGCACTGCGAGAGATCATAGGAGTAGGTTTGAATAAAGGTATAGGTAATGGAGGTGAATGATTAAAATGGACAATATAGCGTCCATTGAAATCCCACTTTTCAAAGGCATAGTAACCATGCTTTAACCAATTGACGTTGGAAGCTACATTCAAGTTCTTTGCAATCACAGCCATTAGTGTCCAAACTGCTGTAGTTGTATCTTCATTCATCATATGATCATCATAGACAATAAATTTAGCTCCCTCGGGTAAGTTTTGAATATTGTTATCTTCTATATTAAATTTGCTCATCCAACGGTTGTAGTAGTCAGTGCCTTCAGGCGTGGTGATGAAGCTGGACAGGTTGAAATTAGAAACAACACCTCGCTTGTATCTTTTGATCAGTAAACTGGGCACATTGACATTGATCGAGTGTCGGATACGTGATTTTTCATAATTCTCTAATGACCGCATATCAATCATTAATGGTTCTACCGTTAAAGATTGCTCTAGGATATCACCCAGCTCGGATGCCTCGATATACTTGGTCTCATGGATCGTCTTTGCTAGTGCTCCTCCATTGATGCTATTATTATTTCCATGCGGATTACTTTGTTGGGGATGAATCATTGTACTCAGTGTGGCTGATAATCTTTTACCGACCCTTCCTTTATTTGCTCTTGGTGAAGGTGGAGATGGTGCCATCGTGGGCGAATTGGACTTGATTGGACTTGACTCATCTCGCTTGAAGGTAAGTAAGGGTGGTTCACTTGTGTCTAGATTCAAAGATGGCGGCTGCTGCTGTATGTGTTGCTGTTGCTGGTATTCATTCAGTGCTGAAACAAAATTACTGTAATTGAGTCCGTTCGAATCTCGTCGACGAGTCTCGTTCGCTTCTTGAATAGGTCGATAATGACCAAGACTCCCAGAAGAGCGTTTACGTAACGAAGGGCTTGTTGTTGTAGTAGTAGAGCCATTATTTAGTCTAGAGGACCGTGAAGATTTTGGCACACGCTCTCTCTCATTAATGTTATTTGAACGAAGAGCAGCCGCTAGTTTATCAATAATGCTGACATTATCCTGACTTTCTGTAGGCATCATTTGTTCTCTCTTTTTTTTTTTTTAATTCTTTTTCTGCAAACAAAAAAAGAAAAGAAAAAAAAAAGGGAAAAATAATAATATCCCATTCTTTAAATAATCCACGCGGGTATTGCGGGCTTGTCACACACACACACACACACACACATACACACATAAACACACACCAACATACACACACACCGCCCCGGAGGATCAAAAAGCAGGAGTCACGAGTTGGAACTCTCTCAAAAAGTCCTGCATTTTCTGTTTACGTCAAGCTTTGTGTAAATCCAGTCCTTAATTTCATTTTAAAAAATCTGCTTATCCTAACACACACTCTTTCTAAATTACATTACATTCCATACGTCATTTTTTTTTTTTTTTTTCCTGCAAGCGTTCTATAATGATAAAAAAAAAAAAGAGCGGGGAAAAGGTTTTTTTTTTGAAGTCCCGTTTTTTGGGAGTGGAAATTCCAAGACGGGATTTAACCAGTTGGAAAATTATTTACAGATGCAATCAGGTACACACACAAACTCTCTCTCTAATAATAGCTTCATTTTATCTGCGCAAAAAAAAATTAAGGTTTTACCAATCCCCCTCACCCTCTCTAAGGTGAAGCATATACTACAGAAGAAGAAAAAAAACAGATGGCAGACATGTTTCCCTTCTACAAAGTTGTACTTATCAAGCTAATCTCATCATATACAAAAAAAGAAAAATCATCTGTAGCCTAAATGGTTAGGAGAGAAAACAAGTTCCTAACAAAAAATCCTCAATTTTAGTAGGGATGATCTATCCTAAGATGGAGACATCAACCCAATTCCGAGGAGGATTTACACTAGAATTGTTTATACCGGAGAGACATTGGGTGATATGAATCTACCTCCTACAATTAGGCTTTTATTAAAATAAACTACACTTAAAGATCGCCCCGAGAAAGAACAAAAAAAAAAAAAAAAAAAAAAAAAAGGAAGCCTTGGGTTACGGTTCTTAAGCTGTAGAAAATACGGTATTCCCCATTGGTAAATTTTTTTGACAGTTAAATCTCGTTATTAAACAAATGTGATACAACGCAGCCACTCAGCCAATAACTCTGCATAATCTTTTTTTTTACAAAGATGAGGCATCTGAACACACACTAAAAAAAGGATGTTTTAAAGAAGACTAGTGATATTTGGCGATCAAGACTCTTTGATAATGAAAAAAAAAAAAAAAAAGCTTAAATGTCTGGAAAAGAATAAAGAAAACGTCGGTGAAAGGTTAGAAGGGGGAAAGAACTAATTCAACCTCAGAATTATTTATTATTTTCAATCTCGGGTGTGAAACGTTGGGGGGTAGGAGGAATCTAAACTCTTTTGCAAATGGAGGGTAAAAGACTGTCTGCATGTATAAAAAGTGTATAGTATTTTTTATTTTTTATTTTTATTACATATGAGTATTGGGTCATGTAAGGAGAGGTTGTATGAAGAAAGAGTTAATTTTCTTTTTTGTGAGTGTAATTTTTTTTTTTTTTTCTTTTTTTTAAAAAAAAAAAACATAAAAAGCATATAAAATAGATCGCGTTGTGCCCTTGATAAACATATAAAAAAAACCTTATCCCTTTTTATTTTCAGCAAGTTGTTCTCGTAACTCGTTTATTTTTAAAGTCTGTTTCTCCACTAGACTCATTAACTGCTCGGTTCTTAATTGGTACTGACTTAACAATTGTTTTGTATGTTGTAACTCATTAGCTAGATTTTGAACGTAATCTTCATCGACACTTGATTGCGTTGTACTTGTACTTCTTTCTGTTGGCCGTGTCTATTTTTAAAAAAGATATAAAAAAATCAGTTAAACATACACATAAAAAAACTGATGACATGATGTGTAACAACCTACACTTGTTGGTATTTGATAATTTGGAGCTGAAGTGTTGGTATAATCCGGTTGTGGAGTCTCGTAAAAGAAATCTATTGATTGGTATTGTCCTGTGTTCATCATGGGTTGGGTCTCCATAGCGTTGTATGGAGCCATGACATACTGAGTCTGTTGTTGTTGATGTTGTTGTTGTTGTTGTGGTGGTGGATATCCTTGTACATGGTATTGAGGTTCCTGTGGTTGGAATAGCAGGTTCGAGGAACTGGACGGTGTGGGTATAACACTTTGAGTGGATGTATAGTAGGGTACTTCGGCAGTAGTAACATGTTGATCCATATTTAAAAATTATATTTTTTTTTTATTTTTTATTTTTCTCGTATACAGTAATAAAAAAGTAATAATAAATGAAACAAAGAAGAAAGGAAACCGGGAACTGGTAACTTATTTAATACATGTACAAGCCAAAGTTACACGAGATGATACGCGCGCGCCACTTTGACTACAAGAAACAAGAGAAGAAATAAAAAAAAAAAATGTGATAGAATGTTAAGCCAAAAGGGCCTGATTATAAATAGATTTTAGCGATATAAAGTTCTTTGTGGCAGTCGAGAGGTTAAACGTCCATCGTTGCCTGTTTCCAAAGCACAAGCTTTTTTTTTTTGTTTTTTTAATATTTTTTTGTTTCTAAAAATACTTTTTTTTTTTTTTTTTTTTTTTTTTGTCGTATGTACTTTACCTTGCATGTCTTCAGTATTATATCGTCTTGTGCTTGTAGGCGAATGATATTTATTTCCGACGCTACGATTTGATAAAGATTCACGGTGTACATGTATACGGCTGCGCAAGTCCGGAGTCTCTTGTTGTGATGTTGATGATGAACTAATAAAACGAGTGCGACCTTCCATTTTAGGACTTTCTCCAATAATCAAGGCACTCTTTCGACGCTCCCGGATGGACGCCAGCAATTGTTTGGCTGAATCCGCCGCTGACATCGTCTTATCAGGCCTCTATAAGGGGGATTTTTTTTTTTTTAATTTTAGTATACAGAAAAATTTGGCTAGATCAAACTGAACATTGTAACTTTACCCTTGCGGATACCCTGGAGCTGACAGTTTCTTGCGGTTCTCCTTGGAAATAACGATTGTTTGGCACAGAATAACGATGATTTATCATAGGTGAGGAGTAATGTCCCGAAGGGACAGTGGCATAGTTTTGTGAATCATTGTGTTTGGTAGTTGTGTTATAGTGGTGCAGTAATTGTGACACTCGATTAGTGATAATTGGCTCCTCTTCATAAGGTTCCTCAGAAGAGGAAGAGGAATTGGTTTCCGATCTCCTTCGATCGTTTCTAGGGGTACTTTTGTAATTACTAAAGCCACCGCCTTGCTTTCTTAACATGCGTGGTGCTGGCTGCTCTTCTGTTATAGGTGAGTAGTGTAAGTACAAGGTATAATTCACACAGACTTCTTTCTTACCTGGTTCTAGTTCAGGCACAAAAGCTCTGACGTAACTTGGTTTTAACTGACGCTTCTCCAGCACTGGAGGTGGTGCAGGCGTAGGCGCAGGCATAGATACAGGCACAGGCACAGGCACAGATATTGGCATAGGCATAGACATAGACATTGGAATCGATACTGTATCCCTCCTAGTGTAATAAGTGGCCACTGGCTTTTCTCGGGTTGGAATAGCTCTTTTGGGTGTTTGTTTATAGAGATGATCATCTCTTGTAATAAATTTTGGTTCTGTAATTTTGTTTGGGGATCGTTGTTTATTTGGTCGATTGTTGTTGTAATCAGATTTGGTAATCGTGCGTGGATTTAGACTTGGACCTGTTGTCGCTGCTGTTGTTGTTGTCGTTGTTGTTGTTGTTGTTGTTGCTGCTGCTGTCAAGGGAGATTTTTTCTTGGGTTGTAACAAGTCATCCTTTTTTCCAAAGGTGTTGCGGTAATTGCAGATCTCTTGTATCTTGCTAACATAGATGTATGTATAAATTAAATAAATGAAAAAATGATAAACGTGGGGTAATATAAATATAAACCTACCTTGCATTGTTGATTATAGTAGTTCTACTTACAGGACGGGATGGCATACCGTTCATTATAGAATTTGTATCAAGTGTCTCTTCAGAGAGATGGTCCACCGATACATCTTTATCTCCTGTGAACTAGAGTTTTAGCTGAAGGGCATTCCGGAGTATAGCACTAATATTACCATTCTTAATTTTCTTAAATAAGCTGAGACTTTCAGTCCTTGAAGTGTTATTCGAACGATTAATTCGACTTAAACGGGCTGATAGGCTTTCAAGTGTTTCGTTAGAAATGCGTCTGGTGGACGACGGATTTCTACTATTAGTAACTACAAAAAAAAAAAAAAAAAAGTTACAAAGAGTTTTTTATTGTTATGTAATTTTCAGCGTTTCGTAGTTTGCAATGTTTACCATTCTCGTTCTTTTTACTCAACAGTTTGATAATATCTGTTCTTGCAGGATAAGTATGATGATGCATTCGGCTTTCCGAATGAGAAGAAAAACTATCCATGAAAGAATCGGTTTCAAGCACCTCATTTGAAACAGGATCCACTGATACATCTTTATCACCTAGAAATGTACATGTATTATTATGATTGTTCTAAATAAGGATAATCCCACATTGCCAGCCAACCCCTTCCCTTTTCCCCCATTGTTATATTTATATATATATATATATATTTTACCATTGTTGATTTTCTTAAACAACATGACACTCTCTGTCCTTGATGCAGGTCGAGGAAACCTTGTTCGCACAAAGTTACGAGAAAATAAATCATCCTCTTCTTCATCACAGACTGAAGGTGTGGGTGTCACTAAATCACGATGAAATAATTCCAAATCATCATCATTTATACTTTGGAGCGATATCCGATATTGATTGGCTGGGTAGCTTTGAACTCCCGATGACATGGAACTATAACGCTCTCGACTTAAGTCGATAACAGAGACAGTGTCATTAAAACTATGTACAGACATTTCTCTGTGTTATGATGTAAATTAAAATTAGTAGAGAAAAAAGTAAATGAAAAGGACAAAATCTTTTAGGTTCTGATAAAGAGAAAAAAAGGCAGTCGTCAGCCCAGTACTTTTTATGCAGCTTTGTTTAGTTGTACAACCATCCTTTTGCCTCCCTTTTTTTTTTTTTAGTTGATAAACTGGATTTGTCAATTGAGCAGAAGGTCAGGTTACTTGATCCGCACATTATGTCAAGTATATATAAAATTCAAGGGTTTTTTGCTTATTACAAACAACTTTTTTCTCCTGTTTACACAAAATTCTCCTTTTCTTGCAATGTTTATTAAAATTATTTTTTAATGATCTGCATTCTCAGCTTCTTTTAAAGCTTCCAACAGATCCTGACTATCCTCTTCATACAGTAACCCACTACGATAACATGTAATGGCTTCTGCGAATCTTTTGAGTTCAAACAACGCTTTACCCTTTCGGTAATATCCTTTGCTCCAATCCTTCTTCAAACGAATCACTATTTCTGCATCAACCAGGGCTTCCCCATATCTCCCCATATTATAATAAGCAGACGATCGGTTACTGAGAATAGGTGCTAATTCTTCTTTTACAAACTGGAAGGCCAAGGGTTCCCAGAGCACTCGACTCCATGATAGCTCTACAGCAGCTGTGTAAAGTTCGATGGCCTTGTTATAGCTGTTGACCTTGTACGCGCCGTTACCTTCTACTTTAAGCTGTGTGACCTGTCCGTTTACTGAAGCGATTGGTTTATTGGGTGGTGGCAATTCCTTTAACCCTTTAAAGGAACTTGCTAATTCATTATGCTGTGTCCAATCCACTTGACAATCTTGACATACTTCCAAGTCATGACTTTGACAGATGATTTTGTCGGTTATGGCAGAAAAACTGACACTGATCACTTGTGCTGCCATCCTTATAAGAGAACGAAAATAATAAAAAACAAAAGGAAAGAAGAAGATAAAAAAAAAAAAAGTTAAATTAAAAACATTTATTTTGTTTTTAATTTATCCTGCTTTTTAATATAAGCTTGCAATAATTCGATACAAACACGGGCATCTTCAAAGGAATCATGACCATCAGTACCAACTTGAATGAACTTTTTCAAGACACCCGAAGATAGACCACGAAGACTATTTCGATAGGGAAGTCCTGCTCTATGAGGAAACAACTAAGGTTTTTTTTTTTTTCCCCGCGCACCGCGCCCGTTATTATTTAGTTTCTTTTTCCCCAAATCTATTTTCTCTTTTTAACTTACTGCTACCGTGTCGATAATCTTTGTATGGATGATTCTCAATGCATTCATATCGTTCTCTAATCCATGACCTACAATAATTGTATCTTCATCCACATACTTGAATAACTCGTTTCTGAGTCCATCCAAATCATACTTTACCCCTTCCAAGGTTTTAATACCACTATAGTGGGTATTCAAATCTATAATCATATTGGAAGGTAGCACCAGTTCATCCAGCAAGATCTTCATGTCTTGATCCACCGCTGTCAATCGGATGAGTTCCATACCAGCTGTCGTATACCCCATTTCACAATCCAATGCCACCAACTTTTGGCGTGTGGTTGATTTAGGATTATACGCGGGCGTTTTTAAATAAGGTTTCTTTTGATGCAGGATACGTAAATCTTCGTCCTTGTATACATGAGGTCCTCGGTTACAGCCAGTGCTTCCAAGAGGATCCTCACAACAACCGTACACTTTCTCCTTTATCCCATCCACTTTCATGATCTTCATTCGGGATGGGTGATAGACACACGAGTCCATATCATTTTTATCCAATACGTCCTTAATCAGATACTCGCCTTTACATCGATCACAACCATGAATCGTACCTACCATGGGCATATGGGGCTGATGCGGTTCATCCAAGAGATCAGGTAAAGGATACTGTAACTGCTGCAACAAATCTATATCCACTACAGCTTCCAGAGCTCGTTCGTACAGGGCAGAAGCCGTGTCTCTCTTGGCAATGGGGTCCACCCATTCACCATCGATACCAATATCATGATCCCCTAAACTCACCGGTCTCTTTTTTAAATTCATGATGGTAGTCATGGCCATTTGTTTGTATCCGGCAAGATTGATGGTACCTGAATGGATTTTGTCTTCCTGAAGTCTTGTTTGGTTGGTTGCTAAACTAGGATTATGTTGATAAATGCGGACATATTGGTCGTACAATTTAGTGGCGATCAACTAATATACATAATGTAATGCAAATCATCGTGAGTTATGCTGCAAGAAAGAAAAGTAAAAAAAAAAAAAAAAAATTCCCTTTTTTTCTTTATACCTGTCTAACTTTTAGTGGTATAGTGGATTTAGCTGTAGGTGTAATTGTAGGTGGACCTGTAGGTTTGGTTTTAAACTATCCAATTAAATATTTTAATAAACTTTTTTTATATGCATGCCTCCCATAAAGCTTTTATTGTGATTGTTAAATGGACTTACTGTAGCAGTATGTGCAGTACGAGTTCTCCCAGAAGGCAACTTTTCAGTGCTATCGGATGCAATGGGTTTTCGAGGCTGTGGTGGGACCATGACTCGCGCAGGCGTTTCTTTCACAACTATTTTTTTGTCTGTTTCTTTTTTTTTTTTTTTTTTTTATTAAAAAAAAAGGGTCGAGGAATGATAAAAAAAGTGTCATGTATACCTGGTTTTGGCTTTGGAGATGGAATTAACGGAGTTACTTTGTTTGCTACATCCAGTGGTTTTTTAATCTCTGCAGGTTCGACCCTTTGGCGTTTGATGGTTTCCTGAGGACGATCTATCAGAAAGTGAGCATAATGAATGACTGAGGAAAATGCTTTTTATTTTTTGTGTACCTAGCTTGGGTGCTGATCGTTGTTTGACATGTGAATAAAAACATGGATTACGACCACAATTAGGGTACAATGGGCAGGCTATTTTCTTGAATAATCCAAGTGAAGGAAGCATCGTTTCAAATTAATAAACTCGTTGTCTCTCCCAAAAAAAAAAAAAAAAAAAAGTGTGTGCCTGTCGAATAAAAAAAAAGGGGCGGCGCGTAAGTGACGTAAAATGAAGCTCTTTTTTTTTTTCCTCTTTGACGCTGCAAGCCGAGAGAAGAATCACAGTAAAAAGAAGAATCCGCTGTTCTTTTTTTTTTTTTTACACAGGGTGTTAATGCAAAATGGATTTCATCCAATGTGATTGGATAATCCCTTGCTACCCAGAAAAGCGTGACTGTGAATGCAAGCCACTTTCTATAACTCCCTTTTTTCCAAGCGGAAAAAAGCTCTTTTTTTTTTTTTTCTGCTGTAAGAAAAAACCTAACCATGTCTGAAGTCGCTAAACCCAAAGATAACAACCGTTTCAGAAAAGACAAACGTACATCATCAAAGACTCACTTATTATCGGAAAAGAGATACTAATGTTTTTTTTTTTTAATATAATAGCCTGGGATACCGATGATATTGATCATTGGAAGATTGAAGAATTCAAACCTGAGCACCTCGAACAACCATTCACTGAGGAATCTTCATTTGCCACACTTTTCCCTAAATACAGAGAAGCCTATTTGAAAGAAACTTGGCCTCTCATTACCAAGTCTCTTGAGAAATACGTAAGCATCTTTGTTTTCTTTTTCTTGAAACTGATCCAAACGACTCACCCTTTTGTTTTCATGTACATATTTAGGGTATTGCATGTGTTTTGGATTTAGTCGAAGGTAGCATGACCGTAAAAACCACCAGAAAGTCATACGACCCTTATTCTATTTTAAAGGCAAGAGATCTCATCAAGTTGATGGCAAGAAGTGTTCCTTTTCCTCAAGTAAGTGTGTACCTGCTCTTTTTTTTTGTATTTTGGAAAGGAATCTAATATGTGTATTGATAGGCTGTGAAAGTGATGGAGGATGGTATTGCTTGTGATATTATCAAGATTGGTAACATTACTCGTAACAAGGAGCGTTTCGTTAAGCGTAGACAAAGATTGATCGGTCCTAATGGTTCCACTTTAAAGGTAAAGTAGGAAAAGGAAGAGCATCGTGAAAACATAGGTTTTAGCTGACAGACATGTGATTTATTTAGGCTATTGAGTTATTGACAAAATGTTACATGATGGTTCAAGGTAACACTGTATCTGCCATGGGACCTTATAAGGGTCTCAAGGATCTTCGTCGTATCGTCCTTGACTGTATGAAGAATGTCCATCCTATTTATCACATCAAGGTAACATAAAAAGGAAGCGAGAGAGAGATAGAGACGAAATACTAAGACGCGTGTGTTTAGGAACTCATGATTAAACGTGAGCTTGCAAAGGATCCAAAGTTAGCAACAGAATCATGGGATAGATTTTTACCTCAATTCAAGAAGAGAAATGTAAAGTCAAAGAAGAAGGTGATCGAAGCCAAGAAGGAATACACACCTTTCCCTCCTGTACAAACAAAGTCCAAGATCGATTTACAATTGGAGAGTGGCGAGTATTTCTTGAACAAACAAAAGGATTCCAAGAAGAAGCATTAAATAGTACATATATCAAAATAATTAAAAATAAAGGGCGCATTTTACATTCACAGCTGCCAAACATCGGTGGAACTTATATCATATCAGGGTTCGGTAACAACTATATCCGCTTTTTCCAGTCCTTGCAATTAGCCTCACCCATTACACAACTTGAGTATTATTTTAAACTACACAAGGGATCCAGAAAGCACCTATTATCCTATCCTATAAAAAAGCGTTCGTGACACATGTCAGGACGGTTCGTATTGAGGTCCAAATCTATTATTAAAGTAGAGTACCCACTAGTGTTCGAACCTTTGATCTTGGTCCGAGCTTGGGCCAGTTTGAACAAAAGCTCGCACGGAGTTCTTGTACTCGAACATGCGCCAGTTTTGCTTTATTCGAACGAGGCATACCCAAAATATGCAGCAAAACTAGACGCATATTTCAGTATGTTTAACAACGCAATTGTAAATGTGAAAAATAAACCTTGTTTAACAAAAAGTATGTTTTTATTTACGCACTAAAAATAAACCTTGTCTAAAAACAAAAAAGAAATCACCTTCTTCGTACCGGTGTTCGTTATTCTCGTAAGTCCCATCCTCTAAAAGAACATCCCGGGGGATGCATAAATTCGTATCCCTTCCAACCATCCGAACGGATTACAGTGTGGGCTCGCAGCGTCGTTCAATGTCCACGGTGGTGCTTTCGTTTTCCAAATTTCGACTCATCAATTTGGATGTGGTCGCACCCTGGTGAAGAGCCCAAACGAAAAGGAAGGTTGTTTTTCGTATAGTCACTAAGCATAAGAATGTTCAGGTCCCTTCCGATTTTACCCAGGGTCGGCATAGTGGTTTTGTAGTCTTTACAAACGTTTGTCATTGATGTTTGTTGAACGTACTTGGTTAAAGCGCGGTAAGTCACATCAATTGGAAGTTTTCGGCGGTAAAAAAAAAAAAAAAAAAAAAAACGTATGCTTGGTGGTCGTTTGCACTCTGAGTATATGCATGTGGCTGCTTCGACTACAAAGTTGCTGCATGACAAAAAGGTGTGAAGTTGCATGTCGTTCTAAATAGGTAAGTAGTATTACAAGGTTGAGCGGTATCAGTTTTTTTTTAGTAAAAGAAGTAAGGATATTGAAGTTAATGAAACGTGAACTTACAAGAAGAGTAGGAGAATTTTGGAAATGTCGATTTCTCATTAAAATCTTAATCGTGTGATGTGAGCTTATCTGTTCTAGATAGCTACAGAACTAGCTCAAACCACACGATTAAAAAAAAATCTGCTCGACAGTTATCGGAAGTCTGTTTTTATTTAATGAGTTGTTTGTATCTTTATACAATCTACAATCAAAAATATCCGTATCTGGGGTCCTTCATATGTAGGGAATTTGTTCAAAATAAACGATCACAAATTTGAAGTCACAGGTTAGCTTACATAATCAACTCATCAAACCTGTGGTATACCCTTTGTGTTTTGTCATTTTTCGGTATTTTTTAAAACAAATGGAAAATCAAAACATAATAATTCGATATAATATTAAGTAAATTTAGCTTAAAAGGGTTTGGTTTACTCTGTAGAAAAAATCAATCGAAAACAGCGCGCTAAGCGAAAAAAAAAGGAACAAAGCCAAAATAAAAACGAATATTATTGAATAAATATATTGTCTATTACAAAATATTGGTTTATGAAATACACTTAGAAGTGCATCGTTTTCATATCCTTAACGTTTTCGAACTATTCCGTGATGTTTTTATGGGGGTTCGATACGTTATAAGCATCATAAGCGCCTTCATAAATATCTCTGTTGTTTTCCACTTATGTATTCCAAACCACTTTAAAACTTCATCTTTATTAAAAAAGTCTCAGTAGTATCAAACTCTGTGGTACACAGATACTGACTATTATGACTCTCCTCAAGCGCTTCATTGACATTATGTCTATCGTTACCCAAGGCCACCTTGTCAATTTTTTTTTTGTATATGTCTCATTAGCTTGTTATTACTGAAGGTCCTATTGCTTTCATGAGTAGTAGCTTCATGCGTTGGTTTCTTAAAATGGGATAAACTGGAATTGTTTAAGTGCTATTGAAGTCTGTTACAATGTAGTCAAGGAGTCGATTTAGAAGATACAGCACAATCCAGCGCATGTTGTTCAACTAAATTGAAGGTAACACCTCTACTTTCAGTCAAGTATACAGTTTCGTGTCAACTAGCCTTCAAATAACAAGCCTATGCGCGAAAGAAGTCTGACCAATGCTTTTTTAAAGACAATTATTACAATAACGCTGTTTAACTTTAGGATTTACATGCGTGCACCATCATGCATAAAAGTCATCGGGGAATAATTCCATAATGTTATTATATCCAAATATAAAATATGTGTTTTCAGAGAGAAATTAGATCACGGAGCATGCTGATGATGGTACGAAGAAGTTCCTTTGGGATAACAGAAGTTATCTATAGATGATTTTATTGACGTGAAGGGGATAAAAATAATCAGCCTGTTTTTTACGTGGCTTCTGTGGAAAACTTTTGAGTATACACCTCTTTGCTTTTTATTGAGAAATTATGCACCCAAAAGAAAACATGAATTACACCATTCCGGCACCAATATTCAATCCTTAACTATTGACACAAAACTAAATAATAAAGAGTTGACTTTAATACAGTTTCAGTTCCCAAACACGTCTGTCAGATTTTTAAAACAAAAAAAAAAAAACCAAGAACATAGCCAAAAAAAAAAAAAAATGGATCAACTTGTGAAGTTAACAATGTACTGTAAGTCAAAAATATGTGTGTGCTACGTGTGTAACTTGATTTACGGGTTTTTTTAGAGACATATATCTGTCCCAGTTTATACCGCCACATTAAGGACATGAGACATTTAAAGCAGGTCTATAATAGCCTCTTGAAATCAAAACACTGTTCGCTGGCCGTCTTTGTAATTTTACGTCAGCACTGTGCCTTTTGCCATTGCTTTTAGAAATAGAGGCTATGTATAATTCCAATATCGGAGGATCAAGTTACACTTATTAGAATCAGCCGTAATATGTATTCACAAAAAGCCACATTTTTAGTCATCCTTAAATGGGGTTTGTAGCATCGTTAATAATCGCAGTAGTGTTAATTGGTACAGACAGGCCACCGGCTCTTTCTCTAATTCTGGTTATAGAATGCAATTTGAAGTCCCCAAATAATAAATTAATTGACTGGCATATATAAGGTATTTTCCTTTCCACATATATTGTGAACATGGTTCATTTCAGGCAAATTGCGAGGAAAGATATATTTGGTTCTGTCTTTTACTTTCTTTTATTAGTATAATTCACGTACAATGACTCTATTAATTGTATTGTTTGTAATTTGCACTAGGAATTTCAATATAAGGAAAATACACTTTATACCGTAAGTCGGGACTATATTGCTTTGTTGTATAGAGTTGCTGATAGTCATTCGGAATTTATGAAAATAGTGTATATCAATCATTTACCATTTCTCTTCTAGCTTCAAATATTAGCCGGCGATACTGGCCATAATTGGTGGGCATGATGGCCACAAACTGAGCTTTTTGGGTTGAAAAAGAACCTGTAATACACTAATGGTAAAGATACCCGCTGATTGGACTAGGTGTAAACAGCTAATTGGATTCAAAGGGTTAAAACAAATAAAAAGTAAGCTTCCGAATAAAGTTAAAACAATTGAGCCATTAAATGAGATTCTGTACCACGGAATTATCTTATCAAAAACATCATAATCTATCTGCGGTCATTTATTTCCCCATCAGTACAACTCCGCACATAAAATATTCGACACTTCCGTTTTGAGCCAAAAAAATAAATAAACCTACTCTTTCTTCGTTCAACGATTCTTTCATATTTTATTACACAATTTATCATGCCACTTACTGACATTACTAACAAAGTCTCTAGAAAAAGCAAGGAACTTTCAGATTTCGATCGTGGAGTCATTTGCGGTTTGGCAGAGCATGCCAAATGGACAGGTACCCAAATCAGCAAAGAATTGGGCGTTCCTAGAACAACCGTTGTTACGATTATAAAAAAGTATCGAACTGAAGGGATCACGACTGTCCAACCTCGTCCAGGAAGACCAGCAAAGCTGACAGCAAGAGCTGAGCATCACCTGACGCTTTTAGTTCGAAGGGACTCCTTTGAACCTTTAAGTGTTCATATGCAAAATCTTGCGAAGGCTACCGATCCAATCAGCCTGACGACATTGAGGAATGCACTTCGCAAAAACGGTTTTTATTCTTGCAGACCTTCCAAAAAACCGTTTTTGAGTCTTAGACATAAAAAAACGCGAAGAGAATGGGTCGACGACAAGATGAATTGGACATTAGATGACTGGAAGAAGGTAATCTGGTCCGATGAGTCGCGATTCGCACTCAGGCACAACGACGGTGGTGTGAGAGTTATTAGAAAGAAGGGTGAAAGGTATATGGATAGATTTGTTTTACCAACATTTAAATTTGGTAAGGGATCAGTGATGGTATGGGGATGTTTTTGGGCAGGCGGTTTGGGCCCTTTGGTGACACTAAAAGGGTCTGTCGATCAAGAAAAATATGTCAATTGTTTAAGTCAAAACTTTCTCCCTTGGCTTGAACAATTGACAGAGAAATATGGTCATGACTTTATTTTCCAAGAAGACGGTGCCCCATGCCATACAGGAGGATATACGAGGTGGTGGAAAGAGAAGGCTGGGATTGCAGGCTTTGAGCGATGGCCCGCTCAAAGTCCCGATTTGAATCCGATTGAGAACCTTTGGCGCCTCCTGGGACAAAGGATTGCTAAAAGAAGAGCCCAGCTTCAAAATCTTAATGAATTGGAGGTTGCACTTCATCAGGAATGGAAGTTGTTGGGGGATGAAGTGTGTCATAAGCTTGTAGAAAGTATGCCCGATAGATGCCGGGCAGTAAAAAAAGCTCGTGGCTCAAATACCACTTATTAACGTAAATAAAAAAGTTTCTTTTTACAAAATATATATATATATTGCTATTTTGTCAAGTTTGGTAGAATTTGAGATACCTTTTATTAACAAGTTTTTGGTTTTAAAAAAATGCATGACTAAAGGAACTCAAATTTTTGTGAAAAGTGTCGAATATTTTCGGTGCGGAGTTGTATCTGTTTTTAGAAGAATACATGCTAACTCAAATAGTTGGAGAATATACTTCAATAACATGCTCTGCCGAATATGAAACGTTACCCTTCTAATTTTTTCTATTTGCAGTCTTCTTTGAATTGATCATGTATACAAAATGTGCCCCCCCCCTTTTTTTTTTTTTTTTTAAAAAAAAAATCCAGACTTGCTTATTGCTTTTACAAGCTAAAATTAAATACACCTTCTTTAGACATGTTTGAAAATAACCCGCTACAAATAGAAAGAAGTTGATGATATCACTTCTGAACTTGGAGACATTCAAGAAATTCACAGTAAAGAATAAGGCGGGTAAATGGAAAGCTGGGAATAGGTGATTGAGGACTAGTAAAAAGTGAGTTGGTCTGATAAATTTTACCAAACATAAATACGATACGAGCATAGACACATAATGATAGGGAAGTAAATGTGAAGTGGAAGAAAGGTAGAAGACTTGCCAAAAGGTTAGATCTACTAGTTTTAATTTGGCAAAAAATTGATTCTGTTGCGGGGTCATCTTAGGTAACTCTTATAGACAACGCGGGAATGTCTCAATCAAGACATAAACATTCAAATATCGTTAACACTGTCCGAGTCTATATGCAATAAAATAAAAGACTTGCGTTTGATAATAAAATAAATTTAGCAAAGGATGGTTTCCTTTTTAAAATTTAAATTAGATACACTTCGTGCTACGAATACAGAAGCTCTGCATACAATTCTTAAAATTTTTGGTGTGGGGAACTAGATTGATGTTTGCTGAGCTATCAAGTGGGGATAGCGTAGGTTACTTTCATATTTACCAATTAAAATCTTGTTTAAAAACAATCATTTCTATGGCGCGTCCTCAAAGTCTGAACACACCTATTTATAAAAGTTGAAAAATGATCAAGGATGATTCAACGCTCATGTTGTGAAGCAATAAAAGGATGTATAACCCACAATCAGAATACGGGAAGAACTTATTTGCCTTTCTACACAATAACCATGGTTACCATGTACACCTTCAAGCTGAAATCATGCTCAGCAATATTTAAAATACGATATTGCTTAATTGATGAGTTGTGCACATTCTTAAATTGTCGTCGATTTAAAGACAATTGTATTTAAAAGAAACAAGCATGAATGCAAGAAATAGACCCTGTTTTAAAAAAAAAACTCTATTTATCAAATAAGCTTTTAATTTTTGGTGGTAACGTCGCAAATATAATCCTACAAGGATGGTCTGATTTCCCAAAAAATCAATGTTCCCTATACATTTTGATTTTGTAGTCCTATCACAACTACCCTTAAGCATCTGTATCTATGAAAGCGGTCCGTGCGGCAATCAAACCGTTACGCCAAAAAAAAAAAAGAAAGTATGATTTTGTTGAAACCCCTCCCCTTGTTCTCTTAATAAGGTGCTTGTGGTTTCCCCACAGGGGGGTATTTTAAACGTATTCAAACATTGCATATGAAAAAAAAAAAAAAAAAAAAAAAAAAAAAAAAACTAGCAATGTAGATTGTGTTACAGTCAAGCCTTCCATCCTATATAAACGAGACACAATTACTATTTCATCTGTCTTATATTATAGCATGCATCAAATACTGTACTTGTAAGATTAGATAGCATAATCAGTATTGTCTACAGGCATGGTACCCGCTTGCATAATCATGTACACAGAGATCAATACCTGAATTTAACTTTTTTGTTTGGCTGATTAAATGCGGTATATTCTAGCAGATACTACGATCGAATTAGTAATGTAATCATGAAACATAATGATGAACAATAATTGTCATATCATTATGAAGCAAAAAGGGTAAAAAAAAAACCCGCCAAAAACATCTGCTAATTTTAGTTATCAAGTTGTGACAAAATTTAACCTTGTGACATTAATCATTTAAAAAACCGACTTCTTATTTTGACTTTTGACCAATTAATTTTTTGGAAAACGCCAGTTTCTATAGCGCTTGACTGTATTTAGTCAAAAGAAGAACGACACGTCAGTAAGTAATAACCATACCCTTAAACGGACGCGTAATTAATAAGGTTAAGGAAAATAGAATGAGAGTGGTTTTCTACACAAATGGTACTCCAAGTCGTCCTTATTTGAAAATTTCGTACGTGTGACACCCTAAATAAAATTTTGGGATAAAACTATAATTTTTCTTGTTACCTCTCTCTCTCTTTCTTTCTTTTTTTTTCTCTTTTGGTCTTGATCAATACTAGCTCATGCAAATGCAATCTCAAGATAATATGTCAGATATCATGACATCGTTTAACTTTATGAACCAGCTTCAACAACACTTCCTAGACCAGTCCGAGCTTCTTTATGAACCCATTATGATCTATCCGGATTTACCATTGGTGTTCACAAATACCAATAAATTTGATGAAATAGTAAGTTATATTCTTGAGTGATATACATGTACAATAAATCTCATCTCCGCTTTTTGTTTCTCAGCAGAATTCGTACCACACCTTCAATCCTAATGCAATTGACTTGGCTGAACAAGAAGAATTAGAGCTTCAAAAAAACCTTGTGAAGGATGTGTTCTTTTCTCCTGCCATGATGGATTCCTGCTCTCAGAGTGATGACGGACAGAGTTCAGTCTCTGATAGCTCACCTACTTATGGAGAAGAAGCTCCAGATCAGGTGCTATTCTTTTATGGGCTTGATTTATCTACTGAATATGAAGATGGACTGGGAACCACATCAACAAATCGGAGAACCAAACAAGCCGTGACAGCAACAAAAAAGAAGCATACAAAGACTTGCAACGGTGATCTGTCAAAGTTACTAGCAAACAGCCCCAAAAGGCCCAGAAAGACCTCGTCAAATTCATGTTCTGACTTATTACAACCTGAATCTAGGTAATTTTTTTTTTTTAATTTTTTTTTTTTTTAGAAATGTTGTACCATTATATTTCTTGTGAAATGACTGACCCCCTTGATTTGAATCTCCATCTTTTCATCATCAGCCAAAAAAATGAATACGACGAATCTGATAATAATGCTGAATTAATGCCAAATAATAAGCCTCGATTTATTTGCTCGCCATCTATCTATCAAAAATTATCCAAGCTTAATATTGACTGGTGCCGTTACTGTGGTACAACGGAAGGTGTAAATTGGCGTCCAGGACCTTGGGGGAAAAGAACACTTTGCAAGTGAGTTAACTTTAAATTTTTCTATTTTTTTTTTTTTTTTTTGGTACTAACCTTATAACAGTAAACACGGATGTGATTATAAAGGTTACGGGTTTGCTTGCAAATTGCCCCGATTAGATTTAACCTCATTTACGTCAGAAACCATTGACAAAAGGTCACGCCCTGTACTACAATCATTCTGTTCTCAATGTCATTGTCAAGAATCCTGGAAAGAAAATGTGCTGGTACTTTGTGACGGATGTCCTAAAGCTTATCACCAGAACTGCTATCATGATGGTTCGTTGACCGATCAATTTATTCAATCGGACTCAGCCTGGTATTGTAGTATGGATTGTAAAGAAAATTTGAGGCGTAAAAGAGTCGTTGTCGAATTACCCCGTAAAAGATTACCTTTAATGCGTACGCCTAAAAATGCAATTGACCCTCGTTTACCACGCTAGATTTTGTACAACAAACAATTTGTAAATACTCAAAAAGTAACAACTATACCCGCGTACTGCAGTCACGTTTTTTAATATTTTTTTTTTCTTTCTTAAAAATAAAACTTTGTTCTTTCTCATTTCTTAATTAATTTGTCTGTGATGACTGAATGTTTCGATGCGTTCTACGAAAAAATTTTACCTGAAGACGTCAGGATTATGTCTTGGTGTCCTACAGCAGATCTGTTGTTATTAGTCTCCCCAGAAGACACTATTTCATTATATCGAACTCATCCTAAAGCCAGTAAAATCTGGTCATTAAAAACAGTTACGCGTTCAATAATTAAGTTAGTAACCTGGTGTCCTAATGGTTTGTCACAATTTTCTTGAGCACAAAAAAAAAACCAATAATGACACGGGTTTTATAGGAAAGGAAGTAGTGATAGGCTATGAGGACGGAAGTGTCAATAGAGTCAATGCCGCATACCATTCTCCAGAACTAGTTCCATGCTGGACACCCAATTCAGACGATTTATCTCCAGCTCCCGTTACCTCTCTTGTCTGGATTCATTTCGAATTCACAAAGAAGCACATGAACATTGTAAAAAAAAAAAAAAAAAAGATATATATATATATATTTTTTGCATAAATGCTGATCTTGTTTTAATCAGGAAGGATTTGATGCTGATGCGTTTGATTTAGAGTCAGCTTTACCTCAACTCAGCCAAAAATCACCAGCCGAACCAATGTAAGACACGAGCTTAAACGGAAGAGAGGAAACTAACTTCGATAAATAGACCTCTTATACCAACAATGAAAAAGAGAAAAATTCAGTTACCATTGAAACCTACCCAAAGCGTTGAGAAACAGACTTTGCTATTCATTGGAAATGCAAAAGGACAAATACAAATCATGTAAGTTGCGCCACACATTAAGGGTCAGTTTTTTTTAAAATGCATTAGTTTAAATGGGATTTTCCCAATTGGATCTGTAAATATCCATGAAGACAAACTTGATCCGATTGTATTAAACATATCTGTACCAGACGACATATCATCTGTTCAAGTTTTAACAAAATCTAGAAAAAAAGATAATCATTTTGTTCTTAATGTGGTTGATATAAATATTTTGGAGAATATGAAGGAGCAGATTCTAAGTATTTCCAAGATACAAACAGAACTAAACTACTTGCTAGACTACACAACCTTAAACTTAAGTGTTCTGGAAAGGCATCATGAGTCATACTGTAAAAGGACAATGAAAATAGCCACTAAAGCAGCAGATTATATGGAGCAGGAAAACGGTATGGACACACAGAAACTGATCATACAAAAATATAGACTAACAGCCGAGATAGATCAAGCGAATGCAATGCCCGAAGTAGAACTTACGGGAACATTAGCAATTGGCAGTGTAACAGAAAACTTGCGTCCTTATTTTGAAGAATTTTTGACAACACAGGTAAATAGAACAAATCAAATTCAGGGACCCGTGGTGGGAACCTTCTCTAATAATAAAACCTTTCCTTTATCGTCCATTCAGAATATAAAAATAATAGATGCAAACGTGACTTTTAGTTATCAGAATTCACTGAGATTGATATGTGAACATATTCTGCCAGCTTGTGAAAGGATGCAACTTGAACTTAGTAAACTAATGGGTTATAGTCTATGGTAAATAGAGAGAGAGGGAGAGAGAGGGATAGAGGTGTAGGCTAGTACCAAATGATTTAAAGAAAATGAATGGTAGGACGCAAAGATATGGTGACTTCTTAGAAACGGACTCCGTGCAGAGTTCCATCGATCATTTTTCCGACTTAATAGCACGCCTTCACGAATTTGCGAGTGACTTAAATCATTTGGCGACAACATTTCAAGCATTTATCAAATGGATCACTATGAGTAAATAAGACAACGGATGCATATGCTCATTTATAACTCATCGCCCTTCCCTTTTAGTCACTATAAAAGTATCTGATGATGATTCCTCTGTTGAGGCCCAAAACGAGTCTAGTTTATGTGAGGATCCCGAACTTGTATTAGAGTTTCTCAACAAGGATTTTATAAAAGATAGTCTATCCGAATATTTTGTCCCACAGACCCCCAAAAAAGGTACACAAAGCGAGGTTGTTACTTTCCCAGAAGAAAACTTTAATTCTCTTTTTTTTAAATCAGCCAACGTTGAAACTTTATCAGACCTATTGACCAAGGCGAAAGAGAGCTACTATAAGATGTTGAAAAAGCCATCTGATACCTTATCGGAGCAAATCGTTGTAACCTCAAAAGTGTTCTTTGTATTAAAAGGCATACTTCTGGACCAACAACCGAGAGATAATGTTATTTCTATAACAACGGTAAGTGCGCTAAACCAATCACAAAATGAACGCTAATCCTTTTTACTTCTATTATTGGAAGACTAAAGAGACTTATTATGCATTTTTACAACTAAACCCAGATCCAAAATGTAAGGTGATATATCATAATTACAATCACACAAACTTAAAAAAAAAAAAATACAGTGATTGTTTTACGGAAAGATTTTGCCAAAGATTCAGCATTCCAATATTCACTTTGTGACATACCAGATGGGGTCGTTACAGACATCGAATTTTTTGATGCTGAAGAATTAGGGCTTTGTCTACAAATTGATGAGGGTATGTAGAGTGTAAACTAAAAGACAGATGACTTTAACCTGTCCTTTTTTTTTTCTTAAAAAAAAAATAGATAATTCTAGAATCGAGACTCTATCAATCAACAAAATGAAATTCAAAACAATAGCGACTACAAAGTTAATAACAGAGAACCCAAAGGTAGACGTAACATAAATAACTACCATCTGCCGCTGACGTTTTTCCATAGATTGCACGATCGCATGCGTTGAATAAAATGAGGAATACAAAAATTGGCTGTAACGGTCGCCCAAAAAGACGAATCTTTTCTGTGGTTGGTTCAAATGGTCTTATAAAAATACTTGACATGGAGGATAATCAAGAAGAAGAGTAAAGTGATAATAAATTATTTTTTATTACATAATTTTTTTTTTTTTTGAAAAAAAGGAATAGAGAATATAGAGAATAGAAATAAATTACAAGGATGGTATAAAGAAATAGTAACAAGTGAGGGGTTTAATAAGGGGGAAAGAAAAATTAATCGCCACAATAAGAACCACTCATGGCACTTGACGTACGTTCAAGCTCCCATCTTTGTCGAAGCTCATCCATACTACTGCTACTATGTCGATGAGATACCTTTGCTTGAGATGCCCTGGTAGGTGTTTGTGATAAGCGGGCAAATACGTTATGACCCGTGGGTGTGCTTGCTCTGTCAACCATGGTGGATGCACTCACAAGGGGTGGTCGTTTGACGTTTTGCGCTTGTTGAGGAACTCTTTGGTATGACATACTAACTGTTGGCTCATGATCGTAATCTATATAGCTAGCAGTACTATTTGTTTGTGACATGGGGGATCCATTTGTACCCTTGAGTGACAGTTCTCTTAAAGAGGCGCGTCTTCTAGCTTGTTGCTGCTGAAGTAACTGGGGCTGTACAGGTGGTTGTTGGACCGAAGAAGATCTCTTTCTCAACGAGCTTTGTGTTGAGGAGATGGTGGGAGGACCTGCCACATTTCCGTATGAGTTTTGAGAAGAAGAATAATCAGATTGGAGAGAGGCTCTACGCAGATGACCACTATGGATGGAAGAAGTGGATGATTCGCGATCATTAGCATATCTGACAAACTCAGCAGGATTCACCATAGTCATGGGTATAGGTGACTCGGATCCTCCTACACGTTGTTGCCACGAGAGACGCTTTTGGATCATATTATAGAAACGATCTGGAGAAGGTGTTAAGTCACGAGCTGGGTAGCTACTGTTACTCACACGCAACACACCGCCCTTGTCAGTCAAAGTGGCAGGTGGTCGAACACCCGTGCTAGTGGGTGGACGAGTGGGTGACAACATCAAGTTATTAGCAGCATTAGTTGTAGTTGAAGTGTAGGTTGGTAAGGTAAGTGGAGAAGGTGGTGGCATAAGTCCTTCTGAATGCGTGCTACTTCTTCTTTCGTAACTTGAGGAGGAGACGGATGCTTCGTCTGGTGAATCGGCCAACATGAGTGATTCAGCCAACATAAAGTCAGGTTCTGGAGTACCGATCATACCTCTCAAACCGTCCTCGTAGATTTTATCGAAAATAGTATTTCCACTGTTCATAATATAATCTTCGATTTTGTTGTCCATATGCTCGGCTGACTTGCCTACGCCATTATTTTTATCCTCCAACTTTCTGATTCTACGCTCATTTTCGACAGTTGTAGCAATAGCAGCCCGTTTCATGACTATGAGTGTTCTACGCAAATCTTGAACTGTCTTTTCGAGATTCTGCATAGTCATTTGACGGTTACATTCACTCATACGAGCGTTGGAAATATCATCAACCAGGGCTTCTGTGATACTACGACATTCATCGGCCTCCAAAGTTTTTAACAGTTTAAGAGTGATGTCATATACCAACTCAGGAGCAGCATTAGATGGTACATTGAATTGTTCTTCAAATGCATCCATATCAGCCCACTCATCGCTTGCTGGGGGATCACTTACAATTTCATCAGCAAATGTAACCTTTCGCTTTTCTTGTAATCTACCACTACCACTATCAGGGGAATGTGCCGACAATTCATCTGCCTCACCTGCAGCTTCTGATTGTAAGGCTCTAATACGAGCGGATAAATATGAGATTTCCGCTTCGATCAAGTCAATACGTTCGTCGGCTAAATCGATAGCAAGCATATCCATGGGTTCACCGGTTAATTCAGCTGTATCTTTCTCTGCCATGAAAATACTCTTTCTTTCTTCTAAAAGTTCGATCTTTTCAGATGCAAGTCTCTCTCTTCTAAATAGAATTTGTTCCATTTCAACAATAGCTTGCTTTCCTTGAATGAATTGATATAACATCTTGTCGAGTAATTGCTTCTTACGCGATACACGCACATTAACGGGAATAGGATTCTTTCGCTTACGGACTTGATGGAAACCAGGGAGATTACGCATACCGCCACGGCGAGCTACAGCAGCAAAGTTTCCACCCATAATATGAGATACCTTACCTAAAAGATGATCATCAAGCACACCGCCTTCGCGGACAGCCTTCTTCAACATATCAGTTAACTGCTTCAATTGACTGGTATTTATTAAAATCTCTTTATCACGGCGTTTCAGGGTCAACTTTTGAGCTTCATGTTCGCGTTCAAGTCTTGATCTAGCATGATTCACCTCAGTATGTTGTCTCTGTAACTTTGAGATTTTTCTTTCTTGAACAGCCATTTGCTCACGAACACGTTCAGTTTCTTGCTTCATGCGCTTGATCATGCGTTTCTTTTCGACCTTGAGAGTTTCAACATTAACGCGAAGTGATCTCAATAACGATTCGTGTTGATTACGTGTAGATTGCATGTTCATGATTGTGCGAGAATAGTTACGTTTCAATTCATGAATTTCTAAAACAAGTTGCTTCATTTTGTTTTCATACACATGACGTGTTTCAATCAATTGCTGCTTTTCCTTCATTTGCATAGTTATATCAGCACGGTTGGGAGCGGATGCAAAATTTGATTTGGTTTTGGCCAAGGCATGATCGCGATCATTTTGAAGTTCAGTTAATTGAGAGTGTAACTGAGAAACCTTTTCGTCAAATTTGCGACGCATGAAGGAAAACTTGGTCTCTGATTTTTCAAGATGAGAAACAAGCTCTTCTTTAACACGAATATCAGATTGGATTTGATGAAGCATACGCACCATTTGAGGGTTTTGCTTTTCATGCGTAGCCACATTGATGAAATCATGGCGGTTGTTTATGGAAGAGTTCAATGACGACGAAGAAGAGTTATCATCATCATCAAAGGATTGTTTTGATTTTCTATGAGTAGTTGTAGATTTGTGATCCCAAGAAGGCACAGATAAAGCCTCAATCTCCATCATTAAATCCATATCACGATGTGAATCATCGACGGGTGAGGATGAGGAAGTGTAAACACCTTCGTCAGACTCAGATCTTTCAATCTGGCTAGTCTTTTCATACATTGCCTTCTCGGCCCTTTCGAAAGCTTCAAGTTCATCTTCCCAGGACTGTGCGGCTTCTTCCATTGGTTTGATCAGGTCAAGTACTTCCATACCCTTTTGAATCTCAGCTTTAGCCTTGGCAATACTTTGTTTGATTTCATCTTCATCGATGTCTTCATTAATGTATCCTTCGTCTTGATCATCTTCATCCGCATAGTTTCTAATTGGGTTACGTTTTTTACGTGAGGTTCTGAGACTAGAACTTTGAGAAGGAACGATTCTAACAGAACGTTTAGTTTTGCGGGCTGTGATCGACGATGTGACAGTGCTTGAACTAGCAGAAGAGGTTTTCGTTCTTTTACCGCGTTTTTGGTTTTGTTTGTTATTGCGACGTCGAGAAGATGTAGATAACGATTGATCAGGTTGGTAAAACGTTGTTCCCGAAAAGGACATGGGCGTAGTTCCTCCCATGGCCATAGCGGATTTAGTATTTTCAAGGAACGTTAGCTGATCACGGGTATCTGATAATTCATTGGTCAAATCTTGAATGGTCTTTTGATATTGTGCTACCAACGGATGTGTCTTGACCGGGTTTTGTGAAACGGGAACGGTTGCGTCACCATCGACTATATAAGAGCTTCGACGGCTTGTTGTCATGATAAAGTCACCCGCATCTCCGACCTCAGCGTGATCATTCATAAATTCACCTAAGTCGCGCTCCATGATCATGGTATCACGTTCGCTTGTGATTTGTATGATATTTGTAGCCATGTCTTGGATTCGGTTTTTTAATCGTGCTACTTCGGAACGTAAAGCACGGACTTCATCATCCCGTTGGTAGCTCGAGCCATAGAGGCTGCTGCTGTTGTTTGCACCCCGATTATGTGAAGTTCTATTATCACCGGCATTACCGGATGTGGCATCCGCCCTAACAGACGCTAGCTCGATTCTAAGGCGCGCTAATTGTGCACGTAACTGATTCACTTCAATCGATGATCCAGCGAAATCTTGATTAATTGTCACCCTGTTTTTAATATTACGAGCACGATTTGCATATTTTAAAGTGTTCAATGTTTCCATAAAATTAGAGTCGGACGGGGAGACACATGCCAGCATTAGAGTTTGACTATTTCCACCTAGCGAATCTTGTAATAGACGGGTCAATTTACTATCACGGTAAGGTACGTGTGAAGTACGACGAGCATCATCACCCAAAGCAGAGATTACATTGCCAAGAGCCAAAAGGCCAGAGTTGATAGAAATGCCTTCTCTTGCTCGATCTCCTTGAGCATTTGTACGTTTCAGCTATGGACAAAACAATAAATTTTAATATTGTTTTACAAATATTTGTTGTTTATATGCTTACTCTTTCAGAACCCGCTAAATCAACAAAATGAAATTTACTGGTGATTGATGGATCTTGGTCAGATTTTTGTTGTTTAAGGATCACTGAAAAAACGGCATGCGAACGGGAAGAGACAGTATTCATTTCAGTAGAACCAGTGGTACGACAGAGGGAGCCTTTAGCGAGAAACTGTATTAATTCATCAGGATCTTCACATTTTTCTTCTCGGACACCACTCCAGTAGATATTTCCTGCAATGTCTTCACGAATCGTGACTTCGACAGGCGCAGCAGCTGGTACACCACTTTTTCTTTTGTTGTGCTGATTTTGGGGGTTCAGTAAATCGATCAATTCTTCATTGTATAATTCTAGAAAAGATACGAAGACTTCATACTTGAAATCCTCATTGGCTTCGGATCTTTCTTGTAACTTTCGGAAAAGGTCGAGAATACAACGTGGCACAATACCTATCAAGTTGTACGAGACTATGAGAAAAAAAGGAGAGTGCACAGTTTATTTATTACCTTCGTGTTCGGGGTTTGTAGTACTTTCCAGTCCTGTACCCATACTGAAAGTCTTTCCGGATCCTGTTTGGCTAATGTTATTTATAAGTATCAATGATCATACTTTTTCTTAATTTTTTATTTTATTTTATTTTTTTCTTTGTTTACCCATAAGCTAGAATCGTGGCATTAAAACTAAAAAAGAAAAGAAACTGGCTTGGTTAAACACTGATTTTTTCTATTTTAAGCCCCCTGACATTGCTAATAGTTACCCTTCAACAAACTTTTCTAACAAAGGTGAAGCTGCTTTTTCATAGACTTGTTGCTGTTCCGAATTATTATCAAATACATAATCATATGTGAATGATTTATCAGTGCCAACTAGAATCTGCGGTTCGTTTGGAATAAATGTGATACATTCGGTACAATTTGTTAACTGTTCCTTTTGTGTTAGAGGTCTCACACGAAGACCAACTCTGTTGAATGAAGATGTGAGTTCGTAATGGCAAAAATAATAATAGATGATGATGATGCTAACCTCACTGCTGTTGATGTCATTACAACAAAATGAGTGTGCTGAAGTAACTTTTTATTATTATTTTTGTCAAAAGTTGTTGAAATATAATATCAAGCAACCCCTTTAAATATGTTTAAACAAAGAGTTAGATATTAAGAGTTAAAAAAAAAAGTAAAGATAAAAAGTGAGTATAATTGAAGGAAGAAAAAGGAGAAAAAAAGATGCCGAAAGAGTAACAAATGTTTTATTACACAAAACCTTGCGTTCTAAGTGACACACATTAAGCACCCACATATATTACAAAATGCAAGGTGATCACTAGAGCAATTCAGGTCATTTCGGATACGGAGCAACATTATTGATGTGCCGATTGAACTAAATGTCGGAAATGAATGACGATTTTAATTCCGGAAAAAAACTATTGGCCGTTAAATAAAACTGGCTTTAGTAAATACTGAGTTTTTAAATCATGGACAAGGTCTAGTGTCTGTCAAAATTACATATTAAAATAAATGGCATTCAATCCTCAAAAATTTGACATTGTAGATGCTCTATTTGCCCTTTTGATTTAGTTACCGCTTGGATGCATATACCCAAATTATCCTTGATCATTTGGAGAATAAATGATACGCCCCAAGGGGAAACATCAACGAGTTGAGGGGTCCATATTTGGGACATATTTGGCCATCATAATTTTGCTTTATATTAGGGGTCAACAGCTGTCTTCTATCAAGTTCAGCTTCTTATAACATATGCCCGAGTCATTAATCACGTTTGAAGCATGGGGCTAAACCAATTAAGTTTCCCGCACTAAAGTGATCCCAACAGCAACGTATATCTGATTGTTTCACAAAATTATATATTTTACACAGATAAGCGATACCAAACCTGGGGAAGCTGCTAAAATTAAACATAAAAATTAACACGACAAACATTTTTATAAGGGGGAAGACAGCGTTAGACCAAAAAGGTAACTAGTACATTTTTATAATTAATACAACAACACAACAATGGCAAGTTTACACTTATTTTAAGTAGTTATGTTACCCTATAAAATTATGATTATGTTTGAGTAATGCTAGTATAAATCCCTTAAAATTTCTTGCAATACCTCTATATAAATCCCTTTTTTAAGTAAAATCTAGCCTTAATTGAAAAAAAGGGGACGTAGCTTGTTGGTGTAATGAGGAATATCTCAAAAAGAATGTTCAAGTGATGCTCTCTGGATTAGGCTATCAGAGCGTGCTTATACTAAAAACCAATGCACAGAAGTACATCATAATTTAGCATTGAAAGATTCATAATAAAAGATGCACTGAGATATATAATAGCAAAAAAACATATCCCAATTAAATGTTGAAGGAAAGCCTTTTACATCTTGCATATCGTTCGAGTGCATGTAGATATTGTGGAACATACGTCAGCTGCGGCAGAATAATATGATACCACTGTCAAGATTCAGAAGAAACTTTTATAAAACGTCTGATATGCAATGTGCATCGATGCGGGATTGTTCAGATATCCCTTGGAACAATCTTGCTTTACTTCCCCCCAAAAATAAATAGTATATATCTTTTCCATGACAATCTGTCAAACCCAAAAGTGCAAAGTGTTGTATATATCCATACAAAAATTAAATCAGGGTCATTCATGTTAAAACCAAGCTGTATGCACACTTAGATTATTGAAAAAAGGGCATGGTCTCACCAGTTAGTTTTACTTAAAATAATAACAAACAACATATCCAACTTTTGTTCTAGAATAGTATTTTGCATCAACGTATTACTCTTAAAATACATGTGTCATGTATTTGTTACATTTTAATCTTGTTTCCCGGATACTTGATTTTGACCAGATGACTCGAGGTGGTGATGCCCTACTAGGGTTTATATATAAACTCGAGAGGTAACATCATCTCATAGTTGGTATATATAATTATTTTATAAAATGACTATAGGTATTATTGATATGCTTCTGGTCAATTTCCGAAAATAAGGATTTATTCTATATATCCAACTGGATTGTTTACGATAAATATTTTCTTGCCTAGTTTTACTCTCTATTGTCAGATTCATAAAAATTAAAATTAATGCACTTACAACAGTTGCAAGGTCATTCATTAAACTGATTAATGTTGCCGCCGTACTTTTTAAGACCGTCGATACGACCTAATCATTTTTGCCTATTTACTGAGTTTTTGTTAGCAACTTCCCCAGAATATCTAGCTCCATTATTTCCTAACTACTCTTTGATACTTTTCAGGTCTTTTGAGTTTATAGTAACGACTTTGGTGTTCCAAGAACATGTTTATTCATCTATAATGTACCGCCTTATCATACATTAGGAGCAAATGACTCAGGGCAGCTGATCAAACCCATAAACACTTATACTTAGACCCGTTAAGACCAATTATACTCGGAAACGCCAATGGATATGAAGTAACGTCTTTTTATTAAACTAGTTAAAACTGACTACTGCATTTTCGTTTCGTCTGTACAAGGTTTCACCGGGAAATGCATGAAAAGCACTTCAAACGGCGCGTATTGTTACATCAAGCCTAAGTACCTGACGCGATACTGGCTGCCACATGTACTAGATTGACATTATACTATAATTTTGATTCTATCAAATATGTCGATTTTGTCATTATTATCCATTTATTCACCTAGAAGAAAAGAGATTTTTATAATCAGACCCTTGAATTCATTTAAAAGTTTTACAGAAACCCGTAAGTGTTATAACTTTTAAGCAGCGTTAGCTATGCATATGAATATGATATATGAGAAAGAAGAGTTATGCACTTTTGTACGGGTAAACTCCACTTCTTGGTACTTTCAATTTAACACCCACCATTTCGTATAATCTATGGCCTCGCTTTTTTTTGGTTTGTTCCAATTTTGCAATTCTTGTTATGCAAAACTGAGGACTCAAATTGAGCTGCAATTTATATATCAAATGGCAAAAGGCATACTTGTATTCTAGCCTACTTTTTCAAGAAAAACATATCCATTATGGCAGACGTTATCCCACTTCGCAAGATCATCTAACAAGATACTCTTACTGTTTTTAGTTACAGAATGACCAGCAAAAAAAAAAAAAATTGACACTACAACTGTATACTTTCGTTATAAATTAAGCGTGCTAATTCTTTTAATAAATGAGAATAGAGGATGCTTTATATCCAGACATATATAGTCTAACATCAGCTGTCTTCATAAAAGATTTCATTTTAGATTATGGACGTGGTAAAAAAGTTAAAGGTTCGGCCAATGGTTTGACAAACTCGGACGAATTATCCTTTATAATACTAAGGATATTATCTTCGGTCAGTTGGACAAAACTGATGGAGCTTTCAAACAAAATTGAGAATGTAAGATTAGTAACAAATGTTTTGCCCTGTTTCAAGTTACAATTTTCAGCCCGACTCTGTACCACCATTCAGTCTTAAACCCGCCTCCAATTTAGAAATCAGGTTGGTTTTTATACTTCTGAACTGTATTGGTTCCCAAACAGCGTAATTGTACGGGCTAAAATGACTAGTAATCACAGTTCAAGACTTAATGCCACAGTTATAAACATACATTCACCAGACAATCAAACGCATTCCCCTGAACTGGACTCTCAGCGCCGACCCTCTGCAAATTCTAATGCCACCCGTCAAGCGCCCTCAAAGCCTTCACCAAAGGTTGAAGAGTACAGGAAGATGATTCAGCATATCATAAACAAAATACTTAAACGAAAACGGCCCCCTACTGCACTTTTCCATCTGAGCGAATACTGCAGAACGACTGAAGTAACCGATCAATTTGACAATGATGACACGATTGATCTTTTGATTCAATTAAGGTCCGCTTTATTGGTATGCCATAATGTCGGTTTGAGTGGACAAGTCTTAATGCAAGGGTGAGATGCTTTTCAAATGAAGCGAAACCTGAAAATAGCTAAAATTTCCTTTATCTGTAGTGAACGCACACCAACGGCTTCTCCCGTTTCCTCGAGGACAAACTCGCCTGCACACTCACCGAGATTAGGTAGCCCGTCCCGATCAGCCGAAGGTGTTTCTTCCGCTTCGCCAAATTTAGTATCTAAGATCGAAAAAAAGACCGACTTCGAGACGATACTACATGTCCTGAGTGACTTAGTACTAAATGACAGCCGATTTAAAACAGCAAACCCAAAGCCATCTCGACCACCCTTTACAATGCAGACAATATTGATTGATATCGCTTTATTACTAGTCCAAATTCGGGATGATTCAGCTGGGTTATATCACATTGGATCTGTATTTTTACCCGCGTTCGAAGCTTTTTCAAATGGTACTTTGCTAGGAAAACTTCTTTCACTGTACTTGGATAATTTGTTACCCAAGTTAATGAAGTGTAAAGACGAGACAAAGTCTCAAGCCGAACATAAAACCCTCCCCAAAACTGATAACAGTAAGTTAATATAGTCGTTTATTGTCGTATTGGTTTATCTGAGCCATTATTGTGTAGAATCTCATCTTATACCACCATTAACGCAAAATACACCCACCATTAATATCCAAAGCCCTGAACCTGAATCCAGCACTGTACCTTTAAAATTGTCTCAGCTTACCATTGATACAAGACCTTACTCGGCAGACGTTATTAACCCGTCTTCACCACTTTCACCGCCTGCTCTTAGTACGCATAGTAGTATGCAAGGTCAGACGATCGACAATTACCATGCGTATGCTTTATTCACCCCACTCTTGTTTTTTATGATCCAATATTTGGATCCCTACTTGGCAGCACAACCTAACAAAAGTCAGCAAGAAAATCTCACGCATACCCTCACAAGCCAAGCCAATTCGATCCACAACTTCCATCGAGCTCTTTCTTTCATGATGAGTTGTAAGCCTGATCTTTATCTCGACATCCTTCAAGTCATTTCCCATAGCACTCCTGAAGTCAAATTCAGAGCATGTCAAATTTTAATGTATTACTATTTTGAAAGTGTAGGCCATATAACGGTGGCAGATCCATTACCCTTATTGGGGACACGGGAAGAACTTGAAGTTCTGGATCAAAGACGTGAGCAACAGGAATTTGAAGAAAACCGCCAAAACCCACAGAAGCATCACCCTATGAATCTGGCAAGACAGCAGAGTGTTGCGGACTCTTTGGCTGAAAATCTAGTCGAGGATGATCATGTTTGGTATCCCCATATCTTTGAACGTGAACACCAAGTCAATTCATTGCATACAGACAGCCCAATTAAACCTAACGATACTGCAAACATATCTGTAGCAAATGATGATACAAACGAGATTTACTGCAGGGAGTGCTTTAAGACTATAAAAGGATTTGGACTAAGATGCTTTCAGTGCAAAGATAGTATCCATTATAACTGTTCAAGCGCTGTTACGGATATGAAGGACCAGGGAATCATGTTTTACGTAAAGACTGGTGGTATACAAAAACTACTAACCCCCCAATTTTGTCCTATCCCTTCACAACCTCGTTTCCGTGATATGGTTAATCGCGGTATATTGGGTTGGACAGCTAAATCAAATTCAACTAAAGTTTGCTTACTTGGACATACATTCAATCTTGTTAATTTGTATACTGTCATGATATGTGCCTGTTGTGGATTACCGTTATGGGGTATTTCTCAACAAGGATATAAATGTACTGATTGCAACAGATTTGTTCATCCTCATTGTATTGCTGAGGCTGAAGAACTGAATAGTTTTTCAGACTTGAAATGTCGAAAAAAACCCACTTTACAGCAATTTCAGGCTTGTGTCCCTTACCAGCCATTATTGGAAAGTGATATCCAAATTTCTGAAACTGATTTGGCCAAAAACTTATCAGAATTCTACGGCGATGCTTTACCTCTCAACGAAGAATCTTTAGAGGGCAGGGGGTTTGAAGAAGTCAGTACTATATTGAACACATTAATGCTTCAAGAAAATATTTTGCACAATGGCGTAGCAGCTGGCTGTATCCTAATTATTCGTGACACGAGCGATCCATTGTCTTTCTCACCTGTGCACCAACATTATGATGGCAGTATATCACCCCAAAAGTCTTCGGGTTCAAAATGGGAGGAAAAGTTACCCCATTGTAGAATGCTTGCAAAATCTACCAGTCTTTGTAAAGCTTATCTAAGCTCTGGAAAATGCAAAGGATCCACCTTTTTTGACGATTTCTATAATAATCAACTTCGCGACTCCGATGATTGTATCTTAAGCAAAGAAGAATATTTGGGTCATCTTAGTGCTATGATGAAATGCCTAAAAACCTCATTTGCTAATAATAATTTTGCAGCAACCGCTATTCCATCTATTAGCACTGACAAGAGGCGATCCGCTGGAGACTCACGTGGATTTCTACAAGTTTCACCTAACCCTTTTACAGCTTGGGATGACGAAGAGGATGATTTTACCGAAGGAAATGTGCCTAACGAGCATTTGGACCGATCTATTATCTTATCATGGGTTATGACAAATTTGAATTTCAAGAGTCGAAAAGCTGCTGAAATCATACTACAACACATGCGCAATCTAGGTCTTTTCGAAAGATTTGACGCATCGCCCATTTTGTTCAATTCGGATGCGACTAAACAGGAAGATAAGGTCGTTCAATGTATCTTCCCTGTCCCCTATGCTATTGATTGTTCGGCCAATGTCGAATCTTTAATTAACTCCATTGATGCCTCTTTACAAGATGTAGATTTATCTATAAACGAATGTGGTTTGTCACTGCTAACAAGACGCTGTTCTCCAGATCCTTTTATGTCAAGTTATACAACCGAGCGATTGGTCCATGCAATCGTTTCTTGGACATTTGATGAAGATGAGCGACTGTTAGCACTTCATGCTGAGTTAACATCGGGGAACAAAAGCTCAAGCCATCAACATAAAAAGCAGCATAATAGACGAGTCCAGGCTGCATTACTAGCGCGTATAAAAGGCGACCATAACGTAACTGGTGATCGTCAACAGCAAAATGCCTACATTCGTAACAAAACAGGCGGTGTTAGCAGTGGGGCTAGTAGTAATTATGTTACAATTAGAGCAGCTTTAAGAGATCGATATGTTGTAAGCTGGATGAAAAAAGTACATGATATGGACATCGCAGCTTATACGGACATGCTATTCAATGCCATGGATAGCATAATTGATAACAACCGTGAGGATTGTGCTGTACCAAATTGGGAGGAACCCAACGATACAAAAGTATATGGTGCGAATAATACAAGGGAAAATGGTTTATTAATTATCATTTACAATTAGAAACACGTTATGCAAAAATACGAGCAGTTCATTAGCTATATTATGAAGCTCAAGACAAATAACTTAACATTCTCTTCCACTGATTCTTTGATTCAAAAGTGGCTTGATACAACTTATACTGAGTTTAGTGTTCTGGGAATACTGGAAGTAAGACATATTTATTACCTTACGATGGTTATAATACTAATGTTATCGTTAGGAGAAAGAACCTGTAGACATCCGTCATTTGGTAAAACTGTGCTCGTCTAGAAGTTCTTCTAAACCATTGGGGTTACAAAATTCTATAGGAGAATCAACACATCCTATGGAGATGATCATCGCACAATTCAATACAGGAGATAAAGAAAGCATTGATCGTGGTATGCGTTGGCTGTCACTTATCACGCATTCCGGGTAAATATAGTTCATATTTTTATAACAGTGCAAGTTTTTAACGCATTCACAGCACTGGTATTCCAGCTAATTCTTTAGCTCAGATCGCGAGATTAATTGTTGCAGCACGTACACCACTGTCCATAGTAGCAGAATTTATCAAACTTGTTTGGTTTCAAGCTGTCAACATTACAAATGTCGCTACCCCTCGTGCAGCAGTAATCGATGTTATTGGTTATTTAAACGAGATTTCTATGGAAACTTTGAATGACCACAATGAAAACCAAGCATTATCTGAAAAAAGCCTGACCAGTGCACAGACGTTTATAAAATATTCTGCCGCCCTTGCTTGCTATGCATATAGTTGTCCTCTGGATAATATTAATGACCTCGATATTGTGCCTCATACTGGAAATCATGTCTCTCAAATAACGTAAGTAGGAATTTCAATTACTGAAGAGGGAAACTACTGAAGTTGAAACTTAGACAAAACAAAAGATCGACCCTTCCCGTTGAAAACTCGCCTTTACATGCGGATGAGAATACACCTCTTATAAAGTGTATGCTAGTATATTTGCAGTATGATCAGTTAAATGTACGTGAAGATGTCGTTAAACTATTTTATGCACTGTCACATTGGGGATATGGCATCGAAAATAAGGATGAATTTATTAAACAATGCATGCCACAATTAGTATCTTCGTAAGTATTTTTTAGAATTTTAATTTTACTTCATTCTTATACCATTTTAAATTTAGTGTTTGGGAATTGCTCACCCCTGCTTACGATTATTTCAGTACCACTAATCTAGCATTGCTTATGAAGTTGATAAGCATTGATGTAAGATATTTCCAAGCTTGCGTATTCAAAGTTTTTGAGGATGCCAATTGGGAAGTTAGGTAATTATAAAAATTATACCCATACATTTATCGGCTTTCTAATTGATTAAAAATAGATACCAAGGCCTTGACAACTTGTTTGGACTTTTTACTAAGATGGATGCTGCGTTCCAAACAGAATGGTTGAAACTCCTTTCGCATTTGGGGCCTGTATTTAGTTACTTTGTCGGTTGTTTGTGGGATAAGGAAGTAAGTGTCGTGTATTTATAATTATGTTCTCAAAATTAACAAAATTAAATAATAACTTAGGAATATGTTCGGTCAAAAGCTTACGCTCTTATTCGAACGTTCGGGACATTACATCTAAGATCTGCATTTCGTTGCTGGGAAGCCTATTTTCTAACTGCTACAGATAGACAACGTATGTCTCTTGTCAGTCTTATGATTCAACTGAATGCTCTGTTCCCTGAATGGCAGGTTCTTCAGTGGGAGTCGCTGCTGGAGGCACTCGAATTAAAGACCCCTACAGATATACTCGACGAATTTTCAAGACCAGTTTCTAACGATCATGAGTTTTTGAAGGAAAATAACAATACACATGATAGTGATACTAACCAAAGACACTACCAAGAACAGCAGACTGCTGAATCAGAAAATGTCAAGGTGTTGATGTTAACACTAGCTCTTCAAATGTTAAGCAATCATCTTAGTATTGAACATGCACAGATATACAGACTGAAGTTTATTTTGGTCCAGCTAATGGACTTTCAGAATTGTCAATTTTTCAACGATGGCGGTGAAATCAGTATCGATTTTGGGCTTTTAAAATACAATCCAAGGGATCCAACTCGTGTAGCTGTAATGGTTTCTTGTATTCGTGGATTGAAAAAAATTATGGATAGTTTTGCGCCCCTTCCGGCAGAAACTGTCGCTACTCTAGCTTCTGATTCAATTGAACAGAACAAGATGAATCTCTCTGAAAATAGTAGTCCAGGTGTTCACTTCATTGATGTTGTATTGAAAATGGTCAATTCAGGTCTCGATTTGATACAATTAGGTCATATGATGTTGAAAGCATGGCTTGAAATTATTCTGATTGTCGTATATAAGGTAAATGAAATACATGGCAATATCTTCATACAATTTAACTTTTTTTCTATGCAGCATAATATTTTAGAGAGAGAATATGAGCAGAATATTGTTAGTTGTATGAAGCAGATCATTGATCTTCTGACTGAAGAAATCAGCGAAGAAAACAAATTGCTTATTCTTGAAATTTTGAAATGCCTTTTGCGTAGATCAGATCATTTGACAGCTATGGTTCTTTCCAAACAGATTTTGGCTCTGGGAAAACTTATGACAAGGTCCGGCATCAAAAATTCAGAGCCTGTATTTTTGAAAGCAAAACAATTCCTCAAAAGTGCATTTCTTCGATTTGCCGTCGCGGGCTTATTTGTATTGATGTTCAAAAATCAAGCCGTTGCTGATACTGATAGCAGTGACGTGGATCTATTTTTTGTTTTACGCACAGTAATTGACCAAGACGATGTTATACCAGATGAGGATTTTAGAGGCGAAATTATATATTTGCGCGACCAACCTGTCCGCGACGTGCTCGATAAATTGATGAAGCAACAGATGGAAAGAAAGGCATTTTCAACAGTCTTGCACAACACTAGTCGTTACGTAGAAACGGTTCATACCCATCCTTATTCTGAAAATATTTTAAATGACTACGCTGGATTTATTAATGCTTTGATTAAACATACCTTGGATTGGAGACGATCCGACTGGAATATCAATCCTATTTTCACCATGTCCGCTATATTATTAAAAGAGCATCCTTATCATCACTCCATACTATTACCATCGATTCAGGCTCTTTTCAAACATGGCCTTCAAAATTGTACCATACAGCCAGATAATGTAGCACAGTTGATTATCGCTTTTTCTGGCATTGCCACCATGCCAGGGACTCCTCCCGGAAACGTTTTTGTTGAAATGATAATCGAAGAGTTGAAAAATAGCTTTGCAACGAACTTCAAGCCCAACAAGGACACATTTTTGGCTCTTTTAGAACTCGTACTTTGGGATACGAAACCCAACTGCCAGGTTTGGTACAACAAAATAGAGACATCCATACTCGGCGAAACGATATATGGACACAACCATCCTCGTTTCTTTCAAGGCAAAATGCTACCACTTTGCAAGCTTTTAGTAAACCATTTGAAACGAGTACCCACAAGCCAACAATTTACAAAAAAAGATTTTAAAGTTTATAGCTGTACAGCACAACTACTTGTATCAATGTGTGTTTCAGATCCAAAGCAGATGCCCATAATTTTTGGATATCTAAAGGTTTGTTTTATAAAACTGACTCAATATTTTCAAAGCTAACTTCCGGGTTTCTTCTTCTAAAGGTCAATGAACAAACAGAGTGCCTACGATTTCTCAACTGGTTTATTCTGACATTGTTGAAGGAAAAGTCGGATTTGCTCATGTTTAATATGCTCGCATATGAGAATACAATGACAGAACTTTTAGTCAAAGTATTCAATACTATCGACATTGATTTCCATACATCAGACCTCAACTTTTCGTTCAGTACTGCAAGCGAAAAACTTTTATTAGGATTTCTGTTACTCAAATCATTCGTATTACTAAAGCTAAGAACTGGGGTCGTTAAGCATTTGAGTTTGGGTACCAAATCACAAGTTCTTAACCCAATCTCTTTTTGGTTGTCAATATGGCCTGCAATCCGTCGCTTGCTAGATATAATCGAACCTTCGACTCTGTTCATGGTACGTATAGTAGTCAGTTATTTTGTCATTTATGCATGCTAAATATTTTTTATCTAGCCTGGAAATGTTGGGCTTTCAGTATGGAGTATGTTTTTATCGCTTATTCGATTTTTGTTCACTTCTCGTAGTGAAATCGTCATGATCAATGCCTTTGAATGGACCGATGTGTTAGATACATTACTAATTAAGGTTAGTCGCTAATTAAGTATAATATAATACTGATTTACATCCTGACATATTTAAACAAAACAGTTAGACGAACATGATCAAAATGTACCTCACCAAGATAATGGTGGTACTGACCATATTATATCTTTGAGTGAATTTAGAGAACAGGCAGAAAAACTAAAGGAAATGTTTGCAGTTCCACCAATAGAAGTTCCTGCTGAAACTATGATCAACCAATTACACTTAGAAATTCGAGATATAATGCGCTTGCAAGCTGAAAGCATTACAGTCCAAGGCAATAATCGAGTACTATTACAAGCAGCTTACGGAGACTCTCACTAAAGGCAACATCTATGTCATCATTTTTTTTAGACGTACAATATAGTTTTATTTCCCCTACATTCTCTTACAGTTATATAAATTGCTCATAAACATCCTGTCCATAAATTGGTCTTTTTTACAAATTCGATTACACTTTATACATTTATGACAGACGGGAGAGTTTTTAGTTTTAGTTTTAATACTGTCGTGAGCTATTGTCAATTAAATAGAACATGTAGCAATGCTGGAACAAAGGCCAGTATATTTAGAAGAATAATGTTCATATAAACCGTATTTTGATGTGGAAGTTATCATGTTGTGGTGAGGTGTACGAAGCAGAAAACAAGAATAAACAAAATGTGACGACTACATTTCAACCTACTTAAGAAATCGAGGTGCGCTGGAAAGAGACGTCTTTTCCTTACATATTCATTCCTTTGAACACGTCCAAATCGCTTACGAATTACTAACAATGGTAATAAGTCTTTTCTCTATCAGACAAGCCGATCAGCTATTTATATATTTCAATGATAGGGTAATTGGAGTACGCTTAACAAAGGCGCTGCTGCACCGACAAAAGACGCCATCGAGATACAAGTAATATTGCTATATACATGCTCAATTGCTCGTACTGATGAGGTTGTTTTTTGAGGGAATAGGTTGAAAGATTGCTGGAAGCATACCAAAATACCTTGAAATGTCACCAGAAAGGACAATTGCTATTGGCAAAGGAAAAATATAAAGAGCTTGTCTCGCACGCTCTTGTTAAAAAAGAGCCTAATCCTGTAAGTATCTTGAACGAAGAAAAACTTTTAGCCAGGATATAACAGCCCAGCTAACCTAAAATCGGTTTCTAGAAAAAAAAGACAGGTACAAGTATAGACTTGGTAGAAGAATCACCACTTTCAACTCTGAGATTTCTTGTATTCAAGAACTATGCAGCAATTCTCAAAGACGAATTTAATATGGATCAGCAGAATATGGCACTCGCAAAAGAAGCCCTGGAATATTATTTACAGGTATATAGTAAAAATTCAGCTACAATAAAGTATACCATTTATGTAAGAAATTTACTAGGCCGTAAAAATCGATCCCACCGAATATACACTCTGGTACTACATTGGATATTTTTCGCATTTACTAGGACAACTTCGGTTTGCCCGTCTTGCCTACGAAACTGGATTTTACGTCAACAGCAATGAGAGAACTTTAAAATTACATGTTGTACAACCCAATGATGCCATAGAAATAATTAAAAGTGGAAAATTTACACCAATGCAATGGAAATGTCTGGAAGGACTTTGTAGTGTAAGTGATTTATCACATTATTGAACCATAACTGATGGTTGGACTGGCTGCAGGTTTTGTTTGATATAGGAGATTATGGTTTATGTAATACTTATATCGGTATTATTATGGATCAAGTCAACAATTGGGATGTGGGACTAAAATTACGAGAGCGGATGAAAGAAAGGGATATCGCCAACTTAGAAAAAGATACGACTGAAAACTTGCGCATGGATATATGTAGAGAAAACCAATCGCTTCCTATCACCCTTGAAAAAGCCGACTGGTTATTTCTCGCAGAATCGCTGCTAAAGGAATACAAGCGACTTGTGGATCTCACTAAATGCGAAGAAAATAAGGGGATACAATCGACAACAAACCGTTTGTTAGATACTAAATTCGTCAATCAGTCGCTTTATATTAATGTGGAAATGGAAGAGAAAACACCAACACCAGAGCCGATGGAATTAGAGCATATGACTTCATCACCTATGCCAATAATTGAAACAGATCCATCGAAAGATAACAGTGTAGATGATCCAGCCTTATCCCACGATTATGCATTATCCGTTACTGGGAGAACTCCCGACGTGCCTGGAAATAATGAAGAGCCTGCCGATTCTCATAAACGTAAAAGAGAAGAAGACGACGACGAGGGCGGCGAAGGGAGTGGTATTAACAACCAGGATAACAATGGCAACAACAGTAATTCTGAAAATGATGAAGAAAGCGAGGCGGAAGAAAAAAGATTATCACTGAGGTAAAATGCCAGCACGATTCCGGAATAATATGATTAACATGTAATGTTCAACATAATATTTAGAGCTTCAAAACGTCAGCGAGAAAAAATTGCAAATGAGGAAAGTTCCCGGCTAAAAATGCTTGAAGAAGAGAAACAATTCATCAATAAGGTTCAAAGCTTCTATGATAAAGTTGCGTATATACCAACACTGTATCGTAAAACTTGGGAGGATATACCAAATTCTGAAGATGCATCGACAACGCTATTCTGGGAATGGTTTGATCACAAAATTTTGGAATTGGATAGTAGTTACTGCTGGGAGATCGATACGCTTACATTATTAAACAGTGACGCGACAAGGTTAGATTCTGTAATTCGACATATTTGGCTGTAACTAATTTATTTATGTTTAGGAGCGATTCTATTATATTCGGAGACGGCAAAGTGAAAAATTTGACATTGTTTACAAAATCAACAATAAATCAGATTGAGGGACCCTCATCAAATTCAGCATTGAAAGAGTTTATTATTGAATTGAACAACAATAATTCTGGGATTACGGACTGTCTATGTAAACTAGTCTCGGCAATTATCAAAAATGATCCTATTACTACCGAAAGCCCAAAAAACAACTCTATTAAGAGCAATGAATTTCTGGATTTGATAACTGATACCATTGGTACACTTGAAACGAACTTTGTTGAAACCATATTGACTGATGCCACATTATCAGGAGACGATCAAATATTGGTAAGGGACCAAGAACATTTTAATCTAAGCCCATTGGTTAACAATTAATGTAAACGTTTAGATGATTCTAAGGATTTGCGAGTATTTAATCGATCGACTTATCCGTAATATTATTACAACTGCCGAGGAAAATGCGATTCAACCTACTATGAATCATCATGGCAGGAGAAGAGTATCAACTACATCACATAAAAATTCGAAAGCGAAATTAAATGAAGCCTTAATGACCCAATGTCAGTACTGGATAAATCTACTCGAAAGTATTATATTCTCTACATCCCTAAACGTATTTTTCAAAAAAGTGCACGAGAAAAGCACCGAGGAAGCGGATTTATATTCTTTAAAAAAGATTGGGACGGAACTACGCTACTGGATTATTAAAGGAAAATTTGCGCAGTGTAACAATGATATAGAGAAAGCCTACTCCTGGTATGTCAGGTGTAAGAACATATTAAAATCTTCAATAGATGTTGCAAAGCCTATTTCGATTAACATCAAAAGGTACAAGCGCTTACATTTAAATGAAATTGTGTTTTATTTACTTTTTCTCTTCAAGTATGTATGATTCGACAATTGATTTAGCGAGCGTTGATGCCAAACTAAGTCTGCTTCAAGTCGGAAAGATATTTGTAACGGCCAAACAGAAAATAGAATCAGAGGATTTTAAAGGCGTCATTACCGATTTGGAACCTATCATCAAGCCAAAATTAAATGGAGGTGACTTGGATGAATCGAACGAAACAATTCAAATGATGAACATGCTTGCAAAGGCTTACGTAAAAACAAATCAGAGCTTGGAAGCATGGAACTGCTATGTGCGAATGTTTTGCTATTTGATAAAACAATTGATGGATTACGGTGGAAATCATGTTGGTCGCCGACAACCGTATCTGAGCAAAAATGAGGACACCAATTTTTTTAGATTAATGAACTTAATCAATAGTATTACGGATAATCTGGTATCACTAATCCAGCAAGACAAACAAGAAAGTATGTTTATAAAACTGTCTATTTACGATCTTCATACTGAATCAAATGTACTTTGTAGACTGGCTTCCCTTGAGTATAGACGGTGATCTAGCCAACAAATTGTCCGCCCTACTTCGAATGTCAATTTATTATATCTTTAGACATCCAGATTTCGTCCCATTGGTCAATAATTTCAGTACTCCAGACGTTCCTCCGCATACACCCTCAAAAGTTACAAAATCAAACGGTTTTAATGATATCGTGGCCAAAGCTTGGGTCCTTCAATCATATCTAATCCAACACGTAATTCAGCATAATGAGGAGCGCAATACTAACGGCGCGATATATACCTGGGCAGAGTTATTAAAGGAGCTTCATGAAGAACTTGGTGAAAGAGAAGTCTGTGGTGCAGGCAAACGTAAGTTTTTTTTTTTTTTTTTTTTTTTTTTTTTTTGCTGTTTTATGTGTATATTTACATGTTTAAAAAGGAATTTTTTTGAGTCATCTTATGGATACTTTAACCAAGGCCGATGATTTGCAATTCAGAAGAGAAATTTACCAATGTTATCATTGTCTTTACGGAGTCCACCTTGCCGTAAGTATCCTTTCTCCTCTCAAAAGCATGTAATAATGGACCTTTTTTTTTTTTTTTTTTTTTTTTTTTTTTTTGAAAATAATATTTTTCAGGCCGAGTCCGATATGATTGAAGAGCATCACTGCGTGCATAGTGAACTGGATCGAAAGGCATGCGAACCCCTATTTTCTCTCGTCGTCAATTCAGCAGTGGAAAGACTAGAGAATCGAACGCTGTTAAAGACAGATTTGAAGGACGTAATCGATACCGTTTCTGAATTATTCGACGAATTGCCAAAGAAAAATGTTCTAATCCGCAGCAGCAAAAACATTATCGAAACATATTTAAATAGCGATATTGAATTGCATTCATCTATCGACGGCATGCTACGAGCTGCTATTATCCCTTCAATTAATATCAGCTCTAAAAAAACCAATACTTCTAGTATGTTACAAATCATATATTACTCCTTCCCTTGAATCTCCCTAACTGGTGTTCTGATTTTAGACGTATATTACAAAATATTTTGGATTAGAGGAAAGACAATACGTCTGCAAATCAAAAACAAGGCTAGAGCGAACAACGAAAAAACCATGCTGGATCTTGAGAAAGCAGCCGAAGAATTTACCGTAAGTTGAACTAATAGATATTTAGTACTCGGGATTAAATGAATGTATTTAATTAGGACCACTTAATTCTTAATCCTGATGATGCAGATGGATGGTGTGAACTTGGTGCGTGTTTCCAATTACGCGCGGATGTGGAATTGGATTGGAGCGCTTCAAACATTGGAGCGCATAGAGATCTTATCGGGGAATATCAAAGAGTAAGTCATTCTACATCTATATAGACTGATGAATTATTGACAATAAGCACTCCCTATAAAAAAATCTAGAAATCTTGCCATGCCTATTTGAGGAGTATATATCTTGCCGACTCACGTACAAAAAAGGAGTTGGCTAAAAATGAACTCTTCACTAATTTCGGCAACCTCATATATGCTATCACATCCTCGCCAATGAACATGAAGGCTTTTAGTAGACAAAATACGAAACACACTCTGGGAGAAGACAAGAAACTAATGCAGGCTGAACTGCAACCTCCTTCTTCTAAAGCTGCTTATAAACTTGCTTTGATCATGTATAATTATGCATTACGTTATAATATACCTGACAATTTAGAGTGGAGGTATAGAAAGCAAATTTAGTCAGAAAATACCCTTAAAAAATCTTAACATACAATGATTGGTAATTTTAGATGCTATTATATGATAGGAAAATGTTCAGCAAAACTTGATAGACCCCCAAGAGTAAGTAACATAAGACATATATAGCTTGGATAGGAAAATTGAACCTATTCCTGTCAATATTATAGGAGGTTCTCGAATGGTACCTGCAGGCGATTCGCAGAACAAACTCGAAGCAAGGGAAGCATGACCAAGATTTGGAGTCTATTTACATATTCTGTTCTTATTTGGTAAAGTATTTTTATCAAGGTAAACTGGAGGCAGCAGATGTTCAAGAATTTTTAGCAAGAGAAAGAGCATTGCATCATGTTCAAACAAAAGACAACGTCGCCGAGCAAGAAGTCGTTTTTTTAGAAAATAGCACCGACGCTGTCATCGCGGAAAATTCATCTCTTCTATCGAAAGAATTGAAGTTACAAAGTGGTTATTTATCGGAAGAGTCTGCTAACGCATATAATGCAATATTTCTGAGACTATCGGAAATGCGGATTGCCGATAATAAAAGCTGGCAACACAGGACAATATACAGAGTAAGTCATTCACCAGCCAGTAGTCTCCATATCGTTGTGCTCACTTTAAATTGTTTCCACAACTTTAGATTGCATGGATGTATCATAATATCTATCAGAATTCTGAAAAAGCAAAGTCTGAATTATTGAAATTATTTAATTTGAAAGTAATTACGAAAAGCTACATTACTATTTGGAAGCCAGGGTTTGAATTGTAAGCTAAACTATGCACGTTGTGACAACCATAAGCCAACTACGTTCTTATTTTTTCGTCTATTTTTAGACCCGGAAGGCACTACAAATACATCTACAAGTATACCCTATTTCTAATTGATCTTGCTTGGAACACTCGTGACACACAAACCCTCAAACATCTATACCGTAAGCTCCGACGTGCACAGGCTTTACTACTAAATGACAAAGAGGTGTTTAAAAAAGCATATATTGCATACTTAGAGGTAAGTATCAAAAAGAATAACTAAATAAAGTTTTTGTAATATGTTAATTTTTTTTTTTTTTTTTTTTTTTTTACTTAGATAATCAAAAAACAATTGCGTGACAACTACCATGCCAAAAATTATATGAAAATGATCAAAGAATCAAGGATTGACAAGACTCAGTTCCAAGAACTTTGCGTAAAAAGCTCGGCCGAAATTATTGCTGATAGAAACACTGTCAACCCAGAGTTATATGGCATTCTTCAAGATATATCTGAATTAAAACGATTGCTCCACGGGTTTATAACTGCTAGTGAAGAGGATACTGAAAAAATGGATAAAGTCATTTGGCTATGCTATGCCACGCTTATATTTGGAGGTGTTAAGAACGAGGATAAGAGAGGAGAGCTTGTAAATGCCATTTCTACAACTGAAGATTTTGCTGAAAGTAGATCTCGTAAAGACTTAAGGGCTGTACTTTTAGCCCAAGCAAAATCATTAATGCAAAATATTACATCTACATCAAAATAAAGACTTCCAAAGGATTGGATAAGAATCATGCATCTAATTGGAAGGGCTTATTATTAATCAAATAAATCAACAGAGTTGAATTTAATGAAATTCTTATTTTCCTTCCAATAAAAGCAATCCCTGGCATCCTCTCTTTTACGAGTAGTTATGATTAAAAGGTCACTTATAAAATGTCCATCGCATATGTATCATCATGATTCCGCGTTTTTTTTAGCCAGCATTAACAGCGTGATGAACATCCGTATTAATAGTATCAATCTATTTTATTAAATTACCACTTCAATTATTGAGAACATTTCTATTACTTATCCCGATAAATTAAATTGTTTTGATATGTTTTACAATAACATTAAACAATTACAGGTCTAAACCGAGGCGCCTGTCGATGATGTGACGAAAACCACGCGCTAAATGTTTTTAAAATTTCTCGACTAGTTAGTTTTTAAAAAAAGGGGGGGGGGAGGGGCTCTCATAATAGAACCATATTTTTTCATATCTGTAGTCCAGTTTTCTCCAGGGCAAAAGCATGTCAACATTAAATCTAACAGGTCTCATGTGGATTTTCAGCCATTATTTATTGCAAAAAAAAGAATAATGTGAGAGCGATAAGTTTTAAAGAAACACTGCCTACATCACAGACTGCATAAATTTAAAGGATCTTTTTCGAAAAAAAAAAGGCCGAATATCATCGGAAATATTCATAATATGTAAATCAAAGGTGTGGCCATTCCGAATAATTCTATAGGTCGAAAGTCTAAGAGCTTTTTCTTACTTGGCTCCTATTGTACTTTAGTGATGATCACAAAGGGAGGGCACAAGGGATAAAGGATGATACATCATACTAAGGAACTTTTAGTATACCATGATAAACTTAATGTATTAAAATGGTTTAGTGCACTTAATACGTTTTTGGGGCCTTTGTTGGATAGTAGTAATTAGGGGGCAAGAAGATGAATTAAACACGCATTAAAGTTTTATAAGGATAGTTTATTTTAAGGTGTCAATGGTTAGTTTAAGGTAAGGATACTCCCCATCTCCTATTTTTTTCCACACAAAAAAAAAAAAAAAAAAAAAAAAAAAAAAAAGCGTCGTATGAGCGTGCATTAAATAGTTGTTTATTATCCTTGTAAACAACTTGTTATTTACGGTTGCATTTCTAAAACATGATTTCTACCAAAACATCTTCTAAAAGATCTAGATGTAGGAATTCGCATTAAGAAACTTTATTGACCAATTTGATTTAAATTCCCTCTGCCACTGTAATCTCCTTTGTTGAGGCGCTGCCAAAAGTAATAGTTCTATTTTAAGGCACCGATCAGTACATGTCGTTTTTATATAAATACTATCAGTCTTTTGATTTTGATATTTATTTTTTTGTATTATTTACAAACAAACATTAGCTTATTTATGATATTTTCACTTTATACAGTCGCATCATTGTTATTGGTATCTGCGCAAGCTTCCATAGTTCAATTTAATGTTATAGCACCTGGCTCGAAAATAGTCCAAGTGAATATTAATGGAACGGTAACTTCACTTACCGCTTCCGTGCCCAATGTTCCTTTTTATACAGGTTCCGTTGAGATTGGAACTTCCAGATCCTATAAATACGTCTCGGACAACAAGACTGAAGCCTTCTCTCGTACTTTAAGCAAAGAAACAACCGCTACGTTCAACGAGTTCTTTGGGCGCCCCATTACTTACGCTAATATCCCAGCTCTTCCTCGCCCTCTAGACAATGGCAAACAGTGGACTCGTGGCGGAGAAGCCTCAGAACTTTTTGACACCAATTACATCCCTTCTATCTTTGTACAGGGTGTACCATCTGAAATGAATACACTTATTACTCAAGTACCCAAGACGAAGCATCTCGTTGATATCACAATGATCGGTAAAGATTTTGTAAGAACCTTCAAGAAAGCCAAATTAAGTATATCGGGCGCCGGAAAAAAACATAACAACGCAAAACAATCTTGGAGATGGTCTCTTGCTCCTGGAGACTATATTGATAATCGGGATACTTTCAAAATTCGTCACATGGAAGAAGATCCTACCCAAATGCGGGAGAAACTATATGCGGACTGTCTCCGTGCTATGGGTACTTATGCTAACGAGGCTAATATGGTTCGATACTTTATCAATGGAGAGTCATTTGGAACTTTTAATTTACTTGATGATGTAACTAAGTATTCTTATATTCGTGCCATGTTTTATAATGGTAATCCTCCCGCAAAAATGGGACCTATCTACGATGGTGCCTCTGGTGCTAGTTTCGAATATTATACGGATCCAAGTGAATATTCTTCTTTCAAACCTAGTAAGGGATCTCCTGAAGGTTATGAGGCCATCCAACCTTTGGCAAAAGCTATCCGTATGCTTAATATGACTGATACCGCGGCTATTGATCGATTTGAAAACACATTTGGTATTGACCAGTTCCTTCGATTTATGGTGATGGAGTACCTTGGTGGAAGTTGGGATGGTTACTGGCAAATGCAGACTAATGACGGAGCTTACAAAGATTATGCTAATAACAATACTTGGTATTATCTTGGTCAAGATTATGACGGTACTTTCGGTGTTAATCTTGCTGTGGATGTTATCAACTACTCTTATAAGAATTACCCTGCCAAAAATCCAAATGCTGTATTGATTAACCGGCTCCTCACCAACAAGGACATCGCTGCTAGATTTGAATCCTATATTACAGATACTGTTAAGCAGCTCTTTAATAATGCCACCCTTGGAAAGCATATCATGGCCTATCGCAAATTCATTGCTCATGATTTAAAGTGGGACCGTTCTATCAAACAAAGATCACCTGGAATCAACTATGGCTGGGTCTTCAGTCAGTCCTATGCTAATTTATTTGAAGAAGTATCTTCACCTAACAAAAACGGTGGTGGGGCTGCTTATGGTCTCACTGAATGGATCACCAAGAAGTCTCAGGTCGTTGCAAAAGACCTCAAATTCACCTTGTAAATTATTACAATAGCATTTTTTTTTTACACTATACCACTTTTACATAATTTTTTTTATTCTTAATGTACCACTCTCAAATAAATAATGTTTCATAAACTTTAACTGAAATTGTTACCGCTTGCCCGGGACGCTTCGAAAGCAGTAAGCCGACCAATGATAAGTCATATTGGTCGAAGTCACATACCCAAAAATTAGGTTTCAAGTCCTGGATTGGTGTGTCCAGTACCTGGACATTATAAATAAATTTCTTTCGCTTTTTTACACTTTTTTTTTTCATAATAATGGCATCCGAAAGAGCTACGTTGGTTTTAGGTGGTGCAGCACTCGGTGCTGTCTCCTTTGCAGCATATCAAAAATTTACTCAGAAGCCAACCAGACCTTTAGCACCTGCTGTTGTTCAACCTCCTAGAACCCCTCAACTTCCTCAGCAACCCAGTAACACTTTGAACACTGTCGAAAAGGCCAGAGAGATCTTACCTTTTGGTTTTCCTGGACCCGTTAATGATTTGGTTTACAGAAATGCTTACATTACTTCGTACAATCGCCGAGATCGTAATCCTAACTGGGTCGCTGAACACTTAACAGTTGCCAAACTTAAGCGTGGCGACGACGTCGATCGTCAAAAGTCTACCTTTAAAGAAGACGATTCCATTCCTCTTCAATTTAGAGCAAAGCTTAATGATTATTTTAGAAGTGGTTTTGATAGAGGACATATGGTTCCTGCAGCCGACGTCAAGAATAGTCAGCAAAACATGAATGAAACTTTTTACTTGACAAACATTTCTCCCCAGGTCGGCGAAGGATTTAACAGAAATTGTAAGTGACATATCATGAAAAAAACCAGTGACAGTATAGAGGCTAATCTTATAGAAGACTGGGCACATCTGGAAAACTTCTGTAGAGAACTTACCAAATCTTTTGCTGATGTGTATGTATTCACCGGACCTTTATACTTGCCACATCAAGAAGCCGACGGTAAATTCTACGTCAAGTACCAAATGATTGGTAACCCTCCTAATGTCGCTGTTCCTACACATTTCTACAAGGTTATTATGACTCACCAAAATGGCAAATACAGTGTTGGAGCATTTGTTTTACCTAATCAACCCATCTCCGATAATACACCACTTACTGCTTTTAAGGTTCCTTTGGATGCTGTTGAGAGAGGTACAGGTCTTGTGTTCTTTGATAGAATGGGAGAAGCAAAGGCTGGCTTAGGCGATCTCTGTAGAGACATCGAGTGTAAACTTGTGATTAGAACATTTAATGACGCAAAGAAGAAGGCATTGCCCTCTGCTTAAAAAAACTATTTAGAAACACAATTGTAATTTTATTAAAAACAACGGAATTTACTTTTTTTAGTATCCATTAATTCTTCTATTCTTTTTTCTAAAATACGATGAGCATGCTCTGCATTTCTTTTCAAAACCCTTTCACTTTTCAGCTCGTTCGTTGTTTTGGCCACCTCATTTTTGATTTTTTCTAAAGCTTCATGATCATCTAAAAGTGCTTCTATCTCGTGCTGTTGTTCTTGCACCTTCGCTTCAGAGTCTGCAAGTTGGGACTCAAGCTTATGAATAACTTGTTGATGTGTCTTGATGTCATTCTCCGCCATGGTAATCTTGAGCAGGTGATTTCTAATCAAATGGTCGTAACTTTCCATAGTGATGGGTGAGCACGGATTACTACTCATAGAACAGCTTGACAAACAACTGTTTCGGTCATTGGAGAGTAATACAGAGTTAATTGAAATATGATTTTGTTGCGTTGTTGGTAGTGGTGAGGTGCTGTTACTGGTATGAATTTGTGGTAATACAGGGATAGGAGGAATGGAATTAAGAGGTGGGTCACTTGGCGGCGGTATATTAATGGGTGTAACTGAACGGTTCATGGATCTACTACCTGCCATCCATCTTGATATATCTGAATCAGCGGATATATGGTTTTCGGAACTCTCGCGATTGTTGTTCTGTAATTTCTTTTGTTGTTGTTGTTGTTTAGACTTATGGTTGTTTAAAGATGAGCGACTTGGCGTGTTACTTCGACTAAAAGTACCAGATCTTGTAGGTAACGATGAATTATTATACTTTTCTGTTGCTGAATTGGTGCTTTTACATCTCTCCATATTATGGGAACGATTAGTGACTGGAATAGAGACCTGCTCTAATTCTTTTTCTAACTGGTTGTTAAGCACCGTCAAATTCATCACATCACATTCAAGTCCTTTAATATCTTGCGCGAGGTGATGACGCTGAGATAGTAGTTGAGTTTCAAGGTCGCCTACCCACAATGCAAACTGCGCATTTTCGTTTGACATTTGAGCCAATTTTCTGATAAGATCTTCTCTTCCCTCTGTAGGGTCATCTAATTTTTCATTAGCCCATCTTAGTAGCTCTTTTTGGTCTAGGATTTGATAGTCGGTCAGTAAAGATCTTCTTCGGTTGTCTGATGCAGCAGATATAGTACGTTGTAGATATTGTCTTTTCTTTGGTGATGAAATAGAATTAATTGAACTACGATTGGAGTTAATGCTATCTTTTCGATTGTGATCATTGTGCGTGTATTGCTGTCGTCTATCTGAAACGACTCTCTGTAACTTGTGTTTAATTTCCAAGTTCATTTCTTGTACGCTGTCAAATCTAGTTTGTAAGTCGAGTAGTTCCTCCTTCTTTTGATTATAATTATTTGTTGTCAAGTTCAATTGTTCGTTGACTTTCTGTATAATAGCTTTTAGCCGTTGAATTTCTTCGTCCTGATATCGTGCTCTTTGGGTTATCGCCTCTATTTCATTCAAAGCAGTTTCATAACTTGTTTCAAAATCTTTTTCGTCCACGGATTTCTCTTTTTCTAAACGAGAAATATCGTTTTCCAGCTTTTGAACTAGGCCTGAAAGATCCCCATCGCGTATCATTTTACGATTAGAGTTTAATGCCTCTTCCATTTCTGTAAGTTTTTTTTGTAGTCCCGATGCTTTTGCTGTCTGTAAGGCACATGCACGTTGAAGTTTATCGGCTTCGTCAATACGTTCTTCTAACTGGTCACTATAGTGGTCTCTTTGGGTTCTAATATGCTCAATATATTCATCCAATTCTTCTACGCGACTTTCTAAAGCTTGTGTACGTTGAATATTAAGAATATCAGAGGAATTTCCAGCAATGTCAGCGTCATCTACGGTACTGTGACACAAAGATTCTATTTCTTTGTTCTTTTGAATCAGTTCATTGTTTTGGTTTTCCACATGTGACTTTAATAAAGTTAGTTCGTGTAAGGCACCGTAAATATCTTTATCCCCTCTTGAAATGATGTTTTCTACAACACGAAACACCTTATCCAAAAGGACCCGATCTTCCGCCAAATCCATCATGCCGCGCTTAATATATTGAATGTCGCCCTCCAATTTATTTTTCATGGTTGAGCTAGTCTCTGTTTCTATCACAAGTTTCTGATATAAATCATCGTTCAATTTTTCTGTTTCTGCTAGTTTCCATTCCAAGTGATCGATAATAGAAGCTTGCTTTTCTCCTATTGACATTAATTGTGCTTGTGTAGATGAACTACGCATGTCTTGCAATTCACGCTCAACGTGGGTATTGCGCTCTCGGGTAACAGTGATTTGATTCTCGAGCTCTTCAATCTGTCTATTTAAATCCGAAATCAGCATATGCTCCTTTTCTTCACTGATGGGATCCGGGATTGTCATGGCGGTAGAGTTGGATACGGAAGAGAACATGGATACATGACGGGGGCCGTGCTCGTTTTCAGAACATATTGAGCTGGATATCACTGTGTTCAGTGACCCTCTTCCCCGTTGGTGATACGTTGAGTGCCGAAGTGTATTTATTTCGTTTGTCAATTTTAAAATAATGCGACGTAAATATTCTGTATCGTCGTTCTGACTAGATCTATTCTTTAAAGTGGTGGATGATACTGATCTCCTTGCTGTAGTATCCTTTCTAAAGCTCGTTTTTTCATAAATATTTGAAATATAGGATAATGTATGTTCGAGTTGTGCGATGTTGTCTAGGTAACTAACGCACGCTATCACGAGAATAGATGAGCTACTTTGAAGTGTTCTGAATATGGGAGAGGATGGATTAAATCTTTTCTCGGTCGATTCTGGCATAGCTGGTTCTCGGTAATTGTTGATACATATTTCAGCGAACAGGTCAAGAGTTGCGTGATCACATCCGGTCAAATCCATAATGTTCAGCTGTGAAGTGGATGAGGGCTGTTTTAAGATAATCGAGAATATTGACATGATGCCACTTTTACGTTGCTCCAGTCCAAATTTATAGTATCTTTTTTTTTTTTTTTAATCGTATGTTAATATTTATGGATTAATATAGTAGTTTTGTTATAAATAAGTCACTAACTTTTCAATGATGTCAATATTGTCAACTTGATATTCACGTTCAGTACCATCGCGGCTGATTAAATCTCTGCCTCCCGATTCAATAAACTTAATGAATACTTGATATTGGGGCAACCCCAAATTAAATAAGTCTGAAAATGCAAGCAAGGTTTTGGTGTCAAATCTATTGTTAGATGATGAATCCTATTGTGTAACCAGAATCAGTAAGTGTGCGGATCTGAGTGGGGTAATCATAATTAACTTACATAAACAACTATACTGGTGTCTTTGCCTGTAAAAAAAATTGTTTTAGACCCAATTAAGTAATAGAATAGAATAGAAAAATAAGGTACCTTGAATAAGTTCGTTTATGGTTGAATGAGGGATTGTGTCAAAGACAAAATGGTCATGTTGGTCTTGCTGAGTATTAATGTCAAGGACATGGGTGAATGGGAATATGGGTGCATTGGGTATGGCTGATAAAATCACTTGATTTTCGGATACTTTGACAATGCTTTGCTCGGTAGTGTTGTTGTTGTTGCTGTAGTGTTGAGGAAGGGGTAAAATCTGCAAAGCTAAATGTTGGAGGGGAAATTGATTGGTTAAGTGTTATATATATATTATACTCTCGTTCATATATAGTTTACCAACTTGTAAATTATTTAAAGACATTTTATTTTTAAAGAGGGAAGAAGTAATCATGATGAGAGAAAAAGATTTATATTCTATCAAAAAGGGTTTTTTTTACTCCTTATTGTAAAAACATAAACGAATTAACAACAAACACTTGAGGAAAAAGAGAAAAGAGTAATTTGTGTCACCACATTGTTAATAAACTTATTATAGATTCGATCTCAACATCTGTTCGGTACGCAGTCCTGGTTGGTTTTCAGTAATGACAAGGTCATTAGTATGTAGTTGATCATCATAAATCAATTGTGGCCAACATGACTGTAGATTGTCAATTCGTATTAAAAATAAAAAAAGGGCCTATATCGCATTTAATTAAATAAGAGACACCATTTTTTACAAACTCCATCACAACCAACATAGCCTTGACTACATACGGAAGGTTGCATACACATGCACAAGCCTTTAGTAGTTTGGTTTTATTTCTGCCAATGCGACTATCTTGCAAAGAACATCATAGCTTTCCGATAGCTTCCAGGCGATCTAATGTTAATTAACATCGCTCTTTTTTTTTTGTACGCCAATGCTTTGTGTCATACTTTGGCGTACAATCGCATGCCAATTACCTTGACAGGGCATTCTTAATTGATAGCACGTAGCCAGTTGTGTTCAATTTGGAACAATGAAATACGTCTCATCTTTCTAAGAACTCCTTTTTGCCTGCCATCGTGCATTGTCAAAGTATAATGCTTTCTTCAGCAGAACTTATGAAATCTTAAGAACAACCTTACATCACGTAGAAAGGAGTAGCAAAAAATAAAAATAAAAAAACTAACGTACCCATTTCCCTTGGCCTAAATCACTTATACTCTAAACATGAATAGCAGTACTCGGGATGATATAGGATTTATCGTAGTTTATGATGTGATTTCTGTAATACAGCAAGTCATATTAAAAGATCATCCGGGCATGTTTTTGTTGTCCACAATTGTCCGCATCACAACAGTGCTACACATAGCGATTGTACTCTTACATATATGTCAAACATTTCTATACGTGTTTTCCTTTTTTTTTTTTTTTTTTTTTTTTTTTTTTTAATCGAGTGTATTGCATTAAAGGGATTGAATCCATTAGCGTTTTAAAATTCGTACGGCATCTTTGGTAAATATATAACTTGCTCCTGACCAGATTGTGGTACCACCAACAATCCACCTATTGAGAAATTCTTAGACGCATGATTTGTGATATATCTTTAATTTAACTTACTGGAATGCATGCAAGACTTCGGGCGATGGCAGTTCCATGCTTACTGACGTTAAAGATAAACCCATCAAAAGTAATTGTAAAGCTGTGTTGATCTTACTGATTTGAGTAGGTTTCACTTCTGCTGACGGTATAGAAACATCAAAGTAGCGAGACAATGTTTTCTAAGTTGTTTTAAGTTAGGACTTTTAGTTGGCCTTACATTGACGCGTTTCATTATATATGTACCGGTTCTGCTAACGAAATGTAGCGATAATAAAATCCAGATAAAATAAGACCTACGTCTCTACCCAAAATCACAGCAGCCAATGGCACTATGTCGTATTAGTAACGTCATATTTACAAGCACATGTCTCTTTTTTGTACCAGGTAATGTTCCTTCCATTGCTAATGTTACTGTCATAACCGTCATAAGTACTTTATCAGCCAATGGATCGATGATGGTTCCTAATAAAGTCTTCATATTGTACTTTCTGGCGATATAACCGTCCAGCTATAAGAATATCCATCTTTTAAATTAGAGATATAAAAAAAAAAAAAAAAATCGTGTTGAATTATTTACCATATCGGTAAAACCTGCCAAAGCAAACAGACCCAATGCTTCATTGTAACTCTGCTGAAGAATGAGATATCCCACAGCTGGGGCTGCTAACAGTCTACCGAATGTTAAAATATTAGGAATTGTATAAATGTCCTCCTTTAATTCCTGTTGAAACAAGGTGGTTAGTGAGCAGCCCAGATAAATAATAAAATGAAGCTTACTTTCTTTATAGTTGTTATAACGGGTTCTTGATCTTCCTTGTCTTTTCTTGTGATTGATCTACTATTCGAGTTGGAAATAAAGGTTCGTTGAAATGGTGCACATGTGTTGATTCTATGATTGGGTAATTAATACAAGGCTTCCGTAAAGTATGCCTTAATTTCTTTTAAAAATCGTACCTTGTCAATGGAGATCTGCTGCCGTTCGATAAAATTTTTGTAAAAGTGACATTAAAAGGACGGAAAGCTTGTTTTAATTGAGGGACGTTCACAGTTTTTGTATAGATTGGTCCAGCCTTTGCTAACAAGAAAATTGAGCGTGTTTGTTGTAACCGAAACATATTTATTATTATATTTTGAAATCAAGAATCCAGAACTGGTAATTGACGTGTCTTTTTATTATTATTATTTTTGCTCAGGAGTAGGCAGTCCTGATTGGAGGGATCCTAACAAAAACGGGTAAACTTAAAGGGCTTTGGGGTAAGAACCTAAAAAAAAAAAAACCAGGATTCGCCGCGACCGTTTAAAACGATCATCGGGATACCATATTCAACAAACGGCCCTATGGCCATAGGTGTGGTTATTTGTCTCAAATCTGATTTAATTAATGTGATTTTTTGGGAGTGCCGTAGGCGCTTCCAAAAAAACCTATTCTGTATGATCTCATTTTTTACAGGAATACATTGAATATAAATAAAGGTTTAAAACTGATAGTTTATTACATACTTTGAGAAGTACAAAAATTTCTATTCATCTTGTCTTCTACTAGTTCTTTACAATTATTTCTTGAGAAAGTAATTGTTTAGTTTGTGTATATGTAAAATTTTCAAGACTATGTAATACTTATCTGCAATTTTGATTGTATGATTCTCTGTTTTCAGCAATTGAGCTAGTCTAGTTTTTATAAAAAAACCTCCCCTCCCCAATGTAGTTTTTCGAAAAAAGACAGCACAACAGTTACTGATTTGAAGGAGCAAAAAGCAGCTACTACTTCCTCTTCTAGCCATGTTTACTTTCAAAATAATATTCTCGTTGTTTAATAAAATCCTATACTTGAGATAAATATATATCAAAGCCATTAACGCGCACCCGGTAATTTTTCCTTTTTGGGATATCCGCACCCGGCACTCGACTCTGGCAGCTGAGACTCAAATATTTGGGTGTGGATATTTTGTTTTCCACACCCGTATTTTTTTAGCGTTGATTGCACGCCCATAAACACTTGAGTTTTGTATCCGAGCCAAATAACGTACACTAAAAAGCTCCAAATATCAGGAATTAAATGGGATAGAAGTGCTTGTCTTTTTTTTTCTGCTTTGGGAATCGAATTAGATGGGTGTTTGACTGACTGGGAATCGAAAAGTCTTAAGAATTAAGTGGGTGTCTGACTAACTGGGAAGCGAAAAATCTTAAAAATTAAGTGGGCTCGACTGTGAATCGAAAAGTCTTACAGATTAAGTAGAAATTAACTTAGTAAAAAAAGATAGGAACTAAAGTTTCACCCAAGAGGCTAAGAAAAGAGATACAATTTGATCTGACACTGGCGTATATGCAATCATTCGCAGCAAAACAACGGTGAAGAAGCTCCATAGTCAGCTTAACCATTATGATTCTACGGCATGTTCCGAGGCTGTTACTTTTAGATAGCATTTATAACTTCTTCTGCAGTCTTGTATCTATTTATAGGAAATACAGGAAGAGGTTCCTGGACAGCATAGGTCATGTCATTTAAATCAAACTCGTTTCGATTGTCTGTGTTCATTTCTAAATCTGATAATATCCGTACCAATATGGGCTTTTTTTTCGTATAAAGCTTCATATAATTACACGTAAAACTCATAAAGTAAGCAGATTTCGTCAATGTTTATTTTATGGATTTGGAAAAGGAATTTGTTTTATGTCAATTGAATTACTGGGTGTGGATAAAATTTTTGTGGTATATACAGGTCTAGAATTTGGTTTCCGTTACAAACAGTGTCTTACACTGCCACAGGTATGATAATTTTTATATATGTTCTATGCAGTCTATTCGCAAAAAGTCAGTCTTACAGTTTATTTTATCATTTTAAAGCATTACATAATGATGTATAGCCTATTGGAGCTGTTCCCCCAGTGTCCAGTGGGTGTTATCTGATTAATTGGTAACTAGTGATATAACTTTTTTCTCTATCCTATCTCTTTATGTTCATACTAACGCGAAATTTGTACTACGGCTAGCTCAACACCATGCAAATTACAAGGAAACTTAGAAATGTTTCTATAGCCGCGGTTTCAACACTGTTCGGTCCCATCTCTTTACCAAGTAAGGTCATTCCGCATGAAAAAGCCAAAGGAAAACTCTGACGTCATTCTTTTTTTATTCGGGTATTTAAGGAGATGCAAAGGTTGACTTGCGCAGTTTTATCTTTTCTCTTTTCATTCATATAAAGTCTTCCATATAATTGTCCAACCAAATGAATTCTAAATTTACAAGGGATTCTCAAGGATCAATAGGCCACACTTTCATGGTTTGAATTCACACTGAAAATCAAAATCAAGGGGACTTTTCCCCTTTAATTCTACAAGAGATTTCTGTTCTCGTTGAGTCCCCCTTAGGACACCAGCGTTATCTTTTAACAGATGTGGCGCCCCAGCTAAACTCCCCACTTGATAATGTCAATAAGGAAATGTCTAGAACTCCGTATTTTCTTCAAACGTATTTTTTAGAATCACGTGAAGGTCTACACATAAGTCTTTAAGTCGATTGACCTGCCCTATCGTCTAAACTTTATAGGATGATCGATTTTTATTTTCTATAAAATCTGCTTCACTAACATTACAAGCTGCTACTGGAACGCAGATTGACAATTACTAAGTTCTGACCTGCTTGGGAAGATTTTGCAAGTGTTTCCATTTTAAGTAAAGGCCCAAACATTATGGATGATGAAACAAACAACTAAATCATTCTGACATAAGCTCTTGTTTATCAGCCTACAAATAAAGCTGGTTCACACACTTTATTCTTCTCCTTTTCTTTTCCCTTAACATATTTCTTCTATTTTATGAAAATAACCATTAATGTAAAAAGGTTAGTTAGTAATGACTCTTGTTTCTTTGAAAAGACGCTAAATCGAAAAAGATATATTGCGGTATTGCGGCTGCGGCTAGTCTTTGCTATAGGAGGGCGACCTCCTTGGCAGGGTTCTGGAGTTTTTGGAACTCAAGAACCGTAAATGGCTGTGAATGCACTGTATATAGGTGCGATTATACTGGCTGGCTGGTCTTGGCCAGAATTGCTGTAAGTAGTATTAAAAAAATAGGTATAAAAAATAAAAAAAAAAAAAAAAAAAAAAATACGGAGGTCTAGACATTTCCGCTGATAATAACTTAAAACTAGATATTTGTTTACAGTAAGAAATTTTTTTTCTGATCCTCCTGATCAAGGCATGTATATCTGTCCACTGATCCCGAATCATCAACTTATGAACCGAGATCCATGTCCCTGTATGACATTATGATGGATCTTTCCAATTTTACATCAATATTTAAGGAAGAAGGCAACACCAAGTTTGCTAACTGGTGCGCAGCACAAAAATTTGACTTCTTACGCACTAAAATCAAAAGGAATCGCGGGGATTCAAATCATAGGACATCGCAAAGACAGATATACGTGTTAAAGGACGGCTTTAAATGTAAGTAATGTTAAGATTATCTGTTTATATTTAGTAATCATTATCATATTGTAGATGGTTTATTGAAAGAGATAGTCGAAATACGCCAAACAGCAATTTATATTGTAGTTTGGCTCCTTTCAAACTCCGCGCGCGAGTGCGACGATCATTTTGATGCATGTCCGATGGTCTAATTCCTATTCCTTGCCGAGATATGTCTATTTTTGTCTAATACCAAGCATACATTGCTGATTTAAAAAGGACGGCTACTGTATTTTAGGTTACTGTCGTAAATCCAGGACCACAAGCTGTAAAGATGAAGTTACAAAGTCACTACAAAATATGATTACCGGTTTAAGAAGCAGGTCTTTAGTCGAACATGTATATGTCAGTGCTAGCTGCAATGCTAAGACTCCCATTAGCAGACGAGATATCAAAAAGAATCTGATCTTGAACGAGCTATCAGGAGTTAATGGTGACGCACAAGGTATTCAATATCTTACAAAACTCAATTAAAATTAAGACTAATTTTTGTTGATAGATATGATTAAGGAATTAGCAAAGAAGAATAAAGTATGCTTAGTTGTCATTGATTCGGCGGGTTTGACTACAAACATGAGCGATCTTGAACTATTTTTACGGTATGAGAAATCTTATTTTTTGCAAAACGATTAGCTAACTTTGGTTTCAGTGAGCATGAAAATTTAAAAAAAATTATTATTGACACACTTGCACACGACAATCAAGTACATGTTGTTGAATGCGCTGAAGAAATTGTAAAGGTAAAATCTTTATTCAGATTCGATGGCCGACAAACCTTAAATCATCGTTCCAAGATGTTACCCTTGTGTTAAAACCACATAATAAATGCTACTGTCTACAAAAGAAAAGATGCTTCACGGATAAAAGGTCGGGAATACTAAATTAAGAGTTGATACAGTTGATTAAAAATAAAGACCTATCGCCTAATCTGAAATAAAATGTTGCTTGAGTAGAAGTGAAATGTCGGCCCATCAGGAATTAAATTTCGCTCTCACAGGAACAAAATGTCGTCCAATCAAAATTAAGTTTTCATTGCCATAGGAATAAAATGTCGCCTCTTAGTTTTTCTGAGGAAGCTCTTGATTATCTTTTTCTTATAATGTCTATTGTAGTCTTACGAAATGAAGATCTCTTTTTTTTATTAAGATGGACAAAACAATATTTATATTGAAAACGGTTAATTAACGTATGATCCTATGGAAAATGTCATGTCAACTATCGACGATCCCAATATTGTTCTTGAAACTTTGGTTAATTATTCTTCTTGCATGAAGAGTAAGCCATTGGAAAAACAACCAACTGAAAACAAAAAGTCAATTACTTCAAAGCTAGGGCAATTTACCTCAAAGAAGACAAATGCAGACTATAGCATTAATCAGAGGACGACGTTCATCGATCGTATGATCGAATTACCTGTGGGACAGAGGTAGGCCGCTGTGGTCGGGAGAGGATTAGGTGTCGAAGAACGAACTGCTCAGCGATGATGGAGAAGCTATGAAGAGACGGGCCAAGTGCCGATCAAAAAAATCGACCAGAAATCCAGGACGCCCAAACAACTTTACAGAGGAACACAAAGCTTACGTCTTGGACCTTTTTGATGACGATTCACAGGTTACTGTTTGTGATGTAGTTGAAACTTTGACTAAATCCTTTGAGGATTTTTCGCTTACAAAATCAGTCATCCATAAGCACATGAACGAAACTTGTAACCTGTCAGTCAAAAAACCACATTTCGAGTTTGAGAAACGCAACAGTCCTGAAAACCTACAAGTGAGAGATACGAGTGGTTTATGAAATGAAAGGGTTCAGACGCTGACTTCACGAAAAACTGTATTTTCATTGATGAATTTGGGTTTCATATTAATATGCGAAAGAATTACGTGGCCTATAAAATTAGAGCGTGCAGTTATTGAGCTACCTCAGACAGGAGCTGCTTCTCATACAATCATCGGTACTATATCTACAAAAGGTGTTAATCATATTGCGTTGAGAAAGCCTCCTCCACCATCTGCGAAAGATACACCTTAAGAAGATATTAAATCTGGGAATGTCTAGAACTCCGTGTTTATTTTTAAACGTATTTTTTAGAATCACATGATGGTCCACACGTCGATTGACATGCCATATCGTCTAAACTTCATAGTTTGATCAATTTCTGTTTTCCATAACATCTGCTTCACTGTCATCACAAGCTATTACTGGGACACAATAAGACAACTAACAAGTTCTGACTTGCTTGGGAGTTGTTTGCATATGTTTCTATTTTAAGTAAAGGCCCAAACATTATGGATGATGAAACAATCAATTAAATCACTCTGACATAAGCTCTTGTTTATCAGTCTATAAATAAAGCTGGTTCACACACTTTGTTCTTCTCCTTTCTTTTCCCTTAACATATTTCTTCTATCTCATGAAAGTAACCCATAATGTAAAAAGGTTAGTTAGTAATAGCTCTTGTTTCTTTCAAAAGATACTAAATCGAAAAAGACACTATTGCGGTATTGCGGCTGCGGCTAGTCTTTGCGACCTCCTAGGCAGGGTTCTTGAGTTTTTCGAACTCACAGCCTGTGAGTAACAGGAGTTGCACTGTGAATAGGCGTGATCATACTAGCCTGCTGGCCTTAACCAGAATTTCTGTAAGTGGTATAAAAAAAATACGTTTGAAAAAAAATACGGAGGTCTAGACACTTCCTGTCAATAACGTGGGTCCCATCCCCGAAGGAATGCTTAATACTAGAAGGTGAGTCTTGCGGCTCAATCCCACTTAATTATTTAAGTAAAAAAACTCATCTACTATCCTACATTTTTTAAACTTTTCTTTAGAACTTTCGAAATACATTGCTTGATCAAAGTCGCCTCGTTTACAAGGATTCCTTCTCCAGCATAAAGATTCTTTCGGGAAATGGCACGAGGATCCCTTACAAGCGGATAAATTTCTTGAAGTTTGGTCCAACCGTTTCTGTGAGATGTATAGGGTTATTAAAGCCAGAGAAATAAAGGTAATGAAAAACAGTATATTTATATAGCTTGCGGCATGTTAGCCTACGTACACGAAATAACGCACTAAACTATCTTTTTATGAAAAGGGACCAAAAGAAAGAAATTTAAATATCAGGGAAATATGTACAGAACTGTGTGATAGATTTCGTTTGGAAAAGGAAAGAGTAAGTTCAGCAAGAGCTATGTCTATCTACTTGATCTCTCATTATTTATTTATTTTTCGTTACCACAGAATAAATTGAAAGGACATATGGATCACGAAATTCTACAGACACAAACTGCCATGACAACCCGCTTAAACAAACGCTTGCGTCAAGAAGCTGAGGAAGATGCTATTAATAAAGACGAAAACTCCCAGTCTTCCCAACCATCACGATTATTCCTGCACAGATCGAATTGATTATGTACTCGCGAACTGAGAGATGGTAGAATTAGATTTAGGAACCAGTTACATACGTAACATAGCTTATTGGTATTTAACACGAGCTAGATAACTCACATCCCGCACGTTTACAGTATTAACGTTCGTTTATTTAAGGACAGGTGATAAGAATCGGTGAACGGCGCTGGTGGTGACTAGATAAGTGTGTTTGGTGCAGCAAGTATTGTTTATTTTACCAGGTTTGATATAAATTTGAGTATATGATATAGTGTGATTGCTGGCTTAAAAGATGAATGCACCACCTTCTCTCTTGTCACAACTGCTACTTTATCCTCTATATTTGAACCCTTATCTTGCCCATGTAAAAAAAACATGACGGGTGATGCAAGTACGGTGGTTATTCTTGGTGTTGACTCAATGCTTGGTGGCGGTGTTGCTGGGCGGTGGTTAATGTTGCCGGTGTAATTTAGGCTGCATTCCCAAACAACCTGACTCTTTGAAAATGTATCACAAAAGACAACAGCTCTGGCCAAAGACGGGATTCTCACCCTCCATGATGCCCTGTTCCAAAGGACTAATGGAATCCGCTTGTGCCAATGCGCGTGGATCTTGCATCCGTGCATTTTATCGTCTGACAGATCACGAGGATATAGTCAGGGAAGAGGAGATTAGTGGCGAGCGTACGGCACGCCACTATAAATCTATTTCAGATTCTGGCGTGCTCAGACCTGCTCAAGTGTTCATGTTCTTTCGCCATTCCGTATCTTGATAACATGGCTATCGAAGGAGCAATATCCGTTGGCTTTGACCGTGGCACTGGTGAAAAGACTACGGCCACACAGAAAAAGTTCGCTCTCGAATTAGAATCATCACAAGAAAGCCAATCAAGTCAGACACCCTATGTTTCTGAATCGGATTCATCTCAAGATAACAATGACCTTTTGGAGCCCATGGTATGTAAATCAAACGAAATAAACTCTGATGTTCCTTATTTAATTTTGCTGGCTGCATGTAGTGGATCATAGACGGCAATAACTTGAGTAGACTTTTGATTGAGTTCAGATCACGATGTTACAGAAAGAGCTTGTTTAAAGAAACGCTGGCTGTCACAGAGAAAATGGCTGTAAATCATGTTTATTTATTGAATCAAAGTAAAGATTGCTTCGCTTATTGCAGTGATCTGAATAGTATGAGAAGCAAATTGATTGAATACTTTGACATAAACAAGTTTTACAGAAAAGCTTCCGATGAAGAAACCAAGCTCGTAAATGATGTAGCATATGTAATTGTATTTGATGGATCATTAAAACATCATAAAACTAATTATGATCTCCTTTCAACATAGAGTAAAGCAAACGGCACAGCGATGGAAGCTAAAAACTTGGCAATCGGACAGTTGACAAATGTGGAACTAGAAGTATATGCAACAGCCTTATTTAATTTGTAAGTAATTGAATTGCCACACTTTGAAAAAAATAAATAATAGAGCCTTTCTTTTTTTTTTTTTCTCTATTAGGAAAACAAATTACGACAACTCATTTGGTACTGTTGACGAGTCACTTTTTATTGATTCGCTTTTCTTAGGGACAGCCAATTTTTCCTTAGGGACAGCCAAAGTGCACGTAGTCGCAACGTAAGATCTATGGTTTGGATGTCCTGTAGACATGGGAACAAGGATATACAATCAAAAAACAGTGTAAAAATTACAAATAAATGTACATCAAACGATTTATACTTATTTTGACAATTCTATTATCACTCTTTCGCGTTTGAGCTCGTTTGAATTAAATCTTACGCAGAAATATAATGTAAAGTCCAAACGGGAAGCTGAAAGTTAGCTTTAAACTACATATACTGGTTTAAACTATGTTAGTTGTGATAAATGTGTATATATTTCAAGTTGTTAAGTTCTATTGACCTCTTGATATTTATTAAAAAACCATAATCCCAACATTACGACTACGTGCACCCTGGCTGTCCCTAAGAAAAATGGCCGTTTATTTATAACCCTTCAAAGCGGAATACACAAACTAATTAACAACAGGCCCAGCTATCAAATTTTTCGGGCCGAAAAATTGGCCAATGAAACATCCTACTTATGCTCAAATTCAGCCAACAAACTTCTAAACAAGTATTTTTAGCTTGTATTGGAGTGTTTCCGAAATCGTTTTCAAATTGCCGGTTTTAGTGAGACAGTCTCCATGAATACGACCCATTTGGTGGTTGTCTGAAACGCTAAAAATCAGATGAAGTTACCATAAGAATAATTTTGCTGTCCATCAATCCATGTTGTAGTTTATGAGGTGAGTCTGGGCAGCTTTCACAAGGCTGTTCTTGTCCAGAAGACTCTGTTGTACAAATGCACCTTCATTGTTGCTTGTAATTATATGGTGTCCTTCTACTGACAAAGTAAATGGCTGCGCTTTTGTTGAATAAGGTCAAAGATAATTTTGTGTGAAAAGTTTGTGGCATTCAATCAGGCGAAACATGGTCACTTGTATGAAAGTAGACCGGGATATTACTTTTTTTTTTAAAAAAAAATCACGCTCTTCAAATATTAAGTTCCAGTCGTGTTGTAGAAAGATACATTTCTACTGTATATGATACAGTCGTGTCGATACCAAAATCAAACAGAAAACAAGAGAATCGTAGTCATTACTGGAAAAAGACAAATTCTGCACCGGATCCATAATATAAATGTACCTGCTTATCCGGCAAATGTTCATCAAGTGGGTGCGTGATTACTTAAGAATCAAACATTTAGCAATACTCTCGTCTTTACAATAGTCTGCTGCCTTTTTTTAATACAAAAGTATAGCACACAAACAAAAACTGCGATATTCAAAAAGAAACTCGTGTACAGAAAAAATAAAAGCTGGCCCGACAAAATATATTACACAAGTAAGATTAAAAACGTGTCGATGAAAATTTTAACAAAAAGTGAGGGTAATGTTCAATCATAATTACCCTTATTTTTTTTTATTGAGGCAATCAATGTTGATAGAAAGGTGATAGGAGTTAATTATGATATTAGTAAAAATATGTTAGAAGAGGAATGAAATGGGTAGGGAATAATCTAATTTTTTTTTTTTTTTTTGCTTTTTTTTTCTCATGCTTTTTTCTCTCTTATTGTTGCTGCTGAACGGGCGCAGATGACTTCCAGAACATCCAAGATTTGCGATGCTTAACCTTCTTTTCGGGTTGTGCTTGCTTGGTCTCGGGTTGTACTTGTTTTCTTTCATTTAATTTAGATGGCAATTCAGGCATAGGAGGAGCTGTCATGTTCATCTATTTGGTTTTTCTGTTAGCTAGGCTTGACGAATAAAACTACTGATTAATATTTTTTACCTTTTCCTTATCACTGCCACGTTTAAATAAACCTAAAATTTGTGATTTTCTCTTTGTGACACTTGGGTCTTTTTGTGAAGTACCAATATTTCCCATCACACTCCTGCTCTTTCTAATAAAACTCTTTTTGGTGTTATCTTTGATCAGTTCTTGAACAATGGCGGGTTTAGCTACTTCTTGGTAGTGTTCTTCTTGAATAGTAGATTGTTCGGTGGTAGCGGATAAAGCTTCGGTCAAGACACTTTGAGATCTGATAGTATGTGTATCTTCTGGAGCTGATGATTCTACACCACTTTGTGTTGGTGTAACTTCGGTCACGATAATGGATGGTTCCTCAATTGTTATTGTATCATATACTTGTGCCTCTTGTGCGACAGCTACCTGTGGTGTTTGCTTTAGTTCTACTTTTTTATTTTCTCTAGTTTCAGCCTCATCTGTTTGTTTTGAACCCTCAGTTTCTAGTGTAAGTTTAACGGCAGGCTTAGTCTCCTCAACAGGAATAGTCTCTTCAACAGGCTTGATCTCGTCGACAGGCTTGATCTCTTCAACAGGCTTGATCTCTTCAACAGGCTTGATCTCTTCAACAGGCTTGATCTCTTCAACAGGCTTGATCTCTTCAACAGGCTTGATCTCTTCAACAGGCTTGATCTCTTCAACAGGCTTGATCTCTTCAACAGGCTTGATCTCTTCAACAGGCTTGATCTCTTCAACAGGCTTGATCTCTTCAACAGGCTTGATCTCTTCGACAGGCTTAATCTCTTCGACAGGCTTAATCTCTTCGACAGGCTTAATCTCTTCGACAGGCTTAATCTCCTCAACAGGCTTGATCTTTTCAGCAGGCTTGGCCTCTTCAGCAAGCTTGGTCTCTTCGACAGCTAAAGCTTCTGTGGTAGTCTTGGCCTCTTCGATGGGCTTGGGATTGTCAATAATCTTATCCTTTTCGGCAGTCGTTGTCTCCTCCATGGGTTTAACCTCCTCGACAGATGTAGCTTCCAAAATAGGCGCGATCGTTTCAATATGTTGAACTGCTGCAGGAATAGACTGTTGGATTGGGATAACTTCTTCTGAAAGCTGTAAATCTTCGTTTACTTTAGCCCCTTCGATTTCGTTAACTTTTTCAGTTACTTTGATTTCTTCAATGAGTTTAGCTTCTTCAATCACTTTTTCGATAGGGTTAACTTGTTCAGCGACAGTAGCACTTTCAACAGGCACAATGCCCTCAGCTTGTACGGGTTCGATTTCGCTTATGGATTTGATAATCTCTATTGCGTTTTTATCAGGAATGACTTCTGGGAGAGCTGCTTTTTCCAAGATAATTTCTACAGGAGGGTCAGTAGTGACATTGGATAAAGAAGCAGCCTCTAATGTCACAACAACAGGTTCAGCCTTTACTTCAATATGAGGGGGTTCTTCTAAAGTATCCTTCTTTGGGATATGAGCAATGCCTGTAGCGACTTCAAGCTGATCGACAACGTTTTCGAATGAGCACTCAGAAGGAATGTTGCTGGTATCAATAACGCGATTGTTGTCCTGTGTATTGCCACTAACGGCAGCAGCAGCAGCAACAGCGGCGTCAAGAGCTTTATCGTCAGCAATTAATTGTTGAGCAATTTCAGCAGGGCGAGACAACGAAGTAGTAGACGCGTTTTTTTTTGTTAAACTTTCTGTAGAAGAGTTGACAGTTGAGTCAACAGCGGTGGTAGGTGAAGGAGGAGAACTGCTTTCGTTGCTGGAAGTAGGAGTTGTGATAAGCTTCTTTTTGTTGTTGCGAGCAGCTGATTTCTTTTTGTTACCGCCTTTCTTTGCCATTTTTAATTATATTTGTTAAAAGTAAAAGAAAAGGAAACAGTTTGAAACATTGGGTAATTTTTTTTTTATAACGGGGTTCAACAGAAAAAAATTATTTTTAGGAGTTCAAGTGTTGTTACACCTTTTTTAGTAGACTCAAAAAATTATCGTGAACAAAAAAATAAATAAGGCAATGAAACATATTATTGGCTGATTAAATTTTATTTGTGAAGCATTAAGCGTTGGTTTTGTGATACGGTCCCAGTTGCAGGTGCTCATGGTACTAATTTGCTAAAAGTTGAAATTCCTTTTACCGCACATAAAATTTTCATTCTCATAATATGATTGGCTGACTCGCGTTGACTAAATAAGCTGAATCACGCGTCTCGACTAACATTTTTAGGTTTGAAAATGATCTTCCTAATTAAAATTTAAGGGTATTTGACACGATAAGTAATAATCTTGTGAAAATGTAAACCAAAAAGAAAAATTTCGCGCCTTTCTGAGCCTATTATATAATTAAGTAACGTAAGCAGTTTTCGGTTTTTCAGTTGGTAACTAGATCTATGTCTCCTATTTGCTCTTGTTCTTCCCTTTATTTTCTTTATCCATGTACACTTGGTAGGCACAATTTCAGTACTGTTTATATCAGAAGCATGACTTCCTTCTAGAGTTCTCTGTATCCGAAATTATCACACTTCTAATCGTCTACCAGAACTTTCTATGAGCTAACAAATTAAGCTGCTCTCATAATTTGTTAAAATTGATCTACTTGTTTATGATGACCTCTCCGTCCCCTTTCAGACGTTCTGGAATAACCTATCTTTAACAGCTCGCTCGCGTTTGATGATTATACGCAAAGCATACTGTTTTTTAGAACTGGTACACCATTTTCACAATATCAGACAAAACCAAGTCGTATTTCTCATGACTTATTTTTGAATACGTGCATATGATTACTATCTTTTATGAGATTTTGCAAATAAAGAGTAAAAAGTTTATGAGAAAATAAACCGTTTTTGCTTAATATTAATATGTCAATGTTAACCAATATGTCCATGAAATTTGATGTCTCTTTCTCGATAATAATAATAAAAAAAAGATTGCTTTTATTTATTTGTAAACAGCTTATACCATGATTTTGTAATCTGTTTTATTTTAGTCGTGTTATTTTTAAGAAAAGCCACTACGTAACTCCTTAGATACTTGGCCAAAGGACTAAAAAGTGTGGCGGTTAAAATTAAGGTGGTGCATATGTCGCGTTTATACTTGCCTTGATCGATTATATGCATCACTCCATTATCAAAAAGAACGTCTTTTGAAAGAATTTTTGCCGGAAACTGTAAGGACTCACAAACTGACATGCAGAAATGAAAATGAAACTCAATACACATGCATCGTCCTGTTTTCTTTCTTTTTTTCTATGGTTTACCTTGCCAGTCGTTTTTACTTTTTTCGATTAATGTCATTTTGAACCCGTTTAAACTGGTCAACATCATCTTGTTTGTCCATAAGTTACTGGTAACTAATTTGTCAGAGACATGTGCTTGTGAGAGTAAATCATCGCCTAAAGTAGCCGGATCGACAGTACCAAAAGCTTGGTTGTTTGGAATAAACACTGTAAGCTATTACATAATGATATTAGAGGAGAAAACCCCATATTCGTGTTAGAGAAGGTTAACCTGTTGATTTAAAGGTAAACTGGTAGATCCCAACATGTCTTTGGCCTTTGTGAATCCCAACCCTGTTAGTGTTGTGATAATATCAGAGGGTGTCGCTAGGACTACAGTACAATGTTAATATATATTGTTACGATTATAATCAATCCTTCCTACTTTTATCGATTATATGCACAACGCTATTTTGATGGCCGATCGGAATCGTTTTCAGCACATTCGCATACAACATCATGCCTGATTCCACAGTCTTTTGCTGATTATTAAATGATAGTTTCAAGAGACTCTTATTATAACTTGTCGACTCAAATAAAGTCATGTTCCAATCTAGATGGTACACTGGTAAAGTATGGTAAAAGCTATTAAATTCGACACTATTTTCATTAAACGCATTATTATTTGGAGCAAAAAATGTGATATTTTGTTGATCTGTTAAATAGGTCTGAGCATCATGATTTAAAAGGGATACAAGGGTCTTAGTTTCAGGTAAATTTTGTAGTAAGTCCATAACATTAGCCTGAGAAATATAATGCTGATGTCCCTGAACAAGACCAATCCAAAATACGAATAAAAGTAGTTGTGTAATATAAAGCATCATTTGTTTAGTTTATCGAAACAAATGAGAAAGAAAAAGAAAAGGAGAGGTAAATCAACCAGGAGTACGTACATGGAAATATAGGACGGAAAAAATTATATTTCAAGCAATTCGCCCATACAACCACTGCATAATTCTATTCCTGTTATTAGTGACGCAACACACAGACTAATTTATCAAACATACCAACTGAATCAATCCTGTATCTTTCTTTCAAATCATGCAATCTTTTTTTTAATTCGCGAAACAAAGCTCTATAATAGAAGGGTTAAATTAATTCACAATGAATAAGTAGACTTCATGACAGTACCTCTCGTCTTTTTCATATGCCTCTATAAAAGGAAATTTAAAACAAGTATCGTTTATTATGTTGCTGATCACATACCTAATGCACGACTATCGGAAAATATGATACTTTCACCACCATCTGATAAAAAACTGTCGCCAAACAACTTCTGCAGTTCCGAGTTTTTATCGCGTAAAGTGGTTATTTCATGATCCATCCACTCAATCTTCTCCTGAGCTTTAAATAATTTTTCCTTTAGCCTAATGTTTTCTTGCTCTAACCCATCTTTTTTAGTTTGGTACTTATGCAACTTTCAAACATAAAAAAATTAAGACCGTGTATTCGTTTATTACTGCCTTTTTCGGCGAACCTTTTTCTTTACTGACAGGGCTAGTTTGTCTGATCTCTCATCATTTGGCGAAAGCATGTCGGTAATTACTAGAAACACAAAAAGAAAGAACGCAATAATTATTTTTCTGTGTGAGAGTGTGTGTAATTGTGTGTATGTGTGTGTGTGACACCATTACACGTGATACAAAAAAAGTTTTAGATGTTACACTAGATACATTTGTCATTGGGGGAAAATTATTTATTGTAGTAGTTATTAGGTAGAGCATGAATGAATTTAGAATCCAACAAAGTAAAGGATACCAATAGATAAAGCAAGAAGGCCAAGCTTTTGAATAGGCATGTTCTTCAAACCGGCATTGATGTGAAGAACAATAGGACGAGAACGCATGGTGAAGGCAAGCTTATTTTCAAGGTCAGGTTTGGTAGTAACGGTCAAGTAGACGGTTTCGTTAAGACCTTTAGGTACGGTCCAGGTATAAGTGGCGTTTAAGGAGAAATCCAATTTTGTACCAGCAGAAGATCCACTGGGAACACTGACATCTGTAGCAATGTTTTTGGCTAAAATACTAACAGCATTATCTTGCCAAAGATCCACATCGACGGTGTAACTACCATTGCCCATGTTTTGATAATGATAAAGGATTTCTATCTTCTGTCCTGGGGTGACAGTGTCGTTGGAAATAGGATATGTAATTGCTGTGCCTAACTGTGCTGAGCATTGATAGAAAAACAAAGCAAAAAACAATGCTTGGATTAAACGACGGTAATGAGTGGAAGGTGCCATGTTTGAAGAGGAGGGGAAAATGATGAAAGGTGATGTTCTTGAAGAAAAAGGAAAAGAGAAAACAAAAAATTATGTTTTTTTTCTTCTCAGGATGACCTTGTTAGAAGTAACACAATTGGTAGTAGCTTTTGCTGGGAAAGACATATGAATAAGTTACAAGCTGAGTATGGGTTCAAAAACATGAGATTTATGTCCAAATACGTATCATTGTACTCATTGTTAAGAGTATAAAATTCTCATGCGGAGATGTTCATCAGGGCACTCATTCAGTTGATTTCAGACATCTTCCTGACTTGATTTACACAACATCTTTTTACAGTGATTTTTGGTATCGTATTTATTGATTTTTTTCAATTTTTGAAGCATTTGCACCCAATTTGATGTGGTTACTGACGAAGTTGATACTTAACCTCTCACTATCCCCCTTGGCTATGTGTTAAAACAAAGCGAAGTAGCAAGTCAAAGAAATTGGATGTTTATTATTAACTGAGTGATGGACGAGCTCCAGACATCATGAAATTTCTAAATAAAAAAGAATAATACTTTCTGGGAAAAGGTATAAGTTAGAAAATAACCATTATGGCTTTTATTTAATATATCGACTGGATAAATTAATTTGGTGATTGATATTTCATTGCAAAGGCAGCAGATGGCTGGTCGGCTTCATCGATCCACTTTCTGATAGATGTATAGACTTGCTCTTGGGTATTTTTAATAGACTCAGATACAGTTTCACTAACGAAGAAGTCCTAATTCAAGAAAAATATTAATTTCAAGTGAAATATGCGTATTTTTTTTTTTTTTTACCCAGTGATGAACTGATTTAGGCAAAACCACATATTTAGCATCTTCTTCCCAGTCTGAACGATCAGGTGCGGATTCACTTTGAATGCTATCCTCACGCCAGGGATCGTACTCACCATCAATCCAGAAAACACGGTCCAAACTGACATACCAACCCTCATACTCACGATTAATTTCACGCCAGATTGGTCTTCTGGGAACTTCGTGTTCACCAAAAGTCAACGGACATTGACGTTGGAACCAAGCTGTGTTTAATTTACGAGAAACAATGGTAGATTTCCAGAGTGGTGCACCTGTTTGCCAATAGGCGTATTCGGTACATACCTGCCACAACCAGGCACGATTTTCATTTGTAACGTCGGTATACATTTTACCTCTGGGGTCGTGCGTGTCCATACATTCATTCACATTTTCATCTTTATCACAAGCCTTTTTGATGATGTTCTTCGTGTAATTACCATAAGCCTCAACATACTCATGAACTGAGGATAACCCTTCAAACACAGAACAAAATTCCTCCACAAATGGATTGGAGGCAGGTGTCATTGCTTGCCACAATCCTAAGGGATAAGACAACACTAAAATAGAGTTGGTATGTAAAACTAAAATAAAAAAAAGAGAGAGAGGCTTACATTCTGCGAAATCATCGTCATGCTTCAAATCTTGAGCACCAAATCTCTCCTTCAAACGAATCTTGGGTCCTTCCAATGGGCTGAATAGAATGTGATCGACAAAGAGAATGACGGAATGAATGGCTTTAATGCAATGCTTTGGTCCATATTTACGAATAGGTTCGAAATATTGGTAAAAATTGTAGCTCATGTGCACAGGTGCGGAAGAAGGAACCGCAGCAAATACAAGGTGAGGATACTTCAAACGCATCCATGCTGCGAGATTACCGCTATAGCTACCACCATATACGATATATTTGGTTTCAGGAGCAGGAGGAAGTTCAATATCGAGGTTAGGTAACTAAAGAAAGAAAAAGTTACAGATAAGCGCTATTCAACTATCGCTGTGTTACCTTCAAGTCTTTAATAAAAGAAGCAATGTCTTCAAGAGCTTGTTTGGTATTCAATGTCACTAAAGATTTGGCAGAAAAATCCTATGAAAAAGGAATTAGCTTTTATGCGGATATAACTTGTTGTCTAAATACTTACGGGTGCAGGCATAGATGTACCATAAAATCTGTGTTCCATGACGATAATGATACCATCCAATCTTTTTGCTAATTCGGCCATAGTAGAATTAATGACATAAAAGGAGCGATCATCTGCAGGTGTTTCACCGGCATTGTATACTAGATATTTATGTGTAAGAATTTATACATGTGTATGCAAAATACCTTTATCGATTACGTACGAATAACTGGGCCGCCCTGTTTATAGTGATCAGTGTTTGCCCAATAGCGATGTTTAAAGGTGCTTGTATTTAAAGAAAAATGATCGATAGGCTGGTCGAAATAATAAGGACCATATTTTTCTGGAAGTTTTTCTTTCACTTGACTTGTAATCTTTTTCGATTCGATTTTTCTACAAAAAAAAAAGGATGATTTAATTTCAATTTGAGGACTTGACTGAATATTAGTATTTACTCTCTGATTCGAGATCCAGGCGCATATAATGCTGAGGTCAAATGAGACACGCCCAGGACCAAAAGCAAAGACAAACTAAATCTCATCTTTAATCAAAGAAAAATAAAGAAAAAAGAATAAAAAGGAAAAACAATCCCAAAATCGTAATTTTATTAAATCCGCGTTCCTATCACCAGTGGCAGCTAAAAATAAAAAAAGATTGTGTGACACTTTGTTTGTGTGCAGAAATCTCATTGTTCAAACGGGTTTTGTCTTTTTGCATGCCTAGTATCAACAATTCATGTCGCTTGAGTACAATGATAATAATAAGTAGCTTATACTACAGTATTTTTACTCGGTTTTGGACCTTCTCTTTATTTTTCTGACAGAGTCTTGAGAAATATAATTTCGACAATTTCCTTCTTTTGTCTAAATTAAGTAAGAATAGCGTCAAATAAACTCCAAATGTTTTTAAAAATTGTAGGGTATAAAGTACACTCTTTCCGGGAAAAGGACAGATATGTGAAAATAAACTATCCACGTATCAAAAGTTAAAAGGTTTGGGTATGTCAACATAAATTTCGCTCTAATTCCATGTAAATTCGCATCATAACTTCACTGTTGCAGGGCATGAAACAAGAAGGTCGTAAGTTTAAATGTGTAAACTTTGTGTCTGTATCAAAATCGCTGTTTGAGCTTGAGTATGCATTTTATCGCACGACCATACTTAATAAATAAAAAAGTGTCAGCTTATCTTAACTGTTTTGGCTTTTTGGTTTATTTTTACTTTTGTATCCTCGTATGATGTTAGTGAAGCTCGTCCTCGCTCAAATTATTCAAGTGCTCTACTATCAATTTAAGAATACCCAGAGGTGGATCTGTTATGAGGGTTCTTTCATCAAAATAGCGTCACCATGGTAAAAAAAAAAAAAATCTCGTAGACTCCTTCATATACGTCGATGGATTTCGAGCTTGCTCCCAATTTGATATTGAGAAGGTTATATTTTATGGGCCATATTTCCAGTAGTGCATTATTTTTAGTCAAACCTTGTAACCGTTTAAATTTAAATCCTAGGGTCTTACTTTACATTAAAACGATAAATGTAATATTTTTGATTAAATGCACAACCAAAAGTCATCAAGGGTGTAGTTAATCCAAAAAGGTCTCGGGATTTTTGTAAAAGTTTTTTTTATTATTATATGTGTTATTAAGTAAGAGAATATTTATGTGTATTTCCATTTAATTGGAATAGAACCATGGCTGAATTCGCCAAGTTCTTCGTATGCTATTTATAAAATACAGTTAGTTACAAATCAATGTATATTTTTTTCCATCGTTCTCTTACCAGCAGGACTAAGATCAAGACCGCCGGCTTTACAGGTTTTACAGCTGTCAACAACAGTGACGGTGACGGTTTTACCAGAAGGACCGACGACTTCAATGGATTTACCACACTTTTCATTTTCGCTACCACCTTCACCCATATCCTCAGCATTGAGAGCACATACCTTATCACTGTTTTGGCTTTGCTTACCACAAGTGCCAATGTGAGTCTCGACATCATAGAAAGTACCCTCAGCATGAGTGTAACCATCATCTTCTACTGCACCGGCAAGACGAATGCCACCGGCATAGTTGGAACGACGTCTATCATAATAGCCATCCTCATAATCATCATCATCTGAATAGGTCTGACGGTTGGGTGTGAAGTCTCCCAAAGGAAAGCTGTTGGAACCGGGCCCTCCGAAATAACCACTAGTAGTATCTGATGCAGCTATTTTGTGTGATTTATTTCCCTTCGTCTTCTCCCAATTGATACTACCATCTTCGTTGTAGACCAATTTACCTTCGCGTTCATTTTTGTTGTAGCTTGCCTTGTAGGGACGTCTTTCAGTATAGTCGTAAGCATGTCTTCCATTTGTGTAAGCGTTACGGTGGCCTCTTGAGTTACCTTTGATAGTATGATTAATATGACATGTTTTACAAACATCTGGGATGTTATAACTTACTTGCACCAAATCTCATTTTTCCGGCATCGGCAACAGCCAAGTCAGGGTGATGATGGTAATAAAGATCATTGGGGAAAGTTGAGATGACTTGTCCAACAAACGCCAAAGCACAAACACTAGCTAAAACTCCCTTCATTTTGAATGTATATTAAGTATATGAAGAAAAGAAGAAAATTTTAATTATCAAGGTTGAATTCACGTATTTGTATGAATAAGTAAAATCCAAGGGGATTCACATCTATTAGTTTCAAAAGAGTCCATCAAGGGTGTTATAATAGTATAACACATGGGATTCAGTTTCACTGATTAGATTACGTAATAAACGGGGTCTCAATACTCAAGCCTGCTTCCGTCATACACTAGGCAAAAAATTGGTTTTTGGACGACTGTTTTCATTTTTTTTTTCTTTCTTTTTTATCCTATTTAAACATGTCAAACCAGGTGAGTAACTTTAAACAAATCAACCCCTCCTTTACCGAAACCCCTTAAATGTATTTACTGCCTAGGTTAACTTGACTTTTTGATTTTTAACATTATTTAATTTATAGTGGATTATGCACAAGGAAGAAAGCAGACACACACCTTCAATTATCAGAGGAATGAAATATGAAGAAGAATTAGTTTACAGAGTGCGAGGGGTATGCCTAATTCAAATAGTTGGCTACCGATTAGAATTGTAAGTGTGCGTGTGTAAATATATATATTTTTTTGTAGCATTTGTAAAATGTCTAAAGCATAAATACAATAGACCTGTACACACAGTGGCTACCGCCTCCACTCTCTACCATCGATTCTTTACACGAAAGTCCTTTCAAGACTACAAATATACCGTACGATTCAGTTTCTAGATAAACAATGAAATCATATTAATTTTTGATATTATTGTAGAGAATAGCACAAGCGTGCCTTTTCATTGCTTGTAAGAGCGATGAATCATCTCGAAGAGCACAGGATATCGCCAAATCATGGACATATAAACCAAAGGAAGCCGTTCTGGAGAAAGTGATTGTAAATGGAAATAGAATCCCCTCTACCCCTTAAGTAAAATTAATATGCTGGTAACTAACTTTTATTTAGTCCAAATTTATTTCTGATCTGCTTAGAAACGAACTCTTGGTGTTGGAAGTGACATGCTTTGGTATGACATTCGATCACCCTTATTACGACATGATGGAATTTGTTCAAGAAATACAAAGTAAAATTATATCTTTAACATGCATGTGTGTCTTCTGTTTCTAACCGTTTGGATTAGTTCCCAATGAAGTTGCAACAGCCGCGACAGCTTTTATTAATGACAGGTAAAAAGAAGAGAAAAAAAATTAGAAAATCAGATCAGCACGAGTTAATTGAATACGAAAAACAAAAGCTTTAGATTGCCGTTGTGTATGTGGTACGATGCTAAGGCAATTGCAGCAACAGCGCTTGTCATGGGATATCAAACAAGTGGCACACCACTTCCTGTCGACACAAATACTCATTGGTCAGAGTATTTACACGCCAATGCCGAGCATATTGGAGGTAAGGGGATTGCAATTTTTTTTTATGTATATATCTTTAGTTTTATACTATTGGAAACTGAATATGGCTATAGAAATCGCTGGTTCGATTATGGATGTGTATAAACTCCCAAAGTACAGTTTTTCTTCGAAAGACTAAGAATGGACGAAAGTGGAGAAAGGGAGAATTTTTTTTTATTTTTTTTTATTCGTTTACGATAGAATAAAATTATTAGGCCATGAATTAAAAAAAAATTGAGCGTTATGGACTAAATCGCTTTTGTAACTGGTAGTATACATACTCGACTGATTTTTTTCTTCTCTACAGTTTCTCCAGTTTGTTCGATGAGTGGAAAGTAACATGAGTTTGAGTATGCAATGCCGAGAAAAGATGGGATAAAAGCTTAGAAATTCGATTAGATTAAACGATGATGAAATACGGTCTCATATAATAGATTGGAAGTCTACCGGACAGTGCTGATTTTTTAAAAAAAAAACGAAAAGGGAAAGGATCTATCATTGGAATTGAAACATATTACACTTTGAAAATACCTCACTGAGCATGTTTTGCCATCTCATTCCGTCTTTGACGTCTATGTCTTGATTGCCTAGTATGCTAGAAGGTAAGCATTCAACTGAAGTCGCTGTATACTATTTCATAAATTATTCGTGCACGCTTAGAATAAAATGTCAATCAGTGACGGAATAAATAATAGCATAAAATCAATTAATTTTTCATGCATAATCTACGAATGAAATGAACGAAAGAGAATATGTCTGTTATCATTAAATGGGTATACTGCTAAAGTAGAAGGAGAATGTATCAATAGAAAATGTATCATCATAGTGAAAAACCAGGATAAGTGCCCTATTGCATGCGTATGTAACTCTTATTTTAAAGCCTCGCTTCACCCAAAATACTAACCTGCTTAAGCTTGCTCTTGAAAATTAAACGGTTGGGTTTAAACCAAATAATTACTGTCTTCTTTTTTTTTGGGGGGCTATTTTGACACACACAAATGAGCAAAACTTGACATTGTTGTTATTCACCCATGAGGGGGGCGGGGGTAGCAAACCCTTCCCTTATTTTTCTCTTGTCAGCACTTTAGATGTGTTGCGTTACCATGAGCAAATTAAATACCACTACCTCGTCATGAAAATACGCTTATTCGAAACAGATATATAAGTGGATAAACATATCGAAAAGAATATGGATGCACTAGATTTCCTTCCTTATCTGACACCCTTACACGGTAACCTGTTTTTTTGTCAAATCCCGAAAACTAAACAAACAAAAGACCCAAAAACGCTCAAACAAGTATATAGCATTTACAGTTTTACTTAAAATAAAGTTTTATTTTATCGTATGTATTAGGGGTATAGAATTAGCTACCTATTAACTCCAAGCAGTTTTTATTTTACTTCGAATGACACATTTATTTTCCGTTTGCTTTCGTATGATTTTCGGGCAATCCGAATTCTTCTATAATGAGTGTGAGGTATATGACTTCTTTCAAAAGAGATAGATTTAACTCTCTTGGCACTCTTCTCCCTGTTCTAACCAGCTATCCCGTCAAATACCAGTTTCGTGGGAATAACATTTATTATGATTCCAAAGCAAGACCAGTTGAACATATGCGGTCTTTTTACGAACTGGCTTTATCATTTATTGATATAGGATTACCGGTTTTTAATTGCCTCCCACTACGCCGCTCTTGGACTGTTTGCTACACAACCATCGATTCAAAAATTCTCTGCCAAAATATTCTTGGTCGTCGGTGGACTAATCTTCGAGATAAGATAGCACTTTGACGTGAAGTTATTAACCTAGACTCCGATGCACTTAAACACCAAGAAAATGGCGAGCTCCAGTTTAGAGGAACTATTTAAACGGAAGGCATAGGTGTTACTGTGATTAAGAAAAGAATGGATTTTGAAAGCAGATACACTGCTCGTTTTGCTGTTGTGTTTGAACCAACTCTGTACACTTCACAAGAGATTCCACAAGAAACTGTTGGCAGGTGTGTTACAATTGATCCTGGGCGAAGAGATTTGCTATTCTGTGTGCATGAAAAGTCAACCGCAAACAATCCAAACAAGTTTTTCTTTACCAAACAGGTCTGATGTGACAGGCATCATCCAAAACCACTATACCAACTTCCGAAATAACCATCGTACTTCTCATCCCTTGCACAGAAAACTGCAGATATCTGCCTGTTTTAGAATACACTTAGGAAACGAGGATGTCATTGCAAAACTAGATGAACAGTTTGTTGTCGAAGCTGTTTATGTCATGAGTAACTGGTCTGCTCCTAATGCAAGATTTCATAAGCCAATTCCGGGGCCTTAGATTCCGTCGGTTGCTTCAAAAAGCTAGTAAAATGGTGTACTTGATTGATGAATTTAGAACAAGTCAGTGCTGCCCAGCCTATGAAAATTTTGGATAGTCGATAACCCACGCCCTCATAGACGAAGAGAAAATCCTCGTGTATTTAAGCATGGTCTATTAAGGTATGTTGATTTTCACTTATTAATAATTTTTTTATGGACACTGTCCATAACACTGTCCTTTTTTTTTTTTTTTTTTTTTTTTTTTTTTTTTTTTTTTTTTTTTTTTTTTTTTTTTTTTTTTTTTTTACTTTGACAGATGTACAAATCAAAATTGTAGAGCCATGACTAATAACGCAAATAGGATTGCTCTTTATGTACGGAATTGTGATATGGCTGCTTATTTGAACATGGTTGATATTGTTCGTTCACTTCGTGCTGGAAATGGCATTCTCCCCAGGATTTCGAGGTGCTGATGCTCCCCAAACGGAGAACAGCAAGGACCCAAAATGATCAAGAAAACATCAGAAACGTTCGTCAAAGTCGCAATTAAAACTTTCCAGGCCTGTTATCCCAGGTCAAACATAGATAAACTTAAGTGGTAAGCACAATTTTTTTTTACGATCTTTGAACCAATCTTTTTTCGAAAAATGAACGTATTTTTTTTTTTACGTTGTAAACGAATTTTTTTTACATTTTGATCTAATATTTTCTAAAGACTGTTCAAATAAAATAAATAAAAAACATGTTCCACATTTGTTTGCATGTCTTGGTATTCTTGTTTTAAAAATTCCATCGTATTGACCTTAAACAGTTCTTCCGAAACCGAAACATTTGTACATGTTTAGATCAATCATTGAAACCCAAAGTCTAAAATTGATAGAACAAATGAATTGTTTTTTAAAAAAAAATGAGACTACAAAAATTAGATTCATATGCCTATTGTGTTGTAAAACAATATGCTGTCGCTCAGTTAATTATTACCTTTAGTATCCATTCAGTTAGGCACAACGTTTAGACTCAAGGGAGATGGTGATACACAAGAACACTTCAAAAGCAGTGTGTCGCAGCTTTACGCTGGCACTTAATAGAAATGAAAGGCCCTTTTTTTCCTGCGGGTGTGATTAGTTACAATATCAAAGTTAATGTATGAGTATGTTGTATGTGAATCCGATTGATTTATGTGTTATACTACGGGATGACTCAACAGTGCTCATAATTATTAGCGCTGAAAAAACAGAAAACAAACTTGATCAGGTGAGAAACAAAAACGCCTCAAGTATAACGTTACAAGACTCGACTTGTATTTCCAGAAATCAAATTATGTGTCTGATTGAAGGGCTTTTTTTTTTTAAAAAAAAAAAATGCTGCATAAATTACTTTGAAATGTACTTATACTTGCAGCTACTTTTTTTTATAAAAAAAGATTCTGCAGGGTTTTTCGTGTTTGTACAAAACTTTTAATGATTTTCGGCTGGATCCACTTTAAACTAACGAGAACTACTGTCTTGGCCGTATTTATACAAAGCATTGACATATTGAAAGAAATTGCTGATTTGCACTCATCATTTAACGCATAAGTACTAATTTTTCTTTTTTTGTATATTTATATCCCATTTTTTTTATTTTTTTTTGAAAGCAAGCTGTACAAACATCTTTTTAAAAACGGTAAACGATAAATAATTGTGGGGGGTCCTGTCGACAATGATAGATATAATAGGCGATATTTAAGTTTACTGCCACAAATATAGTCTGGTTCCCACGGTAATTTTTTTTTTCACCCAGCTTATTATGGGAATTGCATTGTTGGAACAAATTAACTTGTAGCGCTATAAGAAAACTCTAACTTGGGAAACCCAGCACAAGCTTCTTCAGAATTCCGTATATCCTACATGATTAAAAGTATTTGGCTTATATTATACCCGGGTGTTGATAACCAGGAAGAATAGTCTACACCAGAAGATAGTATACACTATAGGAGTGCCTTATTTTTTTTTTTAGTCGTTGCTTCCATATACAGAAAGCGTTTTATTTGAGGTTCATTGTTTATTAACGGAGATTGTAGATTTTTAAGAAATAAGACGTAATAGGGCCTCATGTCAGCCACCCATAATTTTTTTGAAATAAATATAGGGTGTTACACGCTCGTCATGGATCTACCGATAGAAAGGGAATACTATTTTAAGAAGATAATAAAATCCCTCCTACAAAGAGTTTATAATGCAAGAATTTAAGAAGTAGCGGTACCGTCAGACATTAAATTTTTATATGCATTGATCTCAAGAGAAAAATAAAAGAGCACTCCTTGTTTGGGAATGAGCATCATCTGCAAATATAGTTGTATGATGAAATAACTGTCGTCACTCATATAAAAAACATCATCACCATAGTCATGGTCTCCCCAAATCTGTCATATTCCGGCAACCGTCTGAGCAGGGTGAGTGATATAGAAAGTCGACCAAAAATAGCTCGTTGAATGATGTCAGATCAACAGAGGCAATTTGCTAACTGAGGTTTTTTTTCTTGCTTGTTTGTGCTGCATTGTTTATGCCATAGCTGATACAGGAAAAAGGAGAATCGACATGAGACCACAAAGAAAAAAACCCCGTGTAACGTATCATGAAGGCTAAAAGTTTTTTTTATTCACTATTGTGGGAAAAAAGCAAGCTAACAAGATAACAGAATCTGTTACTTTTTAAAGTAATTTTGCCATGATCCTACTTTCTTTTTTTTTATCAAAGGCTCGCAGGGACGTTTCCTGTTCGATATTTGTATGTGAGTTTCCACCAGGCAGATAGCAAAGGATGAGCGAAAACAAGCTTGAACAGATCAGGACGGAGTTCTTGTAACATGGTAAAATGTGCCGCAAGTACAACATCTGCCCAACCAACTAAAATACAAAATGTTTATAAAAAATGATGATTGTGTAACTTTTTTGTGCCTCACCCTTGTCACCAGTTATAAATGGATATTTCTTGAGAACATGGTAAATTGGGACCAATGCTAATTTTAGTGCCTCCATGTTCTTATTGGAATCACCAGCATAGACCTCCAATGTTGTTCCAAATTTTGCTTCATTGTTTTTACGAAACCATGCTTGAGAGGGTCCACAGTCAATGGACAGAACTATCATTTTAAATAGGATAGGCAGTATGTTGAAAGTGCAGTAATCATAAAAGAATTTATGTAATCCAACATTTCCATGAAATAGGCTTGGTGTGTCGGGAAAGTTCTCTTCCAAATACAAGGCTATATCCCAAGAATCCTGAATTACCTTATTATGATGAGATAAATCTACTATAATAGGTACTGTTGGCTTTTTATCAGTCTTACTATATATTATGGCACGTTAAAATAGCTAAAAGTAAGTTTAAACTTGTGTTTCTTACGTGATTGCAGGAATGATGGTATATAAATTGCTAAAGGTAACCCATTCTGTCTCGTAAGATATATTCTAAAACAATCTTAAATTATATTGAAATCCTTCCGTTTTTTATTATTATCAAACCTTTATATTTAAAGCAAATCTTGTTTTACAAGTATTTGGAGACCAGATTTGACCTGGTATATTTAATTCAAGATCAAAGAATCTTATTTGTGCCATGGGAAAAGGGGGGGAGTAAGTTGAAAAAGAAAGTCAGATGTGAGAGGGGGAGGAGTTACTTATCAATAAATTAGGGGCTTGATAAGATTCCGTTGTCGTATTTGATTGGACAAGTAAGAATTGCTCACCTAGTAATAATTGGTTTTCCTTTGCATTTTTGGTTCCTTGAATTTCCGTTGATCAGGACAACAAACATTATAAAAAGGCTAGATTTTAATTTTTTTTTTTGCAATTTTTTCAGCTTTTCTTTTCAGCTTTTCTTTACACTTTATACCATGTCCTTGCCTCCACTTGTATTCTTTTCGCTGACACCAGAAGATGAAGATGACATGTATCCTCAATCACCTCAAGACTATGAAGAAACTACATGGATAGATGATTCTGAATGTCAAGAGAATTTATTTTGCATCCTATCACTCACACCGGAAGAAACCATTGTTGACAAAGATAATCACTGTATCCATACGTCATATCAAATCTTCTTTGAAGAGCTAGGATATTTTACAGAAGAACCAGAGCCTATTGATCCGACCAGAGATTATGATTTAGAAGCCAAAGAGTTCATCAGCCATCGTGACAATAAAAAGATTGTGCGTCAAAAACATGTTGATTTGTCTCGCATACCTTCTTTGGATCATTCAAGGTCAGGATTATCTTCTTCTTCATCTTCTATACATCATGAACACCATTTGTTGGACATTAGATCTCCCCATTATATGGGCTTACAACATCATCATACCGCATCCCATGGTGAAAATGCCTATCATTATAGTGAAGCCAAGCATTTTTTGCAAAGACCAAGCAGGTTACACTAATCAAGCCTCCTTATTTTTATCCTTTCTGTAAATAACAATAATACCCCAAGCATTAATATTCGATTTTCCTCTTTTAGGATGATCTCCCCCCCCCTCCTCCTCCCCTTCACACACACCTACCCCCTTCTATAGATAAACACATGTAATAAATATAATTTGTTTATTTCCGAACGTTTTGTTATTGTTTTTAATAATTCTCTTTTGCTGCTTTAGCCAACACTTCACCCGTTTTCTTGATAACACCCATATGTACGATACGATCACCTGCCATCGCAACTGGATTGGAACTTCTTCCTATCACCTAACCAATAATCATCAAATGAGTCATTTGTTTTCTTTCTAAACATTCTACCACACTTTACCACACCCGTGCAAGGAGCGAAATATTCATCTACCACGTTACCAAACATATTTTTGATACGAGCAATGATCTCGCCTTTTCGAACCATTGTATTTACATCAGGATATACCTCCAGTAAGCCACCCGTCTTTGTATACAACTACATAAAAAAAAATAACGATGAAACTCTTGAAGATAGATACACATAAAAAAAAAAAAAAGCTTATTATCTTTTGTTGATTACCCAAAAACCTCTAGAACATAATACTGTATTTGGTGGTCCCGATAAGTTTCCTTCAAGTGGACTCTTCGTACTTGTTTCACTTATATTTACATATTTCAAAGGATACATGTCGAAATGATCCAAGATACGCATAATACCCATAAATGACCACTACGTAGTTTATATACACATCAGATACCGTGCTCTGTTGAAAAAGACAATCGCTTACCTGAATGTATCTGTCTTGAAAGGTTTGCGGATTTCCTATTTCTACTGTAATTGCTTTAATTCCGCGTGCAGCTGCAGCTGATCGTAACGTGCCTATTTTATTTTTATTTTTACATTTCATTGAGATTTTCTCTTTGTTGTACTTCATGTAGCTCTTGTTTTTTTTAATATATACCATCTTGTCCTGAATTATGTAATAATATTTGTGGTTGCTGAAGTTTTGCCATGCTTGCACCCACTGGATCATTCTTATCTCCAAATTAATATCATACTCCAAGAAAAAAAAAAGAGCACTTACTAAGTCGGCTCGCACATAGTAGGAGTTGACACGACCAAAACTCGCGGTATGTAAATCGACCATGTAATTGAACTGAGATATAATCTTATTCATCAAATGATAACAATAAACTTGAGATGCGTAACCGTCTTCTTTACCCGGGAATTGCCGGTTTAAATCGCGTCCATCTGCAAATTCTCTTTGAAACTTGAGGAAACCCCAGACGTTTACACAAGGCACAGCAACCACCGTGCCTTTTAGTTTGTTGATATCAATTTGAGATATGACTCTATAGTCTTTTTTTTGAGCTTTTTTTTTTTTTTTTTCATTTCTACGTTTACCTGTGAATACAAGGAACACCATTCAGTTCATTTCCATGCACTGCAGCCGTGAGACCAATGACTGGACTGATATATTAAAAAAATTGTAGTCAATACGGGGCTGCAATTGTAAATATTTAACGCTTTTTACCCATCGCCTGTGCCACGGCACACAATGATCGGGAGTTTGATCCATTCGCTTAGGCCTTGTGTCATGATCTTAATCCATGCCGTACTAATTGCTTTTAAAGGAAATTCATCCACATCCAGCCTGTCTCGAGTGACGGGAGGTGGCATATCTGTATCCTTGTGCATCAATGCAAATGCTGGTGGCTCATAAATGATGCTTGGATCAAAAGACCCGTAGCTATCGCGCCGCTCATTTTCGATTTTTTCCGTAATGTTCAATTGATTAAATTCAGTATTGGGCTGATCGACAGAGACAATTAAGCTGGGTCGACGATCTGTCTGTCGTCGTTGACTGGGCACAACATCGGCTGTGGGTGACGTGGACGCTTGCTTTTGAAGTGTACCGCCGTAAGTTTTTCCTTCCTCAATTTGAATCACAACGACGGTTGCCTCTAAATTCCATACAATCTATTAGGTGTTCCACTTCTCTTTATATGAATTAAAATACTTTTTTTTTTACCAATGCCACTAAATGGACCTTGCTGGGTTCGCGTGGTAGCCTTCATTAAAATACTAGTAGGACTGGCATCCTCGTCACGTTCAAGCAATAAGGTTTCTCCCGCTTTCAATAAAAGATGTTGCTCTTCCTTGTGATTTTCATCCAGCAAAATGCTGACGTATCCTTCTACTACATAGACAAGCGCAAATGCACCGAAAATCATGTTTTTACGTGAGTCCACATCACCCTGAAGATCTGTCTCAAACGCTCCAATTTTGTCGATTCGGATTTGCGCGTTTCCTAATTCTCGTTTGAACATGAACTGAAGTGCTTTCACCGGAGCGTTCATAACCTGACATGTTGTTGTCCTAAATTTTAAGTTAGTAAAACCGTTTGTTTCCCCGCTGTGAGATTTAGAGTTACCATTCGCCATGCCACGAATAAGGAAATAACGGCTTGATTTTAGTACGTGTTTCTCTACCTAAATGAGATAATGACAAGGAAGGATGATTTTCTCCGGGCAAAATGACAGTTGTGCTTTTAAAATTTAAATCGCTATTAATATTAAAAAAAAAAAAAAAAAAAAAAATTATGCATCATTTTGGGATTTACCAGTCATAACCAGGAAATACAGAAAAATTACAATCCGCTTGCATACATGTTTTACTGAACCGCCAAAAATAATCATCTTTTGTAAAATCTCTTGCTGGAGGATAAATAGCAATTTCTTCTGTCTTTCCTAGCCCGTTTTTCCAAGCTTGAGATACATAATCATTTCTATTAATTAAATAAAAATAAAAAATCACATTTAGGAGATTTTTTTTTCTTCTACAGATAAATCTCTTTTTACTCTTTTAAAAGGCTAACTTGGACAATGCCAGGATCTGGCGAGGAGGACTCCAATAACGCCGATTCTCCATGAAATTCTCCCATGTTTCTTTTTATACACACAAAGTAAAAGAAAAGAAAAATAAAGAATAAAATAATGAATTAGAGGAATGTTTTATTGATTTACAGTAAAAGTTCCGCCCAATGGAAGAACATTGAAATGTTGAGCATCTAAACCTCGTTTTTCCATAGCTGCCTTCAAGCGCTTGGGTGGCTCAAACAAGGGCTCATCGGTCAATATGAATGTACCCCAATGGATACCAATCTAAGATGATATATCAGTTTCAGTCGAAAATAATTCTCCTTTTTAAAATACTCAATAACACTTTACCGACTGCTTGCTCTTGATGTCACAATGCAATTCCACTGCATCTTCAGGTGAACAATGGATAGGTGACATGAACCATCGTGGAGAATAAGCTCCGATAGGAATAAACGCTAAATCAAAAGGACCCATCTTTTCTCCAATTTCTATAGTTTGAAGCATGAACATTGCTGTCCTTGTCTATATTCTTTAACAATTGCCCCCCCCCCTTTTTTTTACCTTTAAATGCAGGACAGTGAGGCAACGTATCCAAATACTGCGTATCATATTGGAATTCAGGTTTTGTGTCCGCTGGCACTGCGCGATATCCTGTATCACTACCATAATCATATGTGAGTACAAAAAAAGTGCGATAAGCTTTTATATATATGTATATATATTTTACCCTCCAAAAAACACTTTCTGTACTCCACCATCCTTTTGGGCCTGTATACACCAGGATGCCCATAAGGTCTTGTTTCTATCAAACAAGCCTCTTCCAGAAAAATGCTGACAGGGAGTACACGTCATGGTGAGTTGTGTTGTACTGTTTTGAAGCGTAGCTGTCTCCCACCAGTCTAATTCAATCACACGATCCTCAGGTAATTTAAACCAGGACTTGTTTCCGAGCGGCACGTAGAATTTACACTCGGGATAAAGCTTGGCGAGTTGGTTCACCGTATCTACATCCAAATGATCATAACTTTTTTTTTTTCGCGGATAAATTATCGGATAGACTACGCTTTTTTTTTCTGTCAATGTGTAACTTACTGGTTGTGTGAAATGATGACGGCGTCAATGGGTGGCAACTCTGAAAGTTTACATGGAGGATCCGTGTATCTCTTGGGACCAGCAAATTGAACAGGAGAACATCTGTTGACCTTTTTAGTTTTTCTTTTCTCATCCTTGTATATGGACTTGTTGTTACCTGTCTGAAAAGATAGGATCCAGAAGCACATTAAAGCCCTTGATTTGTAAGAACATGCATGCACTATTAAAACAATGATTAAAACAATAAAAAAAAAAGTGACTTGACAAAATAAAAAATAAACTTTACTGCCCGAGCCAAGTAGCATGAATATGATCGTCCTTTTGCTTTATCAGGTTCCAATTAATCTCGACAGTTTCAGGCTTGTCTACAGGCTTGGCACTCAAGATGGATGTATCTGCCGTAGTAAACATTTTAAAAGCGTCCAGAAACCCGTAACTAACAAAAGAAGGCCAAGGGTTTTTAAACCCTTTTCCGTCATGGTGTTCTTTTCCTTGAGCAAAGACTGGTTTTTGTGACATGACAACGGCGGTAGAAATAGCTAATGTAGTTGCTAGGCGACGAAACATGAGTTTAAAGAAGAGAAGAAAAAAAAAAAAGGGACAGGGGAAAAAAAGATTTCACTTTAAATGGCAATCGGTTCTTTTTGTGTTACCGTAACGCGTTTTTTTTTTTTTTTTTTTTTTTTTTTTTTTTTTTTTTTTTATTATGTACAAGGAAATAATGGGAAAAGATGAAGGAATTAATACATGTATTTCAAAGGTTGATGCTGTTCAATCTCCAAATACTCTTTTTCTCTAATGGCGTGCATTAATAACTGATCGCCATACTGTTGCAACTCTTCTAGAGAGATATAAATATTGTAATTGTTGATGGAGAGGAATTCAAGCTCTAATGAGTTTAATTCTTTTACAGGAAGACCACCCACCTACAGTAAAATTTAAATATCTAGGGTGTCCCACCTCCAATGGATAGAGATTAATTACCTTTGCATATCGAGCGTTTGTGAAAAAGACGTCTGAAAAGAATTTACTTGAAATCATGATGCCGGAGATAATTAGTCGGTGAATGTTTAATGAATCTATGCGTAATTGTTTAATGGCTTGTAACGACATGCGATCAAAGTAGACCAGCAGACTAAGAAAGCATTCGTTTGCACAAGGGCAATATTTCAAGATTCTGGTCAAGTAAGATTGTATATCAATACTTGGTTTTGATCTTGATTGGAAGCAACTGTATTCTTCTTGCTTCACTATAATGGCATCATTGGCTTTAATGATCTTTTCTAGTAAACAGGTCAACATCTTTATCGTCTCTGTCACTGGGAAATTTGCCAAGTCAAACCGACTCGAAGGCCGTAAATGTGTAATCTTTTTCACCATCTTGTACAAAAAAAAAAAAAAAAAAAGGGGAGGGGGGTTAAAGAATCAAAAATAAAAGAGAGAGGTAAAAAACGGGGAGTTACATGATGGCCCAATCATTAAGCAGATGACCCATTTTAATCTCTTTCTGCAACTCAGCAAAGTAATGCAAACAATTAGGGAATGATAAAAAACGAATCTATCGCTTTCATAAAGATAAAACAATGCAAAACATCTTTTATTTTTCAATTGATTAAAAAAAAGAAAAATATAACAACATATTTTATGTAATAAAACACTCTTTTAAAAATGCCACAGGCATGTATGTAAATGCAAAGTTTTTATTTTTTTTATTTAATCAAGAATTTGTTTATGTTTGTACAATGTTACACCACCGAGAGATTGTGACTTGCAATTAAACAAATATAAAAAGGCGGGACTCACCTCCCTATTTTTCTTGTTGTTAGTTTTATCAACACTTTTTATTCAATACATGAAGCTAAGCCATAAACAACAACTTATCCGATAACTCCTCTAATGAATTGTTACTTACTTATACTCTTATAAAAAGATAGTGGGAGAAACAATAGAGCTTTGTGTCTGACACGAGCTCGTAAAAATATTCCGATTTATTTGGTTAGTTTAAACTTAAAAGGACATTTATTTATACATTGTGTTATCCAAAAAAAAAAAAAAAAAAAAAAAAGCTTAATTCGGTAATGCACACACAAACATTAGATCAAAGATCTACTGGCAGAAAAAAAAAATGCAAGCTTCTTTTTTTTTATAGCAGTCTTCTATGCGCTCTGTATATGTCTGCATAGTCCATTTGGGGTTTAAAGACGACACGGCATTGCCTATATTTATTTTCTTCGGATTTACTCTATCATTGTATTGATAGTACGCGAACTAACGACCCATCCAAAAGTTTTTTTTTTTTTTTTTTGGTAATTCTGTCTGAAATAATACTTTAACAGGAAACACAATTATAGTAAAGCATCTTCAATCCTTGTATTGAAAGGCCATATATAGCATCATTGAGTTTCATCACGCTCATACACTTGTAGTCTCTCAATACTACAACTTGAAAAACTCCGCTCTGTTATAAGCAATACATTTTAAGTGGTACTTTATTCGTTATCTTTTACTACAAAGCTCAGTGGAGACCATAGCTTTATCTCTTTTACACGTACTAATATAGTTATATTGACATTATCAATAATTCCATGTCAAGCGTCGACCTGTCTGCTGTGATTAAGGTACCTGGAAAAGTTAAATTATAAGGCAGTTGGAATAATGTGACACGGTTTCTAAGATGTCTTTATCATAAATTAAAAGACTGTTTGCCGTGCCAATACCTTGAATGTTTTTTAAAATTGTTATTATTGTCGCAAGTATATGTGGTTATCCTTAGTCACTTGCTTCGTAAATGTGTCACATTCGGAAGTACTGCCATCTTAATCATTCTTGTATTTCCAACTCTTATTATGCAGTCTCACACTACCCCTATTACAACCTTAGGGTATGTTTATGGTATTAACTATCTATCTTGGGTATATGATTATAAAATCAATCTTGATATATACCATTTAGATAAATAGATATAATTTATTTTTAGAAATATTATGAAAGATCATCACACAAATCCCTTATCCAGGTATTGACATTATCATTGCTATGGCCAATGTCCATTGCAGACCTTTCTATGCGTTTTTTTTTTTTTACCGTTTACCACAGCCGATCTTTCCAAAAGTCGTTAATGAAATCAAAGAGTTCCGACAACAAGCCCTGAAATTGATAATTTTTTATATGAACAAAGAGTCGACACTTTACAGCTAATACACTATATATTTATATAGTTAGCTTTAGAGCCTACAGATTCTCGAACATTGTCCATGATAATGCAATGCCCCATAAAATGGTCGTGTCGGTTCATTACATTCAAAGTACTGGCAATAAAGTTAAAGTAGTGGGCCTATAACAGTACCAACTTTCACATTGATAGAATTCACTACACCCCCAATTCCCTTTCCTTTTCTTTTGAGGACCTACGGCTTTTGGGGCGCTTAGCTCTCATATTTACAACGCCCAGACTAGATATAGCCCCAAGTAGTAGAGTTTTCACACTAGCTACTGTTTTTATAGAACCTGAACAACTGCTCAAGATTGGGTACCCTTTTGTTTTTGACCAAGCCAAAAAAGAGTTTCATGTTGATATGAAATGGTGCTTTATCTACAGTAGCTCATATAATCCATGTCTGTCTCCTGACATTTTTTTAACCCATCAATATCTTTCCTCGAGTTTTTGCTGGTTTATTTCGTTCCACTAAATAAAAATGCGCTGTTTGCAAACTAATGTTGCACTTTTAGGTCACAAATCTATGGAAACCAGACTTGGAAATGTCAAGGTTGATAAAATGAGTCGTTAATCTTTCCGTCCTTACGTCCAACACAAACTATCAGGCTTGTTATCAATCAGCTCAGTTCATTCTCGGCATCGATTTTTTTTAAAGAGTTTCTTGATAAGTAGAGGAAATGGCTGCCAATGGTGGGTCTTTAGAAGACTTGTATCATGGGTGATTTTCAATGCTGCTCAAGTATACAATGACCTGTTGTAAAATACTGTGGGTTTGAACAGATTATCCTGGTCTGTTTGAGCAATGTACATAGAGGAGATGAATTAGAGTACTACTTCACTACACACACACACAAAAAAAAGAGATCTTTCTACGGGGGATTTGAGGTTGAAATTCATATAAAACTCTTCAAATCGTGGTTAAATCATGCAAACCATGAAAAATTTTCTTCTTCCCCCTCCTTCCCTTCAGCAATACACGGGGGAAGCTCTATTATTCAATAAAAGATATATCATCCTTACTAGGATGATATATTAAAGGGGTTTTTCTTTCTTTTTTTCATTCGCCCTGTGTATTTCACCCTGTGCATATGAAATCATTCACTAAACAGAAAGGGAATAATAATTTACCCGATAGGGGTTTTTTACTTATTTTTTTTTTTGAAATACAGTCTGGGGGGTCATTCTTATTCTTTTGAACACACACACTCACAAAAAAAAAAAAGGATGATGAATGATGAAGTAGTAAACAACATACCCGTACTTCAAGCTACTAGAATACTTCCACCCAACGTATTACTCCGAGTTTTTCAATATTTACCTGTACCTTCCTTGGCTCAAGTAGCTCTTGTCTCGAGACGATTTAAAGTTTTGGTTTACGATGATGAAATTTGGGATACTAAATTACGCATAATGTTGGAAAACGACACGGGTGCATTAGCCGCCATGCTGGGTAAAATAACTTGTTTTTCTTACCATGTAATCTCTTTGAAAAAAAACTAACGAGTCTATCCGGGCGACCCCCGGGGGAGGCAAGTGTAGAAGGAGAAAATGAAAGCAGTTCACTTATTGACGCCGAGAATACCATTTACATTAACAGTAAACCGCTCAATACGTTAATACCGGGCATGTCCACCGATCCTTACAGCGCAAGAGCAAGAGCTAAATCCACTGGTGTCGCTAAAGAACAATTTAAACAACTTTATACACAACTACTACCTTATTATGTCGATTTAAGAGACGACCACAATAAAACAAGTAAAGTCCTCACTGACTTTGGAAACCAACCTCAGGAATGTGGTAAAGTCATCAACTTGTTGATGGGTTTAGGTCAATGTCATGTCGTCGATGACTGGAAGGAGGTATATATTATATACGTGTGTGTGGTTTATATATATATATATATTAAAGTGGGCAAGCCCTTCAAAAATATGTATAGCTGAACGAAGGTGTGAGTGCATTATCTCAATATTTCGAAAGTGCCTCACTTCACGAATTCGAAGTGGCCTATGATGTTCATAATACAGCAGATATGAAGGTAAGGGAGGGTTAAAATGTTTTTAAAAAGGAGGAGGAGAGAGTGTTTTGACTGACTTTGGGTTTCAAACAGTCTTATGCAAATGCATTAATTGCATTAAACGGTGGTTCAACATGTATGCAAACCTATGTTCAGAAGCATCCTATATTTTACGACAATCCATTTAAACCCGAAGACAATTTCATGTTTGTAACTTTTTTTTTTTTTTTAATCTGATTCAATGTGTATTTATTTAACTTTATATCCGTGGATTAGCACGTTACCAGATGATTTGACACCGTTCAAGAAACTCATGTCACTTGTCACGGACGAACTTAAACAACAATCCTCATTAGCATCTCAAGTATTTCCCGAGAAAATGGATGCATTCTATCTCTTTGCTGACCGTGTTTTTGAGGATGTAGTAAGTGATTGATCTTTTTTTATGTGTGTGTGTATATATAAGGGAGTATCTGAAATATGTACCATTTTCTTTTAAAAGATTGCAGAGTTTGTGGCCCAGTTACTAGGAAGAGCCATGTCATTCAGTACACTTTTATACTTGCAAACCATGTCAGTCGTCTTGGCATCCACACGAAAAGTCATTGCTGTCCTGACAAACCCTGAAGAAGTGCCTAAGCCCATCGAGCATGATCGGGGTGTCAATCTATTGTTCAAACTGTTTTTGCCTTTTTTGGATGACTATTTGTACGAGGAAAGTCATTATGCACAAAACATTACCAAAAAGTACATTGACGACTGGGTAAGTTTTCCCCTTTTCTAAAAGAAAAACTTGTTTTCGTGTCACCTCAAACATTTCATTTTCTTCTCTAATAGAATAATCGTTCGGCAGCACATACAGACGCTTCAGCACGTCTCACCAACCAATCTCGGGAGACCTTCAAAAGGTAAGTGTGTTTCGAAATATATAGTTTTTTTTTTTTAAAAAAAAATGGGGTTATTAATACCCCCCCATTCATTGAAACAGAAACTACTTGGCTGCCTTCAAGAAAGTATTGACTTTACCTGTAGATCTGGTTTCCACGGCAGCTACCACCATCGCTTCTCCCTTCCAACGATCAAATACCATCAATTCTAAACGATCATCCACTTTATCCGTGGACTCCACCACACCCACCACACCTAAACCCACCACCCCATCATCATCGTTGGCCGGACGTGATTCCTCTGATAGTAAAGATGTGGCTGGTCAATTAGAAACAGCTAAACAAGAATTAGACATGCTTCAAAACTATTTATCCTTGGAGATCTCGTTACAATTGATTCATATCAACAAGGAATCTGAACGTCGCGTACAACAATTCATTGATATTGGATTCCCAGGAAGAATGAAATCAGACATGTAAGTCTTTGAGAACTAAACTCACAATAGGGTGGGCTTCACTGAAAAAAAAATTTACCATCCTCCCCTTAATAGCCAAAAGACATATGAAACCATCTTTATCCAATTATTAAAGACATTAGGCCAAACACATATACAACCGGGATTCGACAGGTAATTTTTTTTTTTGTTATTGTTATTGTATGGTTTCTGCAGGGATATATAACAAAAAAACTAACACTTTCCCCTTATTAAAAAAAAAGTGCGTCGGTAAGACTGGCAACGTACAAACCTTCACTCAATACAAGCAACGAAGATGTACCGCCCTTAACCGAATTCTTCGAGTTAGTGCATGTAGCAGACGTGATCCAACAAATGATCCAGCTGTATTACGACGAAGAGATCACAAAACATGTGGATAAGCATGATTTCATGAATGACGTCAATAAAGAAAAGAAATCCTTTGAACGTCTTTTGGATGATTGTGTGGCAAGAGGGATGGATGGTGGTATTCAAGTCTTACTGTCTCAGGTTGAATACATCTTGGCCACAGAACAAACACGTCAGGATTATAATCCGCCAACCGAATCTATGCCTGATTTGAAACCCACCAAGGCATGTCGAGATACCATCGCCTGTCTCAAAACCAATACGTCTATGCTCAATGGAGCAGCAGAAAAAGGAACCATGGATCTCTTCTTTAGTGAAATTGGCCGACGTTTCTTTGAGTGAGTTTCTTTTCTTGTTGCAATATAAAAGAAATCAAAAACTAACTCCCCCCCCTTTTTTTTTTGTATACAACAAAAGAATTCTTTGTAAGCATTTGAAACAACAAACGGTGAATGAAATGGGTGGGTTCCGGTATATCTGTGACATGAACGCTTATTATGATTTCATCGTGTCCTTACGACAAAAGACCATCACACCTTATTTCTTGGCATTGAAATCTTTAGCCAATCTGTATATTATCGAATCCGCTGCGGATATCAAGTCATTGATCCATGATCTCGAGCGTTACCATGGTCTCATGCGAATTGAAGATCTATTTGAATTTGCTGCTTGTCGTAGTGATTGGCCCCTGATAAAGAAAGTAGTTCAAAAGGACATGACCGACTGCTGTCTCATGTGAAAAAAAAAAAGAGTCTCTTGCTTTTTATTTTATAAGTAATATTAATAATAATAAAATTTGGTATATAATGAATATTTTCTTAGTTGGTGCCAAAGAGAGCACGGAAATGATCCCCGAGAGCCACCATACAAAGTGTTTGCCAGATACCTAAACCGACACGTGGCGTAATACCTCTAAAGAAACCCTTGAGTCCATTATTTGCATAAATGTACCTAGATGCAGACACGATCGACATGTTCTCTGGTCTTCCGGTTGCTTTGACCTGACTTTGCATTTCGATACGAATCACCTCAATGGGTTGATTCCAACAAGATAAGGCACCACCCAATACAGACGCTAAGGCTTTATCCAATGCCGTGGCTTTTAAATGTGCATCAGCACTATCACCATAACGAGCTGAAATAATACTCTCTTGCGCAAATCGTGTTATACCAAATCGCGAGGCCCAGTTGGTACATTGTCGAAGCGCCACTGCATTTACACCTTTATTGATACCCGCAATACCTTCCTTTTTAAATATACCATGCGCAATCTTGAACGTAGACTCCTTGACCGCTAAAATAAAACAAGAAGAGAAGTTAGTTTTGACCCCTTTCTTTTTGTTTGTTTGTTTATTTCTTTCTTTCTTTTTCTCTTACCTGATTTATGACGCGTGACCTCTACCGTCTTCATAAAGGTACAGAAGCCCATGGTTGTATAGGCTTGTGCAATACCACCTCCCATACCACCTGCAATGCCACCCTAAACACACATATAAAAAAAAACAAGGTTAGCACATAGATACGTAATTGGGCCCCCCAAGAAAGAAAAAAAAGCACGCTTTACCAGGAAGGGAGAAGCACCAGCGGCTCTAGCGAGATGTTCAAATTCCGACGCAGTAAAAAGCAAAACGGCACCTTTAGTCGAAGCTTCAATCCAGGCCCAGGGAATAAGACCTTGGTAGAAACCAAAGAGACCACCACGTGCATAGATATGCGATAAGGCTTGCTTTAAAGATTGTCCTCGGTTGGCGGCTAATTGTGTCTTGACCACTTCGAAAGGTTGTCCCAGTGTAGATACCTCGAACAGATTAAGAGCTGTATAGTTTTTTAATCATTAGCGGGGAATAGATTTTATCTTAATATTTAAGCTTACATGCTCCCAAGAGAAGGTTTTTGTAGGAAACGGGTTTCTTTTTAAGAGGTTCGTTAGGATTAATAGGTGTAGTATCAATAGGAGACATCTTATTTATATTATTATAGTAAGAAAAAGAAAACGAGAGAGAGAAAGAGAGAAATAGATAGATTGAAATTGTAAAGGCTTGCTTTTATATATAGCCCAGTTTTTTTTTTTTTTTTCTGTGGCCGCGGTGTACTTTCCAAACTGGGAAAAGGATCCGCATAATGGATTACTGTTTCCCCCCTTCTTTTCTCTCCCTCTATAGATATCTCCCCCAAGATCCCCAAACGGGATCCTCCCCCATTTTTTTTTTTTTTTTTTTATCTTTGCCGTTAAAAAAAAAAATTTTTTTTTTATGTATAATAAGGATAAGGATAAGCTATTTGATCAGGATTATAATAATGATCCCCATACTGGTATTGATGATATATGTAAGAGTCTGGATAATAAGATTTACTCATATATCCATATCGATTTGAAAGCTGTTTAATTCTCGCTTGATTCTCTCGAATGATCTTTCGTAACTGTTCTTCTCGTTGCATATACACTCGTAATTTGATTCGCCATCCTTCTCTCTCTTCTTCAAATTGGTTTAATCGTTGCTTTAACGCCTCCAATTGTTCATCCATACCGTCCCTTTCTTCAACCAACGTTTTGTCCTCTCGGCTCGTCTCTAACAGTATCACCTCTTGTGGCGTCAGCGCATTTCGAACCGTCAGCCGCACCTGTTTAGGCACCGCCACCGGTAGTCGCACGCTTTCCTCTGCTGTTGTTATTGGTCCTGCTGCTGCTGCTGTTGCTGCTACAGGTGCAGTAATGGCAGCAGGTGTAGCGCTTTGAAACACAGGACTAAACACAATACTGTGTGGATAGCCTACAATATCCAATAAATCCGAAGGCGACTTGGCTCGACAACTTAAGGGTGAGAAATGGCGTGTCAGAATCGCAATGGATGCTGCATCCATTGTAATCTTGCTTGTATTATGTCGTTTTGGTTCCTGACGCTTTCGTTTATAAAAGAACTTTTTGAGCATTTAAAAGAAAAATCAAAAGAGAGAGAGAGAGAGAAAATAAACATATATGGACATACGCAATAACAACAACAACATGCACAGAAAAAAAAAAAATGACGTAGATTTGCATGTGATTATTTTTTATTATACAAGCTTCTTTAACAAGGAACTTTTGACTTTGTGTTTCCACTTTTTGACAGGTTCACAGTCATCCTCCTCCAGCGGTTTCAAAAGACTCTGAGAAAACATGGTGTAGATACGATCGGATTCGTTAGCCCAATGGGCCGAACATAGCCGATATTCTAAAGGGATCCAAATATCATTACGATCAATCCATCGTCCTCGCGACACGTACGATTCAAAATAGGGACCTCCACAGTGGCTACATGTCTTTCCCCTCTTCAAATAGGACTCCATTGTCTGCGGTAAACCCTTCAGAGGTTGTCGTGTCTTGACAATGATACGTGCACATATCTCCACTAAGGAAGGTGCATCATGAGCCAAAGGAAAATCATCCAGTGTCGTGGTCAACGGACACCCTTCTAACCGAAGTCGGCGCAGGAACGGTAATTGTGTGATCTCTGCAGGTAGGATGGCGATTGGGTTGTACGATAAATCAATGGAGGTAAGACTATTGACATGAATCGAGGTCAACCTCAACTCTTTCAACTTGTTCTGTGATACATTGAATGTCTGCAGCTTACTCAATTGATCCACGGTCGTCGTTGCCAAGGTTTCCAATCGGTTATGTGACACGTTTAATTCAACTAACCGCGATAATTGTCCAATCGTGTCCGGTAAAAATTCTATTTGATTGTGTGATACATTTAATTGTTCTAAATGTTGTAAACAAGCGATTTCTTCCGGTAACTCTGTTAGATAATTGAACGAACTTTTTATAAGAGGGAGAGAGAGAGAGAGAGTCAGTTTCGAGATACAAGACATATATATATATATAAAAGAAATAGTTACAGGTCGAGTTTGCGTATCATGGTCAAGAGACAGATATTGGGCGTGATGGAACGAAAACCCCTTTTCGAAAGGTTGATATCATGCAGTGATAGACAAAGGGAAGAGAGATCACCAAAAGAGAATGCGTCACCAGGAGCATAAATGATTTCTTGTGTTTGTTCTTCAAAGCTATTGTTGTTGTTGGGCTCTTTTGGATTGTCGTAATAGGTCTGATCAATGTAAGTCAAGTCTTTCCAGAGTTGACTGTTCTTTTCGTATAGCAAAAAGCCTGAATCTGTCCTACCACTCTCTTCCTCCTCCTCTATGTGTTGTTGTTGGATAAGCGAAGTGTGTGAGGATACAATGCCAAGACCGTAAAGAAATGGTTTAAATAGGACATGATCTTCTTTTTTTTCTTGCGTTTGTTCGTTTTTAATATAAACTGAGGCTCGAATCGATGTCGTGTATCCAAATAATGTGGAGCAAAAGCTTGTTTTGCTTGTCGTCACACCCATAATAAGATATAAAGAAAAAAAAAAGAAAAAAGGAATATATATATATAATTAAATTAAAAAAAGAAAAATAGTTGTGTGCTGGATTTTTATATGTACATGCATAGATATAAAAAGGAGTTTTTTTTTTTTTTTTCTTTATATTTATGACAAGAGTTGAAATAAAGGAGTAAAAAAGTAAGAACAGTAAAAAATAAAAATAAAAAAAAAAAATAAAAAAAAGAATTATACTGGGTTGACAACCACGTTAATTTCGGCAGTTTCTTGACCAATTTGAACAGACACTTGATGTTGGCCCAAGGATTTGATACGACCACCCTCGGACTTGAATTCGATGGTAGATTTGTCTACATCTAAACCGAATTCCTCCTTTAATTTACTGATCAAATCTTCAGCCGTCACTGATCCGAAAGTATGATCACTGTTCGGCACAACTGCTCTGTTAAACAACAGTTCACGGACTCCTTCTAAATGTCCCATCAACACCTTTTTCTTTTCCATATCTACTGCCTCCTTCTATATATGTCTTCCTCTGTTTAATTCATGCAATATTTTTATCATTTTTTTTTTTCTTCTTCCTTCCTTACCAACAATTGTGCGGCTGAACTGGCTTCCTCCATACTCTTATCCTCCTCATCCCCTTCAATCACAGCCTTCTTGTCGATATAAGTGGCTTTACCGGCAGGGTACAAGATATTACGCATTAATCCAGCTATTATAAATCTATAATATTAATATTCCAGTCTCATCCATTCATTTTTTAAGTTATCCTTACGTCTGACAGCAACAACCTCATCTTTTTAAATCATGATCATATTCACACGTTAGTAATCCTATCTCTTTCACTTTTCTTTTTTTTTTCTTTGCTTACTTTCAAGTCCAACACCTTCAACAAACTGGTTCAACTTGACTTGAATATTGGCCTTCTTATGAGCGTGTCTCTATTCTCACCCACCATTTACATTAATACTCTCATTCTTTCTCATTCTCTTTTCTTTTCCGTCTCACCTTGAGCACTTGGCTAGAACAAGACAACAAGTTCTTTCCGAAGGGACGTAAAATGAAGGACATGTTTTTTTAAAAAAAATATATATATGTAAAGAAAAGAAAAATGTCAACGACAGGGCGGGAATGAATATCACCCATAAAAAAAAAATATTTGCCGGCCCCAAACTAGGGTCCTCCCCTCCTTCCACCTCTTGGTGGCTTATTATCTCTCTCCCAGCAGCAGCAGCAGCAGCAGCAGCAGCATCTCAACCCATAAAAAAATCCAATTAAAAATAAAAAATAAAAAATGGCCTTTAGTAACCCATATACACGCTCCGTGCTAAGTGCTTTAGCATGGGTTCCTGTTGCCATCTTTTTCGTAGACCATGGCTATAGTTACGCCGTCATTAGCGGTCGTTCTATGCAGGTAACAAAAAGAAAGCTTTCTCCCCCCCCCCTTTTTTTTTATATTATTGTAATAAAACCCACAACTTTAACAAAAATAATAATAGCCAACATTCAATCCAGACTCCAACCTCATGGAAAAAGACATTGTCTTGTTAAACAAGTGGTCTACCACAGACCATAAATTCGACAGAGGCCAAGTCGTCACTTTAAAGTAACTCACTCTTTCCTGCCCCCCAAAAAACACACACACATACACTTACATACACATACACTTACATACACATATACACATAGGTCACCCATCGATCCCAAAGTCACCATCACAAAACGTATTCTTGCATTACCGGGAGATACCGTACAACCCCTTCGAAAAGACGAGATTGTCCCCATTCCTGCAGGTCATGCTTGGGTAGAAGGCGATGAGGCCTTTCATTCGAGAGACAGTAACTCCTTTGGCACCGTAAGAAGCACTTTTATATATATATATATATTTGTACTGAACTAACCATCCTTTTATGTATATAAAAAAAAGGTTCCTATTGGCTTGATCAATGCTAAAGTCACCTACATTTTATGGCCACCCAGTAGATTTGGACCCGTTGAAAAGAAACCTGTCAATAAGGACAGGGTTCAAACCAATGTCTATCATCCTGGGCGTGATGAATAATTCTCTCTCCCCACACCCTTTATTTTTTTGCATATATGTATGTAATAATAAACGGGATTTCAAAAAAAAAAAAAAAAAAAAAAAAAAAAAAAAAAAAATGGTGTGCATCACTCACTCCACGCGTTTATCATGTAACTCGCATGCGATTTTTTTTTTTTTAAAAAAAAAAAGGGTGTGTGGTTACTATAGAAACGGGATCTGTCATAAAATTAAGCCTGTCTTTATAAGGACTTCCGTGATGGACTTTTTCTCATATTGAAGGGTGTCATAAATCGCCAAGTTAATCATGGAGTGAAATTTTTTTCTTTCTGTGCACAACTTGTTTAAGGAATCTTTTAATATTTAGAAAAACAACTCCAAAGGACCAAATAGCTCATTTTACTTAGGGGGAGAGGTTTTACAAACAGTCTTATTTTAAAGTTGCAATGAACTGTTAAACTTTCCCTCCCTCCCTCTCAAAAGGACATTTTATCATTAAAAATTTAAATACAAAGATTTGTTCTCATATAATGAAATATTGCAATTCATTTTTTAATTAAATCACCCTTTCTTCTTTTATATAATTAAATTGATTATTCTCCCAAGGGGGTAGTAGAACTTTTTTTTTTTTTGACACACTTGAGGGATGGTACCATCTACTCCCCCCCCCCTCACCCCACGTGGCGGCAAAGGGGTCGAAAAGACTTCCTTCAAATTAAATGAGTCCCCAATCCGTTAAATACAGAAACAAAATATATATCAATCTCTCTCGGGAGATAGACCTTTTCATAGCTTACAAAAGACACTCTTATAACACACAAAATAGACTTGTAACATTTTTTAGAGCATTCATCTCCGACCATCAATTCAGATTCATGCAGCCCATTTGTCCGTATAGCTTAATCTTTATCCTCTAGAAACCCTGTAGTTCATACTGAAAAAAAAAATCACAAAAAAATCCTAAAAGGTGTATACATGGATATTCATACAGATACATTGTACGTAATAAAAGTCTTTTATTTTAGATAGCTGCTGCTGGATTTCCCCCCCCCCCTTTTCCCACATGCCCAACTGGAAGAAATTTGATTGGCCTTAAAAAGTGCTTACGTCAGCGGTGGCTGAAACGGGGATATAAATACAACATCCCCTCATGTTTGCTTTTTTTCTCCCTCCTCAGTTAGTAGCGATTCTATCTGTGGGTCTTTCTGCATTGGTTGGTTTAAATGGGAATTACATGGTCTCACTTCGGTGCCCAAAGGTCATTGTACATTCTGATGTATAACTACGCACTCACTAGTCACACAACCTCGGTTGTGGTTTGAGGAGACTGAGAAAAAGTGGACGACGTAAACAGTGAAGCTTTTTCGAATCTCTTTTAGTAGTTTTAAGTCATTGACTTTCTTCCTTTTCTTGTGTTGGGTAATAGGGTGACTAGTCCTTCACTTACTTTTAACCGTAAAAGGAGAGGGTTTCTTTTAGGCTGGTTAGTATGGACAGTTCTCACCGGTTGGATATCCCTACACAGACAACAACTGTGTTTCTTGTTCGTAGTAAAAAGAGTTAACAAGTAATCGAGCACAAGAGCTTGTTTCTCTCTTCTATTATTGATGATAACCTCCGTTGCTGTCTCAAAAAGGTGCGTGCAAACATCTTTTTATTTTTAATTTTTTGGGACGAGATGTGCTTCCACCTTCTCGTGGTTTGTCCTGTTAATCATTTGTAGCTCTTAAATGACTGCTTTTGAGAACTGAGAGAAGCACAACGTTTGAACTAAATAAAGCTGTTTAAAATAAAGTATAAAGTAAAATCGTGTCTTTTTATGTAAAGTATCTTGTATTCTCATGTAAAGATCTTGTATTCTCATGTTAAGATCTTGTATTCTCATGTAAAGATCTTGTATTCTCATGTAAAGATCTTGTATTCTCATGTAAAGATGGAGATAGTATTTGCCCTTTAAGTATGAATATAGTGAGCACCCATCATACAGAGGATATCTACTTTTTTATTTTGCAAATGATGAAAGATTTTATTTTGGTTAAAGGGGAATATTCTATCACTTGAATTTTATATACATATTACACATTCTCAATGGTGATGGCAGCATCTCTTGTAAGAATGGGTTGAATAAAATGCCCTGTTTTCTCAAACTGAATCATTTTTGTTACGCATTCTACAAGACTGGCACCAGTAATATCAGGACCACCCGTATCATACATTTTTGCCGAATACACCTTTTCACTCGTATTCAAGAAAACTGTTCTAAATGATACGTTTTTCGCACCTGCCAAATCAAACGCATAGGATCCCACCATGTAAAAATTCTTTAAAGTAGGATTAATATAAATAAATACCATCCTTATACCTCTTTATATTCCCCCCTTTCCCCCCCCCCCGTTACCTCGATGCGCTGTGTCTTGTGCACAGCCATTCTCATCAACTCGGAGTAGACTTTGGGGTGTGGTTTAGATATACGCAGGTCGTCACAACATAACATATTATTGCTGCTTGTATATGCATCTAATCCTGTCCGACACAACAAGGCCGTTGTATCCACAGTTCCACCTACGGACAAAACCCATATATCCCATTTCTCTAATACCAACATATCCAAAGCTTTCAATGCCTCCGTGTCCGGTTCAATCGTATCAAAGGCCGTCATGATGGCCTCAATTTGCACGTCCGTCGCCGTGATTTCATAATCGTCACTGAAACACAATAATGCACGTGTCAAGGTCACCTTGAGAACCTTTAACAACGGACAATATCTTCCAGCCTGTGAAGTAGCAATGTAATCGCGTAAGGCAATATTGTACCAAAACGTAAAAAACTGTCGCGCTAATCGTGGTGTCATTTCAAATGCCTGTTGACTGAACGTTTCTTCAATCTTGTCAATGATCTTTTCAAAAGTACATAACGTACCTTTTTTTTTTAAGCAAAAGTTTAAAAAAACAGTTATTATACTAACTCTTTCTTTATATATATATAAAACATACCATATAAATCAAAAGCTACAAACGGCATTTATGGAGAAAGAAAGAGTAAAAGCATATGAAATACCGCATGCTTTGCATACTATGTCACAATGAAGGGATAATCATTTTACCGGAACAATGACGAATGTTAAAAATTATGAAAAAAAGATAATTTTTTACACCATGCGATCCCAATACCATGCGCTTTAAAACACATATCTATAGTTGCGACAACTAGTTCACCGGACCAAAACTCAAGGGGAATCAGGACCCAAAGAAAACCATTCAATACAGTGCTTCCAATCCCAATTGGTCTACTTTTTGAAATTTGGCCACCTAAAATAAGAATCGAACTTCAAGAGACAATATTTTATGCAATGAGGGTGAAGGCAAAGTAGAAAATAGGATGGGCTACTTTTTTTGGGAAAGATTGAATGAAGAATGGACCAATTAGGACTGAAAAACTGTATTTTCTAAATGTGATAACATTGGGATAATTTATAATGTCAATAAGACGGTGTAGTTCAAACTCACCATTGCGGAGATAGTTGCTATGAATGGTAACTTGAGAATAAAGGCCAATGTAAGGGTAGCTGTGGCACTTACTGTTTTAGGCCATCATAACTGCATGCCTCCCTGATGCCTTGATGTCTTGCAAACTATTTCTAGAATCCCACCAAGTATACTATGTAAGTGCATAGTCGATTATTTGTTTTTAATCTGCACCGGATCTTTTGGGGCCTTTACAGATAATAGGGGCCTTTACAGATAATAGTTCGAGGATGTCACTTTTTTTAATTTTATCAGATGCTTATAAGTCGTACGATATCTGATTGGATCAAAACATATTCTGTAAAATAAAAATAAAAAAAGATAATAAAAATCACTAGAGTCAGCTATGATTAAAGATATTCTTAATTAACAAAAAGTTTATTTATAGGTATTGGGAGAATATAAGGTATCTTTTTATTTTTATTTTTTATTATAACTTAAGAACTGCCCACTTCTTGACGGCAGTGGTAACGTAACTCTGGATTTTACAAGATCTTTCCTCGACTGTCACGGACTCTGGTATGGTCTTGGTTAAAGTCTTGTAAGCACTGAATTGGAGAACAAAGAAATCGATTTGACAGCCGCTTAAACTCCAGCCTTCATCATCTACGCGGACACAGCCATTATGGGTCTTTCCGTCAGGTAATTTTAAGCCGTTTAATTCCTTGATGAATAAAGTAGTTCCTCGCTTGATATCATTTGAAGCGACACTGACCCAAGGCACCAGGCCCTCGGAATTGCTTCCTAATCCATAGGGAGTCTCGCCACGATTGAGCTTCATAAAAGAGTCGGTGCTGCTGCCTAAATTCACCATGATGCCTGATTTAAGTAAACCGGTACCTTCCATTTGAAACTTTTCATAGGTTGTCTTGGACACTTTTGCAATAAGTTTGCCGTTATCTGTCTTTAAGGATTTGGTCTTGGAGCCATCTAAAGTGACTTTGCCACCGTCGTTTGTCATGTCTACTTCGCCTTCTTTGGGAATCCAGTATTGAGTGATTCTGACTTTTTTATAACATTTTGGGATACGCTTGTTAAAGGGTGCGGCAATGACAAGTGTTGATAGTAACAGGATTAAAAGGAGAGAAGCCTGCTTCATTTTTATTTTATTTTTTTTACAGAAAAAAAAAAAGGTACTGGTAGAAATGCGATCAACGCTTGTAGAGAAAAAAAAAATGAGAGAAAAGGAGAGGTACAGATAATTTTTTTTTTTTTTTTGACAACAACAAAAACATGGTGTCTTTATATGAGTCTTTTTTTATTTTTTTTATTTTTCAATGTGATACAAGTGATTGTCATAAAATGTTCAGAACAGAAGGAAGAGAAACATTCGTCCAAAATTAGACAAAAAACACACGATTCATTGTAAATTAGTTTGACGAGTATTTAGTTTTTTTTTTTTTTTTTTTTTTTTTAAGAATCAAATTGTGTTACAACCTTGAGGCTCCCTTTCAAATTCTTTTTTGGCAGTAAATTAGTTTGTCCAATCAAGTATAAAATCACTTATTATCACTCTTTAGCTCCCATGCTCTTTTTTTATAATATCGTCATGACAAGAAATGCAATGGACCCATAAAAAGGTTGCCGACATCACCCTTGTAACAAAACAAAAATAATCACTAAATGGCAAAAATGTTCGGTGTGGGAAGCGTCAAAAATTTTTTTTTTGCACAATAAACCCGAAAAAAAAAAAGATACCCGGAATTAAAAATGTTGACCTTGATTTGGCTAACACATTGTACAACAATTTAATCAAAGTAATTAGCGTGATGGATGAGGGGTGTTGTGACTTTCTGGTTTACCAATCATTCTACTCTACACATGAACAACCGCAGTGCGTAGAGAGTTAAAAAGGGGTTCCTTAATTAAAAAAGGGGGTGGGGGCCCTTTTCATTGTACATCATATGGCAACAACTATACATTATTATGGTTGGTTACAGAAAAATGAAAATTGGCGGCTCTTAAAAAAACACTGGTTCTTGTTGCTTAGATGTTTTTGGCTGACGCTTTAACGAGGCTTATAACATGCTACATATAAAAAGAAAAATCAATATTATTGACTTTTGGACGATATGATGGCTTTGATCACAGTCCTCTTATAGCTGCATAGCACGGTAGATCGAGAGAACACGACAAAGATTTAATTTTTAATGATTTGGCTTCCATAGTTGCTAGAGAGCTAACATTATGGTTATTTTAATCTTTTTGAAGCCAAAGAAAAAAAGAATCCCATTAGAAAACAAAATCATGCCTTCTCATACATTGCTTACGACTATAAAACAGAAATATTGAAGTAGGTCTTTAGTCTGATTATTAAATTAAATTCGTGAACACAACCGACCTAGAAACCCTCTCATTCTAATTAAAATTACTGTAATAGACGGAAAGACAATCGATATATGCTTCCTAGGTTATGTTTCTTACATCCTTTATTTCTGTAAAGAGAATGCTCACATAACTAGATTATGTAAAAGGGGTCTTTCATGAACAACTCAGTCTAATCGCCTTTTGATTTCGATAATCTCTGTCAAGTTAATGATAATCACGTACGGAACTGAGGCTAGTTAAATACAGCCATACCAGCTTAGTGTAGTGCGACTCTCTTTTATTATGATACGACAAGCCGAATGTACCGATGTAGACCTTGTTAAATACTGTTTGAGGGTATTGTTTACATTGCCTTTGATCTTGGTCTTCGCACAGTTGATATGTTACAGTTCCAACTCATGAACCAATTTTAAAGGTATCAAAGAACTTGGAAAGACTTTAACATATGGCCTTAATCTTTCTTGTTGTATTAAGGCTCTCGTCTCTTTTGATGGTTTTCGTGCTGCAAAGAACCGAATTTTTTGTCTTTACAGTTGTTATGTGGGACAACATCACGGAGTGGTGAAACTTGATAGAACGAATTAGCGTGAATGTAGACTGTAGATTAAGAGTATTCGATCGCTGTACCACTCAATGAAAGTCTTCCGACAATGAACCGATAGTTTGATTTTTTGCAATCGTATTTTTTTTTTTTTGTGGCCATCAGTCAAATTGTAGCACGACAAAGAAGTTAAAGATTTAACCCAGTTTTACATTAATGATGATGCACAAAGGGCGCTATTTTTTTTTTTTTTACTAAATTCAACTTGGCACATGGCCTCGTTTATTTTTTTGCGAGGGGAGTCTAATTTTCTGTAATGCAGCACAAAAAACTATTGGTGAATTATTCAAAGATTGAATATCTACAGTTATCTTTTTGGGCAACATTGCCGAATTGCCTGTTTTAAAAAAACAGAGTTACCCCATTGATGCTCTCTATTCAATTAGAAAGGCGTTATCTGGCTGATCCGGCTATTTTTATATATGATATTATTTGGGGATATAAACTATTCACTGGTTCTTTTTTTTTTGTCGCATCTTACAAATAGATAACTTTCCGCGGGCTCACTCCTTAATAAAACATGGAGTACTAAAAATACCTTATCCGTTAATTGCTCGGCTGAGAAAACGTAGCAAGGCAGCAAAAGTATGGATGCCCCAATAAAATAAAAAAAACCAACATATAAGAGCTGGTTTCTGAGGTTCGGATGAACAGTTTATTTATTTCACAGCTACAGAATAATTTAGTTAGATAAAATTCGCAAAATATATGTTTTAGCTTTTAATGGCAATAAAACATACTACTTTTAAATAGAATGGCAATCTACAGTAAATATTATGAATATCTCGCTTTTTTACAATTTAATAGCCCTGTATGACCTTCCTAAGAAATTGTTTACATAAATGAGTTGTATACAAATAAACAGATGTCATGTTTACTTAAATGACAGGATGTGAGGTTACTTCCCGTAGAGAGTAGCACAATCAACAGCCTGTTTTATCCTTTTTTTTTTCTGGGTGCATGATAATTTACTTTTTAAATGATAGTGAGAAGCAACTGTGCTCATCCAATTCATTCGTTGCAACTTTTCTAGCCGCGCAAGCACCCCGTACGAGAAGAATTTAAAGTTTAGCTTTAGTTTTAATGCTGACCCAGCGCAATACGCCTTTTTGAAAAAACGGGGATCAGGATTTTATAATATAAATATATAAATGTTTGTTTACATTAAAGTAAAACCTTATAATTCTGTTCTTGCAAAGAACAATTCTTTGAGAATGGTAATGATTTTTTTTTTTTTATAAAAAAACCAAGTTATTTCTCAAATGTCAATCTTTAGGATAAATTATTGTGTACTGCGTCTAAGATTAGGCGCAGAAATTTTACCTTAGCCTTTTTTTTTTTTTTTGGCAGAATTTGTCGAAAGGCCTCTTGCGATGACTAAAATAATGGGAACTGCTTTCTTTTATTTCTATTTACAACTCTGCTTTGGAATAAAAAAAAAACAAGTTTTACTGAAGAGACATCAAATTACTTCCAAATCCATAATAATCCATGTACTTTTGAAAACTCTTTTTCTGTTCCTCACTGGTATAACTTGGGTTAAACTTGAATCGATTTAATTCCTTGTGTATTAATTCTTGACGGCCTTCTGAAGTAAAGACATTTATATCTTTAGGGAGCGTTAATAAGTAAAATGTTGTAGCATATTTTTTTCTTCTTTTTACCTTCATTGTAGGAGGGATACTCCTTGATATATTTCTTATAGATGGACTTGTATTCTTGCGTTTCTTCCTCTGTAAAATCATTAGGTGCATCAAAAATACGTTTACATAACGGCACAATCATCTTTCCCAAGCTATGTTTGCATAAGTATCGAATCAATAACAATTTGACACGAGCATCAGGAGTATACCAACAAGAAAGGCCGATTTCATCAATCTGATCTTGGTCTATCAAGGGCATCTTCATAAATGTGTCGATATCTCGAATTTTAATGGTTTCGTGCAAAAGTATCGAGAACTCCTTTTCAGAAGCCTGCTTGGATTGCCTGATTGCTTCAATTCTTTGCTCCTCTTGTGCCTTTTCAAACGCGATTTTGGCTTGACGGGCTGCTTCAATCCTTTGCTCCTCTTGTGCCTTTTCAAACGCGATCTTGGCTTGACGAGCTGCTTCGATTCTTTCGTCTTCTTGGGCCTTTTCAAGAGCGAGCTTGGCTTGACGGGCAGCTTCGATTCTTTCGTCTTCTTGGGCCTTTTCAAGAGCGAGCTTAGCTTGACGGGCAGCTTCGATTCTTTCGTCTTCTTGCGCTTTTTCAAGTGCGAGCTTGGCTTGATTGGCTTCCTCAATCCTCTGATCTTCTTGTGCTTTTTCAAGGGCGATCTTGACTTGATTGGCTTCCTCGATCCTTTTCTCTTCTTGTGCTTTTTCAAGGGCAATTTTGACTTGATTGGCGTCTTCAATCCTTTGTTCCTCTTGTTCCTTTGCAATGGCATTTTGATCACTACTATGGTCTGAGGATTCTGATAAACGAGCCAAGTCTTGTTGCATGACTGGGATATAATCAACCTTTGGTGATGATTCAATTGTTGTGGTAGTGGTATCGGGGCTTGCTATATTTGAAGCAGGAATAAATGAATTGTGAATGGATCCGATATCAGACAAAACATCTCTGTCTTCGCAGATAGATCCTTCATCCTGCAGTGTGTCATCTTTATCTTCTTCGCCCTCATCTACCGTCGCTGTACTCTGTAATGGTTCGTCTTCCTTTGTAGGTGAATTATATAAATCACTATCATCGCAATAACCCATGTCGCAGTCATCATCCTCATCATTGTCCATGATCTCGTCCTCATCAGCTGCAGTACATGTCGAATCAACACTGTGATGGTCTGCATTAAAAGTTTCTTTAGTTTCATTGATCTCGTTCAGGTTATCTTGGTTTTCATTTATGTCTTCTACTGTAATAGCGCTTTTATTGACATCTATGTAACCATCCTGAATAATTTCGACTTGTTCATTATTGTCTGTAGTCACCGCAGAGGAGTTGTGAGTTATTATTTCTACGGGATCTTGAATGAAATGCTCTTCAGTTGTTGCAGCACTCGCAGTTAAATTTTTCGAATCTTTCTCGGTGTTGGCTTGTTGAATGATTGACATCAAAGTTTCAAGCTGCACATCCAATAAGGTAGATGGTTCTTTGTTATATTGATTGAGTAATCCTTCTTCACTTGCAGTTTCAACATGAATTTTCTCCTGCACATATCCGTCAGAAAGCACATCAGCGTTTGTTGGGGTATCAACTTGTTCCTCCATGTCTTGTCCAAAGGACTCGATGTTATTGTTCAATGACTCACTACGTAATTCTGGAGATTTACTAGAGGTCTGTACTGAATCATTTTCGGTCGATCCAATCGGTTTTTCAATATAAACAAAATCTTCCTGTTGATTAAGACCCGCTGACGTGCCTGTGTGAACGCCTTGTTGGGCATTTACATCGGTTTGTGGGTCATCTTGTAGGTTATGTTCATCCGGAACAACATCGTCCTTTGTTCTATCACAATCGCTTTGTGCATTACCATTGGTTTTTTCGACAATCACATACTTTTCGTCGATACCGTCCTTTGCGCTAATACCATCGTCTGTATCGTTGTTATCATATATAGCAATATCGTCTTGAGTACTTTCATTGTAGTATGTAGTAACTGTGTCTTGAGTGCTTTCGTTGTAGTCTGTAGCAATCGTGTCTTGAGTACTGATATCATCTTGAGTCATCATGTCGTCTTGTCTAGGATTACCGTCTTCTGAATTGGTATTGTCTTCAATGTAGGTGTCCTTTTCAATTTTAACAATGTCTTCTGGGATAGTGCTGTCTTTTTCATTGAAGCTATTTTGATTATGAGAAGAATCAACAGCCTCAGGAGAATTGGAAGCCTCTAACATATCAATATGCCCGCCGCTTTTAATTTCACATTGAGGATAAGGTTCATCTTGGCTATTAATAGCGTTTTCGCTAATATTAGCTTTCTCCTCTTGCTCGATCTCTTCTTGCATATTATCATCCTCATGTGTATTTATATCTTCTTGCATATTTTTATCCTCGGGCGTATCTGTATCCTCTTGAGTCTCAAGTTCTCCTGGAGTATTGGTATCCTCTTGCATTTCTAAATCCTGAGAGCCGAAATCTTCATGCTTAACAATAGCGTCTTCCGTAACAAGGTCCTGCTCTACTGTACATTTTTCAGGTGACTCTAACCTATCTACTGTGAAACTTTCTTCTAAAATCTCTTCTTCTGATACAGGCTCCTCTTGATTGTTAGATTCATCTTTTACTTCGACATCTTCTTCTAAATCTTCGGGTGCATCATGCTCCTGTGTCAATTCAAAGTCCTCCTGCATATCTGTTGATTTGGGTTCAGCTGCCTGGATGGATTGATCCCCAAGATCATATGATTCTTGCTGGCTCACTTCTGATGATGCATCTTCGTTCGTTTGAGCTGTTGAATCTTCTTCAACTGTTTCTGTTCTCTCGACCAATGTCCACTCGTTGCTTTTATCGTCAACAAGCACATTTTCAGTGGATGTCTCGACAGACGACTGAGTGACGGTCTCCACTGATTTATCAGTATCAACATCTGTAACAGTCTCCGTGGTGATTTCCTGGGTCACAGTATGTGTTGTTTCTTCTGTGATAGTCTCTTCAGGATCATCTTCCAGCTCATCAATGACCATATCAGTGACATTTTTTGCGGATTCCGCAACTTCAGTCTCTTTGTCGGAGCTATGTGAATCTTCTGTCGATGAAACTGTAGAAGATGCTTCAATATTCCCCCCAGCTGCCACAGATCTAGTGTTGATTGACTCTGGTACCTGACGTTCTTCTGAAACTGTTGAGCAAGCTTCAGATAAAACATCAAAGCAAGATTCAGACTCGCTTATCTCGCCCCCTGTACTACTGTTTTCATCCGTATTAGATTGAGTGGCCACCTTGTTAGCAGCCGACCGTTTCGTTCTTTTATTTGCAATCCTGTCTTCATATGATGCTGCCTTACGCTTCAGTTCTAAGCCGCTGTCCGTAGTCATGGCTTTCTGATATTGAAGAATGCCCTGTAATAGTCGTTGCGGCGTATTCTTATAATAGGCCAGCAAATCATCAGATCTTAGTCTGCTTCGACGATGAATCAATGCATAACAGGTGCCTTGGTCTAATTCAGCTGTATATTTCCATTTCATTTGCGTAGGACTCAGATCCCATATGTTCAGCTCGAAACTAAACTTGTTCTGATAAATGATATCCAGTTGAATGATACTATCAAGTTCGTTGGTTGTTAGCTCAGTTAATAGTAAGTTCGCTTCCAAGATAACAGCAGATGGATCAGAGGGGTAGAGGACGGTAAGTTGTTTTCGTGATAAATCACCCTGTGTTTCAATTAGTTTGACATACGGACTGGAGTCTGCATATCGAACATTTCCCTCAGGTTTATCTTGAGAAAAGGCGACCGTCATTGCTAAACTGTTGTAAGAACGAACACAAGACAGTAATGTGATGGGATCTTACAACAGCAAAAGTTAAAGTAATTAGTATTTGTACTATTACATCGTTTGGTGGTGACATGGCTTACAGTTTCTATAATCTGTGAATTCAGATAAGTTGATTGGTAATCTCAATCTGGGTGCATTATATGAATAGATTTTAGCTCTGTATCGATAAATAAGAATAGATCCTCGACTGTAGCCCAAAAGGATCTGGGGATCACAATGACCCATTCTTGTATCATTCTGATCGGGTGGAAGAATATGAATTGCGGTTACGTGCCCTAAAGAGGTGCTCTTTTTGTCTTTAATCGGTTGACTAGACTGTGCAAAATGGGTTTTAGTCTTAAAGCAGAAAATGAAGGTATAATCCAGACATACCATTAATGTAGCTTCCATGGTAAACTCATCCAATTTAAGCAGAAGAAAATCCGTATTTCCTGCTAGTGTTCCGATCACAAGGCCATAGCAATTCTCCATTTCCTCAGAGACTTTATTCCTGAAATGCTATTCCATAATTTCAGTCAGCATACAGCATGTAAACGAAATAAAACGTTCAAATTACCACATTAAAAGGATCTTGAGTTACGCTTGCTTTGGAAATTTCGCCTTTGAAATTCTGATTTGATTTTACTCGGACAAGCAATTTCTCCATAATGTAGTAACAAAAAATAAGATTATTCATATTTTTGTCCGTGGCTATAACTACCAATATGGGTTCCTTCTTTGAATTTCTACAACTTAAAACTGATTGAATGGTCAACTACAATAGAATTTCAATTTAGGAACCAAGGGTTTGACTGAACGCGTAGTTTCAACTGATTACCTGCACTTTATGAATCATTTGCTGCGCGGTTACGACCTCTGTAAGTTCTCGTCCATGACTGGTGTATATATACTCAAACTGGTCTTTGGTATATGAAAAGATAAGATTAGGATCAAGGTCATATATAAACTCTTGTCCATTTATAAGTATCTTTTCGTATCGGTTCATGGTGTGAATGAAAGATAAAAAAAAACAAGAAACAAAAAAAACAAAACTTTTTTTATTTTTTATCTCTGTCTGGGTTTATGAGATCATGGAATCTCTTTTCATGCATGAAAAAAAAAGTCACCTATAGCTAAAGACGTTCGTCATTAACAACGGTAGTCGGTGTATGCAGCAACCATTTTTTTAAATTGACCATTCCACTGTATGGCAAACTAAGTCTGTATGTGATATGACACCATGGCTACGCAAACTTCAAGATTTGGCTCTTTTTGTAATTACTCCAAGATGACGTTTATTTGACTGGCATTTGTCCCTTTAAATTTTGAAATAACCCAGTTTGAGCGAAATTCTTTTGCAACTGTCAGGCGATTTAACTTCAATATTGTTAGTAAAAATACTCTTTCATTTAGAAGCGTTCACACCAATCTAATACCCCGTTCTTCCGTTCCTCTCCTTGTTAATCTTTGTCTTTAAATGTCAGGAGTGATATTAATTGCTTGTTTGTAAGCCGTCAATCTCATCTTGCCTATATTATCCCGCAATAAGCCAGGGAATTGGGTATATACAAAAGAGCCTCAATAACAACCTGATACACTACGAAGTTGTTTAGTTCAAACACTCAGTCCGAATTAACCTTCGGTTTTTATTATTATGTTCCCTCCACTGTTTTAATTTCTAGGAGTGTATGATACTGGCATTTGCTTGAGGAAACACAGCAAAACTACTTATTGTGACTTATGAAAAGACTTATTCTGCTCTGCTCATTTATACTTATAATATGTGGCTTTCCCTGACATTTATCATTTACAATGTAATGATGTTCAGTTCATCTAACCGGCTACAGAAACTAACAAACCACATGAAACATATGTGTATGTTATTTTTTTATTTTTTTACTATTCATAAGATATCTCATTTTACACCTGCTCTACTTTCTTAACCTATGTCTACACTCACGAGACCTGAAAGCTAAATCATGCTTGATTTGTTTCTAAAATGACACTGCCACAGCTGGTATATCCCATTCCAACTTCCTTCAGACAAAGGCTTTCAAATGTGTCTATCTTCCGCACTCATAGTATCTCAAGAGGCCTTGATTCTGGAAATCAGCTTAAATCTACAGAAGAAAGTCAATTCAAACGTACACGACAGTCATAAACTTGACTTTCGATTGAATCAACAAGAAAAGATCTTTTTGTATGATGATAATGTAAAATCTGGACATGTCATACTTATCCGGGGAATTCATACCATCCAAACAAAGATAATATTAGTAAGATTTAAGCATGTTATGGTCTATTAGCTTTAGTATAATCCTATGTTGTCTGAAACTGAGTAATCTTTTAATAAATAAAATAAAAAACTATTAATGTAATGATATATGAAGTGTCTGTAATGCTAGCACATGGCTCTAGTAATAATAAGTCACGTCGGAATTAAGTCGAAAATTGTTCTGGGTGATATGAAGCTATTATTTTCCAAATACTCACTGGAACGTATACATCAGTATTTTTACGCCTTGTTCAATAATGATTTATATTTGCCTAACGTACGGAACTTGCCACTTCATTAAAATTAAGCTTAATCTCAATACTGACCATCATCGGTTTATAAAGCCTGGATAGACTAAAAGAATACGTTTATCCGCTTCATTTTTCTTTGTAGTAGCACAGTTGTTCCCATAGACGCGTATTTAAACTTTGGAAAGGAGCGCGCACGTCTTATTGATCACTTTTGTAAATTTTCTCTAAAAGAAATACACAATTCGATATTGGGGTCTACAACGCTGTGTATCTGTGACATTTTCTTTTAAATCAGAAGCTTGATGAGCTACTTCTTATTAGATATTAACAAATTCAATGCACTCATGGTATGGTTTTATACTCTAAGCTTTACCCTTTATGGTCAACATGTATGATTAGATAGGTCTATGTGTAAGACAAAATGATACTTGAAATATTTCCAAACTGCCCTATCCCGCTGATAGTAGTTATCGGCAACTGTTACGTCTTCCGGTATAGGGAGAATATGTTTCACATTACGCAAGAAATTTGGAACAGTAATGCTGGCACCTAAAGTGGTTACTTCTCAACCTGAGGGGCCAGTTTAACGATGTTTACAGGCGAAGATTTCTTGATTATGTCTAAATATCCATCTTATTTTGCCCAAAAAAGGTAAGCTAAAGTCTGACTCATCCGAAAATAACTAACACTGTCTGAATCAGCATTATGGCTAATATATTGAGTTGCCCATACTTGATGATGTGTAAAATTCACTTGATTGGTGGTTGAATTAAATTTGGGTATTTTCCACAAGGTATAACGTTTCGCACATCAAAATCTATAGGGTTGAATCTTAAACGCTGACAACGTTAGAGGGCGCGTTTTTTTTATTTTTATAGGAGCGACTTAGGATGAACTCCAGCACACCTGTATTCAAATATTGAGCAGTCTTGATTATATTTTATTTTTTTTTACCGGTCATTGGGATGCGGCCCTTCTATAAATATTTTAAGCTTTTAACAGGTCTTGGATAAAAGTTTGATATTTAAGAGTGTGTATGTCCCCTTAAGATAATATCGATTCAGCCGTGGCTTAAAGAGTTCATATATGTCGAAAGCTCCCTTTTTAGGGAACCCGCCTTTTTAGTGTTGCCGTAATTGTCTAACAATAAATCAAGGTTTCGTGGTATATTTGGTTTTTGTAAATACCATTACGCACATGCGAAATATCAACAAGAAATCACGCGCTTTTTTATATATTAGCACACTGTCTAAAATTACCGATTTAGGAAACAGCAAGTTTTTTTTACGTAAAATCTTTAAGCCGAAATAAAAATAATAAAAAAAAGGGCGGATACGTTATTAAAACATCTGTCAATTCCAGAACGTTCTAGTGGTCGCATGCTGAATATTCATATTTAAAATATACCCAAGTGTTTATTAAAGCATCTAATCCGACAAGCATAAGTCTGTCCGACATTGATAAGATCTAAGGCTTACCAACTACTGGTGAAAGATGAGCGTACAAGAAATCACACCTCCACTATTTAGTTCTGACTCACTGTTGGTAATATTGCATTTGTGTAGCTTCCCCACATAATAAACATTTTTATGATTTGCTTTGCCAAGTAGTAGAATCAGCGTGTTGCTATCCTTACGGAACTAAAGCATGACAAGGGAGTAAAACGGGGTATGTCTGCATGTAATGTTTGTTAAGAAAACAAAACATTGTTAAATATGCAAATGAAAAATAGAAAAGATGGGGGACTTTAACAAAGATGTGCTACACAGTTTTTTGAAAGCTATGGCAGATTAGATCCTTGATCCATTCATGTTATAGGCCGGAATACAGGAATAATTAAGTTTTTGTTAAACGTATGTGCAGTTCTTAGATCTTGTCTTGTCATTCTCACAAGCTTATCCTATCCCTAAAGAATGGCCGGGCTCCCGTATCACACTGCTCAATTACCTCTTAACTTTGCTCGTGTTACCGAAACTCCCCCACCAAAATTATATATCCCATAATTCAATAAACTCTACTGGTTTGATGTACTTTGTGCATGACGTAGGTGATACCATCAGCTAATTAGCATTATTATCAGAACAGTATGTTTAATAGAGACTAATGAAGAGCGTTCGTTTGATTTCGCTGTTCAAGTCATTTTCTACTCAGTATCGGTGTCTCGTATTTCATCTTTAATCCTACATAAAGGCAACCTACCCTGAATGAAAGAGGACAGCTACAATCTATTAAATTTGGTTGTGGCCAAAATAAGTGTTTTCCGGTCATTCTTTTCCAGACTAGCCCGTGCCTCCCACTTTAATATCTCTGGTAATATATATAATGTATGTGTATATAAAAGTCGTGCGACGAGAGAAGCTACCAACAGCTAATTTCAATCAGCTTAAATCATAATTAAATTGGAATACCAATGATTAAATGTAAGAAGAGCAAGTAAGGAATTAAGAAGTGTCCATTTAATATTTTTATTTTTTGGGACTACAGTACATGTTTAAAGGAAAACAGATAGAAAAAGCAAGTACAAAAGGGTATATAGGGGATAGACGAATCAAGAGGCAATGATAACGATTAGATATACTAAATTAGGAGGTTGTGTAAGGGTGAGATTTTAGGCGACTGTTATTTGTAAAGGACTGGGTCGGTGCATGAATTTATCTAATCTTTTCGGAAGGACTCTGCGTGGACGTAATGGACCAACGATTTTTTGTGAACGCATCATGTTTACTTCGGCCACAATCATTCTTAGGTAAGCTGCATTGGCTCGAATATCACGGGCATGACATGCAATCAAATCCTCTTCTTGTGTCACTTGTTTCTCTTCAACGATTTTCACTACTATTTCTTCTTTTAATTCATTGGGGTGCTTTGTTTCAATCAGCTTCCATTCTTTTGCTGCTTGTTCATCGTCGAGTGTAATCCAATAGTTTTCATACAGACTTGTGGCATTATTTGTTGTGTTGTTTGTTGTACTGTTTGGAGCTTCAAACATTCGGAACGTTTCCAAAGGGACATCCATTATAACAGAGTCGGATGAAGACGGATTCATTTGGGTTTGAACATAATGATCACATAATATGTCTGATAATACTTCCGTACTCATACTACTACTGTTATTACTAGTAGTAATATTATCATCTTCCATATAATGAGAGAACAAACTACTCAAACTACTTTCAGAAGATGAAGAACTTGTACTCAAAGAGCTACAATTATCCTGTTCTGTACCATTGCCAGCGTCATAACAATCAATTGGAATACTACTAACGGCGATATCTACTAATTGGGACATTTGCATTTTGTCACTTATTGTACTACGTGGCATAAATCCCACTGGTTTTTCTCCTTGTTTTGATTGTTTGGTGAAGATAGTATTGAACAAAGAGATGAAAAATGATGAGGATGTTGGCGCAAGAGCAGAAAAACAAGGGTAAGGAGCTGATAATGAATTATTACGTGAGCATTTTTTGATAGGCAACTAATTTGTTTTAAAAAAAAAAAAGTTTAATTTCCCCTGTCAAATTAAAATTCACTCACAGCTCAGTACTTACATTATGCTTCTTTTTGCTACGTTTGGGAATAGTGCCATAAGGTGTTGGGATATTTAAAGGTTTACTTTTATTATTAACATCTTTAAATAAAGGAGTAGGAGAAGGAGGACTGGCGAATGATAACATGTTGGTATATGGTTTCTATGGTTTATTGAAAGTAAAAAAAAAAATTAAGTGAATAAAAAAAAAATTTGTCTCAAAACGAAGAAATATGGGGACCTTTTTATATCTTTTTTTTTTTTTTTCAATTTTTATTATCGGGGTACTAAAAAGATACGGGATAGTGGTTTTACTAAATAAAGTAAGTTTCTTGAATATAACCACATGAATCGTACAGTTGGTTATCAAATAATCTTCAAAAATGTTGATTTTATTCCATCTGACCCATTCTTTCCTTTCTTTGTCTAAAATAAGGAGAAAAGATCATAGGGCTTTGTCATTACTATTACGGATTGGAAAAATGACGTATATTATTTTTTTGAGAAGGAACCGGGAATATATACATGTTGGTTTGATTTTTAACCATAATGTAACGGCTTCCTCCCAATACCCTTATTAAAGACAACTCATTATAAGCCGAACGATCCTCCGCGTTTTTTTTTTTCTATTATATTCTGGCTGTAATGATCATGGTTTACTATGGTCTGCATATGTTAAACGGGTAGGTGCAGCAGTAGCATATGTGTTTATAATATGTAAATATTTCAATCAAGACGTTAAAGCCTCCTGCAGGGGAATATATAAGTTGGTAGTTTATTCCACATGCAGGCGTATATCTCAGAATGGTGATATTTTATACACTTGTACATTTTTTAGGAGAGTTGGGGGTTTTCTTCATTTTCTGTAAATATTATTAGCGTCAAAAAAAAAAAAGAAAAAATCGTTATCCTACAAATAAGCTTTACAGTTGTAAATTTGCATTTTTTTTCTCATAAGCAAATGACCAATACTGCGCAAGTTAGAACGTATATTAATAGGATCTAACCGTAAAAGTACAACGAATGCTATATTGCAATATAAATAAAATTGATTTTACTACCCCTTTTTTTGTTTTCAGGTACGGGTACTAAAAGATGTTTCTTTTTTATTGTCACTATATAAATCCAGTAGCAATTCCTTCTTATGTCTGTTTGGTATAATACAACAAGTTACACAACAAGCAGTAAACGTGGTGGGAAAAACCTTAATTTCTTAGTAGCCGATTGGATGAAATATCCAATGTTACAAAAAGAATATTTTAATACCTCATTTTCTATCAGACACGGATTGGTTTATTATAGTAATTCTGCCTAGAAAGAAAAATCAGTGTTCACGGAATGCGATCTGTAACATATAAAAAAAAAAAACTTGTATATTTATGCAATCGTTGTGCTACTATTTTTAATATCCAACCCCACCATATCATACGTGTCGTCTTGCAGATCCATCCTTCATGTGCCAAATTCTGTCACCATGAAGCAAAAACAATATATAGTTTTGCCGGTATTGTTTTTTTAGTGTGTGTACTTTTTCTTGTCGTTATGATAACCATTTAATTATGTTATCCGAGCCACAAGCTTAATAATACTAAAAAAAAAAACCCCTATTCAAGGTGCAGATAAAAATACCATTGTTACACCACTGGTAAGATATAAATATGTACACAATGTCGGTTTATTATCATTAAAAACGTTACGTAAACTAGGTAATTTTTTACAAAAAGACTTTTCTTCCTTTTATAGCCCGATAAGAAAAATTATAATCACAAACAAAGTATTTTTACATAATAAGAAGTATAGATAACGACAGGAAAAAGATCGATATTATTCCATTGTTAAAATAGGTACCCTGTGCGCTCGAACTTACAGACGATTTAGAAAGAGTATTTCGGTTTTGGGAGTTTGTTGCCGTATCCGTTAATTCTTCCCACGAAAGTCCTGTCACTCCCATAATCCAGTCAATATGCTTACTTGGCCTCACAAATATATTTACAAATGTACTGGTTCTATCGGTGTGAACCGGACAAGACTTATTTTCGGGTTCAGGATCAAAAGCATTCTGAATTCGATTTAATATTCCCTTCAAATAGTATTCCGGGCTTGTGGCGTCAGGCTTGTAAATAAGTGGACTGCCTTTTTTTTTTTTCTGATTCTTTTAGCAAGCATGTCTGGTTATGCGTACAGAATATTTTAGTTACCTGAGTCCCCATGGCATAATCCTGCAGTCGACGTAACCAATGTTACACTATTGTTGAAGTTATCATCAGTCAATGCAATGACATTAGATGAATTGCATTGCGCATACTGCAATAATTTTGCATGCGTTTCCCCAAGTCCAGTATATCCCATGCCAGTCGTCTCGAGTATACCTTCCAGATGCACGTCCTCATTTTCTACCAGAAGTCGAATTCGATTCACATAGGCACTTGGCATAAACGGGTCTTTTAATTCTACGAGTGCAATATCATAAGGTACTGAGTTCAACTCGTCAACTTTAAATACTCCGGTTTTCGATTGTACATCCGCTGATATATATAATGGATGCTGAATCACTTTTTTGATACCATTGGAAGTGTAAGAATCAAATTCATGGCTACCAAAGGAAACTGTTTCTTTACTGTTTGTATCATCCTTTGGTACGCAATGTGCTGCTGTCAAAACCCATGGCGGATCCAAGGAAATAATACTACCTCCGCAAAGTGTAGGGTTGGTGAATGTAACAGCGAACGGATATTGAGTAGAGGATTGTACTGTATTGCCGCCAGTTATTGCACAAATAAGGTATGGAAAAGAGAGAAATAGCAGTAATCGTTTGTACATTGAAAAAAAAGTTGAAAATAAATATAAATCGAGGAAAATAGAAAGGAGGCGTATAATTCACTTTTATATAACAGCAAGTATAAGAAAGTAAGGATAATAAAAATCCATGACCTATTTTTGGTTTAATGACTGGAACTAGAGTGATAAATTATTTACAAGAAAAGAGAAAGAAACAGAAAAGATCATATTCAACGATTTTCAAATTAATCAGTGTTTTCTTTGTTTGTTACAACTATAAAAATATAATAAGGCGCATTTGAACAACAAATGATCAATAATATAACAAGCCATTGTTGTGAAAATCATATCATATTTATTATGTATTAAAACAATGTGATTGTTTACCAAGTATTGGAACCAGTTGCCACAAGTCTATTGTCACGATACGGTTCTGTTCTTTCAACAAACTGAATTCCCTTCATCTCGAGTTGATCCAGAATTGGAAGATATACATGCGGCTTAATTGGTCTTAATATACCCCTCTCTGGAATAACATTGTCCAGGACTAATTCAACGGCCATCGCTGTAGGTAATCCTACTGTATCCGCCATGGCTGTATGTTTTTCATTGCCGTATTTAATCAATGTTGATGTCAATGTTTCCTATTTCATTGTTCGTATTAATAATGTTTATATATATATATATGAACAAATAGAAAACACACCTTTTTACCCGACGAATGTTCAATTCCGAATTCATGATGCATAGCCACCATATCCCTTTCCCCTTTTTCATACTTGAGTCTCTTTGATAAAAGAGAAGAGAATACATCCAAGGCTGAACCATTTGTGTTTTTGAAATCTGCAGATTTGTCTGACAAAAAGAAGGAGATGGCAGACCAAACTTTTTCTGTCATCTCATGGTCTCTTGGCAACCCTAATTTCTCCACCATTGTTTCATATCTTTCACTCGAAGTTAATCCTGTCTTACCCGACAACACAGTGTCAAAATACCCTGACTGTTTATAAGTTTTTTTAGTAAACAAATAAACAAAAATTAACTTTTTTTGGTCATTTACCCAGGTTTGGCATTGCGATAGAGATTTTGATTGTTCTAAAAATCCTAATTTACGGAACGCATACAATAAATCAGAGTAACCCTAGTTTTTTTTTTTTTTTTTTTTTTGTCACAATAAATACGGTTGTTTCATTCAATTCTTTGTCGTTAGTTAGACTTACTTGATATCTCAAGGTACCACGAAACATGGTATCCATTTGTGAGAGCTCTCCAAGTCCATAAATGTCTGCATACCCAAGGGAGTTACGATTTGCCAATCCTTCAAATACAAACCCAGCATAAGGAGTTTGTACAACCGGGAAGTGTTCCTTTAATAAATTATCTCCAGCAATAGTATGGGTCTACGGGAGGAGAGCAGCGTTAACGTTTATGCGTAAAATAGTTAATTAAATTTTATAACCTTTCCATTTGACCAATAGGTAGCATCATTACCGCTAGCCGTCAATACACCACGTGGGGACCAGCTAAATTTGTAACCCAGTGGAACGTTAGAGGCTTCAGGAGACGGTAATCCACCACACCACGAAATGAACGATCGGATCTAATTTTTCATGAAATAAGTATAAAATTAGTAAAATTGGGGGGGGGGGGGGTTTGCAAGTACCTTTTTGCCGGCTAATTTGGCTTCATCAATAATCTTCATGGCAGACATATGATCAATGCCAGGATCCAGACCAACCTCATTCATGATTAAAATACCAGCCTTTTGTGCTCTTTTTTTAAAATAGGTCAGAAATCAAATTGGCTCTAAGCCCAGATAAAGTTTTTGATTTTTCTTACTTTGTCTGCAATGCTTCCATTTCGGGAGATACATAACTAGCTGTCACCATATGCTTTCTTCGCGCAATACAAACATCTGCAACCTTTGTATGTAAAAATGCAGGTACCAGACTGACCACCACGTCAGCTTTTTCCACAAGACGGGTTAAGTCCTCATGGTTTGAAATATCTAAAGGGACAGATTCGGCATTCGAGTAACCTGACACTAAAGCTCGTGCCTCCTCCATGACGTTACTTGCTATCATATCAAGTTAGTAATTTGACTATCGAACCCTTTTTTTTTTGTATTCTCGTTTACCAACTACGATTTTCACATCCGGTCTATTCATTAAATGTTCTACCAAGGGTGCAGCAACCATCCCAGACCCTAATAATAAAACCGTCTTCTTATTACCAAGACTACTGCTTTTACCTGTACTGTTTGGTAACATGGCATTTAATGCCTGATGAGGTTTTGTTAATTCTCCATGATCTGCAATAGTAGCGTTACGCAAAAGAGGTGACAATTGATCAAGTGGTGGGTTTGGTTCAGCATTAACCTACAGAGATCATGAGTGCTTGATCACAGTACAAACTATTCGAAGCTTACCATCTCTTTTATGAACGGATACAGTGCTTTACTAAAGAATTCGCTACTTTCTACTGGGAACTCAGCAGGCAAGATATCAATTCCCATGACTTGTATACCTGGACCTTCGGCACTAAAAATAGAAATCAATTAGCCCTTATTTTCTTTGGGCTCCACTTCCTTGGTAGTAACATTACTTGTCATGTTCTTGATTTTTAATGGCGTCATAATAGAAGAAACCGTCATCCACATTTGTACTATGTGATAAGCATTCAAATGCGCCTTTTACGTCACATACAATATCGGCTAGGGCCATCATCTTTCCCTTTTTGATATCACCATTCAACTTTAGCTTTTCAAAATCACATAATTGCTCGTTGGTCAAAAGACGTGGATAACGTTCGTCCCAGTATGCACCCGTGACAACACAATTAGTATAAGGTGCAATCTACAATTTCCAGTTAGAAAAAAAGGAACTTTTTTGTTAAAATAAAAATTGACGGGGAGATTACCGTTTTATGAAAATTAGATTGATACTTTTCAGGGTGGTTCAAATAGTCTTCATAATCCACTAATGGCTTTCCGCTTTTTTGTTCGACATAATCCTTGACTTCTAGCTGAACTCCATATACTTTATCTAATCTAGGATCTATTTCCATGCATTAAGAACGGTGACAAAAAACAAAATATGTGATGATGCAATGTTTACTTACTCTTGTCATTTACTATTTTTGCAAGATCTTCTGCAGGGACAAATTCATGAGGCACTTCTTTGAAAATCTCCAAAGCTCCCTAAAACAGTGTTAACTAGTGTGTTTTAAAATAATAAACAAACAACCAACCTGAGTAACATTTCCAGACCCTGTAAAACCATACACCAATGGTCCAAAATCCTTTGGTGTGCCATTTTTAACAATCTCCTCGCCCATTCTATTCAGCGCTAGCTTTGCTTCGGCAATGGTAGGATACGCATGTGCTTTTGAGATGTACTAAAAAATAAATAATGAATATCTATTGAGCCCCCCTTTTTTTGCGCGTTCAATAAAATCGATACGTTACCATAAAAGGCGTGCTATATCCTAAACCGAGAAATCTATGGCCCATACCGTGCAAACTATCAATCATACCTATGTCCTGGGTTAGATGTCTTATTGATTTATCATCAGATTGAAAACTTACCGGCATTACCAGCATAGTGACCAAAAGCAACAAGTCTTTTACCAGTTTCGTCCTTCATCAACTCGTAGTCGATTAAACGTATATTCTATAAAATTTCCCACGATGGTGTGAGAAAAATAACGAATAAATGTTTACCGTGGGCCAATTTAATTACCTTGTCAAGGATCTTTTGTAACATTGGCATATTTTTCTTGTTTCCTTTATGTGTATGAGAGAAGAAGACGTACGTCTTGTCACTCAATAAGGCAGATTCAGGAACCTCCTTGATACCAAGAATTATGTTTGCTTTCGAGATATCCTCGGTAATCATTGCACCCGCCTTAAAACTACATCTAAGTCATAATACTAAGATGAATAAACAGACAATACTTTACCTTTTCATAAGATTCGTTTGTAAAGATACGTTTGGTACTCGGTTGGATGTAAACTTGTGTCCCCGTTTCCTGAATCAACTTCTTAACTGCACTTGGCGTCAAGGCAGCACGACGTTCCCATCGACTTTTATCTTCCCGACGGATACCTACAGTGGCATAGTGTCGAATCAATCGTTTGTTATTTAAAACTTTAGTTATCATTTTCTTTTAAACAAAAAAGAAGACGCAAACGTGAGAAAAAAAGAAACAAAACCTAGTTTATATGCAAAAAGGGAAATTTCTATAATCTCACGATCAGCTGGTTCCGTTTTTTACGTTTGAGATTATGTTTTCAGGGTCATCTCCTGAGGCAAGCGAGATAAGATGCCCTGCTTGTAGTTCCTCATTGGTTGCTCATGTCGAAGCATATCATATATAAATATAGGGAAGGGCTGTCCCGAAATTTATTTATGGGCTAATGTTGAACACTCCTATATTATATCGAACTATTTCGCGAGCAACTTTTCTGTAATAGCTGCCGCGTCCTAGAAAACTACTACTAAGATTAACGTAATGACGGTGACACGTGCACTTAGAAAATACGAATGGGTGCCTACGAATGCGCACGGTAGCCAGGTGATAAACGGGAATACTGTGGTGAAATATTGCTTCAAGTGCGCTCTAAAATTAACTGTTGATGCTCATCTAAATACTTTTAATAAATGAGTTAAGATAAACATAGACATTTGTGAATTTTTACGAAATCTGTTCACAAGTATTTAAAAAAAGACGTATAAAATTAAATCAAATCATAGGAAAGACAAGACAAGTAGAGTTATTTACAGTTATTTATTTATTTATTCAAGTACAAGTACACAATGACATTGTTATATAATTAAAGCCTTTCAGATCTGAGAAAAGAAAATAAGTTAATAAAGCTTTTCAAAGAATAAAGTGTTATAAAAGATGTATAAACGATCATAAAGGTTACCCCATCATGCTCATTAAATCAGATTGGAGAATCAACACGTGTTATTAAGACGTTAAAGGTTTTAATCATAGGGAACCCCAACTATAACCGTTTATACTATCTACTAAACATTGAAATTACAAAACTTACCATAAAATTCTATAAAGAGCTATTCTATAAGAAATTTTAGCTGTTTAAATAGACGTTGAAAAATTAGTGGCTTAGAATAAAAAATTTATTTTTTATATGACTATATGACAGTCCAAACAAAAAAAAAAAGCTGTGTTTTAATCCATTTTGTAAGTTGCCTTTATCTTTTCAGCAAAATCTGTATAACCGCCAATCATGTTTTGGTTGTTAATATCGCATCCTTCGTAGATGAAGGGTGATGTGCCATGATTTGTTTCGAATTCCTGCATTATTTTATCTGTTTAATATATAATAATTATCGATAAATGCAAATTTTTACCTGCTGTAATTCTCGAGAACGTTCGCTCCATTGCTCTCTGATATATGCACTCACATCTACTTTAACGTTTGGGTGCTTGGCGGATAATCTGTCACCCATCTGTACTGCGTTTGTAAAGTACGAACATGTCAAAAATCCTTCCTATCCATAAATTATGAGTTGCCTGCTATAAAAATTTATATATAAAAAAAAAACTTACAATATGATAACATTGTGTCTTTTGAGGAATGCCATTGTCTAATCCTTCGACAGATGTCGAGTCTGTTGTACTAAACCAAGAAAATAAGCCCATGCTGCTGGTTTGAAACGAAAAGGGAAAAGGGACCAAGAGTCCAGGCCTGCTTTTTTACCAGCTTTTTAATAACCGATTAAAAAAAGGGGACGTTTCGCCACTAGCTTCATCACAATAGATACATATGTAAAACACTTTGTGCTTACTATATCTTTAAACTAGGGTCGCTCAGTAGAACACATCATTCATTGTAAGCTTTATTTGGTCGATAATATGCTCTGCTCTTACAATATTCTTTAAATGCTAACAAACAGAACAGTATGGGAAGCAGACCAAACTTTATCGCAGTTCTTGCCTTTTCTAATTAGTCCTAGCTACCATTTGTCTGCACTTCTTACCTGTTTCCAATAAGCTACATAGCTTACAAGATTAGTAGGGCTGCTCTATTTATGGAACATGTCTTTATGACTCAGGCTGGGTCAACCCTTCTTCCTTCCCGTGACTAATTTCTATATACATAAATATACATATATATATATATATATTTAAATGATGAGGACTCTTTTTTACCGTAAATGTCATGATCATAATTGATAGAATTGTGCTCTCTGATATTACTGTTAGTTTATCAGATTTGCTACATATAACAAAAGTGTAAAACAGAGATAGTAATCTAGAAGTCATTTTGTGTATTGCATGACTAAGGTACAAATGGTGTAACTTATAATGGCGCCGTCCGAAAAATATTCTATATTTAAGAAGTTATGTGAGTTTGCAGAAGGACAAGGAACAAGAGAGAGTATTTGGAACAAAAGTTCTTACAGCAGAATAAAAAAAAAGCACTTCTAGAAGAACGCATGGAGATAAAGACCGACCTCAGAGATTGTTCTGACGAAATTTAAAAAAGACACCTGATATAGTTGCTGAACACACATACCGCGCTTCCATAATGATTTAGGCAGAAACAAAAACAGACTTTTTGAGCTAGACCTCATTTCGGATGCTTTTCGACCGTATTTTGAGAATTTGATGTGCCTGAACTTTAAAAAAGCCCAAAAATAGGAATTACAGATGTGCGAGGCAGCTCTTGGCATATAAATTGTCGTGTGAATTTGAAGCATGGGTGTCATTCCAAGTATCTTTTGTTGGTTTCGCGAGGCACAACGTTGTGAAGCGCACTGCTTCATTTGCATAGGTAAATAATTGAGTGGTTTGGTGTTTCAAAATAAATGCGCTACTTGTGTGGCTTATTCAAACTGGTTTATTAGAGAAACAATGTATCAGACGAATTACTTCATTCAATCAGTACAAATGAGAACATGTGCCCTTTAGAAATACGCTAAAAGATGTAATATGAATGTGGGGTTTCTTTTTCTTTTTTTTTTTTCAACTAAAATAAAGCCCTTTTTTTTTTGCCATACTCAGAACGAACATACGCATTAGTCCGCATTTAAGGTAAAACGACCAAGATCGACAAGAAACACTCTGTATCACCAAGGAATTGGAAAAATCCATGAGAAAGTAGTGTGGTATTGAACTCCTTTTATGAAAACATCAGTTCTATTTTTACCTGTCATTGACATGTATTGAAAATGTGGTCCGAGAACCGGTTGTTTCTTTAGGCACTGCCCTTTAATTCATGTGGTACGGTCTACACTGAACTTCTACTATACGATCGATTAGACCAATCATTCTTTATCCCGTATAAACAAATAGAGACTTGTCTGGTCTCGACCGAGTGTAACATCTTACTATTTTTTTTTCACGCGGGCTTGTTTAAGCAACTCTGGCCGGACATGGCGTGATACACCCCCCGCTTGCATGTTGTATTTCTCTTTCATCGCCCATTGAAACAGTTTCATATCTTCAGTTTTTACCGCAGAATCAATTTTTCGCTATCAGAAGATCTTGAATTCTGCATTATCATCGACTGCGAGATTACAGAAAAAACAAAGAACCAAAAAAAAAAAACTTTGACGCGGAATTTTAAAAAGGATCGAACAATGGTGTAATTGTTGCAAGAGTAAACTGAAAAGTTTTGTCAATATTGAAAGACAATAAAATACAAAGACTTGGACACAGTAATTGGGGAATGCAGGGTTCTTTTTTTTTTCCAGTTTGTACAGAAAATGGTCGAGACTCTAAACCGAAACGTTCCAATTTGATTCGATCATATTTTGACTTTCTAGAAACCAAAATATGAAACTCCTTTTCAATTCTTTTTTTGTATAAATAGAAAAGAGTAAAGTGATTTTCCCTAAAAATTATTTTATTCATCAATCATAAAAACTTTACATCATTGCTATGCCCGTTGCTATACCCGAAAAGCGTGTCTCCAGAAAAATCACTGTGAATTTGGATCACCATCAAACCAATGTTCGACCTGTTATTAAAGGTAATTGTTGTATTGTTCATTTTTTTTTTTAAAATTTATATTGACTTTTCTGTTTAGGTGCCATTAAGGAAGCCTCTCATACTTTAACAGAATCATTCAACTCCAACAAATCTCTTCAAGTATCTACTGTAAATTTGGATGAAACTAAGCGTGATGATTTCCTCTTCAACTTGTTCAGGGGCATGGTTGATACTGCCTCTCTTCAAAGCCGAGATTTTGCTGTACAAGTAGATGGTTGTAAAGGTGTCTTGGTCTGGTCTAATCGTTCCCAACTGTTTTCTTGGCCCAATACCATGCAAACATTCAAATATGCTCGCCGTTTAGGCTGGACAGCCGCTTTAAGAACAATTCTCAAGCTAAAGTCAACTAGTGCAGATAAACTGCGTCGTAAAATTATGACGAATTACCCAAAGCATATTACTATCGGATTTATTGGTGTTCTTCCACACGAGCAAGGTAAAGGAGTTGGAACTGCTCTTGTTGAACACGTTTTGGATAAGGCAGATCAAACACATTATCCAGTCTATGTCGAAGCTACTGACTACCAAGCTGTTAAATTTTTTGAGCGATTTGGGTTTGTTTCTCAGGGTCAAATTGCGCTTGATAAAGATCAACTTATCACAATTACACCGATGGTGCGTCAGCCTGTTACAATGAACGAGCCTGTACCTTTCCATGTGCGTCCTGGCAGAAAAGACTCAGACTAAATAAGCTTCTAAAATTATCCCCAAACATTATTATATACCCCTATTTATTCCTTATACACTACAATTTTAATAAAACTTGTTCATCTTAGATCAATAAATTTTTATTGGTTCACATCTACTCAGATTCTTGTGTAATTTTTTATTCCCAAGTGTCAACGCTATTAAATACCTCAAAAAACTTTTCTTCTTCAGGCAACACAACAATCTTCGGAAAACGAATTAAGTTAAACCAACAATAATGCATCATTCACTAATTATGGCAACTTGACTGAAAGACGATCCGTGTCACCTCAATTTTACAAGCAAAAAAAACCTTAATGTTAAAAATTAATCTCTTTTTGAAAATATTATGCGATGGTATGCATATATTAGCTCCTGAAAAAGCAAAAAAAAAAAAAAGAAACGAATACACGCGTCTTCCTTTAATTCCAAATTTTTGTTTTATATTTTAGTGAAACAACAATCTCTATTCCTTTAAACTGTTAGATTGATTTTTAGTAACTCAATCTTTTTTTTTTTTTTTTTTTGTCAAACACTTCCAATGAGCTTAAATATTTTCTCAACAATGAGTGTGGCTTGAAAATTGTAGTTGTACAATGCTTTTCAAAATACAAGTCAAAATCAACAATATTTTGTTTTTGTATCGTCCATATCTGTCTGAACGCTTTATCAGCGTACTTATTTCAACAGCATTTATATCTTAGTCTGATGAACTGATTGCTTACTGCGAAGGTAAACATAATTAAGTGCAATTATTAACGACGAGAGGTATTGTGCTTTACTAAAGTCATTCTTTTTGTACAAGCGAGTGGGACTTTTGAAGTAACTTAGATAGTTTATTACGCTACTCATAGAAAACGACATTTAGAAATTACGCTAGATACACTATTTTCAGAAAATGTTCGTTCAAAGTGTAAAAAAAAAAAAATCGTTCACAACGTAAAAAAAAAATTGGTTCAAAGATCCTAAAAAAAAAACCGAGCTTACCACTTAAGTATTTTATGTTTGGCCTGCGATAACAGGCCTGAAAATTTTTTGTTACGATGATGACGAACATTTCTAATGTTTGTTTGGTCATTTTGGGTCCTTGCTCTTTTCCGTTGGTCCTGGGAAGGTTCTCCACACGGGGAATGCTATTTCCAGCACGAAGTGAACGAACAATATCAACCATGTTCAAGCAAGCAGTCATATCACAATTCCATAGACGAGTAACAATTCTATTTGTGTTATTAGTCATGAATCTACAACTTTGATTTGTACATCTGTCACAGGAACGAAAAAAAAAATAGATAGAAAAAATATTAACAAGTGAAATAACATACCTTAAGAGACTATGTCTTCTAGTTACACGAGAATTTGCTCTTTGTCTATGAGGGCGCGGGTTATCGACCATTCAAAACGTTTCAAGACTTTTGCGTTCATAGGCTGGGCAGCACTGACTTGTTCTAAATTTATCGATCAAGTGCACCCTTTTACCAGCTTTTTGAAGCAGCCGACGGAATCCAAGGCCCCGGATCGGCTCATGAAATCTTGTGTTAGGAGCAGACCAGTTACTCATGACATAAACAGCATCGACAACAAACTGTTCGTTTCCTTTCTTTATTCTAGAATAGGCAGTTAGCTGCAGTTTTCTGTGCAAGGGATGAGCAGTACGATGGTTGGTTCGGAAGTTGACATAGTGGTTTTGAATCATGCCTGTCACATTAGATTTGTTTGCAAGATACTTTTCAAATTCATCCATATTCAAGGAATCAAAGGCGTTGTTATAGATAGGGTCCTGGAACTGCTCTCGGTCCAATACAAAATCTTGAGGTAACCTTCTAGCTATAAGCTGCTTGAATCTTGTCGCCGGCTCAGTTATTTCTCTGTAGATTTAAGATTTTATCAATGCATCGATTAAGCCTTCACGTCTTCTATGAGCAGTCAATTCGGCTTTTCTTCGTCGAATACGTAGTAGATGGTTTACAGCATATTTGAAATGATTTCCCAGACGCATCTGAACATTGTTGTTATAAGCTGTAAATATCTTTGCTCCTACAATTAAATATGCTTGCTGACCATAACGAAAATCCGGTGGAACAAAATCAGAGACCTCCAAATAGTCATCAAGATAAGTGTCAATGAATGCAATAGGCGCCGCAGTTTTTCCGCCAACCCTTCCTCAGTTTGAGCCACAACTCGGCGATTGATAAATTGTCTGATACCAAAGTTCTCGTCTTCTAGAATGGCACGTAAATAAATGTACTTGGAGAGTAAATATGCGTGCGTAGTTATGTTGTTGACTGTAACTACATATTCTTCAAGTCTTTCACGTCGCTCTGGGGTTGTTGCTAACCCGCCTCCCTTATGGGTGAATAAGAACAATGTCAAGTTTTGCTCATCTGTGTGTGTCAAACTAGGCCAAAAAAGAAGACAATAATTATTTGGTTTGAACCCAATCGTTCAATTTTTAAGAGCAAGCTCAAGCGGGTTAGTCTTTTGGATGAAGTGAGGCTTTAAAATAAAAGTTACATAGGTATGCAATAGGGCACTTATCTGTGCCCTTCAATACGATGATACATTTTCTAATGATACATTTTCCTCCTACTTTTGCACTATATTTATTTATTGATAACAGATATATTCCTCTTTCGTTTATTTCGTTTGTAGACTATGCAATGATTTTTATGCGAATTCTTATTCCGTCGCTGATTATAATTTTATTCTAAGCGTGAACGAATAATTTATGAAAATAGTGTAATAATTTATCTGTCCTTTAGTCATGTTAAATTATAAATGAACTGCGTCTATTTACAATCAATTGGAAAGTTGCATATATGACTCATAGGAGTAGTTTACAACTTTACTCGATTGATTACTCCATTGTTTTATCACAGTGCGTGGCCTACATGTTGAGGAACTTTAAAACTCAAGGTTAGACACACCACATTGTTCTGATTGGATGGTTCACGAAAGATCCGCGTAAATGTAAATCGCGCGTTTTACTTTTTCAAATCTCTCTCTTTTTTTTTCTACCGCCTTTTATTCCTCATTCACCCTTTTTAAAAAATGTCACAAAGCGATGAAGAAGACGTTGGGTACTTGCGCATAAATAAGCTAGAGGTAATTGGATCTTTAGAGGGACGATAATTAGAACAGTAAAATTAAAGCTGTATTTATTTAGGAAAGCGGCATCTCGGCAGCAGATTGTAAAAAGTTAAAGGAGGCAGGTTATTTCACAGTGGAATCAGTCGCTTATGCACCCAAAAAAGCTTTACTTGCCATCAAGGGTATTTCAGAAACAAAGGCAGATCGGTTCCTGGCTGAAGGTAATCTACATTAGCATACAGGTTTAAGGTTGAGTACTCATGGCAACGTACCTTTTTTTTCCCTAGCTTCCAAAGTGGTCAATCTGGGATTTACAACAGCTATGGATGTTCATCAACGTAGACAGGAAATCGTGAATATTACTACGGGATCCAAAGAACTTGATCGAATGCTGGGAGGTAAAGGACGAAGGAAGGATTGTGTGCTTCGAGAACATCTAATTTAATATGTATTGTGGAAAATAGGTGGTATAGAGACTGGTTCTATTACAGAACTCTTTGGTGAATTCAGAACTGGTAAAAGTCAGCTGTGTCATATGTTGGCTGTTACTGCGCAATTACCTATAAGTATGGGAGGAGGCCAAGGAAAGTGTCTTTTTATCGATTCCGAAAGTACTTTCAGACCCAGCCGTATTCTTTCCATCGCAGAACGCTTTTCGTTAAATGGAGAAGAGACGCTGGACAATATTGCTTATGCTCGTGCTTACAATACAGATCATCAAACATCGCTCCTAATTCAAGCCGCAGCCATGATGTCAGAAGCCAGATTCTCGGTGCTAATTGTTGACTCGGCCATGGCTTTATACCGTACCGACTATGCGGGTCGTGGTGAACTGGCTGCCCGACAAATACATTTAGCTCAGTTCTTGCGTCAGTTACAACGTTTGGCCGATGAATTTGGAGTGGCTGTGGTCATCACTAACCAAGTAGTTGCTCAAGTTGATGGAGGTGCATCCATGTTCAATCCAGACCCTAAGAAACCGGCCGGTGGTAATATCATTGCTCATGCTTCTTGCACACGGTTATCCCTTAGAAAAGGTAGAGGTGAGAATCGTATCTGTAAAGTCTATGATTCACCTTCTTTACCTGAAAATGAATGTACCTTTTCCATCATGGAAGATGGTATTGCTGATGCTGTAGAATAAGCCCGTCTTCCCCGCTATTTTTTTTTTCTTTTTGTAACATATTATTATATCACAGTATGGATGATGATCTATTTTTTCACACAAACACCCTTTTTTTTATGACCAAATATAAACCATTTTATGTATACATTCTACTTTTTCTCCCCCTACCCTGAATAAGCAAACTATTTGATGAGAATGACTCAAAAATGAAATAAATGATCTGATAATTTTACCATTCTACTAAACACTTGTTTTTTAGTAACAGTACCTGTGTAAACCATTCTAGTTACTTTCTATAGGCGCATTTATATCCATTTATCGTATTTACTTGCGGAATACTACACCTCGTGTACTCACTGACCCCTCCCCTTTGTTATTTTAAAAATTAAATTAATTGTACACAGCATATGAAAGTTTTATACAGTGAAAGGACTCGCTTTCAATGTTACACTATGCTATTAGACATGTTTCGTGTAACACCGAGGATGCATCACCAAATTATGAATTAATATTCATATAAATATGCTGAAATCTCGATAGCAATGCCCTATTTTTTTTTTATTTTACAAAAAAAGAAAATCATTTTCAAAAAATATAATGAAGTTGACAATTACATTTGCATCCATCGCTTTGGCTATTTCTTTAGGCTCTGCTGTCGAAGCTGCTTCTTGTAGCTCTCTCTACGGTCAATGTGGTGGTAAAAATAAGTTAATCTTACATATACTGTTCAATACCTCTAAATTTTCTTTTTATTAGGCATTTCATGGACTGGACCTACATGTTGTGAAGCTGGCGCAAAGTGTCAATCGAGTAACCCTTATTATTCACAATGTGTTGCCGACAGTATGTAAAACACTTGCCTTTTGTGAAAACTTACTCACCATATACTTTAATTCGTATTAGCTAATAACAATAATGTTAAAACCACTACAAAGGCCGCTACAAAAACCACTACAAAGACAACTACCAAAGCCACCACTACTACCGTAAAAAAGACAACCACTACTGTAAAAAAAACAACGACTGCTGCTCCCACGCCCAGCAGTGTCTCAAAAGTAGGCTATTCTGTTATCCCCGGTGGTATCTCTGGAAAGAGTGAGACCACTCGTTATTGGGATTGCTGTAAACCCTCTTGTGGTTGGAACGGTAAAGCCCATGTTACTTCACCTGTCAAATCATGTGCCAAAAATGGTGTTACTGTTCTCGGAAACAACGTTCAAAGTGGTTGTGCCGCTGGCGGTGGTAAAGTTTAACTTTTTATTCTTGATTTTATGTTCTGATATTGACATGATTTTTTATTTTTATTTTACATAGAGGCCTATGTCTGTAACGACAATCAACCTTGGGCAGTCAATGACAATCTTGCTTATGGTTTCGCTGCTGCCAGTATTGCTGGTTCAACTGAAGGTGGTTGGTGTTGTTCTTGTGTTGAATTAACATTTACCAGCGGACCTGTCACTGGTAAGAAAATGGTTGTCCAAATTACCAACACAGGTGATGATTTAGGTGAAGACGGTAAAAAGGAGAATCACTTCGACTTATTAATGCCTGGCGGTGGCGTGGGCTTGTTCAACGGTTGTCAACCCCAATGGAACGCGCCTAGCGAAGGTTGGGGTGTACGTTATGGTGGTGTCTGGGCCGCCAACCAATGCCAACAATTACCTGCTGCTCTTCAACCTGGTTGTAACTGGCGTTATGGATGGTTCAAGGGTGCTGATAACCCAAATATGACTTTCAAGGAAGTCACATGTCCCGCAGAAATTGTCGCTAGATCTGGATGTAGTAGACTTTAATAATTACACGACATATAAAGATTATTCCCAAACGTTTATTAAAAGCAAATTATATATTACTATCAAACAATATGACGCTGTCTATTACGTATTTGAGGTGTAATGTGAGGTTTCCTAAATATAAACCAGAAAATTTACTTTCGATAATGTATTTAAGCATATCAGTCCCACGGCCAAAGCTTACTTATTCTAGAAATACAAATACAGTATATGATACGAAGCTGTAAAATTATCTTATTTAATAACTGAGTCTGTTCTTTTACATATTTTGTACACTCTTTGTGAAACAGTTCATAATCCCGTGGGGTTCCTACCATAGACATGCTACATGCAATTTTTCTTTATTATTTTATTTTTAAGAAAAAAGATTATTTGCGATTACAACCAGTTCTAGCCACAATCTCAGCAGGACATGTTACTTGCTTGAAGGTCATATTGGGATTATCGGCTCCCTTGAACCATCCATAACGCCAGTTACAACCAGGTTGAAGAGCAGCAGGCAATTGTTTACATTGGTTGGCGGCCCAGACACCACCATAACGTACACCCCAACCTTCATTAGGGGCATTCCATTGAGGCTTGCAACCATTGAACAAACCCACACCACCACCAGGCATCAACAAATCAAAGTGATTCTCCTTCTTACCAGCTTCACCTAAATCATCACCCGTGTTGGTGATTTGAACGACCATCTTCTTGCCAGCAACAGGACCACTGGTAAATGTCAATTCAACACAAGAACAACACCAACCACCTTCAGTTGAGCCAGCAATACTAGCAGCGGCAAAACCATAAGCGAGATTATCATTGACTGCCCAAGGCTGATTGTTGTTACAAACATAGGCCCCTAACAAATAAAAAATGTCAAGCAATCATGCTGCATCGAAAAATAAAAATGCTTTACCACCACCGGCACATCCACTTTGAACATTGTTTCCAAGAACAGTGACACCATTCTTGGCACATGACTTGACGGGTGAAGTAACATGAGCTTTACCATTCCAACCACAAGAGGGTTTACAGCAATCCCAGTAACGTGTCGTAGAACTCTTACCAGAGATACCGCCCTTGATGTAACTGTAAGCTTCGGTTACTGAACTTAACGAAACAAGAAGTGCGAGAGAGGCTAAACTAACAGAGAGCTTCATTTAATGAAATAATAATATGATTGAGAACAATTAAAATTAATACTTTACCAAAGAAAATTAAGGCTACTTTTATATACACACACAAACACACACACAATGGTTACACCCTTCATATGTCAAAAAAAAATAGCATTCGTCACTCCGGGGCATGTATGCTGTGTCCATCGCACAAGATGCATCTCGGGAAGTGGTAATTTATGCATTCAAAATGACAGTGCATAATTTGGGTGCCATTTTTTCATAAGCATAATTAAAACTTTTTTTTTCTTCAGTAAGGAACAAATCAAAGACTCAGGATCCCACACCCGGCACATATATCATAAAAGTAAAGAGTTGAACAAACACAAGTAACACAAACCCGACAAAGATGTTTAATAGTAACCAAAGCAAAAATAAAATCAAGGTTCGAATTAGGTACTTTTTTTCAAAAAAAAAAAAAAGAACCTACGAATGGGTCGAAAAGATTGCTTAAATCATACCGGACATATCCCAACGTAAATTAGTTACATAATCAACTGCTACTAAAATCAATATGGAATTTCTGTGACCTCTCAGGCTGAGATTAATCACACTAAAAATAGAAAAAGAACACGGAAGGATTTAATAAATGTCATCCAGTGGTAGAGTTACTTAATAAAAAGGTTTGACTAAATGACCAATTATTATTATACGCAACTCATTTTGTACAACGCTGGACATTAAGAGGTCTTAAATTTTTGTGCCCGTACATGAAAATGTAGATTTTGTGCTATATTTACAGTTCATGAAAGTATTAGTAAATACACCCAAGATTAATAGTAGACAAAATAAACTATTGTGTATGTGTATTTACTTGATTAAAATAACTTATCTGGAATATATATGTATATGTATATATATATTATATCTAACTAAGGTAGTAGACTATAAACGCGTTGGTATCATTATGAAGGATAAATATAATTTTGTTTCATATTACTCATATAAAAACAAAAGACTGCTATGATTTACATAATTAATCACGTTTGTTAAATCATATGTTTAAAGGTGAGAGCTGAACTTGATATGTAGTGAATATACTCGATTATGGCTCGTCCTATGTACATGCCCCAGATTTTGATTCTATCATTGATGTCAGATCAACGCAACAGTCAAAAGCGAATCTAGTCTATTTTATATATCCAGAGTGTAAAAACGAAGAATCTTGTAGCAACACGAAGAATAATAGCTTTCCTACTATTGACATGATACAGCTTACACATAGTTTTTTATTTACTGTTATTTTAATTGTAGTTACAACTAGCTCTAGCCACAATTACACAGGGCATGCTGCTTATCGGAAGGTCCCTGTCGGGATTATCAGTTCTTTGGAACCACGTGTCACCAATTGCAAACAGATTGGAGCGCATTGGACAGTTACTTATACTGGTAGATAAATAGCTTACTATGCAGTTCAAACATAGTTACCCGCTATAATGATCCATTGCTCATCATACACGATTGGGCAGACGAAGTAACATGAGGCCTTACCGTTCCAATCACATCAGCATTAGATAATACGCTTTGGAATTCTTACCAAAAGCATAAATGAATAGACTTTTGGGTTACCGACAAGCTAGTGAAAGAATGAAAAGAGAGCAAAGCTAAACTAACTAGTAGGGGCTTTATGAGAACAATGAAATTGAAAATGTCTAGTTTTCTGTAGATATAAGCAGGAGTATACTTTGTACGTGTTGGAAAGCCGTGTATTCATCTCCAAATATTTATGATATGCCCTATGGTACAAGATAAAATGACAGTGCATGATTTGGGGGTGACATTTTTTCATAATGAATATAAAGTTTTTTTTTTTTTTTCATGACGTTGAACAAATCAAATGGTCCGAATGGACACATGTCGTGTTTTTTCCCCAAATGTAAGTAATAGAGTTTTAAACTGTGAGACACAATGTGACTTTTTTAATGCATTGTTGAGCTCGAACCAACAATAAGAAAGAGTGTTTCATTAACAGGTAAAATAAATAGGGTCGAAACTTAAATATTTTTTATTATTTACAATGGGTCGGAGAGATTACTCTGGTCATCCCACATATCCCAAAGTGAGTTTGTAATCTCTGTATCACGCCGTAAAGTATCCGGATCCTGGAATAAGATGATGTCAATGGCAACTCTATTTCTTGCTTTTTCTAACCGATGATATAATTGAGCGCAGGCCTCGACGGAGGACACCTTTTGAAATCGAAGTGGATCCAATAAACCGTCCAAGTTCTGCTCACCAGTATCATCTATATGAAGTGTGCTCCTGTGACCTGTCAAGTGAGGTTCGACAGCATATTCTGCAAGCATCGTCGTCACTGCTCGACGCATCCCCAGCGGAGATCGATGCTTCTTTTTGTAGATGAATTCCGACTGTGATCGACGTTTGGGGTAAAAAAGTGAGGATAGGCTTGATTTTTGTCGTACGCTCGTCATGGATTGTTGCAACTCTGTTCTAGTGGGTGTGGTTACATCACGGATATAGATCTTTAAGATTTGTTCAGGGTATTCTATGGCTATGCGGGTATATATCTCTAAATCTATTTCACCAGAGTCTCCAATCAAGATAAAATGACGGTGTGGAAAGTCGCGCAAAATATCTAGAATTGCCTCTCGTTTGGCTTGACCCGGTGTTTCAACCAATCGTGCGATTAGTTTACCATCATCACGAAGATGCATTGAGCCAGGAGGAAACTGGGAGTCACGTATAAAACTGTCCAACATGGGCATCAGTTGAAACGGACTATTCGACACATAATGAAAAGAAGCGCCTTGAGAATACTGCAATGAATTAAAAGTAATGAATTAAAAACCATCCTATCGTTATTATTCTAGCAAGAAAAAAAAAAGGTCTTACCCAAGACATATATGCATCTGCCATGCCAGTCACCCCTTTGGTAGGTTCAAAGAAGGTCTTTGATAAGACGGTTCTAGCACCTGCTTTAATTTGTGTATCCTTAATTGTATCATCGATATCTGAAATGATGGAAATTCCCGTGGGTTCGATTAAACTCACAACATTATGATTCGGAGAGAATTTGTTATTTTCAATACAGACAGATTGAATCTTGATCAGTCTTGCATCACACTGATTTTGTTCTTGCGCCCAATTGAGTACATGATCATGCGGGATGGAGAAATGGCCGCGTAAAAATCCAGATCCCTTTGTACGTAGTCGTACTTGGCCCTCCTCTATTTCTTGTGGTTGGTCTATACTGCTACTACTGGTTGTGGATGTTGTAGAGGCCTTTCGATTGTAATTAATGTCAAAGTAATTGCCATCAAGGACAGATGATATTGGGTTGGATGGCCTCGGTAATAAGTGTGGATCATCATACGAGTTCCAATCCTCCTCCTCATCGTCGTCCTCATCATCATCTGTAGGTGGTGTGATGGGTAAAGAGATAGACTGATTTATACTGGATTTCTTTGTGATGGAATCATATGTGAGTAATTGATTAAATCGGGTTGACAACATGTTTAATGAATCCTCGAATAAGGGTGGATAGATAAATTGTTGTTCATGCTGTGTCATTTTGCGAGACTCTTCTAGTGTTGTCGTACCAACTGCCTGTATTAAAAACTGGACATGTCGTTTATTTGTAGCTAAAAAGTATTTGAAACGGTCTTCAAACAATTGCGAAGAATTTCGATCCACACTTGATTTTCCTGCTACACTTTTTGTGATACCTAAGTATTTTCTGAGATGAATATAAAAATGTCATGGGGAAAAAAAAAAAAAAAAAATAGTGCGTTACCCATCATCATTTTTTGTTTGGTTGTCGAGCTGTTATGAGACAAGGCCCATCCTTTGGCTCGAATCACCCATTTTTTACCGTCTATTTACTGTTAGTGATGACAACACAGTTTCTGCAATTCTCATATTTTACCTTTGGGGTCTCGTTTGGCATATGTTGGGAATAATAAGCATTCTCTATTTGAATACAATGTTTCTTCTCCGAATAATGAAAGGTTATTTGTTGAGTCGCGCGTCATGAATTAAAGTTATAAAGGAAAGTAAAAAGAGAAGAAGGAAAAAAGGCTGAATAAAATAATGGATGGATTTATATATATATATATATACGGGGGAAACAACCAATGGGGATGATTTTTGGGTACCTTAAATCACATGAACAAAAAGCCCTATTGTATATTATTTGTTTATACGCATCTTTTTTTCTATTCTAGCACCCCCCAAAGTTTCACGCCATCTTTTTTAACTTACAGTGAAACTCTTTATGATGATTGTTCCATCCCAATTATTTGTAGTCAACTTAGCATTAAGAATAAGGTTTTTATCATTCCCGTCCGTATGCTGCTCTGTTATTATTCATCATCATCCAAAGGATCGCTGATGTAACCGAACAAATAATTACATCCCGTCATTGCTCTTTTTAAGAAATCCATTCGGAATTACGCCTTTTACAAATCATTGGCCAAACAAAACGGGTAATAAACACATATTTCGGTCTTCCGTCGCTCTTTTTGCGGTCGGACCACTTCGCCCTTCTTTGATTTTTGTTCCGTGCCATGTCACTTCGTTGCTAATCTTTTAATCTTGTCGCAGATCCCACTAATCATCTCGCCGAAGTACACATTGGGAAAATACGTAAAAGTCGGTAAAAAGCGGTGCGGGTCAAATTGTATAGAGTCAAAACGTTTATTTGCGATTATCTCCGACTTTTGGGACGCACGAGGTCACCGGGAAAAAGTATGCCTTTTGCGTGTTTTGATGTTTAACAGAAGTACTTATTTATTATAATTTAAAAGAAAAACTTTAACTTTATAAACTTGGTTTGAATTATGATTTCTTGATGATGCCAACTTTGCAAGAATTAACCTAAAATATTAAGATTAATAAAATATTCATTAACAAAGAAGGCTTTTTTCTTCTTTCTCTTACCTTAGTTGCAAAACGTAAAGAAGAAATTGATTCGTCAAAGTGTTCCAGTTTGGGCGATACGTTGACAAACATCAATGTCTTACAGTTTCCACCCAAAGAATTACGAAGTAACCAAGTTAATTTAGAGTTTCGATAAGGGATATGCCCACCTTCCTTATTATTCACCAACGCATGAATGACATCACCCAAACAACTTAAACTTTGATTGATGGATTTGGTTTCTGCCAGTCGATCACCCTCTGAACCTGATGAAGATAATCGTTCGGAACCAGCCAAATCAATCAAATTTAAAATACCCGCAGTGTGTTCACCGGTCAATGTATTATGCCCTGTCAATTTCAAGGTAAACACACTGTGACTTCGGGAGGATCGTTCATTCATCTTGGTGGCTCCTGTCGCACGATTCTGACTTGCCTTCTTCAACATTTGTTTCACTTGGGACGGTGATTCTAATTTGACTGTACTCATCTCACTGACCGTCGTATTCCCTTTCGCATCATGATGAATTTCATGCTTGATCTGGCCATATTTCGTGGCATCCCCTAATAAATCATGAATCGTCTTGTTGTAGATCTCTAAAAACTGTCCTTCCATCGTGTACTCCCATCCTACACGCTTCAACTTTTGTGCAACATCGTAGATTTGTTGTACAGCACGAGGAATCATACCCACTGTCTCTTCTGTAATATCAGGAGGCCCCTCCATCGTATACGTCTTGCCACTACCCGTTTGTCCGTAAGCAAAGATGCAGACGTTGAATCCATCCAAAGCAGACTGTACTAACTGTGAAATCTCCACAAAGCAATCCTGTTGGGTGGCAGTAGGCGAAAATACACGATCAAATGAAAATGAGTGTGATTTGTTAGAGGTCCTTCCAAGCGCTGTTGACACTTGTTCCGATAATTCCATCTTTTCTTTATCCTCGCCAAAGTATCGGATCTTTGTCAATTCATCCTCTGCTTGACTCACTAGATAGATAATATTAGCTTGATAAAAAAAAAAGTATACACCACAATATACTACCTTGTCGAACTCGGCAAAAGACTCGAATGTTACCCTTCAAATCTTGGATTTTGTTGTGAAGCTTTCGACGGAGCTTCTCTTGACCGAATAATGCCTTTTCCAGGCCTTCCACTGAGTTTTCTGTAGTGTCATATTCCATGGACAAGCTCTTTACAAGATCATCATGTTCATTTAAAGCAGAATCCGCACTCTACCAATTTCCTTTTAGTTCTTCCCTTTCAGTCAACATAAATATATATGTATATTACCTTCAATTTCATTTGCCAGTCATGCAAGTTGGCGCCTACTTCAGCATACGACTTTGTTGCCGTTTCCAAGCTTTTCTTGAGCACTTCATTTTCAAGATCGGCATCGTTTTTTGACTCCACGATAGACTTCACTTCTGTTTGCATACTGTCACGCTCTTTTTCCAATGATGAGTATTTAATTTGATTTATCGCATTTTGTTGAATTAAATCCTTGTTCTTGATCATGTATTTTTCTTTAATCTTTTGGGTCTCTTGCTCACATCGTTCTTTCGTATTGGCTAACGCTGTTTCTAAATCCTGGACCTTCTGTTGTGCAACTTCTAATAATGTCATTTTTGACTTGACTGTAGACTGTAAAGAATCGTGTACCTTTTCGATTTCAAGAACTAGTTTAAGAGAAAGAGAAAAAAGAAAAAGAGTTCAGGATATATATTTTTTTTTTTTTTTTTTTTTTTTTTTGAATGTGTATTCTCATCCTACCTTGCTCTCCAGTCAGTTCAAGCTGTGATTGAAGATAATTCAATTTTCCTTTGATATCTCCAGGGAATTTAGGCATCCTCACAGGCTGTTTTTTTGTTACACCGTGTGTGATAGTAGCAGCTGGTCGTTTCACTGCCGTTTTATCCACATTAGAGAATCGTGAGCTTCCAAGTGAAGGTCGTAACGGGGTGCTTTTGGTGGAATTTCCATTTAATGATAGTTTTTTTGTTGTTGTAGCAGAACCTAGCGACAGTTTCTTTCTTATGGGCGTCATGTTAGACCCCAAAGAGAGTTTCTTTAAGGGTGTACTGGAACCTAATGATAACTTCTTTGCAGGTACATTGGAACCCAATGAAAGCTTCTTTGCAGGTGCATTGGAGCCCAAAGAAAGCTTCTTTGCAGGTATGTTGGGACCCAATGCGGGTGTGCTGGACAGTGATGTTGTTAAAGTACTAGGATTTGTTGTCGTTGTATTCGAACCCAACGAGAGTTTCTTTACTGGACCCGTGCTACGTCCCATTTCAGTAGTTGTTGACACCGAAGCTTGTACTTTTGGTGCCGTATCAGAGCCCTTTAGTGTTTCTGTGTCTGCCACTTTAGAAGATCTGCTGATTCTTTTGGGCACAGGAGGTTTCTTTGTCAAGCTAGTAGAAGGTGCAGAAGAAGGTGAGACTTTTTTATATCGACTGGCTATTGTGGTTCGAACAGGTATACGCGGTGCTCCGTTCAACTTGGTTCTCTGTCGCTTGATTTCAGTGGGTGAATCATTCACTCGTTTTAAACCGCTAGTCTTGTTGTCCATTGAAGTTTTTTTAGATTTAATTACGAGGTTTTTTTTTTTTTAGAAAAAAAAAAGGAGAGGTAAGTCAATTTAAAAAACACGTCTATCCTCTACCCGTACCTCAAAAAAACAGTGACGCCTAAATATTTAGAAATAGCAAATAAGTGACAGCATTACTTGAAATTGAGACAGTTTTAGTGTTTTTTTTGGACAAACCAAGATTTATATTTAGACAAAGAGAAAATAAAATTTAGATAGAAGACAACTAACTTTGAGATGAAAGGAGATAATTGTTCATAATTTTCACTTGTAAAAATCTTAATTCTTTTTCAAGGGGAAATTACGCTCAATACGGCAATTTGTGAATCAAATTCGTTAACAACGTAAAAAAAAAAAAAAAAAAAAAAAAAAATTGAGCTTACCATTTAAATGTATCTATGTTTGACCTGGGATAACAGGCCTGTTTTAATTGCGACATTGACGAACATTTTTGATGTTTTCTTGATCAATTTGGGTCCTTGCTCTTCTCCGTTGGGAAAGCCTCTCCACCTCGAAATCTTGGGGGAAATGCTATTTCCAGCACGAAGTGAACGAACAATATCAACCATGTTCAAGCAAGCAGCCATATCGCAATTCCATAGACGAGTAACAATCCTATTTGTGTTATTAGTCAGGACTCTACAACCTTGATTTGTACATCTGTCACAGGAACAAAAAAAAAATAGATAGAAAAAATATTAACAAGTGAAATAACATACCTTAAGAGACTATGTCTAGTTACACGAGGATTTGCTCTTCGTCTATGAAGGCGCGGGTTATCGACCATTCAAAACGTTTCAAGACTTTTGCGTTCATAGGCTGGGCAGCATTGACTTGTCCTAAATTTATTAATCAAGTACACCCTTTTACCAGCTTTTTGATGCAGCCGACGGAATCTAAGGCCCCGGAATCGGCTTATGAAATCTTGCATTAGGAGCAGACCAGTTACTCATGACATAAACAGCTTCGACAACAAACTGTTCATCTAGTTTTGCAATGACATCCTCGTTTCCTATCTGTCTTTTAAAATAGGCAGCTAGCCGCAGTTTTCTGTGCAAAGGATGAGCAGTACGATGGTTGATTCAGAAGTTGGCATAGTGGTTTTGGATGATGCCTGTCACATTAGACCTGTTTGGTAAAGAGAAACTTGTTTTGATTGTTTGCGGTTGAGTTTTCATGCACAATAAATATCAAATCTCTTCGTCTAGGATCAATTGTAACACATCTGCCAACAGTTTCTTGAGTAATTTCTTGTGAAATGTACTGAGTTTGTTCAACCACAACAGCAAAACGAGCAGTGTATCTGCTTTCACGATCCATTCTTTTCTTGATCACAGTAACACCTACTCCGTCTTATTAAGTAGTTCCTCTAAACTAGAGCTCGCCATTATTTTTTATCAGCTGTATAATCATATCAATGTATAATAAATGGACCATTTATATTAATAGCTGCTCTATTCTCTCTATGGGTAGCTAATCGATCATCCTATGAAGATGACATGGCATGTCAATCGACGTACCCATTTTTCGTACATTTATGTGTATACCATCACGTGATTCTAAAAAGACTTTGGAAAGAAGTTCAGAGGTCTAGAAAAATTAAAAAAAGACGTAAATGTAGATATTTTCTTGGCACACAAAAGCAATCCCGTGATTATAAAAAAGATTGGAAATTTATAATGGTTCAAAATAAAAAATTTGATTTTTTTACGTTGATTTTCAAATACAAAAACACTGTATCTAATCCAACATATTAAATGGGAGCATTAACTTTCAAGAAAGCCATATTTTCGTTTTGTCCAAAAAAGGCAAGTTGAGCATCTATAATTTGGGGGATGATGATTTTTTTTGTTCAGCATGTGGCTGGGATCTAAAGTGAAAATAGATAGATTTCCTTTTATGAAGCACAATGTTTTCATTGTTTTTTTTTTATATAATTATTCTTTTCATCTTCACTTACACAAAAGAAAATACACATCAGAATGGGACAAGCAACATCTTCACCAAATGCATTATCATTTTTTCAGAAAGTCACTAATTCCGAGAAAAGCGAATATAAAGATATTTCCAACAAATTTTCAAAGGCTACGTTATCGACCTTGACCGTTCCTGTAATTGTTATAGCCTATCCTGCCCTGAACGCATATGCATTTCATGATATGGGAATTACAGGTCATCGTGTGGTTGATGTAGCTATAGGTGGCCTTTTAGGTGTCATTGCATGTAAAATCATCAGAAGCCTTGATAATGTTAACAGATACTAATTAATTGATTTAGGGCCATTATCTCCGTTTCTTGCTATTTGGGGTGCTGTCCAGATAAACTTTAAGGATAAACCGCCTGTACCATTACCCATCGCACCAGAATTGTTATTAAAAGCACAACAAGACATAAAATTAAATACGACCTCATTTTATAATGTAGCAGTAGTAGGGGTCTCTGGAAACGGAAAGGTAAAAAAAAAAAGATCATTTTGTTTTCGATCAGAATCATGTGGTTGATTTCCATTTTTAAAATCAGAGTTCCATTGTGAACGCAATACTGGGATACAAGGATAACGAACCAAGATCAGCCAAAGTGGGTGAGATAGAGACAACAGCTAGACCCTCATCATATCAACATCCCGATTTAGCCACCATGGTTATTTGGGATATGCCAGGCGTCGGTACACAAAGGCATCCCATGGATACGTATTTCGATAAGCACTACTTGTATGCCTTTGATTTACTTGTTATTGTGCTGGGAAACAGGTAAATTGATGAATTTTTTGAGATTTGGGTCAGAGTTAACAACTTTTCTTCCTCCAAGACTGATGCAGTATGATATTGATATCGCATTAAAGGCAAAAGAGCACAAGATTCCAGTTTTGTATGTTCGCAGTAAATCTGATCAGGTTAATATTTTTGCTTAATTTTTTTTTTTGGCGTGTGACCCCCCCCACTAAATACAAATATACAGGGTATCAAAAGCAAGATGAAGAGAAACGAAGGAAATGAAAACTATACTGAAATGATGGCTGCTGGAGAACTGGTGAATGAAGTAAAAAAAAAAAAAAAATTGTATTGATACTTGAACTGGATGGTTTTCATTAAAATAGCTAATTAGGTCAAGGATTCCGTGTTTTCTCAGCTACGCCAGCATCAATTAAACACTCGAAAATTATTTATAGTCTCTGCAATCAAGTTGAAATTATTTGTGGCGACCATCAACAAAAAGGAAAGAAGAAAGGCGATTACGTTAATTGACGAAGAAAGGTTTATGACTGCACTGATTGAAGGTGTCGTGAATAAAAGACAGTATTTACAGAAAATGGCAAAGGCAGAGGAGAGGAAAAGAAGAAAGCAAGAGAAACATAATAGTAAACAAACCGTCAGTAACACGAGCAACATTTCAGCCGACAGCATGGCTTGATGTCACTCGTGGTGTGTGTAGCCATTTCCACCCCCAATCACGTAGAGACATGTCCGTAAAAAGAATCAAAAGTATTTAGACAGAATGGAAGAAAAATAATATAATAAAAAAAAAATTCAGACGACGGAACAGTGTAAACTGGTCTTAATACAATGCATTTATATCTCTCAGAGTGTCGTATCCAACCAACGCAATCTTCTGTGGTAATAGTCCGAAGGTGGAAAACGGACTTCTTTTGATCTTTTGGCCATCACCCCTTCCATTGGGTTCAAAAATGATGATAAATAAAGGTTTATAGCCTCTGCTTTCAATTGCATCCATCGTGTATTGAAAATAATGAATTCTGAAGTATGCCATGATGTTTTAAAAAGTCATGCCTATTGTACGTGTCCAGGATATCCATGACGTTTCGAACGAAACTTACAGCACGATACGTACCTGTTTTTTTAAGGCTTTTCTTTTATTATTTTGTCTTAAAAAGGTAAGCTATCGTTTGAAAAGTGAATTTTGATTCGTCAGAAAGAAAAGAAGTGCTGTCTACATTTCAAGTTGGTTCTAACTTTACTTGTAAGTAATAAATACTTTTATAAATATAAACTTTTTTGATTGCATAATGTTTATTTTCTGTTCAAGAATGGTCTTTTGGAATTCTTTCTATTTATAACGGCGTAAACACGATTGGCATGAAATATGCAAGTAAAAAAAAAAAAAAAAATTGACAATATTCTAATTACATCCCCTCCGTTCCTTTACCTGGCTTTTTTTTTTTTCTTTTTATTCATTTTTAATTCAATGTATAGACTATCCAGACTATTGAATGTCCCAAAACTGCGTATAAACCGTGCAGGTTTTGCCAAACACGCTAGTATACGTTTATTTGCAAGTCATGACGGATTTTTGCAAGGTAATACAGCCAATTATATCGATGCCATGTATGAGTCCTGGTTAAAAGATCCTACCTCGGTTCATGTATCATGGCAAGCCTATTTTAAAAATATGGCCAACGGTGTTCCATCCAACCAAGCTTTTATTCCACCCCCTACTGACAGTGCAAGATTACCTGAAATGCCTGGTGCTACGTTACCCATGATGAACGAGTCTTCAAAGCAAGTGATTGAACATATGAAAATCCAATTACTCGTAAGAGCGTATCAAGTACGTGGTCATAATATTGCGGATCTGGATCCTTTGCATCTTCAACGCACGATGGCTGAGCATTCTATCCCACCCGAGTTGACATTACAATATTATGGTTTCACGGAAAAGGATTTGGACCGTAAGTTTACTTTGGGTCCTGGTATTTTGTCATCATTAAACAAGACTGAAAAGGAGCTGACATTACGCGAGATTGTTGATGCATTGAAGAAAATGTATTGTAAGTATTTAATCACCCCCCCCCCCTGCCCTTCCGTACGAAATAAATGAACGCGATCACCTAATTATTTCTTTTTTTTTTAAAAAAAAAAGGTGGATCCATTGGTATTGAATATGTTCATATCCCAGACCGAGCACAATGTGATTGGATTCGAGCAAGATTTGAAAAACCAGAGCCATACAAGTATACAGCGGATGAAAAGAAACGAATTCTGGATCGATTAACTTGGTCGGATAGTTTTGAGCGCTTTGTAGCCTCCAAATATCCTTCTGAGAAAAGATTTGGTCTTGAAGGTGGAGAGACCTTGATTCCTGGTATGAAGGCCTTGATTGATCGCTCTGTGGATCATGGTGTGACCAACATTGTGATTGGTATGCCACATCGTGGTCGTTTAAACGTGCTTTCAAACGTTGTCCGAAAACCCAACGAATCCATCTTTTGTGAATTCAGTGGATCGGTGGAGCCCAATGATGAAGGATCCGGGGATGTCAAGTATCATTTGGGTATGAATTATGTACGTCCAACACCTTCGGGTAAACGTGTTCATCTCTCCTTGGTTGCCAACCCATCTCATTTGGAGGCGGTGGATCCGGTGGTATTAGGAAAGACAAAGGCGCTTCAGTTTTATAATAAGGATACGGATGGTTCTCATTCCATGTCGATTTTGATGCACGGTGATGCTGCGTTTGCTGGTCAAGGTGTGGTTTATGAGACAATGGGGTTCTATGATTTACCCTCGTATTCAACAGGTGGTACCATACATATCGTCGTGAATAATCAAATCGGATTTACAACAGACCCAAGATTTGGTCGATCGACCCAGTATTGTACGGATATTGCAAAATCCATCAATGCCCCTGTATTTCACGTGAATGGTGATGATGTAGAGGCAGTAACGTTTGTAATGCAAATGGCTGCTGATTGGAGACAAACGTTCCATAAGGACTGCGTGATTGATTTAGTTTGTTATCGAAAGCACGGCCATAATGAAACTGATCAACCCATGTTTACCCAACCTTTGATGTATCAAGCGATTGCCAAGATGAAGCCAGTAGCTCAAAAGTACGAAGAGCAATTATCTAAAGAAGGAGCGTTTACCACAAAACAAATTGAAGAACAAAAGAAGAGTATCTGGGAGACTTTAGAGGAAAGTTACGTGGCCAGTAAAAGTTACAAGCCTAGCTCAAGAGAGTGGTTATCGAGCAGCTGGCCTGGATTTAAATCCCCCAAGGAACTCGCTACAGAAATCTTGCCTCAGTACCCAACAGGTGTCACTTCTGAAGTGATGCAAACGGTTGGAAAAGCCATGACGACGCTTCCCCAAAATTTTACAGCCCATCGTAATATCGTGCGTATTCTCCAAGCGCGCGAAAAGAGTTTGAAATCAGGCACGGATATTGATTGGTCGACAGCGGAAGGTCTAGCGTGGGGTTCCTTATTGCTAGAGAATAAACATGTGCGTGTATCAGGTCAAGATGTTGAACGTGGTACATTTTCTCAACGTCATGCGGTGTTACATGATCAAAAGTCAGATGCAAAGACCACATTACTGAACAATGTCAGTCCCGAACAAGGTGTTCTTTCAATTTCCAACTCCTCCTTATCAGAGTATGGTGTACTTGGATTTGAATTGGGGTATTCTCTTGTGGATCCGAATTCCTTGGTTGTATGGGAAGCTCAATTTGGAGATTTTGCAAACACTGCCCAGGTCATTGTAGATCAGTTTTTAGCAGCAGGGGAACAAAAGTGGCTTCAACGTACAGGTTTAGTCATGTCTTTACCTCATGGATATGATGGACAAGGACCCGAGCATTCATCTGCGCGTATTGAGAGATATCTTCAATTATGTGATGAAAATCCCTATGTCTATCCAACTGCCGAGAAACTTGCTAGACAACACCAAGATTGTAACATGCAAGTGGTGTATGCCTCTACGCCATCCCAATATTTCCATGTGCTACGTCGACAAATCTGCAGAGACTATCGAAAACCCTTAATCTTGCCCTTTTCCAAGTCCATGCTTCGTCATCCATTGGCTAAATCCAGCCTTTCCGAAATGATGGGTGATACTACCTTTCAACTCTATCTACCTGAATCGCACCCTGAGAGCCTAGTAGCACCCGAACAGATCAAGAAGCATATTTACTGCTCGGGACAAGTGTATTATGCGCTTTTAAAAGCACGTGAACAGAACAAGATGAATGATATTGCTATTTCTCGTGTTGAACAACTGAACCCGTTTCCGTTCCAACAGATCAAGGAGCATGCTGATACATATCCTAACGCCGAAATAGTATGGTGTCAAGAAGAGCCTCTTAATATGGGAAGTTGGCAACATGTGGAACCTAGGTTGACTACAGCGTTATCAGAGACATCACATCATGCTGGCAAATCGCCCATGTATGCTGGTCGACCCCCATCAGCCTCTGTTGCAACTGGTAATAAGAAGAAGCATTTGAAGGAGGAATATACATTTTTAAGTGAGGCTTTGATAGGAAAAGCGACTGAACCCAAGAAGATTGAAGGTGGAATTCCACTTTGGTAACTCCCCCTTCTCTAATATTTTTTTTTTTTTTTTGGGAAATAAAAATAAAAATAAAAATAAATTCTGTTTTATAGAATCGCACTCATTGGGCGATCTGATGTTTAATACGAGCTCGAAATTTGGTCCACTGTCGTACAACCGAACTAGAGTATTGTTTCCTTGAATTCTTCGGTTTCCAAGTTAATTTATAATAAGATGGTCGTCGGGGAGAGGGGGGAAATAGCTTTCTTTTTTTTCTTTAATTTTCTTTCTTTTTCTTCTTCTTCTTAAATGTTCTTGTTGCCATGAACCATAAATTTATTCTATCGACGTTACTGACATCATTTGTATATCAAATCACAGCTAGTCTGGTGGTTGTTGAATGTACATTTCCATGTTCACAAGGCGAGCAATATGTATGTGAAGTAACAGACAAAAATGTGAGATGCAAGAATAAAACAAACAAGACAAAGTAAAATGACAATTAAAAAAAAAAAAAAAAAAAATTGGGGAAGGGTATTTTCGAAATATTAATATATTTTTTTTTTACAACCCATAGATGGATCTTGGAAAATACGATATCATTACCTCAATACCAAGGCACATTATCAGCCTTGGGACAATCATGTACCATAGCCCCACAACCCAAATTAAAAGATGGGTCACATTCATCCATCAATGCTAGCGAATCAATTATGGAATGGCCACCTCAAGTGGAGATGTCAAATTATGATACCTATTATAGTAACTGCGAGGAATCATTGTACTGCGATAAGGCGCATATATGTGTGAAACAATACACGCATGGACAAGTGTGTGAATCTGATAACCAATGTTTCCAAGGCAGTTGTCAAAACGATACCTGTGTAGCCAGCACAATAAAGAAAAACACAGGTGGATTGGATACCATCCATATCATCTTGACGGTGGTGGGTGTCGTCTTATTTGTTGCACTTTGTGTCGGTGTTTATATCCTCAAGAGGAGAAGAAAGTTGCAGGAGCAGAAGCAGCAGCAACAGCAGAAAACGACAGCTAAAGTCATTGTGCTTAATTCGAGGTCGAATTCCACTAATTCCATGACAAGTAGTGTCCATCACACTGTTACTAATATACTCCAACCTGATTACGAATCGACCTTTTCAGCTCCTCATTCACCAAGTAGGCAGCAACAGGAATTACAAGCTCAACTTCAACGGCAATACGAAGGACAGCTTAAAGTTCCCCCTCCTCCCTATTCTCCATAAACAAATATACCCTCACAAAATAAATTTTTTTGGCACTGGCCTATTATTATTATTCAAACTCAGACGTTTTTTTTTTCTCTTTCTCACATGCTAAAAAAAAAAACATTTGGGCTTGTTAAACAGAACTATCTTTTATTAAGATTTCGTGTGTGTGTGGGGGGGATATGTGAATGATTATAAGAGGTCCCAGATAAAAAATTTACTAATGTTTATCGGGTGTACGGTTAAAAGTGACTAATAGACCCGACATGGAAGAGCTTGATGAATCATGGCGTTCAATTTTAGTGGGTGGTGGTGACTGTGGTTTATGCAATGAAGAGGAAGAGGTAGATGAGGAAGGGGACAAGGTCATATTTGTAAATGAGGTAGGCAACCAACCATCATGATGATTTTGACTGTGATCCTGATGCTCTTCGTGAAGGGAAGGTTCGTGGTGAGACGAAATGGGACTGATGATTGAATTGGTGGGGGATGGATGAATATCAGATAATGAAGATGATTTTGAGCCACGTCTTGTAAACGTGTTTGATATAGAAGAGGAGATACGATGTATGGATTTACGTAATTTGCCTAGGATTGTAACAGCCGAAGATACTTCTTCGTCTGTTACATGGACAGTCTTATAAGAGGTAGGATCTGACTCTTTCCACCATATCGATGGGTCTTCCAAATCCTGTATGACCCATACATGGTGTTTTACCCCATCCAAGGTGATTCGTTCATCTGGATCCTTTGTTAATAACTTTGATAATAGGTCCATGAGTTCATGAGGTGTTTCAAACCCTATTTGTTCTACGGTTGGAAACGAAAGAGGTAAAGTGGGTATGATATCAAACAATTCAAATTCGGTAGAAGCAGTAAATGGGCATTGACCATAGATCAAACAATAAAGCGTGACACCGAGTGCCCACACATCAATTGCTTTGGTAATGTGTTTCTCATCATGATTATTTTCTACTGAGCTACATAGTTCAGGAGCAAAAAATGCGGGTGTACCTGCTGTTTCTGCTAATTCTCGATCAATTTCGTCGTCATATTGTTCCACATGTCCTGCTAAATGTTGATTAAAATAAGATACACCAAAATCTGATATCTTTACAATGCGATCTCTTGTTAATAATAAGTTGGCTGGTTTAATATCTCTGTGTATAATTCCTTGGTAATGCACTAAGAAGGAGAAGGAGGGGTTGTATTAGGATTCATCCCAATAGAAACCACACAATTCGAGGAGTGGGGTGGGGGTGTGCTTACTTACGATAATCAAGTCCACTCACAACATCTCGAAATATGTCACGTGCTTCAGACATGGATAGTACGGGTATATTACTCTCATCGTCTTGTCTCCATATAATTTCACCACCTTCCATGTATTCCAACGCTAACATAGAATGTATGTAAATGGAAAATGTATACTTATTAATAATATAAACGTAAACCCTTACCCAAATAAATCTTACGGCTGGCTGGATCATCAATGACTTCACGTAAGCGAACGACATGAGGATGAGCGCACTTTTTTAATATGGCGATTTCTCTTCTGATCTTTTGTTCGCTTTCAGAAAATGGGCTTTCGCCTGTTGATTTGGCTCTTAGAACGCTATAACCTAATTGTCTCCGTCGAGATTGTTTATCAACAATTTTAATCGCCTTGGGAGAAAAAGGGAGTTTTTTTATATGAGATATAAAGGAGTAGAAATCTATAAAAAAGGACTTACAACAAGTTCTCCTGTGTCTAGGTCTTGGGCTAATTTGACCTTGCCATGCATTCCTCTTCCAATCTCTTTTATAATCATAAAGTTATTGATTATTTTGTTTCCAGTTTCTGGGTCATATTCTTTATAAATGGTGTTTGTTGTTAATACTTTTGGGCTGGAAGGAGTCTGTTTAAAGAAGGAAAGGCGACGAAAAGAGCGCTTCTTTACGGGTGCTGAGCTTGTTTCTCCATTATGCATTATTAAGACAAGAAAGAAAAAAAAAAGAGAGAGAGAGAGAGAGTTAAAATTACAGCTAAAAAAAAAAGTTGATTTTTCTGTAATAACTGTAAGAAAAGGGCGGGGAATAAACTACACCCAAAGAAGGTCGTGTTTGTAATTTTTCTTGTCAACTAAATTTAGATTTAAATAACATACTTTTGGGATTAACTTTTGTAGGTAGTAACTATTCCAAATTTATCAGTATTCAGTGTACCATAAGCTACAAGTGCTTAATAGGAGTCATGTCTGTGTACCCAATACAGGATAAGAGGTAGACCCCAACAGAATGGACTTGATGTCTTTCAATAACTATTGGCTATTTTTCATAATCATAAAAGGCTGTCAATTTGTCACAGGGGGAAAGGCAAAGTCGGCTGCAACAAGAGGCACTGGACTGACCAACAAACAAACACACCATCTGTATATGGGGTCCATTGTTTGCTTTTAGAGGGTGGGCTCTTTTATATAAATATAGAAGCACAAAGGGGGATTGTCTTGCAATTCTTTATTTTTATTATTGTTTGATAACTTGCTCTAAACAAGATATAGTTATAAAAAAAGATGGATACGAGACATGTTCTGAGGTAAGATTGGAGTTTGTCTCAGTACTCAGCCATTGTTATTTTAAGGGTGATCCAGTACATTTTAATTAAACTGTCCTTTCGCACTACTGAATAACAAGATATCACCCTTTAAAGAATTGAAAACAGGACCTTTGTATTGGTTTATTCCCCGCCCTTTTATTTTTAGGCAAGTGCTTTTTGTAACACCATTAAAAAAAAAGTAAAAGCGGGTCTTAAATGTACAAGAAAGGATATTTTCTGGTCTTTTTTTAATAAGGTTTTTTTTTTACTTTTCTCCTCTCTCTCTCTCTCTCTCTCTCTCTCTCTCTCTTTCTTTTCTTTTCTATTTTTTCTTATATTTTTCTGTTGGGATTATGAATATTCTTCTCCTTTGTCTATTGTATTTATCCCTAGTCCATGCATCAACACATGTTACAGTGAGTGATTTGAGTAGACAGTTTTGAATAAAGACAAAAAAAAAAAAAGCGAATTACTAATTTATATACAGATATCCAATGAAACTTTTCACGACCGAGCGGCTTCATTTGGTCCCAAATTATCCAGTAACGGAAAGATTGGATTTATGATTGAACCAGCACAAGACCCTACCGGATGTAGCCTCGTTACCCCACCAAGTACAGACTGGATAGCCCTTTTATCAAGAGGGGGTTGCTCATTTATAACCAAGGTGAGATATATGCAGAAAAGTGGTGCGATAGCTGTAGTCATTGGCGATCCCAACAATCCTGGTTGGATTACAATGTACTCTCCTGGTAAAATAATAATAATTCACTCTTGTCCCCACCCCCCTTGAACTAGTCATTTTAATCATTCTTTTTTTTTTTTTACTGAGTAGACGATACAACAGACATTATGATCCCAAGTGTATTTTTAGCAAGAAACGAATATAGAAAACTGTTGCATTTATCGAAATTATTAAACACGCCTATGGTAGCAATATTACAGCCGGATGAAAATGTCACTTGGTAAGAAGAAGAAAAATAATGAATTATATATATATATAAAAAAGGGGTTTATCAAGTAAATGTTATGCTGATCATTTCCTTATTTTTTTTGAACCGTAAAGGCCATTGATTGATGTTCTCATTATTGTCATTGTTTCTCCCTGCCTCGTCTTAATTTTAATTTACGCCTCTTGGAAAGCCAGACAAAGCATATTACACAAAAGAGAATTAGCACCTATCTCCGTCGTGTCTAAACTCAACATCAAAGTATTCGATCTACAGGAACAAAAGGAACACGAGGAACGGGAGAGCTGTGCAATATGTTTAGAGGATTACGAATCCGGTAATGAGTTACGGCTCTTACCTTGTAACCATTACTATCATTCTATGTGTGTCGATTTATGGTTGACCACTAAAAAAAAATGCGTAAGTTTTTTTTTTCTGTTTGTACTGCGTTGGGGCTGATAAATAACAAATCTTATTTTTTTTTTTAGTGCCCAATCTGTAAAATGGATGTAACAAACACAGAGGTCACACCGTTACTCTTAGAGGCTGGTATTTTTTAAATTTGTAAATGTTTATTTTTCTTTTTAACCCTTTTGTACATACATCACATATAATAAAAATCTATTTTGTAATTACTTTTGACAGCATGCTAGGATAACTAACATCATTTTATACATATAAATAAAAGGGGAGGTTGACTTCTATCCCCTTCTATTAACAAGCAAGGGATTCTATTTACATGTATAAAGACTCAAGCACATCCAGCGTAATTCAATTTCCTACTTTCTTTCTCTTTTTTTTTTTTTTTTTTTTTTTTTTAGTATGTCCACACTTACAGATGATTCATATAGGGAATTAGCAATTCAGCCATCACTTGTGTATCCATCATTACCAAAATACAACCGTCTACAAACAGATGACGATAACAGACAAACCTGTATTCACTTTGCTTCTAGACTTATTAAACTAAGATCAGAATTAAGATCACCTTCTTACATGAAGTCAACACCGTTATTAAGTAGAGTAAACTCTTTGCCCAATGTAAATCGATATCAACCGGAAGAAGATGACGAACAGAGCATTATTACGTATATCACAGACGAAACCTCCATACCTGTACACTCTAGACGTAAGAACCATCATTATTTAGCACTACCGCCCATTACCTCGAAAAGGTCATTGTCTTTACGTGAAATGACACGACCAATGAAAAACGAGAATCGGTATACTATAGGATTTACAACACAACTGTTTCCATCTGAGATGCAGCATGAGAAGGAGGAGGAGGAGGAGGAGATAGAAAAAAAGAAGGAGGAGGTTGTCATGACACCCACCCCGAGTCATTCAAATAAAAGTGTGTACAGTACCATGAGTAGCGATAGTGAAGATGATTTAAATAATAAAAATCTTATAAAAACAAGAGCGACAGCCTTTTTCGTCTCTTTATCTCCGTGTTCCGCGGCTGCTGCATCAGTCGCTAAATGGAAACGAAGAAACATACGCAAAGGCAAACACTTAATTTAACTCTCTCTCTCTCCCCCCCCCCTTTATTCTCTTTTTCATAAACAATAAAATATGCACATTAATTCACTTTGCTAATTTAGTCATGGTGCCATTTCTCAATTATTTTATCATTGATACGAACCTATTTTTATTTTTTAAAAAAAAAATCGTATTATAAGAAAGACTCTTTTTACAATTTAAGCGTAGAGAGACAAGGCAATTAATACTTTTAAGTCAAAAAGACATCTTTGGCGAGGTTAGTGTCACATAGTGTATCAAGGTTCCAGGGTTCAAAGGGTTTTACAGTTTAATACTCCTGTTACTAAAATCGTCCCAGGTTACACCCGTATACCCACTTGCCTCATTTAGTCTAGTAAACAGAAAGAAGAAGAAAAAAAAGGTTTTTGGCTTAGAAACCGAAATAGGCATTAGTCAGTCCTAAAAGTTTTTTTTTTTTTTTATACGGTGTGTGCTACGCAACGACTACCTATATTTGAACCTACAGTGTAAACATTTAAGGATTTCTTTGTTCCTTTTGGCACAATATCTTAAACTAAACATATCAAAATAAAAAATAAATCCATGATGGAATAACAGCAGTAGCACTTCTTTAATTAAAAAAAAAAAAAAAAAAAAAAAACAGAAACGCCACCTGTATGCATCTTAATTGAAGCGCCGGTCGTTTCGTACACAATAGGTCTGTCGGTTAAAATCAAACCGATAATAGACGTTTCAATCTCGGATCGGGGGGTTGGGCCCAAAGGAGTAATAAACCAAACTTTGTACAAAAAGAAAAAAGATTTATTAGAGTTTATATTATTGTTTAAAAGTATTTGATGTGAGTATCATCATGCTATTGCAATTGACAAATCAATAATAAAATTTCAGCCAGCATGAATTCGACAATAACCTTTTTGTTGGATTATCAATACTTTGTGGTGTCAAATCACCAGTAAGAATTTAATCAATATCTAACCTCCACTTGACACTTTTTTTTTTTTTTTTCAAAAAGTTTATAGGAAAGAAAAGTTCAATTGGTTGAATATAAATAACAATCTCGAATACACTTCTGTAAAAGATAGTTCAACATCTTCTCATAGAACGTAATTGTACAAGAAGCAGTTTGCATTTTTGCCCCATGAATTCAAAATGACGCAGTTAAACTTTTTAATTCATGCTCTTTTTAGCTTCTAATCACCCCCCCCCGCAACAATCAAATGTTTTATTTTTATTCTGCTCTTGCCGACGGATTCCTTATCTACAATATTGGTCTAGAAAGTTCAATATGACCTTTACGCGAGGGGGTGAGCGGCATATTATATCAATTTACCCGTTGACGTACATGAAAAAAGCGGGCCCACATAATCTCAGGTATAACTCTATAACTTCTTGAAAGATTGTTTCATGATGAAATTGTATTTAAAAGGCCGGGCATCGTTATCGAACTAGGGACTACGTCAATGTACGTCCAGTCCAAATCATTTCAAGTGTTGATGCTTGTAGAGATGTTGGAAGTTTAACTGGATAAGATACATCTTATTTCATCCTTGTTGTAGTCAATAGCTTTCTTTATCTGCCTACTTTGAATACAGCGGCTCCACCCCCAAAGTTCGTTTTCCAATTTCATAAATTCGCTTTTGTCGCAGCCCAAAGTTCGCTTCTTGATTGGTCAAAGTTCGTTTTTTGTAAATCACCCAAATTCGCTTTGGTGGCACCCAAAGTTCGTTTTCACGTCAGAAGAGTTCGCTTTTAAAAATTACAGGATTATGAGATAATGTTATGAGAGATAATGTTATGAGAGATAATGTTATGAGAGATAATGTTATGAGAGATAATGTTATGAGAAAAAAAAATGTTATGAGGAAAAAAAAATGTTATGAGAAAATGTAATGAGAAAATGTTAGAGTGCATCTGCTTTTCAGTAGTTCCTAACGTGTTTTGTGACATTTTTGATCATTCATCTCCGACTAGTACAAGTAATATAAAAGGAAATTTATTCATAGCCAGATTTTTTTTATGTGGGGGGATTTTTTTTTTTTTTTTTTTTAAGAAAATTTTTCAGTGGAAGTAATATTGGGCCTCCGGCTGCGATTTCATAGGCCGGCTCTAAACAGCTTCAGATCAATATTTCAAGCCTTTCAATAAATATATTAATTTTAAAAAGGGTCACGCATCTTAAGAATATACTTTAATATATATATTCTAAATTACAAGTGATTCTACTTAGTACATAAAAAAGGTTTAAACTATTTTACCCTTTTTCAGGGTCGGTGATTTTAAGCCTCCGGCTGCGATTTCATAGGCTGTCTCTAAACAACTTCAAATCAATATTTCCAGCCTTTCAATACATATATTATTTTTAAAAAGGGTCACACATCTTAAGAATATACTTTAATATATATATTCTAAATTACAAGTAATTCTACTTAGTACATAAAAAAGGTTTAAACTTTTTTATCTTCTTTTCAGTGTAAGTAATATTGAGCCTCCGGCTGCGATTTCATAGGCCGGCTCTAAACAGCTTCAGATCAATATTTCAAGCCTTTCAATAAATATATTAATTTTAAAAAGGGTCACGCATCTTAAGAATATACTTTAATATATATATTCTAAATTACAAGTAATTCTACTTAGTACATAAAAAAAGTTTAAACTTTTTTATCTTCTTTTCAGTGTAAGTAATATTGAGCCTCCGGCTGCGATTTCATAGGCCGGCTTTGAGCAACTTCAGATCAATATTTCAAGCCTTTCAATAAATATATTAATTTTAAAAAGGGTCACGTATCTTAAGAATAAAGTTCATAATATGTATTCTAAATTACAAGTGCTTCTACTTAGTACATAAAAAATGTTTAAACTTTTTTACCCTTTTTCAGGGTTGGTGATATTGAGCCTCCGGCTGTGATTTCATAGGCCGTCTCTTAACAACTTCAGATCAGTATTTCAAGCCTTTAAATTGATAAATTAATTTTAAAAAGGGTCACGCATCTTAAGAATATACTTTATAATATATATTTGAAATTACAAGTGGTTCTACTTAGTACATAAAAAAGGTTTAAACTTTTTTATCCTTTTTCAGGGTTTGTAATATTAAGCCTCCGGCTGCGATTTCATAGGCTGTCTCTAAACAATTTCAAATCAATATTTCCAGCCTTTCAATAGATAAATTATTTTTAAAAAGGGTCACGCATCTTAAGAATATTTGTTTTAATGTATATTTTAAAATTCAAGTAGTTCTACTAAGTACACAAAAAAGGTTGAAGTTATTTCGAGCCATTGCTAACGATTATATAGTCTGTGCGCGGTTTTTTAAATCCGTGAGCACAAACAGTGGGTTATTTCAAAATCCGACCACGGCTAATGATATTAGCGGCAGGTTATTATTGGCTCAAAAACCTTTTTGTACAGGTTGTGACATTTTTTCCCCACCCCCACCTAAAAAAAAAATGTTGAATCCAGAATCTGTTATGTTTTTTAAATTGATATATGTAGATTCTCATTTAAATCAACATAAAAAACAATCCTAACCTTTCAGATGGGATATTAATTATAAGGAAAATGTGTTTTACCCATCTAAATATTTGTCTCTGCTTAAATTTTTTTTAGGTACCACCTAAAAGCAGATGCACTCTATGAGAAAAAAAAATGTTGAGAAAATGTTATGAGAAAAAAAAATGTTATGAGAAAATGTTATGAGAAAAAAAAATGTTATGAAAAAATGTTATGAGAAAAAAAAAATGTTATGAGAAAATGTTATGAGAAAAAAAAAATGTTATGAGAAAATGTTATGAGAAAAAAAAATGTTATGAGATAATGTTATGAGATAATATGTTGTGACTTTTTTTTTCATAACATTTTTTTTTTCTCATAACATTTTCTCATAACATTTTTTTTTTCTCATAACATTTTTTTTTCTCATAACATTTTCTCATAACATTTTTTTTTTCTCATAACATTTTTTTTTCCTCATAACATTTTTTCATAACATTTTTTTTCTCATAACATTTTCTCATAACATTTTTTTTTCTCATAACATTTTCTCATAACATTTTTTTTTCTCATAACATTTTCTCATTACATTTTCTCATAACATTTTTTTTTCCTCATAACATTTTTTTTTTCTCATAACATTATCTCTCATAACATTATCTCTCATAACATTATCTCTCATAACATTATCTCTCATAACATTATCTCATAATCCTGTAATTTTTAAAAGCGAACTCTTCTGACGTGAAAACGAACTTTGGGTGCCACCAAAGCGAATTTGGGTGATTTACAAAAAACGAACTTTGACCAATCAAGAAGCGAACTTTGGGCTGCGACAAAAGCGAATTTATGAAATTGGAAAACGAACTTTGGGGGTGGAGCCGCTGTATCTTTTTTTTTTCACTCAATTGGTTTAGACTATAGATTCGCATAAGCCGGAGGAAGGGGTATATGTATAAAATGTCATAAAAAGCCAAGTATGGAATAAAATGCCTGTCAGTAGGTCTTGAAAAGAGAAGGCTACATGAGATCCCTGATGCATCTCATGATGTAATCAAATCAATCCCCTCACTGCAAGTCTCTTCCCCCCCCCCTCGTTGCGCGAATTGATATCAATATGTAGTAAGTATTGGGGAAAATATCATATTGACATGGCTTACAATGGGGGGAAAAATGAAGAGGTGCCCCTAATAACATAGGTAGATACTTTTATCATCTATTTAGATTTGGTAAAGTAGGTTTACCCCAATTCAACACACACACACATAGGGTTAAAATGCAAAAACCTGAATGAGTTCCAAATATAGTCACAGTCTTTTTTTTTTTTTTTTTTTTTTGCACACAATTTTTCTCTCTCAATTTTTTTTTTTTAATTGTTAATCAAAATAAAAACACAGATGGATTTTCTCAAGGATGTTATTAAGGAGGAGCAATCGAAAAAGCGCAAGATCCTCGATGCGGTAGAGAAGCATGGCGGATTAGATAAAAAGACAAAGTATGTGAGTCGAGCGGAATTAGAGAGAATTCGCGAAGAAGAATACAGAAAAAAAGAAAAGGAAAGACAGGACAAGGAAAGAGAGGTAACTTAAACACGCATTGGTTCCCACACCTCATAACTGAACACCCCTCTTTTTTTTTTTCCCCCGTGTATAGAAAAAAGAGCGACTTGAAGAAATTGAGGTAAAAAAAAAAGCAAAGTTGTTTTAAGTGTCGGGATCTAGGCTAATCGCTCATCTGCATTCTATAGAAAAAACGTAAGCAAGAAATTGAACGACAAAATGCAAAGGCAGAGGAAAAAGCAAAAGAAGCACAAAATGTAAGTGGAGGCTGTAAAAAGTAATGAGAGAGAGAGTTGTCATTAAAATAGCGTCCTTTTTTTCTTTTGTTTGGCAGGAGGAGGTGATTGAGGCGTTTAATATTTCAAGAGAGGAATGTGTGCGTCGTTTAAGAGCCATGGGACAACCTATTCGACTTTTCGGTGAGACGGACAAACAATGTAAAGTTCGTCTTCGTGCTTTAGAACTGATGGATGAGCAATCTGGGGTAAGTTTTTTTTTTATATATATATAAGACATTGGTGACTTAACACACGGCGGAAAAAAAACAAACCATTAGGATCAAGGTAGAAATGATTTCATGAGAACATTAGAAGAAATGGAAACAAATATGCGATTGGACGATTTAAAACAAAAGGGAGGAGAGGATAAGAAGAAGGTGAAGAAGGCCACACTGCAAGTGGAACCTATTCAAATTGAATTGCTTCAGACGGATATTGATCGACTTTATGCACAAATTTATGCTTATTTTGCAGTAAGTGGTTTGTTTTATAGACCTAGGGTATAATGAGGGGGGGTTTGTAATAACTGACACTGTTCATTTATAGCACACGTTAGAGGAATGGGAGGAGGCTATGGCCGATCGTCCAGAGGAAGAAAAGCGAACCGGACCTGGTAAAAGAGCTGCGGTGTTACAGAAACAAACCGCTGAGTACATTAAGCCGTTGATGCGACAATTAAAGAAACGAACACTGGAACCTGATATTTTAGCTCGTGTTGCGGAAATTGCACAAAGAATGCAGGTCAGACTTTATCGAGACGCTCAGGATGCTTATCTTCAATTATCCATTGGTAATGCACCTTGGCCCATTGGTGTTACCATGGTTGGGTAAAGTCTTTTTTAGTAGTTGTTTCTTTTTTGCAGTTTTTTTTTTTTTACTCATTTGACTTTTTATATAGTATCCATGAACGTTCTGCTCGTGAAAAGATTTTCTCTTCTCAGGTAGCTCATGTCTTGAACGATGAAGCCTCTAGAAAATGGATCCAGTCTGTAAAGCGTTTAATGACGTTTGCTCAAACCAAATATCCTCCTTACACGCTTAGTCAAATCTCTTAATTTGCATATGAGAAAAAAGGGGGAGGGGATTTATAATCAAAAACAAAGCCTGCTTCAAATATTTATAAAACAGTTTGTGATGTTAATAAAAAAAAAAGATCTTTCTGAAACCATGATGGATCAAATGGTATCATCGCAACATGTGATACATAGAAACAACAACAAAAAAAGGTACATTGGGACTACTCATGAAAAATTGGTTTAAAATAGCTTCATTCGGATACTTTTTTTTCCCTCTTTTTTTTCCCTGTAGATGGGGCTGTCCCTGAGATTTAAATATATACAGTCTAAAAATACTTCCCAAAAAAAATGAAAAAGTTTCTTTTTCTTTCCTTCATTACCCTTTACTTTTTAACAATGACTGAAGCTTTGAATAAAGAACTTAATTTTAATATCCGTAAGTGTACCCTCAGGTCACCCCCCCCCCTTAAGCTAAAATTTTTTTTTTTTTAAAAAAAAAATAGGTGTCCCTGACGTTATTGCTCATCGTGGATTTTCCGCTGAAAACCCAGAAAATACATTAATTTCATATGAAAATGCAGTTAAAGCAGGCACAACGGCTCTGGAAGGAGGTAAAAAAAAAAAAATAAGTGGCATGCATACTTTGCTTCAAAAAGAGGGAAATTTTTTTTAACCATTTAAATAAAACTAGATATTCGTCTTAGCAAAGACAAGGAGATTATCATGATGCATGATCTAACTTTAAACAGAACAAGCACTGGTCTTGGACCTGTCAGTGAAAGTAACTGGCATGGACAAATCGATGGCTACACCACTAAATCAGAACCCCATCAACCCATCCCCCGCTTCATTGATGTTCTAGAGTTATTGATCCAGCCTGAAGCCGCTGCTATTGACGGTCTATACATGATTGTGGATATCAAAGTAATAATAATAATACAAAAAAAGCTTTTTTTTTTTTTTTTTAGAAGTATAATCTATACTTACCTCTCTCTTTCTCTCTATTTTATAGTACGATAATGCGATTGAAATTCTGGATGTCCTAAGTGAACTATTAAAGACCTACACGACGCAACACCCTAAACTCTTTGACCAGTTAGTGATTGGTATCTGGAACGTGGACTTTCTGACACGGGCACAAACTTTATTTCCTCAATTCAAGCTCTGTTTCATCGGTCTCTCTCTTTCGGCGGCTCGTCACCACTTTTTGGATCAGGTGGACTGTCTTAGTTTACCCTTTGCCGCGTTAGCGGGTGGGGACGGTCAGGAGCTCATCAAGGACGCTCACGCAAGGAACAAGCGCGTGTTTACATGGACCATCAATGATCCGTTGCAGATGAAGACCTGTGTGTTGTGGCAGGTCGATGGTGTGATTGGTGATAACGTGCTTGTCCTGTTGGAAAATGTACATCATGCTCCCAAGGCCTTAAACGGTCCGGAAGAATACCAACAGTTTGTGGCTTCAGATACCTATCTTGCCTCCAAAAGAAGAAGAGCGTACCTTTATCTTGTTACCAAGGTCATGCATTTTGCTAGTTGGAAAGTCATTGGAGTATAGAAATAATAATAATAAAAAAAGGTTTTTTTTTTTTTATTATGATGATTGATGAAGTTAACGTAAATAATGAAAGCATCGACTGTTTCTTAAGCCATAGCGTCTTCCAGAAGATGCCATAGGGGAATATCTAGTGGTGGTGGTGGTTGGGGGAGAAGTGGGAGCAGGAGGTGGGGTAGAGGGATATCGTGTGTTTGTTTGAATTGGCGGTGTATACCTTGTTGCATTCGTAGTAACAGTTGAATCCGCAGTAGTAGCAGCAGTAGTAGTAGCAGCAGCAGCGGCGGTGGCGGCAAAAGCAGGAGAGGTGGTAAGGGGTGCTCTGTTGTGTGTGGTGGTAGAGACAGAAGAAGAAAAATTACTTCGACTTATAAAGGGACTTGATATTTTGTTTACTCTCACATTATACATTTTTAAGAGTGTTTCAGTTGTAATTCGCATGTCATGAGCATTAAATCCAATATATTGACTTGTTCTGCATAGGATATCACATGATATGTTGAGCGGTTTCTTGACACATTCCTGATGTGATGATGGTAAAGGGTAGCGACTATTGAAATCCGAATCGGACAGATCGATGGCTTCAGTGGGTGAACCCAAACTTCTGAGACAGTTCTCAACGGCTCTTAAATCACCGGCCTTCACGAGCCTTTCAAAGACGGCCCGATAGGTCTTTGCTCCACAGACTTGAGCTTTGAAAGGAATTTGAGATTGAATAACGCTATCGATCAATGTGTTTGCGAATAAAGTTTGGCGTTGTAAGATGCGTTTTCGTCTGTGTTCACCTTCATGTGTCGGTTTTTCCTCCTCGCTGTCCCGTGTTAATAAGAGGGTCATGAATCTACCTGGGTCGGCACAGTGGATGGCATGGATCATGGACCAACACTGGATGGCAAAAGAAAAGTTGTGTCCGGTGGATTGGATGAAATGATGAAGAACAATACGTTGAATACTGTACGGGACAAAGATGATATTATAATGAATAAACAATAAAAGTGACCCCGTATCATGACCGAATTTAAATCTTGCATTTAAATACCCTATAGCATGAGTTGTAGTCAAAATATTCTGCATCGTTTTACACGTTTGGGACATTTGAACATACGTTTTGAATGGTAGATAATTGGAAATGATTAAAATAATCTCTGTTGGCAAAACCAGTTCTTGTGCCATTCTATTTATAAAGAAGAAGGGAAGAGAAAGAGAGAGAGAGAAAGGAATAAAAATATATATAAAAAAAAAAAAAGGGAAACTATTTATGCAGTGAGGAGATTTTATTTGTAACTCATACCAATCATCTTTAATTGTTTATAATCCTCTAAATGTTGATCACGGTCATGATTGACAATTGACAAGTGCGCTGTTTCCAATAACAACTGTTCGTTCTCATTCAATTTTGATTTGATCTCGTTCAAGATGACGGGTACAAATTTCCCTGATACGTACAACGGAATCCCGTGTATCTTTTGAAAAAACAGTAATGTTGTCAGGTGCACGAGTTGGGGAGCTGAATTCGCAGAGATCTGCAACCCTTCCAATTGATTGTACAAATGATTCTGAATCGTCTTGTTTGCTTCCCTATGAACAAAACAGAATTTAATCATGAAAAAGTCTTTTTTTACCGCTTCTATGTAAGAAAACTTCTTTTTACCTTTTTGTTTGGGGACTTGTCAAGTTTTTAAATAAATGTTGTTTATCTTCTATTAAAATGTCTGAAATGAAGAGTGAGAGGTTCTTCTTCTTGAGAATCTCTTCAATTTCAACAATACTAGTCTTGTCGTATTTATGGTCATTTTCTCGAATGAAATACGTGATCACATACTTTTGTTGTTTAGCGTCCAAAATAGCTTGTTTCTCAATATCCTCTATGGTGATACACAAGGAAGTAGATTCAGCCACTTCTGCCTTATTAAATGACTGTGACAAGATGGTGTAAATCACAAGATGGTAGAGAAAATCAACACACTGGGTTTTCAATACGAATTTCTCTAGACTCTTTTTAGCAGATCCATCTAAAAAAAAAAAAAATTGAACCACTTGTTTATGAGTCGTCCAACAAAAAAAAGTAACTAAATGTACATCTATTTTTACCCCCGAATACTTGAATCGCTTGGTAATTGTAATAAATGGATTGACCCAGATTTAAAACAGTGTCTAATTCCCGTGCCTTGTACTGAACAACCCATTTATCTGCAGACACAATTTCCTGCGCTTCAATAAACGGTGTTTGTAAAATATCCGCAAATTGGTTTAAAATGGCTACTCGTGTGTAAGGTACAATCTTTTCCGCAATCTTGTATGGACACCCCGTACTTTCCAACGCCTTTACAATCTACAAAAAAAAAAAAAAAAATTATATGTAAGTTTCCTTTTCCTCATTTTAAAAATGGCTTAATTTTTTTTTTTTACCGAGCTAGGGCTCATTTTCGTGGCGGATAAGACTTCACTCGAGTTCTTTTGCTTTAACGTCCTTGCCAAATTTAAAAGATAATCTCGGGTACGCAACACCGTCTTATCAATATACTCTCGTGTCGTCACATAACCTCCTTCCAAGATCACCAATCGCTTGTGGTCAGTATTGATCTCAGACATGACAATATCCATCACCTTGTTGACATCATCAAATGTTAAATTAGGCGGCAAATGATCCTACAAAACAAAAAAACGTTTTTTTTTTTTGAGTTTTTTTTTTTTTTTTTTTTGTTCTGGATCGTAGTAGACTTTACATTGAAATCACAATAGTCGGTAGCTGACTCTAAGGCATCCTTGGCTTTCTCCTTGACAGATTTTTTAATAAGACATGAATGGAGTGTAAAATAAGTCGTGCTGTCATAATGATCGGCAATGATATCTTTTGCGTTGGCATAAGGGTACAAGTTTTCGATCGTATGAAAGCCTTTTTTTAGCGCATAGGTCAATATCCTTTTTGTTTTTCGACTATATATTATATAAAAACTTACTGATGCATTCATTGGAATCAAAGATGGATTGAATGAGCGCTATTTGTCCATCCTTGTAACTCTTTGGCTCAAATATCGCTCTGCTTTTCTTTCCTCGAAGTGTACCCAATGTGAATGTACTTTCTTTAACGATATGTTCCAGCAATACTATATATATATTTTTTTTTAAGAGGTAAGGTGTGATTGATAGACTTTAAAAGTGAGTATAACTTACAGTAAAACATGTCTTCTTGAATATTGAGTGATTTTTGAAGCTTAAACATGACAAGTGGTCTAACTAGGATGTCAAGCATGATTCTAAAAAAAACAGAAGAAAAAAAAACGACTTACTCGTCTGTGGTCTCCAATGCAGTGCGTATGTTTGATTTACAATCATCGATATACTCTCTTGTAGATATCACATCGGGTATTTGGTTGTAACGAATATAATCCTCATGATCCATGGTAACCTAAAATAAGCAAAAAAAAAAAAAAAGTTTAAATTTGTGTGGGTGACAGAAAAAAACTTTTTGGTTGGGGGGTTTGTTTACCAATTTTAGTAAGCTGTAAGGTAATTTCATTTGCTGTGATAAGAGTACAATGGAGATGGAACCTACGGCACGTAGATGTGATTCCACTTTAACTCTTAAGGCTTTCATAAAGGTACTACAATGCAACGCCACTTTTTTTTTGAGAACGGAAAATGGGAAGACCCGCTATATATTACTTAAAAAAAAAAAAATGTGTGCTTACGGTGTAAGTACTAAATCATCCATGACAGTCCAGTCCTTTGTAGTTAATAATTCTTCGATGGCTTTTTCAATGGTTTCTTGCTCTACCATCAATATCTCGGCTAATTTCTCGATATTTGTTTTTTCTGTAAAAAAGAGAGGTGTGTTTAAATAAAGTAAGGGCGCAATGACATAAACTTACCCACATCCTCGACAAGTTTCGAAATGGCATCTTTTAAATAGTCTACATGAAGGTAACTTTCTCCATCTAAAGTTTGGACTAGGTTGGAAAGTAAACCTTTCTTTACGCCTTGCTCGATAAATTGGACAAATAATTGACGAGGTACTGCAACAGGCATCTTTTTTTGTCGAATGAAAGGATTAATGAACAGAAAGACAAAAAAAAAAAAAAAAAAACAGAAAAAGGGTTCCTTTTTTATTTATTTGCCATATGAACTATCAAATAATAAAATGCACTCGAAATTTCGGAGAGTGATAAAAAAAAAAAAGATATTTCCGGGTTTTGGGGGCGAAAGCACCTTTGATGAATCTCTTTGGCATAGCACTATTTGTTTTTAGTGGGGGGGGGGGGTTTTTTAAAAAAAAAGAACAAAACTTTTATTGTCCATCCTATGTGTGTGTGTGTGTATGTGAAAAGACAATGATTATTTCTAAAAGCTCCTCTTTTTTGCGAAAAAGAGTCTGGTATCAGTACTACTTTTTTATATGTATATATATATTGACAGGTCAAGCCAGAGTGTCATTAGCTTATTGTTGTCATGCTCCGAATTTATCATAAAAAAAGCTTTTGGACACTGTGACTGATTTTAAACATATTTTCTCTTTTTTTTTTTAACAACAACAATCATGGAAGGAGTAGTCTCTGCAAGATTAGTGCCATTTGGAGATTTAGACAAGTGTGTAAAAGGAGAATCAGTTCGCTTAACAGGCATGTAAGGATCGGTGACAAAAGTCGTTGTTGTTGCGTACTTAAAAGTTTTTGAATAGCTGGAAGAAATATGACCAAGATACACAAATGGCGGTGATGCGATATGACACGTATGAAGCCGAAGTAGATACAGCATTACTATCAACTCTACCAGCCATTGGAGATATCGTACAATGTATTGGTGAAGTAATTGATGAGGTATGAACAAGAAAGAAAAAGGTGTGTGTGTGTGTGTGTGAGGGGGGAGATACGACTGTTTTTAATAACGACAACAAAAAAGGCAACATTTGGTATGCTACGTATCCAAGCACGAATCGTGCGTATTGTGAATACAATTGAGTTGGATTTATATGAACGTGTGGTCAGACTTCGAAATGCATCCACAGGCTAAACAAATGAAAGAACTCGGCATGAAATTTAATAAACTTTTTTTTTTTTTCATTTTAAAAAAAAAAAAGTGTATGTGTCATGACTTAACAGCCGATCGGAATAAAAATAAATCATGCATGTGGTGCACGGTTTGCACCCCTTATTGTGTAATGAATGTTTGTTTAAACACCTCTTTTTTACATTGCCTTTACATATATTTTTTCATTTATATAAATAATGTGACAACAGCATTAAAAACGACACTTTTTTTTGTTTTTCTTAAAAAAAAAGAAAACTGGATGGCATTGTTATCGGTCGATCTCTCCAATACGCCAGACACACATACACACATGGGATGACATGTTTTTTTATTTTAGCTTGGTTTATTTCAAAACGTGCCAAAATGAAAATCTTTTTAGTATGGCTTGCTGTCAAAAAAGGGTCTGGTCAGGAATAAAACCTTTTTTTTTTTTGGTGTCTCCCAACCCCTTGAACAAAAAAAAAAGGGGGGGGGGAAGAGCAAAGAAACAAGTTTGATGGGAAATGTGTGTAAAAAATGTGTAAACTCCGTAAATTCCGAGGTTTTTCAAATTAACAATAATAAAGAAAACAGACAAGTTGCAGTGGGTGATTGAATGAGGTCCAAAAACAAAAGATCCCTTTCTCTCTCTCTCTCTCTCTTTTTTTTTTTCTCTGCAACTTCTTTTTGATATGCCTAAATCTCACTTTAAACAAAAACCATTTATATGGGCGACAAGTATACTTGCCCTGGTAAAAACTCTCTCTTTTTTTTTTCTTAACGCACTAAACTACAATAAAAAACTCACACTAAAAAAATGTTATTTTAGACTGGTTGGTCTGTTGCATTTGGAGGGGCTTGTATACTGAAAGTATTAAATGGAGCTTGGTGGGTCATGATCTATCAACTCTGTATTATCATTGGACATCTGGTTGTATTTATGTCTGGCTCTATGCAACACTATCGATTAGCTGTAAAGTAAATGGATACTATAACAACCCCCCCACACACACACATATATATACAAAAATGGCATGGGATCTAAATTCTTCACCCCGACAAAACTTTTTTTTTTTTTATATATAGATGGCAGCTTTTTTAGCCTCTAGTATCCCTTTATTAACCATTCAGATTGATTATGTGGTGCAGTACACCAAGACATCGATCCCTAAAGTGCCGGCTAGTGCCTACGTTGCGGGATACATTATGCTTGTGACGGTCCAGTACTTGTGGCTATTAGTCATCGGTAGTGATCGACAGACCTGGCTTGGCCAATTGGCTCATCATCCTGTCTATGAACCCACTCCCTATTACTCTGAAAAAATGGACCAGTCCTTACCCTCCAATGCCATTATGCGACCCCTTCGTAAAGTATTTTACTTCTCTCCATTTATTTACCTATTTTTTGACACTTATCCTCTTTTTTTTTGGGGGGTAACAAAATTTTTATAGAAGCGGTGAGAAAGACACCAGTAGAATTTAATGAAAAAGTGCAGGCTCTTCATGCATGTAAATAATGTTTATATGTAATAAGAAAGAGAGACCTCAAAAAAAAAAAATTAACTCTATTTTTTTACTGCAGACCATGCAAGTGCAGAAGATCCCAACGAATTGAATTTTGAAAAGGGAGAGATATTAGAGATTGTGGATCGAAAAGGCAACTGGTGGCAAGCACGTAAACAAAATGGTGCAATTGGTATCATTCCTAGCAACTACGTGAGTATTTTTATATGCGGTTTTTTAAAAAAAAAAAAAAAGATAACGCTAAACATTATTGTTATGATATAGTTTGCACAATAATCACATGCGGGGGACACACACACACAAAAAAAAGGCAACATTTTATTTACAGAAACAAAAAAAAAAAAAAAAAAAATGCAAAATGCAATAGATAATGAAAATAATAATAAAAAGAATGGTATATAATAGATTAGAGTACCCAGATAGGTTTGATATGAGGCTCATTACAAAAGGACGGCACAGCTATTGTATCCATCAGCTGAGGTCGAATCGACATGTAGTCAGGAAAAGAGACGTAGGAGCTTTCAAAAGCAGTAGGCTCTGTCCTCCTTGTTGATATTTGATGATGGTGGTGATGGGGTGTGAATTTCGATTTGATTTGAACAATGAGTTCCAGGAATGATTGTGAAGGATTTGGCATAAAATAAGATGTATAATAATAATAAAAAAGGGTTTGATTGTGAATGGAGAGAAATGGGCTGTATTTATAGATTAAAAAAGGGACGAGGGGAGGTTTGATTATCACATAATTTTCTCATGTGTAAAAGTTGGCATGTGGCAATAAGTCATATAATAAAAATTGATGGATGATATTTTATGTGGTATAAGAAAGTTTTTTTTATTTTTTTATTTAGAATGCCTTTTTGCTTAATTGTAAAGACATGTTTGAAGCAACGTCTAAAGTCTTTAATACTTCCAAAGTACCCTTAATGAAACCTGTATCATGATAGTAAATATCGTATTTTTGACACAAGGCCTTTACCATGGGCTTCACCTTGGGAAGGTTGTGACGAGGCATGTTGGGAAAGACGTGATGTTCAATTTGATAGTTCAAACCACCCATGAACCAGTCACCTAAGGGGGAAAGAGACACATCACGACCTGTCACGACCTGAATCTCATAGAACTCCATGGTCTCTGCCTTTTCTGCAGAAATAACTGGCATACCGTTATGGTTTAAAGCAAATACAAGTGCAAGTGTGTAACCCGTAGTAGCTTGACTAATCAAAAAGAACAAGATCATGTTGTAAATGCTGCTGTTCCAGGCAATCGTAGCATAACTGAAAATAACCCAATGTAAAACAAGAGAGGTACGTTCGTAGAGGTTGAGTGCTGCAGACTTATTAATGGCACCCGTGTTGAAAGAATAGATGAACGATTGAGCAGCCCAGGAGAAACGAGCAAAGGCAAGCACAAAGAAATAATAACGGGTTTGGTAAGGCAAGACATTTTCAGCAATAAAACGTGACATCATGGTAGGCTCTTCATCTAAAGCACCGTAAAAGGCGGCAGAAGCATATTCATCCCATAACAAAACGGGTGCGGTATCGATATCGGGATCTTGGCCGTGAACATTAGTACTTGCGTGATGTGTATTGTGCTTATTTTTCCACCTGTGAATAACAATAAAAAGAAAAAAAAATTTTTTTTAGTGTCTCCGACCCATGCGTATTTCATATAATTTTTTTTATATACCATGATAATGAAAAGCCTTGACAAAAGTTACCAAGGAAAACAACCAAAATATCATTGTATTTACGGTCTTGGAAGCATTGATGATGACCGAAATCATGAGCCAACCAACCGCATTGTTGCCAAAAGATACCGACGATGAAGGCAGAAGCGACAACAGCAAGAGTGGAGGTACGACCGTAGGCATATAAAAGACTGAGACCAGCAGCACAGAGACCCAAGGTAGAAAAGACCTTATAAGCGTAAAAGAGTTTGCTAGAATGGAAATAACCTTCCTTACGAAGATTATCACGCAATTCACGAATTTCGGCAGCAAATTGAGCTGAATTCTCAACTTGTTTATCGACCGAAGCTGGTAAAGGTTCTAAATCACCAGCATAATAATTTCCCAAAATTTCGTAGGCTGAATCAGGATGCATGGCATGGAAGACATCTAATAAAAAAAAAAAAGTTTATTTTAAACATATATTTTGGGGGGTTGGGTTGAAGCACTTTTTTAGTTTACCTGAAGCATCTTTGCCTACATGGGTCAACAAAACATCTTGTCCACCAGGATGATCTTCGACAAAATCAGTGACATCGTAAAGCTTATTATCAATCACAATGTATTTCTTTGCGTCTTTATCACCATCCTTGACCTGTTGATTGATCTTTTCAAACTCTTTTCTGCTAAATGTTTGGGGCTCTAGCGTCACACAGTTTGTTTATTATTATGCTGCTCATTATTTTTTTTTTTTTTTTTTTTAAGTGGGTTTACCTCTGGATGCAGTCATAGTATAAGAAAAAAAAAAAAAAAGAAAGAAAAAAGGAGGAGTAAAGTTGAATTATTCCTATCCGGTTTATTTTATTTATTTTTTATATCTATTATTTCGGTGCTTCAATTAAGATGAGGAAACGAGCCATTCAGGTACAATCGTGGTTACCCTGATTGGACTAATTTCATTGTCCAATCAACCAATTCGATAACGGGTTCCCTGGGTAATTTTTTTTTTTTTTTTTTGTTTATATTTGGATCACTAGTAAAAATGCCGAATAAAGAAAGGGGGAAGACATATATAAACTCTTTTTTCGGTACGCATGATACTTTCACATGGCATCACTCTTTTTTCTTTTGATATTATTATTATTACTATTACTACTAACTATTATTATTAACTATTTAACAACATCCACCGGCAGGCTTTTGATCATCAGGAGATTGAGACACAAGAATTGTTTGTCCGCCAGTAGGCTTAATAGCGTTATTTGATGTTTCTAAAGCCTTATTGGACACAATACGATAGATTTCTAAATCAAGCTGATTAGTTTTTTTTTCATTTCTAAACCACGCCACTTTTTTAAAACTTTCTTACCGGTGAGTATTCTTTGGAAGGAGAGTTCGACGTTAGTTGCATCGAGAGCGGAAGTTTCAATAAAGGATAAACCATTATCGGCTATGCAAAAAAAGTGTTTAGTCATAGGCTCTATATGAAATGATGCCTTCTTATCTCTTTACATGCAAACTGTTTGGCTTCATCGGTAGGGACTGCTCTCAGATGTCTTAAATCGCTCTTGTTGCCAACAAGCATAATAACAATATTGGAATCGGCATGATCACGGAGCTCTTTTAACCAACGACTGACACTTTCATATGTAGAATGCTTTGAAATATCATATACCAACAATGCACCCACTGCACCACGATAGTATCTACACAGAAATAATTATTTTTTTAAATATCACTAGACTCTCTTTCATATATGTGTGTATAAATTCTTTACGCGCTGGTAATAGCTCTGTAACGTTCTTGACCAGCTATCAAAATAAAATAAAAGTGTGTGTTGGTGTCACTTTCTCGAGAGAGAGAGAGAAAAAGGGGAAAAAAAAAAATTTTTTTTTTTTGTTCAGATGAACCTTGACATGTGCTTACCAGTATCCCATATTTGTGCCTTGATGACCTTGTTGTCCACTTGAATGCTTCTTGTGGCAAACTCTACACCAATGGTACTCTTTGACTCGAGATTAAACTCGTTACGAGTAAATCGACCCAAGAGATTCGTCTTACCAACACCAGAGTCACCAATCAATACAACTGTGTTTTCCCTGATTTAATGTCTCTTTCTTTCTCTTTCTCTCTCTTTTTTTGTTACCTTTGAATAAATAATCATAATCATCATCACGGCTCATCTTGAATATTTTATATAACTTGTGAAAAAAAAAAAAAAGATAAATAACTTTAAAAAAATCTTTTTTTTTTTTTTTATAGCAGAGAAAGAAAAAAAAAAGCGGAACACGGAATACATGTACAACAAAGAATTTTGTTGGTGTTTCTAAAAGGTTATTTCTCTATCATAACGTTTTTATTTTTTTTTTATTTTTTTGACATAGCGACTCTTCCAAAGGGTAGGTTCTCTCTTCTTCCCCCCTAAAAAAAAAAGGGGGGGGGGGGGTTGAAAGGAATGATTCCAAAAAAATAAATAAAAAAAAAAAATTCTAATTTATTACGGACTTTATTTTTGCAGGAATTTCTATCTCTTTTTTTTTTTCCTTCCTTCATCTCTTTTTTTTTTTTACGTATTAAAATGGACTCGGAATGTCGATCTATTGTCATTGAATATCTTATGCACAATTGCTTTAAAAAAACTGCAAAGGCTCTATTAACCGAAACGACTCGATTAGAAAACGGTGCTGCTATAGGAAATTTAAAAAAGAGCAAGTAAATCCCTAATAATTATCACACAACGGAAAAATAACACACACACACACTCTCTCTCTCTCTTTTTGAAATGCAGAAGATTTATTAGATACTGGTAAGTGAACCATGATTTTTTCTCTTTTTTTTGTTTTTTTTTGTTTCCTATCTAATACTGCTAAATAGAGAAACAGTGGTTATTACTAGATGCCAGAAAAAGTGAGTGCATATTCTATTTAATACACACACAAAAGACTAAACTATTTGCCCCCCTCAGACTTGACAGACGCGATTGAAAAGGGAGATATTCCTTTAGCCTTTGATCTAATCAATCAACATTTCCCAGTGTTAGCAGCACAGGACATTTTACAGCCACACGACTCACCCGAGGCCACTAAACTACACATGATTTTATTCAAGCTAAAATGTCAACGCTTTATAGAGATCATCAAAACCTCCTCTGAACTAGAGGCCATTCGGTATGCCCAACTTCACTTAAAACCAGCCAATAACCCATGGAAGGAGTCGCAAGTCAAAGAAGTCACGGCACTCATTGCCTATGTAGACCCTTATCAATCTCAATCCAAGCATTTATTAACACAGGAACGACGACAACAACTGGCCAAAGAAGTCAACCATGTCCTCTTGGCTCAATCACAATTACCTATCCAAACCTCCATCGAAAAACTCTCGAGACAGTACGCTTTAGTACAGGAGGAACTTGAGCAATCCATTATTAATTCTCCTACCATACTCACTCAACGAGAAAAAATGGCTATTTAAAAAAATAATAAAAAAAAAAAAAGGCAAATTTATTTTTGAAGAGAGAACTTAGATCTCGACAACGGTAAGAGCAGGGGGAAGAGATTGTCTAAGCTTGCTGGCCTTTGCCTTGTCCTTAACAACAAGAGTATAAAGATACTTGGAACATCTAACCTTGAACTTGATGGAATCACTGTTCTTCTTGATGCGAGCGGCTAAAACAAAATAAAAAACCCATTAGTATCTCTTCATCAATCACTGACACATTATATACTTTACATTGAGCATCCTTTCTACGGGCAATCTCGAGGAATTGCTTGATATCCTTAATTTGTTGAGGCTATAGAATTCATTTAGTCAATGCTCCAAACTTTTCCCTTCCAACTACAAAGAAACAGATGCAAGCAGCACACCATGAAAGAAAAGAGAGAGAGTGTGTGTGATGCTGCTGCAAAAAAAAACATAAAAGGGGAGTGTGTGTCCAGGAGTCGTGTATGCATTCGTCCATGGTTGAATTCAAACATTTTTAATGAGTTGTTTGTTCTATGCACTCTCTCTCTTTTTCATCATATTTTTTTTTTTTTTTTTAGGTGTGTCTATATGTGTTGATATCATCCATCCGTTTCTGTGTGTTTATAAAGGAAAAGAGATCTATGGAAGGATAGCTTACCATAGCGGTATGTTCGGAAAGAGAAAGATCCTAACATCTTGCCCTTTGGCCTTCTCTTTATTAACCCCCCCCCCCCTCACTGAGTCTGCCTGTCAGCTCTACCCTCTGCCACACACACACACACGCACACGGCACCGCCCCACACACATCCTCAACCCAAACCACCCCCGAAAAGTATCTTGTCCGGTCCGGACATTTTTCTTTAAAAAAAATGCATGATTTTCACCCTAACCCAAACCAAAGCAGATCACTTGATATTGACTCGAGATCTACACCCTCGTCTCTTTTTGAATTTATTCTTCTTTAATAAGAGTAGCACTCTTTACTCGCAGGGAATTACTTGTTTTGAAGAAAAAGAAAGGGTGAGATGTTTCTATACATTGTGATTTATCTTTACTTGAGAAAATCACAAAAAAAAAAGAACAATTATACAACGAAGATCACAACAACGGATCGCAAACAATTAAAAAGGAGGGACAGGAGCACAACTTTTTTGTATGACAAGAGTTCACTTACAGCTGATTCTCTCATCTCAGTGTGTTTCTTCCCACACCAAACAAGTATATACATTTTTTATACTTTAAGCTTTACTTGGAAGCCACCACCCTTCTTCTGGTCCTTTTATTTGTTTAATTTTAGTTCATCATGAGACCTACCTCCCCCGCCTTGTAAAGAAGACGCTTTATGATACCCCCTCTTTATGATAAAAGCCATTTACTCAAAAGGAATAGAGTCATGCTGTCAATAGGTCATCCTTTTCCATGTGATACACCCTGATGTGTAATATGCAAGTACCAGTGTATATGTTAGATATCATTTCAACTTTCAGACCTCCTTTTTTATATAAAACACTTATGCCAATCAGTCTCAGATGACTTGTATAATAAGCCCCACCAATGTTGATCATTTTATTTAATGTCTATAGAAATAGGTACAGTGCGGCTGGAAGCTGTCGTTTTATACGCAACTTTTTATACGCACCCAGCAGTCTTCTTTTCGCTTAGCTTTAATCTCACTTTTTCCCCCAAATCTCATCTTTTTAATGTGATTCTTCTATATCTTATGAACTTTATGTTTACACTTTAGGGTGATGTTTTATTGCAATTCCCTGCTTACTAGCCCTGGATCTGTTATTCATCATTTTATCAATTTGTCTCTAGCACATTCCTAGTAAACCAATATATCAAAAACCCTTTTGGTAATTCAAGACAAGTGATTTTACTTTATTATAAAGCAGACAATACAATCAGTCCCGTGCTACTACAACACAAGTCAATCTAAAGAAGAATATCTATTTCTTCCGTTAATGTATACACACAGGTGTTCATGCTGGTTGGTTAGATAAAATACGTTTAAAAATAGACCCATCTATAATAATGAATTTACCTATTTTATGGTTTTATTATGTGTTTTCAAATGTAATGAGACTGTAGTACTTGATGACTCCCCGCAACATAAGGATAACAATCTCCTGATTGGATGAGGCCAACATCCCGGGTCTAATGCATGGCTCAATTAACATGAAAGGGTACACAATCTTGGTAAATAAAAACCCGGAGTTAGTGTACAATATAAACAATTTCAAAATCAACATTATACTTCCCATGGGCTTGATGAAAAGAATCTTGAATCATAGTTGTAATAGACAATATTAATCCATGGACAGCGCTTCAAAATAAATTTGAACAGGCTTTCGTCGATACTGGGAAAGAGTCCAAGTCTCAATGAATTAAGCAGACCAGGCGAACTCCATCTTACTACATGTTCCCGTGATGAAGTCCTGCTGTTCGTCGATAAGCACTTGTAATAAATGCTAGTCCAAGTCCGGTTGTCTTGTCAAGAGAAAGGAATTTTTTTTTTTTTTTTTATGACGAGAAGGATGAAAATAATCGTTAAGATTTAAAAAAATTTGCAAAAACGTACTGATACCATGTCTACTGACACTTTGGATCCTCCTCCGCCTCCTCCACCTGGTGGTGAGACTGTCCCTACAAACGGGAGTCCTCAACATGGTTATTTTAGTAGAAAATGTAAAATTTATACATTATTGAGGAATAACTATAGAAGTTACAAGGTATATATTGAGCTTGGGATTAATAGAAATTGTGTGGTTCTTATTTAATTAATCATATATGTGTAGCAACTCTTTCGTGAAATTGCTGAAAAGCATTCTCGAATCCGTAAGGACTCCTTTGATTTTGCGTTATTTTTGTGCTTGAATTATCTCACAAATGAGCAATTACGTATGCAAGAATCTACCATGAACAGCTCTGTAAGATTGAGAGAAATATCAACTGCTATGGTTGTGTACAACTTACATCTGGGTAATCTTTCGCGATATTCTTGCCGTTTTTCCTACTGAAAATATTCAACAAATGGATGAAATTGCAAGACAAATCTTTATGAGAGAGGCTGCGTCACTTCAAAATCAAAACTCTTCGGCTGGACAACATAAATGCCATTATTAATGAAGTACTGGAAATTGATATCACCATTGACACAGCGAATACAAATCTTTTACAGATTATACTCATATTAAAGCAAGAATTAAATCGTATTGATGACGCTGTTGTACGCACCAGTACAACTGTAGGCACATTTGAGGGTGTCTACGAAATGTACCTCCCAAATCTGACGCAAAGATTAAATCTTTTGCTTCCACAATTTGAACATGTTGCAAGACTTACCATCGATACAATAGTCGAACACAGAAATACAATTCAATCGTTACACTCTTTGGAACGAAGATCAAATGAAGCGTTAACATTTGAACCCAACAACCAAGAACTTTTACAGTCACGTACATTGCTTGAGCGCACAATAGGAGGGCAATGTCTAGAACTCCGTATTTTTTTCAAACGTATTTTTTAGAATCACGCGATGGTCTACACGTCGATTGACATGCCATATCATCTAAACTTCATAGGATGATCGATTTCTGTTTTCCATAAAATCTGCTTCACTACTGGAACGCAGATAGACAATTACCAAGCTCTGACTTGCTTGGGAGGTTTTTGCAAGTGTTTCTATTTTAAGTAAAGGCTCATACATTATGGATGATAAAATAGACAAATGAAATCATCCTGACATAAGCTTGTTTATCTATAAATAAAGCTGGTTCACACACTTTATTCTTCTTCTTTTCTTTTCCCTTAACATACTTCTTTTATCGTATGGAAGGAACCGACCAAGTAAAAAGGTTTGTTTAGTAGCGACTCTTGTTTCTTTGAAAAGAAGCTAAATTGAAAAAGATATATTGTGATATCCCGGCTGCGGCTAGTCTTTGCTATAGGAAGGTGACCTCCTAGGCAGAGTTCTTGAGTTTTTAAAACTCACAAACTGTAAATAGCAGGGATGCATTTTAAATAGGTGCAAACATACTGGCCTGCTGGTCTTCTGGCCAGAATTTCTGTAAGTAGTATAAAAAAAAATTCGTTTGAAAAAAATACGGAGGTCTAGACATTTCCCAATAGGAGCAACGAATCAAATACACGAAGCCTACATCGCAGAAAATGCTGCAGTTATTCAAGAAGATAATGTCCAGGTTTGGCTAATAATGGATATGATGTCGCGTATGATTCAAACCTGTGCGGATATTACTAAATCATTTGACCGTCAATTCAGAAACGTACGCGAGCTTCTCAATAAAAGTCTTCAATTACTAACTTTCAGCACAAATGCTCCTCAGATTACATCGGAAACTTTTTGGTCTCATTTGTTCATAAGAGTTTGTCGAGATCCTCAAAACTTGAGCGCAAGGGTGGTAAGTACAACTCTTTGTAAAAATTGATAAGACTACATAGTTCAAGAAAATTCAAATTTTTTTTTTTTCATAGAACTACGAACAGTGCATTCTAGATAATGTCGAAAGATTTAACTAAATCCAACAGAGACAAGATGATGCAAATGAGAATCTGGACGAGCTTCCAGAACTAGATAATGTTCAATATGGCCTTTCAAGAACATTTACAGCAACCACTGTTCTAAGTAAATATGTGTACCTAGACTTTGGAAAGCTAAGGCTCATTACTTTCGAAAATGTAGATGTTGGGATGCACTTGCTGAATTCTAAATTATGGATAATTCGTGTTTTTGCGGCCTTTCTAAATCATCATCAAGCTCACGTTAACCAAAGAGTTGCAGTGAAGACGATAGGTAAATAGTTTCTAATATTATTATATAAAAAGTTTTATGTATTCTTGTTAGTTATTAATGAACCTATACGTTATAGCTAAAATAGCCGCTACGGGAGTTGTCCAGCATCGGTCTTTTGAAAATGTGAACATTACTACTATCATACCTGTATTTGAAGAACTGTACAATGCAATTTTGATAATTTACGAAGATGAATTCGCAGGGCAAAATTACGACAATAGTAATGATTACAAAAAAGTCATACAGACGCCTTATTCATATTTAAGATTTAGCTTCCGTCTCTTGCAGAAGTGTCTCAGTGATGAGAACTGGATGCCCAAAACGTGGAGTCTTCTTCCTGCCGCGTCCGATTCTATCGTGCATACACGCTACACCGGACCCCAGGTTATGTACGGACTATTTGAAGTCGCATTTGATAAAAATCAACAAAATGAAGACGAAGATGGAACAAATTATTTTATACCTCCTGCGTTGATTTTCAACGATCATCTTATTTTCAAGTATCAATTTAGATTGAATATTATCGTGATTTTCATTTCCGTGAAGGACTGTGGAAAAATATGTTCGATTTACGTAAAGTTCAAAGACAAAGAGTCTTGGGGCATAGTGATTCTACTACACTTGAGGTGGAAAATCCTGCCCAAACGAGGTTTGCTTTCAGTATAAATACGGATGGACATATGGTTTCCGTGCTTTTCGAAAAAAAAATCAAAACAGACTGGGTTCCAACGGACAAAGAAAGTGTCAATTTCCAAAAAAACGAAACATGAACCTCGCAGGAAAAGACAAAGGCCTGTACCCATTATCCAAAAATCCCACAGGTATCACAATGGAAGATCGCATCATTGGAATTGATCCAGGTATATCTGCAATGTAAAATGTCTATCCCGATATGGTAATATTTTAATGAATTCATATACGTGATTATTTTTATAGGTGTTCGTGATATCATATGTGCGGTTGATTGCGAAGAAGAGCTTTTACAAAATAAGCAGCTCATTAAACAACATTCATTCAAAATAACCAACCCATCTTACAAGTAAGTATAGAGCATGAAATAAAGCATATGATTCATCCAGTGATGTTTTATTTTAATGACGACAGGGACCGCTCCGGCATGGAATGGCAAAGAAGATACGAACTTCGAAGCCGCGCAACCACAAACATTCAAGATAGTTATACAAGGCTTCAAACAAGAGATGTGTGCACCGTTGGAGGATTTGAAACGTATTTTGATTCTCGGTCTCTTGAAAACCAAAGGTAAAACAAATACAGTCATAAATCAATTACCTTGATCACTGATTGTGTTGTACTAAAATCGCACTATTTAACATATAAAATCGCATATAAAATCATTCCATCGATCCTTGATCGACATGTACATAATATCATAACACTCATAAAAAATAATAGCATAAAAAATATCCTGAGTTATACATTTACAACTCAGGGTTACTAGATATTCCAATAGAAGATCCCATTTCGAATAATAGATTGGCTACACTGATAAGGCTCATCAGTCATTAGTAAATACAGCCAATAATACCAAGTGAACACAAACGAGCCCATAATTTTACCCACGCTTTAAATAACTATAAATACCCCCCTTTCTTTCAGAGATGAAAGAGGGATTCACTTTTAATAAGAATAAAAAAGCCTACAAGAAATATTAATCTTATTCTTCCTGTTTTTTTATCTTTTATTTTTCCGTGTCAAACAAACCGTTTTTCCACATGTGTAACTGCAAAAATAGAATTCATGAATTCATGAAGTCGTACAGGCATCGAGAAATAAAGGGGTATATATTTTCAAACCGTCGAATGGCTAACGATCATGCTGCTTCAGTGGTTCTGGGGTACACAAACGTGAATGAACCATACAAGCTTTCCGTGGATTCTAGTTCACACTCTAGAAGGAAGAAGAGAAGAATATTTAACGGGACAAATGAACAACATTTGCGGGACCAAAATAACCCATATGATCAGCACCGAACCGTTGTAGCGTATGGGGACGCTTCCCTAAGTGGGACCTTTAAGAAGCATACCCCTATACCAGTAAAGGTGTGTATATTGATGTCTATTTTGATATAATTGGGGGGGAGGGGTCTGTATACTCATTAAATATTTATGCTTTCATAGAAAATTCAGAGAGCAATCGCTCAAAGAGCTCTTGTTATACCAGTTGATGAGTACAATACATCCCAGAAATGCTGTCACTGTCTCCAACAAACAAGAAACATCAATTATTCTAAAATTTTGTACATGCAACAACCAAGACTTAAATGCAAACATAGGTACCTGTAACATCATGCAAGGCAATAATATCTAATAACTAAACATGCGTGATGCTCTCACGTTATTTAGAAAAATCAATTACAAGTACCGTGATGAAAGAAGAAAGCATCTCAAATGTGTTGACGATGAAGACAACATTTTATGGAACACCACGGATTGTTATGAACGAGAAGAAAGTAAAAAATCTTGCGCTTATTGCATGGTGACTGATACTGAAAATTTGTTTATATTTATTATAGGAGCCTTCCAAAATGTTTACCCTCTGAAATTGTGTCAAAATTGCCAACGAGAAGGGTCGCCCTGTGTAGGTCTTTTTGTTCAAATTTTTATCCGCAACAGCATTCGACTAATACGTTTCCCACAGATATGGAACAGAGACATTAACGCTTCCTGCAATATCAGAACGGTATTGACGAGATACATAAGATTAGATTTTGATTTAGATTCCAGGCAGCCACAATTGACAAGAACAAGACAAGATGACCAATAAATTATAATTACGTAGGCACTATTCCTTGTACATACACATATACTTATATACTTGAATCAAATATATTTCTGATAAATACGTACTATATAGCATTTATTATCCAATAATAATGCAACCATTGTATCGACATAAGGTATAGCATCTGGTGACGGTCGAAGAAGATCATTAGTATGTATAAATCTGACATGTGCTCCAATAAGAAAATCTTGTTTACAATTCGTATAAATACTTTGATCCATCTACAATACATATCAATGAACTACATATGGAATATATTAATAAAGAAAGACAACATTTCAACATGTTTGTGGTATTTAGCCATATTTACCGTAGTCGAATTAGGTTACACGGTCATAATCCACAATAAGTCCTCATTATTTAGGGACTAAGGCTCATCCAAAAGACCTAAAAATTAGATGGAGTTTGTTCTAACGCGAGAATAAATGTAGTCATCAGCTTCAAAAACCGGTTTAGAAGCTCCATGGTTGCTTTGCCCATCAAAAATCTGTAGCCTGTTTCCCTCTTGTTTTTCTTTTCGAAGTGTCATATTTTTATGGATATATAAAGAGATGTTCTATATTAAAAAAAAAGAACCTGACATCTTAAGCCAAATTAAATACTTTTGTGATGCAGTAAAGAACACTATATGGCATCGAAGCTGCGAGAATTGATTCTGCTGGTAGAAGTGGTTATGTTGTTTCTTCTTTCTCGACTTCTGGTGTAAGTTATGATGTTGTGGTGGACGTTCTACAAATGATTACTTGCAGCTGCCCTGACTTCCGCTTTAACAATATCGCATACAAACACATGTATTTGTTGAAGTGTGATATGTCTTGGTTGTCTGTATTTGAAGGTAAACATAAATACTATTTAATTCTTTACGGCTTCATTTTTTTTTTTTTTTTTTTTACTAACCTCAAATCGAATAGTTTCTTTCGACCCCACTTTCTCAACCATTCCCCAGAACTCGCCTGATAGCTCAGCTCTTCTTACTCTAACTGAACAATCTCCTCTCACCGCTCCAAGCAATTCTTCAATAGATTTTGACACTCTGCTTTCTAACATTCATAAACTTAAACGCCAGCAATATACTTTGACCGAAACTGAGCTCGAAGAATTAAACAGCTTCAATCACTGGTTTCTCTCTCGTATAGAGCATTCATTCCAATTTTAATTTTACTATACAAAGATAACAAAAAAAAAAAGTTAATAATAAACGCGCCCCTTCCCTCTGCCTAAAAATCAAAAGCAAAGCAGCCCTCTACTTTTAAAAACCGCTCAAAAATTCGGGTATATAAGTAAAAAAAATTGATATGCAGGTATTATCCTCTTTTTTTTAATTTTACTCATGATAACCAACTTGACGGAAATTTCTAGAACTCCGTATTTTTTTCAAATAAACGTATTTTTTAGAATCACGCGATGGTCTACACGTCGATTGACATGCCATATCATCTAAACTTCATGGGATGATCGATTTCTGTTTTCCATAAAAATCTGCTTCACTGTCATTACAAGTTACTACTGAAACACGTATAGACAATTACCAAGCTCTGACTTGCTTGGGAGTTGTTTGCAAGTGTTTCTATTTTAAGTAAAGGCTCAAACATTATGGATGATAAAATAGACAAATGAAATCATCCTGACATAAGCTTGTTTATCTATAAATAAAGCTGGTTCACACACTTTATTCTTCTCCTTTTCTTTTTCCTTAACATGCTTCTTTTATCGTATGAAAGTAACCGATCACATAAAAAGGTTTGTTTAGTAGTGACTCTTGTTTCTTTGAATAGAAGCTAAATTGAAAAAGAAATATTGTGATATTGCGGCTGCGGCTAGTCTTTGCTATAGGAGGGCGACCTCCTAGGCAGGGTTCTTGAGTTTTTGGAACTCAAGAACCGTGAATGGCTGTGACTGCACTGTAAATAGTCATAAGCATACTGGCCTGCTGGTCTTGGCTGGAGTTTCTGTATGTGGTATGAAAAAAATTCGTTTGAAAAAAATACGGAGGTCTAGACACTTCCCAACTTGACATTATGAATAACTTTAATTCCGAAAAGCACTTCCTTAGATTCTTCAAACGAACACCAATCCATGACTGGAGTTTCCAGGGCTATATTTCGTATTCAAACGCGAATAATGATCGACTTTCACGTAAATCAGCGGTGCGTTCAAGATATAGAGCCTGCTTAAATGATTTGCTTTTAATAAAAGATTTGAAGGAGGAAGGTCAACAAAAGGCGCTAGAATTGGTGAGTAAGTAGGGCTTTTTGCTCTTACAAATTGAGAAAACCGGTGTATTAATTTTTGCAATATAATTCCCCATAGCTCGCAGAAAGCGAAACCGACGGAAGCAACTCACCATCAAGCCAAACCATCTTCAGCAACTATGGAACAGTAGGAGTCGTCTCAGGTGGAACATTCAGCGTACAAAGTAGAAAAAGAGCAGCAGCAGATACTTCAGTGGGCTGCACTAAAAAGAAGGGGCATTTGGGTAAGCCTTTTTTATTCCCAATCAGAATAATTAGCTAAATAGCTTTTTTTTATGGAACACTGATAAAGCTTATGAAATGGTAAAAGTTGAATATTACGAAAGCCTATGTGTGTGTGTGATATAGTGGAGACTAAATTATTTTATATAAATCATAGAATGGCGAGAGAGAGGAAGAAGAAGAAGAGGAGGAGGAGGAAGAGGAGGAAGAAGGGGAAGAGGACGAGTTCAATAGTGTAAGTATTTTTTATGACTATTCCAATATGAATTTTACCTAATAAATTGAAGACTGCAAACATCCTAGATGATATTCAAAGTTGTATCCTCTATATTCGAGACTTTATCTTGTAACAGTAAAAAAAAACATGGACCGTGATGCAAGTACGGTGGATTTGCTTGTCGAAAAAAGAAATTCTCGGTGGTGCTGGTGCTTGACAATGACGAGGCAAGATCGTATGGTGAAGCAAGTTTTGTTTTTTTTTACCAAGCTTGATAAGATCCACTACAAAACTTGAAAATGAGTAAGTTCGTCCTAATCGTGTTTTAGTAAACATTGCTAAATAGGTTTTTTCTATAGTTTGTCGAGTATGCATGTAATAGACCTAAGTAATACCATTTCCGTGAATCTCCTGCAACAAACCTTAAACCAAGACAACTATAATGAAATCAAGAACGCTTGTTCTATCAAGGCTGTTTCCCTCACCAAAGAATGTAATGATTTGTTAAAAAGGATTGCTAGCTGTCCACCCTCTCTTTCCTCAATTAGGAGACTACTTATGAAGTGGGATGATATCTGACAACAACTACTTTGATCCGTACCTCCACAACGATTATGATTTCATTCATGGCATAGTGTTTCATTTGTGAGTTTTACTATAGTACTCTCCACCTTTTATATTCAATTTTAATTCATTCACTGATAATCTGTTCTCTAGCCTGAAATTATGTGAAAGCCCCCTGAATCCTATAAGTCAAAAATTGAGAGAACGCAGTGCTGCCACCTGGAGTACTTTTCCGGTTATTAATTCTTTATTTTTACAATATCAAGATTTGATCGAACTTAAATGGTAATAATAGATATTATTTTCCCATAGCATTTTTTTGTGTTGACTCTTATCTGTATATAGGATTGAAGTGCTCCATGCTGACTTGGAGAGTAGTAAAATCGATGGCCTAGCACTTAAAAGAAAAAGTAATTCAATGGTAATATTAATTGAACTTGCAGGGGGTTCCCACACAAACACAGAGAAGAAATTAGAGAGAGACTGCTTCAAGACTTACAAGAATGTTATCAAGACACTGAGGAAAGATAACAAACAAAAGGTGTTTACTGTTTTTTATCACGGTAAGTAAAAAATTTACGTTAATAAAGTTCGGGTGTATGAACTGAAATCACAATAATTAGATAATATTTTCATCTTTGAAAGCTTGACAAAATACAATCAATGCTATGTAAGGGAACGACATTTAAAACTAACAGTACCACAACCCCCCCCCCCAGAGACCTCAAATCTTTCGCTGCCCTCTTGCCAGCTCTGCTTTCTTGGCGACAGGCTGCTATTGACTTAGCCGAGTGAATTTTACCAAACGTGCATGTGTGGTGTGCGTCTTTACCCATAATAAATCAACTGTATATTTTATTTTATTTTCTTAAAAAATCGGCAAACATGTTTGCCCAAGTGGATGGGACAGTGACAATCATTTTTACCCAGACTAACAATTAGATTACAATGGCTGCCATTTATTTTTGGCTTAGGGGCATTTATCTTTTAAAAGGTAATAATATTTACCAGCCGCTACTGCTTTGGTCAAGAGACCTCTGGTGTAACATGTGCTTTGCTCCGTTAGGTGCTAGATGGTAAACTAGTCAGATATACAACCTCTCTGAAAGTGAATTTTGTAAATAACAAATGCAAATTGTATTTATACATCCATGTTTTTAACTTGTCTAAAAAAAAAAAGAAGGAAATCAATGGGTTTTTTTTTCATTTAGTTTCAGGAATAAAATTAAAATGTAGAGAGGTTACTATCAAACTCCAATCATGGCCCGAAAGCTAAATGGTGTTAGCGAATCAACTCATATCCGTCTTTGGTTACTAAACAATTTCCTTTATGGAAATAAATGTTCCGAAAAAAAGTTTTTTACTAGTTTTTGTAGCCATTGAATTTAAAAGACCTTCTCATATTGGCCACTAGAATGAGTTAACTGGAGAGGCTCATTTATCTCTGCCAAATTGTGGGGACCATATAATTTCTTTTCTTTTTTTTTAAATTCAAGGGTGTGCAAAAAAAAAAAAAAAAGTGGACTGCTTATGAAAAAAAAAAAAAAAATTTTTTTTTTCACAAAAAAAAAAGTATAAAAGACGAGGTTAAGTCTTCAACTATTTTGTTTCTTTACCAATCAGTAGGAAAATGATCTGTTCGCAGATGCTACGGCACTGCAACATTTATATTTTTCAGATGATGAAATCGGGTATTCGGATGAACACGTCAGTTGATTATAGAGCGCCCTGGTGGAAACACCTTTCTGATTATATTTTGCTGAATTCGGTTTCAAACATCTTTTTTTTTTAATATTTAATGTAAATGAAAAAATTCTTTTTATTGCTTTTGTCTCCTACATCAGCAACGTTAATCGTTACTGTTTTGTTCATGAACATTTGTTGTCATGGAAATTGGTCTTGGTATGAATTTGTAGGATTTTTTTTTGAAAAGACGTTTCAGTGTGGTATCGTTCTCGGGTGAAATGAAATGTTGTCCAATCAGAAATCGCCTATTGGGTTTTCTGAAAAGAAAAAAAAAATTTCTGTTTTAATTTTTACAAAGACTAGAAAAAGCAATACGATATACTTGTACTCGAATGAATTTGCTTGCTCGACTCTCTAGAATGTAAAACATGCATGCGAAACGCATTAAATGGGATAGACATTAATAATGTAGAGGTTCTAACTTTTGCTTCTGGTAAGCAAGAACTGATTGTTTTGATAAACCTAAAGGATTTCGAGTCACTTTGATTCTAACAATCTGGGATATGATCACATACTGGATAAAAAAAAATCCTCACTTTTTTTATACATGTCTGTGAAACTGCTACCTTTCCATTATGTACTTGTGATTGATAGCACTTGTACTGATATAAAACCAGCTCCGAAGTGTAAGGCAGAGTGCCCATTTTTTTTTAATTTTGACAATGAGCTCCTTACTATCATGAATGATAGTATGCATCTGTAAACGCAGTGTACAGTGCAATGATTCATAAATCAAACCCAATGATCTAATACGTTGAGACCAGATACCCCTCATCGATTATATGCCCAACGAAAAACTTGGGGAAAAGCCTTCTGTCGAAAATAGAACATTTTTTTTTTTTTTGCTAGGCCAATCCATTTCCTTTAACTGTAAATGTCAAGTAAGGGATGATGTAAAGGTCCTTTATACCTCCATACAGTGCTCACGGTTAACTCATTCAAATTGCATCGTACGTTTTGAAATTTTGCTTGCAAATACCTAATATATGAAGACAAAAACATCTTTATAGAGACTTTACATATAGTGTTATCCTTATTTATGAAAAAATAGAGAATTGGAACTATCGTCTGGTGTGGTTGCGCTGACATTTGTACTGTCACCGTACGAATAAAGTCATCCTCATCATTTGTTGCATGAGGTCTATTTAACATACTTCACAACATCGGATACTGGGTCTGAACTGGTGAGAATGTCGGAACAGTGACCATTGGAGATGTGGACTGTGTTTTTGACTATATTTCATTAATACCAACTGATGAAAATGTTAGTAAAGATATGGGAATATCTAATAATTGAACTAACCAAAATGAATGTTGGTAAAAAGTTGGATAAAATAATAATTGCTTCTTGGTTTTGGATCAAGTAAAAAAAAAAAAAAATAAGAAAAAACAGTGCAACCTTTGTTTTTTTATGGCTTCTTAAACCTCTTTACCACTCTTTCCCTCTTAATCAGTGGAAACAATTAAAATTTTTTTTTTAAAGAAAAAACCAATACGATCCTTTTACACTTACCGAGGATTCAGTTAATTTGATTGTAATTCACTGTGTACCCGCTAGCTTATTTTAGACATAATAAAAGAATGTGTGAGTGCTGAGGATATCATTTAGAGAAGGATGTTTAATCCAAAACGTATCTTTTACTGAATATATAAAGTACATGTCCAATAAACAGTTTACACTTTTCTTCACTATTCAAAGTTATTAGAATATATAATTTGTCAGAATTTGCCATGCTGTTATATCATGTACTCTAATATGTTTGACGGCATACGTGATCGCAAAATGAGCCTATAAATCCGATTAAGCCCTGCTTCACAGCATCGGATGAACAACAAACAATCTTCCCCTACATGCAAGCAAAACCTTGTCTGATTGCGATATAGGCTACTTGAGTTGGTTAAGTTCTTAGTTTTAAATATCTCAACAGTCCAACTTTTAGTAAAGCATTCACGTTATTGAACCCCATTAAGATTAAACTTTTCTTGGTGGCTGTGATTGCTCCTTTCTGTATACAAAATTACTTGACATCAACAAATGTATACTACTGATGTCAAAAAGATGTCTGTTGTCTATTATTAGGATAAAAGCATTGTATTATATCTGTAATAGGATCCTTGCTCTCCGCATTTCTTCTTATACTAAGGGTTTGTAAAATTTATGATGAGCATACAAGTCTTAATTATTATGGTCAAGTCAAAGGAAAAAAGAGAAAAAAATATGGTTTATGACATAAACTATACTAATAAGTGCTTCTCCTAGTTCCCAGCATAAAATAGCTGGTTAACAGGCCAGACCACGAGAAGGTGGAAGCACATCCTGGCCCAAAAAATACATATGTTTCCGATGAACCATCTTCAATACAGAACCTGATAATCCTACATGCTACCTACCCACAATGCGCAACATAAGAATCACCAGGACCAAATACCCCCTACACCATGTTGGGGTGGTGCTTTTTACCCTGGCAGCTGAATCGTAGCAGCCGCACCTGGACGAGTATTGGCTTTAAGGTTAACATTCCGTGTAGATGAGGTAACTGTCCAACAGGCGACCAATCTATGGCTGCCTATAGAATGCAATATCTCTAGCGTAGACGTAAACAAGGCAAAAGCACTTACAAGATGCATTCGGGCACTAAACCTCCTACTGTCATCAGATCCCGACCAAAGATAACAACCCACACCAACTCCAATGACTAAGAACGTATCGACTGGCTTCAAACGGCTACGACCATCCACCGTCTAGTAACACGCTCCTAAATCCACCCTCCACCAAGCAACCGGGTGTGGCACTAGTTTTAGTAAGAAGTTCCTGGAACATAGAGGGCGACAAGCCCCAGTCAGATTGTTGTACTGAAATCCGAATGAAGCGATACAGACAACAGCCAAGACCATTGCCTAGCGACTTTGACAACCAGCAGACTCCTCAATGTAATCTTATTAGGGATTACTACGGCCTTTGGAACACTGCCCGATCTGTAATGAAGTGAACAGGTTTAACGGAAACGAACAGAGACGAGAGTGTCTTCCTTGTGTTGGTGCCATGCTAACATCTCTGTTCTAATCTTGATGAGAAGATAAAAAGAAAAAGGGCGTTTTTTTCGCAGCAGTCTCCCTTTTATACGAATTTTTTTTTTCTTTTGTTTATTTTGTTGATTTTGTCTAGGCTACTTTTACAAACTTAATTTTTCCTTCACTACTTTTTGGACATATGTATTATCCTTTGAATAATCCGTCAAATTCTCATCACATCCGTGTGCGTATCATAGTTACTTTCTTCATTGGATGTCGAGAAAATGAGCATTAAAGTTTTGCTAATGTATGCGAAAATGTTCTTTTTGTGTAACGGATAAAAACATTTTTTCACATGAATCCTTCAGACCATGTTTTAATAATGAGACTGCGCAAGCCAAAGAATACCTGATTCTCAAATAACATGTCTTCGTGTAAAAAAAAAAAATTATACTCATGACTCTACAAGACATAAACAGCCAATGTCAAACTTGCACTTTTCAGTTTATTAATGCGTATAGAAAAAACCATTGATTTGTACATTCTGGCACGATGCACATTCAGACAAGCTTTTTTTTTTTTGACAGCCATGTACTTAAAAAAATAGCTTAAAATATTGCTTTGGAAATCACCAAGCACTTCTGCACACGCTGAAATTTTGATATCGTAATACCCACATACTTCAAAAGTGCACTAAGGCATAAAGATGCATGTCAGCTGTATTCTCATTCAAGTTGTTTACCGATCCAATACTGCCGATGAAAAGGTTGCTTTACTTGAAATGTTGCTCTTCAGTTGAAGCTTACCCTGGACCAACTCTATGCAAAAGTAAGCCTTTTACTGCGGACACAAGCAAGGAGCTGAAGCCTCAACGAGCTGATTTTTTTTTTTTTTTTTACTTAAATTCAGTTATCATTTTTCCCCTAATGTAACATTGATGCTTCATAAGATTTATAATGTGACAGTATGTTTAAAGCTTGTAGAAAACAGACTATCTTTGTTTTCAGCCCTCAGGTCCGAGATTCTTACTCGTGTATGATCGTAAAATAATATAAACAGAAGAAAAAATCCCGTTAACGTATAGTTATAAGTAATTTTCTCATAGCGAAGGTAGATATTTAGATCGATTGAGTATTTCTCTAATTCTATCTGAATATATACATATATTTACGTCAGTCTGATTTTTTTTTTTTTTTTTTACTGCTGTCTGAAATATATTTTTGTTCATCTGAAAACATTTTTAGGTTTATCTGAAAATAAGTTTTCCTTGCCTGAATTTAAAGTAATGATATGTCTAGAGCCAATTTGTCCAAGCATAAAAAGTAAACTAAAACCACGGGAAGAGTCGTAACAAAAATCAAATAAAACTTGGAATCTGCAACCGAACGCTTTAAACTAAAGTAAGGCGCAGTTTATCTGAAGTCTGAGTAACCGACTAAGTGAGAAACATGATGTCAAACCCCTCCAACCTACAGCATGAGGCTTCCTTGGACTCTAAAATAGAAAAGGTAGGCTTTTCAGGTACTATACTTCCCAATTGATAAACAGCCAGGTTTGTGATAGGTATCGTTTTCAATAAATTATTTCCATTGTGAATGCAACACATCCCACCCTGCTTTTCATGTCCGACAACGAATCGATTTTCATAGAACGTTTTTAAAAAAAAACAAATGCACTTGATCGTATTTCCTATGAAACTCCTCGTCTCAGGGCTCCGCCCTATTGCAGCTTGCTTTTAAAAAAAAAAAGTATTTTTATTGGGTAATTGACCTTCCTCTTTAAGGATAGCTGAGGGTTAAAGTAACAAATCAGATTGAGGTTAATTGGGAAGGGGTAGTTTGACATATGTATGGGAACATTATGTATGTCATGTAAAAGCAAACTGAAAGGCGAGATAAACTTTACTTTATATTTATGCAGCAGCAGTAATTTATCTTAACGGAAATTTCAAACTATTTAAATTGCTTGCACACTTCAACAAAAAAATTAGAATTTATATCCGAATTTAGGATTAACAACCCTTGTAGTGATCTTCTATTTAAAAAGTGCCTTTAGTAAAAAGTAGATTTATCTCAAACAAGGAAAAGAAGATTGTTTACCCGAAGCGGCTAATACAAATGTGTGTAGACACCAACAAATGAGATACAACTGTCAGGACCATTGAGGGAGGAAAGCTGCTAGCAAAAATAGTCCCATGTAGTGCTTTCAGATTCTCAAAAAGAAACACTATTGTCAGCCAAGCATTTTTACAACATGAAAAATAATCATCTTGCACATAAAAAAAAATATGTTTTTATATTAAAAAAAAATACTGATTAAACAAAGCATGAATCTGCCTTCGTGTACCCTGAAAAAAAAAAAGGGTTTTTCTTGATTTTAAGCGCAAACCATTGTGTTGTTTTTTAGATTCTCTTTGCGATAAAGTAATACGGAAGGAGGTCTGGGTCGCATACGACGAGCAACATCCAAAGAGACTGTAGATATCATACTAGAACTTAAAACGGGCGCTGTAAAATCTCTCGAGATGGTAGATTTCATTAGACTGGAAATCCACGCTTTCATACTGGTATCTACCTCTGTATAAAAATAAAATGTGCGCTCTTCCTCATGTTGTGCTTTAAACGAATATTGACCGGGTTGAATAGTTTCGTCGGGTACAATTCGGTAGCCTCTTAAATTAATTATGCCCTTCATGCGGACATCCTTGATAACAAAAGAGTGTTAAAAGATAGATATTACTATTCTTTATTAAGTTGCTTTACCTTGGGACTCTTGAAATAAAAAAGATTTGGACCTTTTAATACGAACCAGCGTTTGTTCCATTTTTTATATTTACAGCCTTGTTTATAAAGCCAACCTTCCATGTCGGGTGTAACGTTACCACTATCGTCCGTGATCCGGGTAGAATAAATATCCATTGAACTTCGATGTGCCATTGGTAATACTGTATGCCGTTTATGGACCATGGATATATCTCTATGGACTGTATTTTAATACATGTAAACCTATTCATGGCATACAAAAATGTATATACATGTATATGTATTTAGACGACTTACTCGATTTCGGGTATCTTTTGATCTGTACGATGATCGTTTTCGTACTACATAAAGAGTTTTAATCAAATGATTGCGTATATAAAAAAAAAAAGTGAGAACTACTAAAAAACCATACGTTTTTACTACTAGCTTCCATGATGTCATAGTCAGATGCAGGGAACTCCATTTGAGCGGGCGAGACTGGTGATATTAAACCAATACTTTCATCGTATTCTTGAATTGTATCTGCCCGTTCACTTTTAGAGCGTTGATGTTTTTCATGTATCAGATTTGAGTGGAAACTAGAGGATGGACGATGGTTTGAGTATCGAGAAGGTGTAGGTGAAATAGGGCTCTGAAAATCCTCAGTGGAGTAGGTAGAAGATGTCACGGACATTCTATTGGTAGGGTTTGTGATATGATATCCAGATTCTTCACGTAGTAAATTGAGGGCTGTAAGCACTTTAAATCGTTTACCATATGTCGCAACATCTAATTCTTTTAGTGAATCCATGTTGAGTTCTAGTAAGATATCTCCTGTAATTTCTTGTGCTGGTTGAGAAAAAAGTTCTTTAGTAATTAGATAAACAATAGGGAGATTGGGTATTACATTTGAAATTATCTGCTATGCAACCAAAATTCATGGCAGTCAACCAGACTTCGACTTGATCCATATCCCAATCTTCCGGAGATGTGGATCTAAGGGCAGGTAGAAATAAAGAGTTGATGACTAATTTTCTCAAGATGTTGCTATTATGATTACTCGAGGATGCGCTGATATTGGATATAGAAGATGCAGGACCTGTGGTCGAAGTCATTGGACAGGTGAAAGAATAGGAAGAACGAACAGATTCGGGTAAAGATGTATCGATATGACAAAGTTGTGGTGTTTTATTAGTAATGTCAGATGTAGAGGATGTAGGGTGCGGTAATTCATGCTCATAAGGCTCAAATGTAATGTAATTCATTGGAAATAAACCTACTTCACCTCTGACATTTTGGCCCTACACATAAATTTTTAGTACTCCTCTTTTCTTTGTTATCTCTCTCTCTCTCGCTCTCTTTTTTTTTTTTTTACCTTCCACCATCCATCGTTAAAACCGTCATCTTTTTGAATGACAATGACAGATTCACCAATCTGAAATGTCAATTCATCGTCATTCTCAGCTTCAAAATTATGGACTGCATAAACTGTCTCCATGAGACTTTAAATCTTTTTTTTGTTTAGAAATTTTTTATTTGTAAAAGAAGAAACAAAAGAGTATAAATAGTCAAAAAGATTATGTGAAGAGTGAAATATAAAAAGGGGGATAACCAATTGAGAAAAAAGGAGGAGGCAGCTCTTATTCCGGTTTTCTATAGGTCTTTTTTTTTTTCATGCTGTGAATTGCTCTAGATACAATATACTACACACATCATGAATGGGGGATTTACTGCAGGATCCCTTGATTTTTTTTTTTTTTTTTTTTTTTTTTTGCTGCGATATTTTAAAAGTCAAATGAAACATACTCATACAGATTGATAGTATACGTTGACAGCGCAAATATGTGTCAGTTAGGCACATCTCGTTACACAACAATATGATGCTCCTAATATACCATCTCGTGTTATTACATATATAATTTTTTTTGCTTGCTTTATTACTCCCCTTACAATATATTAACCAAAGGACTATTCGGGTATTAACCGCCGTAAGTTCCTTCAAGTCTATTTCACAATGGCCGAACTAGATAAGGGGGTCTTCCTAAAAGAAGAATAAAAAAGATGGGTAACTGACATTTTACCTATCAAACAGAATGGAAAATTCACAAGACTTGACGAAAAAAAAAAGGGGGGAGAATAGAAAAAAAAAAATGACATCAACGATCTAGAATGATTGAGAAACATCGTTGTGGGTCTAGAAAAGAGGAGTGAGTCAGTCTAGCGAGGTTTTGATTCGTAGCGTCTGGAATCAATTCTAGCGAAAATTTTCTGCAGGCACCCAGATCTTTTCTGACTGGTTACAATCAATTGGCCCGCTGTTTCTATGGTTTTCTCTAGCCCTGAATTGAGGAACCTAGCAAACCAAAAAATTTATGAAAAAAGAACTTGACAAACCAAAATCCCTGGATCACCTTTTTTTAAAATAGAAAATTAGAAAAAAAAGATTTACCTAGTGCATTGTTTCAGATGCAAGCTTAAAAAAAAGTATAAATACTTGCTAGTAACTGTGTCTATCCTCTTTTTTTCAATTCACTTCACTTCTATATATATATATATCTTCTTTTACAATGGTTAGATTTGTCACCCTTCTCACTACTCTTGCTGGCATGAGCGCTGTTATGTGTGCTCCTACTGATGGTGTCTCTATTACAGTCAAGAACAACTGTGCCAATTCTATCCAAGTCAATCAATTAACCAACGAACAAGCTACTAGCGACAAAAGCTCTGTTGTCTCTGCTGGTGACTCTACTACTATCAATGTTGGTTCTACTTGGGGTGGTCGTATCTGGGCAAGAGAAGGCTGTTCCGGTGATAGCGATTGTCAAGTCGGTGCTCCTGCTTCTCTTGCTGAATTCCTTATGGGCGGTGCCCTTGGTAAAGATTACTATGATGTCTCCTTCGTAGATGGTTTCAACTTGCCTATTCAAATCTCTGCTAACAGTGGTTCTGGCTCTGGTGCTGAATGTGGCTCTCCTACTTGTGCTACATTGCCCACTTGTGATGGTGAACTCGAATACAAGGACTCTAATGGTAAGGCTGTTGCCTGTAAGTCTGCCTGTAGTGCTTTCTCTACTGATGAATACTGTTGTACTGGTTCTTTTGGTCGTGGTGTCTGTGATGCCAACAAGTATTCCATCGAAATCAAGAATGCTTGCCCTGATGTTTACAGTTATGCTAATGATGACAGCTCTTCTATGTATGCTTGTCAATCTACCGATTATACCGTCACTTTCTGTCCTGCTTAAGTTACTCCGCCCATCCATTCTCTTTTTTTTTCCCTCACACGAAGATGTCTTTGATAGATATTCTTTTATAGATATATATATATATTAGAAGTTTTAAAAAAGCTGGTTCTTTTTTTTCTAAATAAAATAAACTGGTTTTATTTTTATATCATAATTTTTTTGGTTATTTTTTTTTTTTTTTTTCGTCTTCACATTTACATTCCTGTGTTGGATGTGATATTAATGCATTAGTATTTGTCACTTAATTATTCCTTCCTTTCTTTTATTCTTATTATCATTATTTTATAGACGAATAGATGCCTTTATTCCTAAAAAATGGAACCCAATTAGAAAAGGATGTAGTAATTAAAATCGAACGATCGGTTTCGACAAGTCCATCTATTAATAATACACGCAAGTCGCAAAAGCACATTAAAAACTGCTCATTGGTAGTAAAAATAGTAGGGCTATTAATAATTGTGGGGGTTGTACTACTCTGCGCTCTTCTGCCCAATTATTTACAGAATCGAAACATAAACGATGCCAAAAACAGTGGTACAGATCCTACCAATGCAAGACTACCAGAAGGTACAGTGATAAAGGTAAATATTATCACTTTGCGAAAATCATATCCCCATTACTAAAAAAAATAAAATTCACTTCCTGCCTAATAATCAATTGTTCCAAATTATAACCTATCTGTCCATATGAAGATACCATAGTTATAATAATAAAGGAATTATTACATCACATAAAAATGCATACACATATATAATGGAAGCCCTCTAAAACATAGAATATTTTGCTCTCTCTCCTTCCAATCAGCATATTAAAACTTTTTTGATTTGTTTGAATGCCAATAGTTCTTACATGGAATTTATCCAAAGGAGGGTTAATATGCCTTCCAAATGAACATTCATACCCCCATTCCATTGCTTGTCTATGCTTGGTAATTACAACATGCTTCTTCTGTGTCTACACATTACGTTTATCGACTCCAGTTGCGTTTTCCTTTGGTACATGTAACACCTTGTTTACAGACTCTCGCTTACAATGACGTTTAATTGGCCCTGTAGCGAACGTAATCCTGATCAAGATTAAGGCGTGCGAGGAATGCTTACATCTACAAATAAGCATTGTGAATGTTAAACATGTCGATTGTAGAACCAAAGGATTGGATTCAGATTGATCCAGTTTTTTTCGTTGTCCGACATCCAATAAAGATGTGCATAATCTTAAGTTTGTTTTTATACTCAGGTTGTTGCTCATAAAAGATATGCTTGGAGGAGAAAATACACATGATGTAATTTATTGATGAGGTACGTATGATAAAAAATAGTAGGCATACTGTCTTCTAGAGTACTTTTCACGTCAGTAAAATCAAGAGATACACTAAAAAAACGGCCAATAGAATGTTGTCAAAAAATAAATAAATTATGAGTTCTACGGTAATAATTATAATACAGTGTAAATGAGTTGGAATTGTACACTTAAATTTTCCTTTTAGGATTTTCTAGAACTGCTTAATTTGATTTACAATCTTTTTCCATTAGATTAGATTTTTTAGATTGCCCAAATAAATAAAAGGGAACCAGACCCTCTTGGGGACATACCTAGAACGGGGAGGAAAACGTTCAATTATGGAGTTCAATACATCAATCTATAACCGCAACTTTCAGTCTTTCTAATCACCGGTTTGTTTATTTGTGGATAGTGCAAAAGTCCATAATTAAAAAAAAAAACTTCCTTTAGGTTTTCATCAAGCTCCATGGCATCAATAGAAAGTTTTTCATGAATTTGATGAAATAAATAGTTATTATTCCTTTCGTATCTAGTGGGGGGGGGGGGACTATCCTGAGTTTTGTACTCAATTATTATTATCTACGAGCTCTATTATAGCTTTTCCTTCACACTAATTGCACTTTTACCTGTATACACTTTTTTTTGTTTTGTTTTGGTGTAGTCGATATTCCTTTGATTCGAAGCTTCCGTATTGCTGCATAAACAATAATATATGCGTGTACATCACCAGTAATTGTGTGTGATAGAGATTTACTTTTTTGTGTCTTTAATATGATGGACGCTTCGAAGTCAAATCTGTAGCTTGATTGCTCGTCTAATTAATGTGAAATCCAGCTTCATTAAAGACACAGATTTCTTCTTTTGCAAAATCTAAATCAGAGTGTTTCTATCTCATAATTTGTTTGTAGATTGTCGGCAGAGTTTTTAACTTTGGGTTTAAGTTTACATATCTTAACGGTCACGAGCATATTGTTTCTCAAATGACGGTCAAGTTACGTCCGAAGTGTTAAGCCCAATAAACTGTTTAAACCAATTATTGATAATATCTTAAGTATACATCTGGGAGTCTTTGTCAAGTAGATTCCGAATGCGTTCCGTGTTCTTCTTTGATAATTCATTTAAACAAGCTTTGAAAAATGGGCTGTGCATATTATTCAAAACCCCGATACATCTTTTATTTGGAGGATCTTTTTTTTTTTTAATAATAGAACCTCCTTTATCTGATTTCCCTCCCATAATACGACTCTCTCTCTCTTTTATTTTTTGTATATAATTAAGAACTATAACCATAGATGAAGTTTTCTCATCAAATTCAGTTCAATGCGGTACCGGATTGGGCGGATTATTATCTCCCGTAAAGTAGCATATCGAACATAATTCAACTGCCATAGAAAGAAATAAAAAATAAATAAAAATAACCCGTTTTTTTACATAGATATTCCAACTTGAAAAAGTTAATTTACCTGATTGAAAAAGAAAGAGTCTCCCAGAAAGGACATGGTCTTTCTATTGATCTTGAAGATGGCGGAGAGGTTCCTAGTGAACAAACGGCTCTCATTAGTGACAATCCTGTTGAAGCAGAGAATCACCAATTTGTCAATGCGTTGAATAAGTCGCTTGATAAAATCGTGAAATTTTATGCTAAAAAAGAAACTGAACTCTATGATGAGATGGATGAATTGGTAGGTGATTTTGAATACCTCAATCGACATGACACAGCTATTTCTGCTCAATTACGCCGTCTTAGTTTTGTTGGAGGTGATGACGACGCTCAAGAGGCTCATGTTCGAAGTAACACCAACCAATTACCAAGACGTGAGTCAAACGTGGAAGGCGATTCGTTCTTGCCTCCCAACATCATTTCTAAAAATGTCACGGATACAGATCCTATTGATCATCGTACCTCCGCCGCAACTCATATTCCACCACCCAATTCTGCCAGAGGTCCCATGTGGCCCAGAGAGGCCATGTATGACGTCGTAGAATTAAGAAAAAGAACAATTGACCTTTTTGTGCTGTTATCTGAATTGAAATCATTTGTCGCATTGAACCTGACCGCCTTTGCCAAAATATTGAAGAAATATGATAAGATCACCAACAACAATCTAAAGCGTTACTACACTTCTACCTATGTCTCCAAGGCCTATCCTTTCAAGACCGTTACAAAAGCAAGATTGAATGAAAGGATTCAACAAACCGAAAGAGCCTATGCTATCTTGGCTACTGGTAATGATCTAGATTTAGCTATCGAGGAATTGAAAACACATTTAAGAGAACATATCGTTTGGGAGAGAAATACCGTTTGGAGAGACATGATAGGTCAAGAAAGAAGGACCCAGACTGTTGGCCTAAGTGATGTTAAACCTTCTTCTGTACACACTCCTTTTGGTACGTTAAGAATCACTCGTGATCAGGTAATGAACTACCTTTATATGGCGGCTTGTATCGCCGTCTTTGTCATCTTGATGAAGTCCGAAATGTTTAACACGGTGGAACAAAACCGTTGTTTGGCTATTCTTGTATTTGCTAGTATGTTATGGGCTGGTGAGGTAAGCACAATAATATTCCCTACCCCCTCTTAAAACGAACAAAAAATTTAATCTTTTTGTTCTTCTAACAGGTTATGCCTTTGTTTGTAACGGCTCTCCTTGTTCCATTTATGATCATCACTTTGCGTGTGATGCGCTCTGATGATGACCAACATACACGTCTGACTGCCCCTGATGCTACCAAAAAAGTGTTTAGTGCCATGTTTTCTCCTGTCATTATGTTGCTTTTAGGTGGTTTCTCGATTGCTGGTGCCCTTAGCAAATTCGGTATTGCCAAATCCATGGCAACTTTTGTGTTGTCAAAAGCAGGTACTCGTCCCAATCGTGTCTTATTGGTCAATATGATGGTAGCTACATTTGCTAGTATGTGGATTAGTAATGTTGCTGCTCCTGTTCTTTGCTTTTCGCTTATACAGGTATACTATAAAAAGGAGAGAGAGAGAGAAAAGAAAAGAAAAAGAGAGTGTGAATAAAAAAAAAAAAAAAAAACTGTAGTTGGATATGGGGAGATACGCTAAAGCGGGTGGTACCGCGTCAATGTTAAATATAGACATATATTTATTTGTTGTTTTATCTTTTTGTTAGCCTATTCTTCGTACTTTACCAGTTGACTCGAAATTTGGCCCGTGCTTAATTATCGGTATCGCATTGGCTTCCAATTTAGGGGGTATGGCTTCGCCCATTTCATCACCTCAAAACATCATTGCTATTCAAAACATGAGTCCTGCTCCTTCTTGGGGTGAATGGTTCATCATTTCTATTCCTCTTTGTATCATCGGCAATTTTATTATTTGGCTTTGGCTTCTTTGGAATTACAACCCTGAAAAGCAAACACCTCAAATTCATACTATTCGTGCTAATTCGGATCCTATCAACGGTACCCAAATTTATGTTATCTTGGTTACGTTACTTACAATTGCTCTTTGGTGTTTGGCTCATTCTTATGAAGCTATTTTTGGTGACATGGGTGTGATTGCCATCATACCTTTGCTCGCATTCTTCGGTACAGGTCTTTTAACCAAGGATGACTTTAACAACTTTTTATGGAACGTCATTGTATTAGCCATGGGTGGTATTGCTCTTGGTAAAGCAGTTGAAAGCTCTGGTCTCTTAAAGACCATTGCATCTCAAATCGAGGTCATGGTGGAAGGCTTATCCGCTTTTGAAGTCTTGTTTGTTTTCAGTTGTTTAGTACTTGTGATTGCTACTTTTATCAGTCATACCGTGGCTGCACTTATCGTCTTGCCTATTGTTGCCGAAGTGGGAGCACAATTAGCAGACCCTCAACCAAGAATGCTTGTTATGGTAATTACAACTATCAATCTTGTTTTTTTTTCTATGTATATACTAACATGAGAATATATTAGGGTACTGCCTTTGTTTGTTCTGCTGCCATGGGTCTCCCTGTGTCAGGTTTCCCCAACATGAATGCAATCTCACAAGAGGACGAGCTTGGCAAATCTTACTTGACTACCAAGGATTTCCTTCTTAATGGTGTTCCTTCAAGTGTTTTTGCTACATTGTGTATTACAACAATTGGTTATGGCTTAATGGTTTTGATTGGATTTTAATGATCTTGTATATTCTTTGTTATTATTTTGGGGGGAAGTCGTTCTCCTTTAACATTCATTAAATAGAATATTTTGTTGAATGTAATATAATAGATCATGCTTATTTTAATTGTCACAATGCTTAATTTGTCTATAAGATCGATTTAATTATCCTATCACGGATGATTAGCACTAGAGTGTCCTTTTTAAAAAGCAACATTTTAATCCTCCTTTCCAAAAGATTAGTCATATTTCATAGATAAACAGCATATGAAGCGTCATTCCAATTTTAAACATCTCGTAAACGACATGTATCTTTCCCAAAAAAATGTAAAGCTCCCATTAGCTCGTCTATTGCTGACCATCAAAGCGGAATTTGAGTCTAACATATATATGGCTGGCCTACTGATCCACATTTTGTACAAACTGTCCATGTAACACGGATTACTAAGCCTCATTTATTGACCGTAAAAAACTATAGTGATGCACCAGTCGTAATGTGTGTGCTACTGGGCAGCCTAGTCAGAGTGAAGTCAATAAGATTAATAATATATGATGATACAACTCATGATTTGAACATCTTAGTATCCAACTGTGTCGACTCTGGTGTTGACCATTTTACCTTTACAAAATTAAAAAATCGAATGTAATTTTATTTGTTTTATTCTACCTATAACTTTATGAAATGTCACTATCGTTAAAGAAGTTACACAATTGATATCATTGCTAACCCAGGATTTGAATTGAGATGATTTTGATTGATTGCATCAAGGTATTTTTCTCTTAATTGTGAAAGATGAATAACAAAAAGAATTAAGGTTCACACTTTGTTGGTAGCACAATCAATCAGTTTTTTTTTTTTTTTGTTTCACGGTAGATTTTGTGTTCACTGTTACGAAAACAAAGTTAGACAAGAATCGATAGCGCCCACTTAATCCCTTTGATGACTTGACAGGGTACAGGCACACAAGTTTATTATGTTGTTTAGATACTGTATGTGCATTCGGAAGTAACTGGGGGAACTGATAAACATGCGATACATTTTTATTTCTGTTTGGTGTTGATTGTTTTAACAGAACGGCTGATTTATATTGTATACGCTTTAGAATGTTTCATTATTAGTAAATGTGCTCGAGTCTCATTAAGAAAAAGTGCCTGTGATATAAGAAATATCCATAAAAAAAGCGAAAAAAAAAACTACGTCAGCGATGATAGATTGCCCGCCGTGAACAAGGAAGCGGGAGCTATTTCGAATTTCAGAAAAATCAAATATAAACAAAAAAATATATAGAACATAATGGATGCGGTGTAACATCCGAAATAGTAGCTGTGAATCAAAAAAACGTGTATTAAGGTTGGTATTCTTCATTGCAAAGGAAACAAAAAAACTAAACAAAAAAAAAAGGGCCGCATTTTACTATCCCATTCAATTAAGCAGTAATAATGAGCCGGTGTTCATTGTGCCACTATAGGTTTGATACAGTTTTTTAACAGCTAATTGGCACAATAAGAAAGTGATGACGTGATGCCCTTGTACCGTTATGGGTTAAAAGTAGCGCATTAAGCTATTGTTTTCACTTTTTTTTTTTTTTTAAAACAGATCAACCCTCTTATATTAATCATCCTTTTTCTTTCCTTACAAATAAAATCTTTTTCTTTTCTTATTAAGAGTCAATGATATGGATGCAACACAATTTGATTTAGCTACTTATCCAGTCAAAGATACAATAAAGATATTAACAGCACTTTTAGAAAAAATTACCTTGACCAATGACCAACATCTAGAAGCCAATTCGTTTCAATCCTCTACTTATACCTGTTTTCATGCACGTTCTATACCAAGCATATCTATACACGCCTATTTTACTAGAATTTTGAAATATTGTCCTTGTGCCAATGAATGTTTAATAGCTTTACTTGTTTATTTCGATCGCATGACCTTACCTAACCCAGATCTTCATCTAAAACCTCTTCACATTGACTCTTATAATGTACATCGACTCATTATTACCGGCCTGATGATTTCAAGTAAACTGTACTCGGACGTCTTTTTTACAAACACTCGATATGCTAAAGTAAGTGTTTCATTGTTATCAATTAAAAAAAAAAATTCATTGTAGTATGTAGGTCGGTGGATTGCCTGTGACTGAATTGAACACATTGGAATTGGAGTTTTTAAAATTAAACAGTTACAGCTTGTTTGTGACGATAGATGAATTACAAAAATATGGTGATAGTATACTTCATCACTGGAATCACTCGCAAGATACAGGACCTCTTATAGTCAAGGATATCACCAACACAAATGATGAAATCGCAAGACCCTTCAGTAGATTGACAATGCAAAACAAGTGTACGCCACCGGATAAGCACTGGAGATACAGTAGTAGTAATGGCAGACAGAGTTTTGTAAAGACGAATTCGGGAAATGGTACGGCCGATCCTGGTGACGCTTTACGTAGAATATAAACATATATATATTTATATATACCTTTATTTTTTTTTAATAATTTTCTTTTTATCATGTGTACCCTTCTTTTTTTTTTTTTTTTTTCTGTAAAATGTATCTTATGAATTTATCCACATAAACAAATAAACTCTGGTAGTTAAAATCCCCCTCTTCTTACTACATGATTTTAAATTTGATCAAGTGTCAAGATTTAATATCCAACTGAAGCTTATAAAGAAAAATCCCCCCCCAGACCCTCAAAATCGGCAAAGTCATTCTGACATAAGCATGGGCCAGACACAAAATGTGGCAAATTAATAATAACTGCATTCCAAGTTTAAAGATATGTGAAAAAAAAATCCGTAAATATAAGTTTCTCGTATCAAACGTAATTCTTCTCTTCTTCACATTTTTTCTTTATTTTTTTCTCTTTCTGTTCAGGCATGGTAAAAAGTAGTTTATTTGTCTTGTCCATCATAGCGCTACAGGCAGCCCATTGTTTAAGCATAAAAACGCCACAAAAGCGTAGTCTAGCCAGCACTCTTGTTGATACTTTTCTATCCTCTTACCGGGACCTGGATGAAGCTTCACACCTTCCAGATGCGGATCAGATTTTTAAATTCAATAGAACTTCGGACGTGGTAAAACAAGCGGTTTTTTATTCAAATCTATGCAGAGCGTCCAACTGCAGAGCAAGTCTCGATAAATGGGATTGCGAAAACTGTGTCTCTACGTTACCGGATGGCATGGTAATTCGTGCATTTCAAACATATCCTTTAGGGGTTACAGGAGAGATTGTTACGTCTGAAAAGTACTGTATATGTGATAGTTCGCAAAGTTTATTCTTATTTCTTATTCATTTATATTAGGAAGAAAGTTATTTATGTGATACTAAGGGGTGCTTCCTCTGTTCGCGCCAAACTTCTTGTAATTATAATTAGATATTTTAAGCAACACATTATACTAATCTAGTCAAAAGTTTTTTGAGCACGAGCTTACTCATCATCCAATGATACCTGGAGCAAGAGTTCAAACAGGTATAGTACACTTCGAAAAAAAAAGTTATAATAGAAGGGGGGCGAATTAAATTAAAAACACATACTAGGATCCTTAAAGGGGTTGTTTGATATAAGAGAAATTGTATTTCGTACGGTAACCGATCAGTTGAAAGCACATCCTGATTATCGAGTGCATGTCGTAGGGTAAGTCTAGATGGCAGTCTAAAATGCACTTACTCACCTATTGCTAGCCATTCTTTTGGATCTGCAGTCGGATCCCTCTTAACAGTGGATTTGTTTCAGCGACTTCCAATAGATAATGCCAACGAGGTACGCGGATATTTATTTGGTAAATTTTTTTTTAGACAGTGTAGACCTTGTTCTATACTACTTTGCTAACTTTAATAGGATAGGTAAACCAAGAATGGGCGATATAAATTACGCAAAATATGTCAGCAATAATAAAATTGGAATTAAAAGATACGTGGAAGAAAATGATGGTAAGATAATCATGATAGTCATGCAAAAATTTCTATCTAACTTCCGAAAAAATAGATATTGTTCATCACCCATACCTTCATAATGGATACATGGTAAAAGAGTTTTAAACTGTTATATGTACATAAATTAAGACTGATGGTTTGTTGTGTAGCACGAGGGCGATGAATACTGGCTGAAATCAAGAGACGATTTCGATGTTTGTAAGTATAAAAGATAAAAGTTTCTTACATGTTCGGAACAAGATAACGTAAACAATAAACTCGATAGATGTTTGTTTAGGACCAACTGAAACAAGGAATTGTTCTTCATCCGTTAGAAAAACAGCTGCCGGACCACATCTAAAGTAATTATTGATAAAGAAAAGAATCGTATTATAACCTTGTTTCTAACTCGCTTATTTTTAACTCTAGTTATTTTGGTGTAAGACAAGATTGTCCAAGTGATGTATTTAATATTTTTTAAAAATGCAACTTTTTTTTTTTTTTTTTGAAAAAAAAACAGTAGAAATAGTCTATTGAAAATAAATGCCGGATTACCCCAATTATAAATATCAATAAGACAAACAGGTTTGCCCAATGCATATACCTTCTTATAAGCAGTTAGAGATGAGACCCTGAATGGCAAAGTGATTATTCGTACGCAACCCTTCACTTCCCTAAACACAGATGAAATATATCTTGTTTTAGTGAGGCAATATCTCAAAAAAGAAAACCTCTACAGTCGAGACCCTCTTGCATTTTTCAATATCTTTATAAGGGTAGTTTAATACAACTTCAAATATACAAGGCCTAATGAAAATACGGTATTTTAATCGATAGTCGTATCTTTGACAACATCCATGAATCCATCATTTATTATTTCCAGCATACTAGCGCTTTTTTTCTGACACATTGATAACATAATTATGTAAGACTGCTTTCATTTTCTATCAACCGACTGTCCCTAATTAGTAGAAATCACTCACTCAATTTTTCACAATTTTTAGAAAAAGGGATAAACTAACTGTTGTTATGTTTAGCAACCGATAACTTGCAATTATCATGTAACTTTTATGTTCCAACGTTCTTGTTGTTTCTTGATATGATCTCCCAACAATGTCATTTATCAGTCACATAATTTACCGGAGAGCGCGAGAGAGTCCCACAAAAGCAAGTTACCTGGGTTAAAAAATAACCCAGCCTTTTTTTTTCTTTTTTTTTTTTGCTTTTTCCCAAATAGAAAAGAGAACATGGTGTTACAATTAGCAGCACGTTCGTGTACTTTAAACCTTAGAAAAGCCAATGTTACGCTCAGCAAACATTTCCATGTTTCAGCAATAAGCAGACAACAACAAGAACAACAAAAGAAGCCTTTATTCGGTAAGTTTTGACACTTTCTTTTTAAAAAAAAAAAAATGACATTAAGCTGATCAATTAAGATAGGTCGCTTAGCCGATAGCTGGAATAACACAGAGACCAAATGGTACCCTATTCCCGTTGCACTTGGTTTGGGTGTTATTGGAGCCATTCAATACCGCCGAGTCAGACAACGTGAAGAGAACAAGTTGGAAAAGCCTAAATATGTAGCTAACGGACCTTGGCAGGTAAACAAACAAAAGAAAAATTAGGGAAAGGAATGAACTAAATTTTTTTGTCTCTGACATGTCTGAAATAGGTTCATGTTGCAGCTGCTTTACCTTTAAGATCCATGTCTCGATTATGGGGAACATTCAACTCATTGACAATTCCCGAAGCTTTACGTCCCATGGGTTACAAATTATATAGTTGGTTCTTTGGCTGTAACTTGGATGAAATGAAAAATCCTGATCTTTATGCATATCCTAACCTTTCTGCTTTCTTCTACCGTGAATTGAAGGAAGGAGTTCGTCCCATTGCCGATGCTACCTTAGTCTCTCCTTCCGATGGTAAAGTATTGCATTTTGGTGTGGTGCAAGGTGAGAATATCGAGCAAATTAAGGGCGTCACATACAACTTGGACGCATTATTGGGTAATGATGACAAATCCAGTATCCCTGTTGGCGATGCTATTCTCGGAAACTCACTGGAGATTGTGGACGAAGAGGAATTTGCCAACGTCAACGGTATTGAGTATTCTTTAGAAGATATGATTATCAAGGGCCATGCTGTTAAGACCGAGTCACCCGTCGGCCCCGACGGTTTGGTTAGATCAGAAAAGACGGATCCCAAGGTTGAAAAGGCTCTTGTCAAATTAGCTGATGTCACACCTGATATCACAAATGTGAAAGTAAAGCCTGGAAATGCCATGTTCTTTTGTGTGGTGTATCTTGCACCTGGAGATTATCATCGATTCCACTCACCTACTAATTGGGTCGTTCAAACCAGAAGACATTTCGCCGGTAAGTTTTTTTTTGGGGAGGAGGAATTTTAGGGTGAGAGTATCTAAACCTGATGATGTGTAATAGGCGAACTCTTTTCCGTATCACCATATTTCGTAAAGTTGTTGCAGAATTTGTTTGTTTTGAATGAAAGAGTTGCGCTTCTCGGTAAATGGAAGCACGGTTTCTTTTCGATGATCCCCGTCGGTGCCACTAATGTTGGATCCATCAAGATCAATTTCGATGAAGCTTTAAAGACCAACCAAAAGGAAGATATTCCATTAGGCACATACACCGAAGTGACATACAAATCAGCCAGTAAAGTTTTGGGTGGTAAGGCATTGAGATATGGTGATGAAATGGGTGGATTTTATCTTGGATCTACTGTTGTTTTAGTATTTGAAGCACCGAGCTCATTCAAGTTCAACGTTACTGCCGGACAAAAGATTAAAATGGGTGAAGCTTTGGGTCAAATCGAATAAAAAAAAATATAACGCACAAGCACTTTTGTCCCACATGTCTGTAAGTGATCGACACGCGAGACTCCTATAATTTTTTTCTTTCCCTTGGTGTCTCCTTTAATGTAATCATAAAAATAATCCCTTTATTCCCTTCCCCTCTTTTCTTCTCTTTCTTTCTCTCTCTTTTTCTTTTTTTTTTTTAATTTTTTATTTATTATATACGCATCTATAAAAAAAATCATATTAATAATTTCAAGTTTTTAAAGAGACAGTACCATGACTTCATATTGGTATTCTACAAATGGAATGAATCAACAACGATTGTCAAATCGACATTTGTCCATATTGGATCAGGCTTTTGAACGACATGCAAGGATTCAACTGTATGACGATGAGGTGTTTGGGTTGAATATAGCTGCGATGGCCAACCCATACCAAGGTACTATGACAGCAGGTGACCTTCACTTTGGACTCTATCGCCAACCTCCCATGTGGCGTATGAGTGACACTAGTCTGGATACACTGATTTTGATGGATAGCCATTCTGAAAACGATGAAACCATGGAAACCAAAAACCGGCAATCCGCCGGAGATTTGCCTGATAGAATGAGTGATGCAAGTTTAGATGATAATTTACCACGCCCTAATAATAATAATAATAGTAATAATAATAATAATAATCGTAATTCAAATCAGTCAAGATACAAGTATCTTCAAAAGAAAAAACCTTCTCAGTATGTCGATGAAAATTGCATCTGTTGTAGAATCAGTTGACATCACACATCCACATCTTTTCCTTTTTGTACATAATCTCTCTTTTATTATCTAGTGAAATAAATAAATATACCCTAAATGACGCCTTAATCACATCATGCCCTGCCTATTTATTTATTAAAAAAAAACCATACACCCTTTTGCATGAAATATGTATGTCTTTTTTGTTTGTTTACATATATGAATAAATGAAATAATAGACAAAGAAATAAATTGCACATATATATCTGTTAAATGAATAGGAGGACGACGAGGAGGAGTTTCCGTATGTTGGTGTTTGATCTTCCCTTTCTACTCGGAGCCCACTGAATGGACTCCCTGCCTTATCACATGTGTAGTACCGACTGCAGGCGTCTATGCAAATTGTCTTGGTAGAGCCGTAGAAACAATTATTCATACACGCTTGTTCTTTTCCTTGACATTCTGCTAACGTCACTGGCCAGTGATAAGGCGGAACATCAGGAACATGACTCTATACAAGGAGTATTAAAAAAGGTTTTATATCGAAACACTCCTTAAACGCATCTTCAAAATCTCCTTACTTGACATAGACATATCCACGCCATGGTGGTTGTATTACAATAGCTGTTGTTGATGTTATTTGTTTTATTGACATCAAGTAGAATATTGTTTTTTTCTACTTACTTGGTCCTGACTTGGTTTTCACATTTATTCTGCAAATTCAATTTTTTTTTTTGAAAACAATGTTTTACAATATGTTTGTTATAAAGTGGGATCTTACTACACAAAAATCCTGTTGGCTTGAACAGATCTCTTCTCTTCGAGAGCTGTTGAAATCAGTGATTCTCCAGGTACCGATAGGCAAACCAACTATAAATTTAATCAAACAAATGATATTTATTATAAACAAGTCCGGGTCTTATTACCATATGGGTGGTTATGTCCAGCTGAAGATGCGTTTGCATTTATCTCATGATCTTCATATTCATGAGTACTTCCGTACACTCCAGCAGCAGCCAAAATGTACAGGGTTGTTGATGAATGTCTCATTTGTGCAATAATTCAGAGCCTTTAAAAAAAAGCAAGAAAATTGGTTTTTTGTTTTTACTCGGTAATTCACCATAATTCTCCTTTTTTTTTTTTCGGAGCTACCCTTATTAACACAGCCTAGTAACCCTTTTGAACAAGAGGTGTCTCATAGAGCTTAGTTTATTTAGCTGTACAGTATATTTTATAAAGAGTAAACACTTTTCGACTCTTGTCCTTTGATCAGCTCATTTTTTTTTTTTTAAAAAAAAAAAAAAAGACTTGGAGCTTTTTTCTATCAGTTGATATAAACTTTGGTGTAGCTATTATCGTTTATCGCAGGATGAATGGAAGTAAATATTATGGTTTATACAATGTTTAAGATAAAGTAGAGATCTGCTGTAATCATGTTCTACGAACTTGCAAGTGTGTCTATTTACTGATCCTGCTCCTCATTTAATAAAATTGATCTCGATGATCTGTATACTTCATATTTCTTTAACACTAATCCCAAAAGTTTAAATATATGACCCATTCATTAGATATGGAAATAGTAGACATTTAGAACAGTTACTTCGTCTATAAAATCTGATTTTGGCTGGCACTACAAAGACGATATGTACATTTTAAAAGTGCTTTAAGAAAAATTATACGAACTTTGAGAACGTTGATTTCGCATAATTGATAGATGGTCACTTGAGGTGTTTGAGATAGTGTTGATCAGCATTGTGTATGTCAACAAACAGAATTAAGCTTTCAAGCTAGAAAAAAAAAGTTTGTCTCATGCAAGTCTGAGATTTAATCCCAGTGGGGGGGGAAGAGGGAGGGGGGAAACTGGGACAAGAGGTGTATGGGTGGGCATCGCCACAGTGATTGTCTGAGTGTCCGGATTCCTCTTTTCTTTTTCCAGGTTTACTAGGTACGATATCTTTAATAGTCGAAAGCCGATTTCAAAATGAATGGATGGATGGATATCAGCAGAAAAAAAAATTGGGATAGATGGATGGATGTATCCACGATATAAATCGTGAAAAAAGAGATTCAGCTTATTTTTTATGCATTCCCTTCATTTTGAAATTGTGGCGGCGGCAAAGGGGGAGGGGGGGACTTTATAAATTATAGCATGTGGAATTAAACATGGTTTGTAGACAATGGTTCACGCTCCCAGAAACTCCGTTCTCGCTCCCGGTGTCAGCCGTCTCAGTCGTTCTGCTGTTTATGCCAAGAAGGCCATGTACAAGCGTAAGCACACTGCCGTCGCTTCTCCCGTCAAGTCTGCTACCACTGACAAGACTGTTGAAGTCAAGGGCGGTAAGAACGGTGCTAAGCGTACCGTTCCTGCCCAAAAGGCTTCTCGTTTTTACCCCGCTGAAGACGTTCCTCAACCCAAGTTAGGTCGTAAGACTGCCAAGAAGACTGCTCTTCGTTCCACCATCACTGCTGGTACTGTCGTCATTCTTCTCGCTGGTCGTTACCGTGGAAAGCGTGCCGTTGTCTTGAAGCAACTTGATTCTGGTCTTCTCCTCATCACTGGCCCTTTCAAGATCAACGGTGTTCCCTTGAGACGTGTCAACCAAGCCTATGTCATTGCTACTTCCACTAAGCTTGACCTTTCTGCCGTCAAGGTAAAATAATAGTATACATTGTTTTTAATGGATGACTAATAATAGTTATTTTAGGTTGATGAAAAGATCAATGACAGCTACTTCAAGAAGGCAGCCAAGACTGACAAGGCTTTCCTCGAAACCGAGTCTAAGAAGGCTGCTTTCCCTGAATCCAAGGCTGCTGATCAAAAGACTATTGACAAGGCTCTTTTAGAAGTTGTCTCCAAGACTCCTTTCCTCCGTCAATATCTTGGTCAAACCTTTGGTCTTCAAAAGGGACAATTCCCTCACAACATGAAGTTCTAAGTAAAACCTTTTTTTTTTATTTTTTTTGTAGCGGAATAAAACTGGAAAAAGAAAAAAAAAAAAAGATATGAAGGGTTTATTTGATTTATAGACAAAAGAGAATATGGGAGGGAAAAATGATACAAGTTATTTTTTACTGAAGGGATTCTTTAAGAAACTCTTCTTTTTTTTCATGTCTTGAAGAGGGTATTTGGGTGCGTTACGTGCATCAGCCCGGTAGCTCGAGGCAAGTTCATCGAGATTATCATCCCATTCCAAATCACGTAATCGATGACCTAATTTCTTTTCTCTCAATTTGGCGGTGTATGATCCTACTACAGTGGCGGCATAAAACTATTTGGGAATGTTAAATTAAAGCCAACCCCACTAAAAGATAATAGTTACCATAAATAATTGTCCCACAAATAACATGACAGCACTGCCAATGACATCAGCCTGTACTGCTTGTGCACAATTAGCTAAGCCGTAAGTGTCTCCCATTTGCATACCAAGATAAGTGGCGGTGTATCCACCTAAAGAGAGTGTACTGTTATCGTTCGTAACTGTGCCGTTGCTGGCTGCAGAAGTAGGATTGGCCTCTTCACAAGCAGCTAAAGATTTGGCTCGATTTGTCAATGCCAAGACAAAAGAAATCGCTTCCCAAATTGACATGAAAAACACAAGAATCCATATTAAAAATTTCGATGTTCTCATCAAACTAAGTTTAGCCTACAAAAAAAAAAAAGTTACTCTATGAGTATTAACAATTCATGATATCCATTATCAGTACTCACAAGAGAGCCGGATACCATCATAAAGAGTGCAACAACTGCTGCAGCAACTACAAATCCATTTTCTTGAGTATTGGTTATTTGGATGACTTAAAAGAACTTACTGTTAAAGCCAAGATAGACCCATGGAAGGGCTGCATGGATAATCGAAAGATGAATCACCATAGCTATTATAGAAAATTTATAAGTTTTTTTTTGTCTTCTTTTTTCTGTTGTTGCTCATTCTTACGATTCTTGTGTGCAAAAGTAGCACCGAGAAGTGCAACAGAAACAACCTATGAAAAAAAAAAAGAGGCCCCAGGGCGAGATTAAGGAACAGAGAAACATGTTTGTGAATAAATGTAATTACCAGAATCAATAAACCACTGATAACAACACCACCTCGGGCGGGAATAATACAACAACACGTTGCTGCCATTCTAGAATTAATGAAATGTTTACAATGAAAATAAAAAAGGAGAAAAAAGCCAAACTGTCTAAGGAAAAAAAAAAGTAATATGATGGTCAAATTGGGTTTCAATCTATCCAAAAGTGGCTGAATGTGTACGAGATAAGTGGCTGAATGAAAAAAATAGCACTACTGGGTTTTGTCTAAATGAGAAAAGTCATCGCTATTTAGACTTAAAACTGGTAGCTTAGACAACGAGAGGAAGAAATATTTGGAAAGTCAAGAAAAGCAAGTTTGAGAACTGGGCAGAGATTACTCTTCATTTGAAAAGCCTGAAAGGTCTTGAACAAAGAGGAACATCCACTATCTTGTTACAAACCCTGGATACACCTTATCAAAATAATATTCTGACTAGGAAATTTCATATTGTTGATGCTGGCAGTTTCTTATACACAGATACCTATAACAGAACAGCAAAAACAAAAATTATTACTCACTTGCCACAGACATCGCATAAAACCCCAAATATGTTAGTATATCTGTTTAATGTCTGCATCTAAATGAACAAAACTCTCATCTCAGTCGATTCTTACAATAAACAATATCTTTCTTTTCATTGGTGACACTTTCATAAACCAAGAAATTGCGGCTTCTGGAGTATTTATTTTCTCACAAATTATTATGAAACACCAGTTATAAACAAATAATGACGGGTCTGAATTGATTATATAAGTCTTATTTATTACCAACATCCACACATACGAAGATTTTTAGTATGAGCAAGTCGTGTTGAATCGCTGATGTAAAATTGAAGGGTACGGTATTAGGTAGATGATTACTGGTGATACATTCTTATCCAGTACGCTACTACATTTCATTGATCAAGTAGACATCAAGTAAAGTCTAGAATCATGTGATTAATCAAACACTCGCCAATTAATCAATCCTGACGTAAACAACTTTTCGTAAATAAAAGATGAAACTTCTCACACTAATTCTTTCTCTTTTATCTTTTTCTTTTTCCTCAACATTATCTTTTCTCTATCTCATTCCTTTACGTTAAAAAACTATTATGTACACTTTGTCTTTACCAATGACACAGCCTGTCTTTTTTAGTCTTGTGGGCGTGCTATCTCACATGCTTGCTTGGTGTTTGAAGTCATTAGAAGAAGAACGACTGTGTTCTAGTTGAAGCTCGCTATTATAGTCATAGGTATGCTTTTTTTTTTTATAAATATGAACTCAAGATTGATTAACATTTAAAAACTTAAAGAGTCCCCTCAAGTCCAGGACTTAGCTGAAGGTGTCCAAGACCATGGCTCAGCTTCACTGGAGAAATCCGCAGCAAAAAAAAACTCGTTTTTAAATTGATATCAAAAATGTCTTTTGCAAGTGGAACGTTAGTCCTGACCACAGGGTGCATGAAGTGTACTGGCAGATTATTTTTTGGGTGATACTGTCTCATCAAGCTCTAGCTTGGGAAAAAGGTCTCAGGATAGTAATGATTGCGCAATTGGCGACAAGGTTGATTTGAGGATATGTACCTCTTCTCCCTCTGGCAAGACCATTGATCTGATCAATGTTGAATTCGCAAAGGATACAAACAGCAACAAATTCCACGCCGACCATAGGAAAGTATTGCGTGAAGGTAAGGTAAATGCTGACTACTTTTACCGCAATACTTTTATGAAGCCAAGAGAGAAAAAGAACATTTCTGTTCCATGCATGCAGATTGGTGGTATTGAAGGTCAGAAGTCCGAGGTGCAGCTTGTCGATAATAGTCAATGCTGTAAATGGTCGTGCTTGCACTATACATAGCTGGATTTGTTTCAAGTGTGGCAGAACAAATTCACCCTGGGGATAACGCTCCTAACTCAAAAACCATATAAACAACCAAATCCAAGCATTAACGAGGTGTTCAGATATTCTTTTGTACATTGACAAAATAGGCCTAAAGCAGCTACTTGACGGGGTCTTCTTGCGTTTATATATCAGCACCACCTCAGCAGAAGCCAGAATCAGAATATAAATGTTAACATAGACAATGGCAAAGACCAAATATCTAATGCCAAATCATGACAAGCAAAACAACAAAAACAAGTGCCGCCAATGCCAGACGAAAAAGACGAAGTCTCTGCTGGCCAAAACAAGTCCATTGGTTCCAGAATAGAACAGCATGTTCAGGACATATATAAGGGTATACCACCAGCTCAATAACGACGAGAAGAATAGTATCAGCAATGGATTTAATAGTATGCTTGACCTCACAGACAACGTTGACAGCCCTGGCAGCCAGAAGAGTATTTTCACTGATTTGAAATGGAGACAGATGAATGACAAGTGGAACAAGCGCAAGACATGGAAGGCTTTGAAGGAGCACATTCAGCAAAGGCTGAAGGAAGTAGAGAAATTGGCCACCAGCAACATCAAAGAAGCATACTGTCTATGTTTGAGGTTTCAATTAGAATTTGCAATGACAGCGGATGAACATTATTTTAAAGTCTATGCCTTCATGTATGTATATGTGCATGATTGGGAATTGAAGTTTCTGGCCTTTTCGGTTTTTGTTTATGTGCCAAATGACAAATGACAAAGAAAAAATCTTGGATTTTGAACTCTGCCACCAAGAAATAGCTTGCAGAGGGGGATTATGTCGTGCAACTTTAGTCAAGGATTTTTTCTGCTGTGTTTGGTGATCGTGAAGAAAACGCCTTCTGCGAGTGCTACGTTTGTCATGACCACAAGCTTTTATGTAATCGTTATAAGCTTTCTTTTGCAAGGCTGATATTATTCCTCCAAGCTCACCCTTTACAAAGAGGCCCACAAAAAACTAAGGGTGACACACTGACTTCGAGGGCGGAACCTCATTATTGTGATCTATTCATTTTTACTACGCCTTCTGCAAGTAAATTGGCTGCTCATGTGATTAATTAAATAATCGATCATCCCATCCTAACGTAAGCTAGTCTTTGTTTATTATTTGTAATAATGAAACTTCTCACACCAATTTTCCCTCCTTTAGCATTACCTTTTTTGATCACACTACTTTACATTTATAAGCCGCCACACACACTTTGTATTATAGCGATACAACCTATCCTTATAAGTCTTATGGCCGTATTACTCTTCAGACTTGTGTGGTGTCTGAATATCTAGTTGAGCAGGGACTATGTTCTAGATGAAACTCGCTCATGGTGTTGTGCATGCTCGTGAAAGACATCGACAATTTATTCAAAGGGAAATATGGTACACCCCGTTTAAACAGTCCCAACCCTAAATAACCAGTAAGTGAAAATTGTAAATCTTATGCTCATAACTAACGTGTTACTTGCAAAAGATAATTCTGATGGCAATTGCAATACAAGTTTTTTGTTGCGGATTTCTCCCGTGAAAATAAATGGCTATCGCCTTCTTGCCTTTCTTCGTGTCCGGGACAACTATCAACTACAAGAACAAGAACTTTTGGTGTAGGCGTTGCAGGAGTATCCAACAGATACACTTTCTGGGGGTACAGCATTCTAACCTCAGTGACTCGGTCCTCAATTACAACTGAGAAGATGCGTGACCAGAGCTAAATTGCATAGTCCCCTCTGCAAGCTATTTCTTGGTGGCAGAGTTCAAAATCCAAGATTTTTTCTTTGTCATTTGTCATTTGGCACATAAACAAAAACCGAAAAGGCCAGAAACTTCAATTCCCAATCATGCACATATACATACATGAAGGCATAGACTTTAAAATAATGTTCATCCGCTGTCATTGCAAATTCTAATTGAAACCTCAAACATAGACAGTATGCTTCTTTGATGTTGCTGGTGGCCAATTTCTCTACTTCCTTCAGCCTTTGCTGAATGTGCTCCTTCAAAGCCTTCCATGTCTTGCGCTTGTTCCACTTGTCATTCATCTGTCTCCATTTCAAATCAGTGAAAATACTCTTCTGGCTGCCAGGGCTGTCAACGTTGTCTGTGAGGTCAAGCATACTATTAAATCCATTGCTGATACTATTCTTCTCGTCGTTATTGAGCTGGTGGTATACCCTTATATATGTCCTGAACATGCTGTTCTATTCTGGAACCAATGGACTTGTTTTGGCCAGCAGAGACTTCGTCTTTTTCGTCTGGCATTGGCGGCACTTGTTTTTGTTGTTTTGCTTGTCATGATTTGGCATTAGATATTTGGTCTTTGCCATTGTCTATGTTAACATTTATATCTTGATTCTGGTTTCTGCTGAGGTGATGTTGATATATAAACGCAAGAAGACCCCGTCAAGTAGCTGCTTTAGGCCTATTTTGTCAATGTACAAAAGAATATCTGAACACCTCGTTAATGCTTGGATTTGGTTGTTTATATGGTTTTTGAGTTAGGAGCGTTATCCCCAGGGTGAATTTGTTCTGCCACACTTGAAACAAATCCAGCTATGTATAGTGCAAGCACGACCATTTACAGCATTGACTATTATCGACAAGCTGCACCTCGGACTTCTGACCTTCAATACCACCAATCTGCATGCATGGAACAGAAATGTTCCTTTTCTCTCTTGGCTTCATAAAAGTATTGCGGTAAAAGTAGTCAGCATTTACCTTACCTTCACGCAATACTTTCCTATGGTCGGCGTGGAATTTGTTGCTGTTTGTGTCCTTTGCGAATTCAACATTTATCAGATCAATTGTCTTGCCAGAGGGAGAAGAGGTACATATCCTCAAATCAACCTTGTCGCCAATTGCGCAATCATTACTATCCTGAGACCTTTTTCCCAAGCTAGAGCTTGATGAGACAGTATCACCCAAAAAATAATCTGCCAGTACACTTCATGCACCCTGTGGTCAGGACTAACGCTCCACTTGCAAAAGACATTTTTGATATCAATTTAAAAACGAGTTTTTTTTTTTTTGCTGCAGATTTTTCCAGTCTGTATTTGACATGACTATCACCTCCTTGCCTCAACACAAGAAGAGACCTCAAATAATATTTTTGAAAGAAAAATTTGAATAAATTATTTTTATATAATTATTTGCGTTTCAAGTGTAGTAGTTTATATGAAGTACTTTTTTTTTAGTGCACAATGAGAAACTATTGAATGTGACATGTCATTTTCAAAACATTTAGTTCACGAAAAGTGTCAGAAAAAAATGTTAGAGATAAGATTTTAGAGAAAAAATGTTAGAGCATCCCCAGCAGTAGCATTTGGCTTAAAGTGCAGTTACATGAACCCCCAGCATTGGTCTTGAAGTGTTTTTTCTCAAAACTTTAAGATTTCAGTAGAGTACGAGTTTTTTAAAGTTTTTAAAAAAAAAGTCGATCTTTGACAACAAAACCGGGTCCTTTTCCTTTTCAATAAAATAAGCAATATTTTCAATTATGACAAAGACGAGTCAAACAAAGCATCATATTTCGTACACCCAATTTTTTTTTTTTTTTGGTGGAAAAAAACTTTTATTTTGCGCCTATTTAACCGAAAAAACGGATTTTAAGCGCCACTGTTAGGGATGCCACGCTAGTATAGGTTGAAGGTGCGAACACAAATTCAATGTATTTTATTGTACCTTGACCTTCATCTAAAATACGATTGGATATTTTCTCAGTTACAAAATCATAGACGAGTCCTTTATTATTAAAAGCAATGCCTCTCTTTTGTTTTTTCCATGCGTAGATGACAAAAGTATAAAAACAAAATATGTAGGTATTCAGATATGCTCAAAACTAACGTGAATGTTTCCGTTTTTTTTTTTTTTATGTCTATGTCAAACATATACTATGTATTCGGACACAACATCAGTTCAGGACATAAGTACTTTGAGCTTTGAGAAAAATTTATCAAAGCAAACTTTGATTAAAGTTTTTGGGTCGATTTAGCCACCTTTCATTCATAAAGTAAAGTTTTTTTTTTTTCTGGTGTGGCTGATCATTTAAAGTTTTTTTTTTATTTATCATTCTTTTTCAATTCTAAAAAATTGCAGTAAATGGACTGGAAGGATTTATTTGGTAGTGACGATGACAATGATTCGTGCATTGATAACGGGATTACTACATTCGAAGACATTCCAGGGTTATGCTTAATTCGAAAAGCTCTTGGGCATGAAGCTCAAATGAGCATGACACACGAGATAATCCAACGAGGCTATTTTACCGGTGACAATAACCAAGCCATGTGTTTTGGAGAGTTACCTGCTTATCTTAGTCAGATAAGTAATTTGGTGCTCCATACATATCCAAGTTTGTTTGATACGCAAATTTTAAATCGAGAGCCCTTATTCGATCAAGCCATTTTAAACCTGTATAAAAAAGGTTTTTTGCATGATAAAAACTGTTTGTACGCCAAAAAAAAATAAGAAAAGAAATAACCCATTAGATTAGGTCAGGGTATATGTAGTCATGTTGATTTATTAAGGTTTAAACTGCAAGAAGAACCCTTAATTTTTATATTGAATTAATAATTTTAATAGATTTGAGGATGGCATTTTAATCTTATCTTTACTATCGTCATGCGTCATGACTATGAAACGTGCATCTGATAATGTTACCAAGAGAATACTATTATGTCCTGGCGACATCCTGTCTCTTTCACGTGATGCTAGGTTCCTCTGGGAGCATGGGATTGAGGAGCAGTTATCTGATCAAATAGACGATCAAACGATCGAACGAGGTACACGGATTAGTGTCACCTTGCGAAAATTGAAAAATCCAGGAACAATAGAAACCATGGCAACCTCATCCAACAGATATTGAATGTCCGTGTTTTTACCTTTCTTTCATGCCGTTCTCTCTTTTTGTCGGTGAAATAGAGCCGCTGTTGGATAAATATCGGCCCCCCTTCTATTTTTTTTTTTTTTGTTGATAGTGACGTTTTAATTTAAAACTCATATATAAATCCGTCCTTTTTTTTTCATGTGTATGCTTTCTCCCCCTTTTTTTTCTGTTTTTACCTTACCGCAAAAAAGAAAAAAATGGACAATCCCGCTTTTTTAGGGGCTCTGACACAGCTTATAGCTTCAGATTTGCCAATGATTTTATCCTTAATTTTTGGTGGCTGTTGCAGTAATGTCTTTTCTCTCGAAGTCTTGGTAAAGTAAGTAAATTACCAAAACAACTCCTAATGGGACAACACTAATTTACATTACATAGTGATGCACCCAAGAGTGGTTCGTGAATATACAATAGTAATTTTTATCGCGCTGATTTTAACTCCTTCTTAGGCCAACTTATCACATTTGGACAATTTGCGTTTGTAGCTCTTGAAGGTCTTCGATATCACGTCACATGGGGAAAGTACGGACCCAAACTCAAACCCACCGTGGTTCCCATCTTCAATTGGTTCATTCTTGTCACCATCTTTTTTATTGTTTCCGTCTTAAACAACTTAGCTTTGGGCTTTAATATTTCAGTGCCGTTACATATCATCTTTAGAAGTGGAGGATTAATCGTAAATATGCTCCTGGGTGCATTGATCCTGAAAAAAAGGTAAATATTATTGTGTGTGTTTATGTATGTGTGCCTGTGTATTCATGCTTTGTACCAGGTATTCACTTGATCAAGTGGTCGGTGTACTTTTGGTCACTGCAGGTGTGATTTGGGCTACTTTAGACAATGCATCCAGTCAAGTTTCCGTGAGTTTTTTTTTTTTTTTTTAATTGGCCTAATTTTTTATTAACCTATAGAAATAGCGTGATGAAGGGAACACCACGGAATTCTTTACAGGTATTTTATTGTTGACAATTGCTATGATATTATCAGCCGGTATGGGTTTATTCCAGGAAGTAACTTATAAAAAGTACGGCAAACAATGGAGAGAAGGATTATTTTATACTGTAAGTATTATTATTGGGGTTGTTTTAACGGGCAGCATTGACATCCACCGTGTAGCATTTCTTGGCTTTGCCTTTTTTCCTGTTCTTTTACCGGGATTTATCAAATCAAGTGACGGCCTACAATTTATCGCCCTTGCAGCCTGTTTCGGTTATTTTGGAACAAATACCTGTGATGGGAGCAGTTGCAGATTTAGTACCGGAACCCATCATGTCCATCTTGGGTGCTTTCCAAGTTCATAAATTATGGGCATTTTTATTCATGAACGTCGTGACTCAGTAAGTGGATAAATATGTACAACAAATAATAACTTCTAATATATCTCTGATTTAGATATGTGTGTATTGCTGGTGTGAATCGTATGACATCGGTGGCTACCTCTTTAACCTTGAACTTGGTGTTAAACTTGCGTAAGTTTACATCCTTGATCTTTTCCATTCTGTATTTCCAAAATGATTTTGGATTTGGAGCAAAAATTGGATCTGCTCTTGTATTTTTTGGAACCTTAATTTACTCTCGTGCAAGTATGAAAAAACCTGTCGAAAAGAAAGAGTAGATGTGTGCATAATTTATTATATATTTCCCATTTATTAAACATTTTTTGACGCTCAAACCCATGACGCCCGATACAAAAAATTTAAGTTAAAATTTTTTATTTCAAATTAAAGCTACTTCTGCTTAGATATCCTAAATGTGCAAAAATTAAAAGAAATCAGTGCCGTATACTTCGAACTTTAATAGTCTTATCACTTACATAGCTTTCAATTCAGTCTCATATGCCTTGTTAATCTCCTTACGCTTCAACTTTTGGGCGGCCGTCAATAAGTTCATTTCGGGTGTCCAAAGATCCTTGCAGATCCAAACGTCCGAAATGATTTCTGCACCGCTTAGACCGGACTTTTTGGCTTGTTCCTGCAATACCTGTAAGATTATCCTGCGTGCTTCTTTACTCTCACACAACTGGTCCCAATCTGCGTTTTCGACGCCTTGTGAAGCGAGATAACTACGAAGCACAGGTTCAAGTGAAACCATCAAAGCAACAGGTTTAGGGTACATTGAGTCCGCATAAATACACATATTCTCAACAAGTGTGCACGATTTGTAACAACTCTCAAGTTTTTCTAACGCGATGTATTCACCATTGCTTAACTTTACCAGATTTTTTAATCGATCAATAATGGATAATGTGCCTCGTTCGGTCCATTCACCAATATCGCCTGTTCGAAGCCATCCATCATCTGACAAGGCTTCTTTGCTGAGTTCGGGTTGTTTATAGTATCCTGAAGTAATACTAGGACCACGGATCCAAATCTCGCCTTGAGCACGGGGTAAGTTGGTATGGAGGTAGCCTACTTCAGGTTGATCGACTAATTTAACTTCGACACAAGGTACAGGCGCACCTACTTCACATAAGGCCCATTGTTCTGGTGCCATAATAGCACACATGCCCACAGATTCTGTCATACCATAGCCTTGTAAAATAGGACAAGCTGCCAAAGACAAGAACTCTTGTGTTTCAGCGGACACGGGTGCACCACCCGAAAGACAATAACGCAAACGACCACCTAACTGTAACTTGACGTTTTTAAACACGACTTTATCCACCACAGCTGTGCCTAAATCATGACTTTTCAAAAACTTTTTTAGTGCCAACGCACCCATGAAAATCTTTTGGATACGAGGACCACGCTCAATGACCTTGGATAAAACTGTCTTTCGAATAGTTTCCCATACTTGAGGTACACCTGTCATGATGGTGGGACCAAATTCTTGAAGATCACCCTTGCAGTTCTTTACGGAAACATCTGTTAACGTACGGATCGAACCATAGCCTAAACCGACACCTAAAAAGATACAGAGGTTTTCCACCAGGAATTCAAGCACATGTGCAAGAGGTAAATATGCCATCATCGTATCGTTGGGTTCCAAAAGATGCTGAAGCATACGACATACACCAGCAATCGCCGCCACGGCATTTCTATGCGTTAACATTACTCCCTTGGGGTTACCCGTACTTCCGCTCGTATACATGATGCAACATAAATCACTGGCCGTAGGCTTCACTACTTCCACAGGATTCTCTTGTCCCAATTTCAGTAACTCCTCGTATGAAACAATGTGTTTGATTTGTGGATTTGTTCTTAATGATTCAATGTCTTCGATATTGGCTTCACCACGGTATACAATCGAATCAACACTGCCACATCCACTCAAGATCTTGGTAAGAATCGGTAATTGATCACCGTTTACAAAGCAAAGACTTGCCTCGGACTCTGAAATGGCATGTTGAAGGCCTTCTGAGCCCAATGTATCGTATGCTGTAACAATGGTCAATGCTTGTGTAAATGCCCCTAAATTAAACGTCAGTTTTATATTATTTTCTCGCGCGATTCACTAATAAATCTATCGTACCATGAGCTACAAGCATCCATTCAACACTAGATAATAAATAAATAGAAAAATTAGTAAGAGGGGACTTTTGTAGAATGAGATATTATACCTAGTGGAAGCCGAGATTTGTACTTTATCACCTCGTTTTAAACCTAGGTAACGTAAACCAGCACCAATTTGTTTGGTGAATTCAGCAGCTTGACCGTACGTGTAATGATGGTATTCACTCAATTGAAAGAAAGTCCAAGTCTTTTCCTCTTTTATTTCTTTTCCATTGACAACTTTTGTCACTTGTTTCTTTGTTGTGATGGTGTCCTGTAAAAGACGGTAACCAAAGCCTTTGCGATCTTTGAAAGAAGTGTTGGCATATTGCATGACTTCATAAAGGGTGTCGACACCTTTGGCGGGTTGTGTAAGTAAGGCATTGGGAGAAAGAATCGACCTGCGAATAGGACCTTCTCCTGCTTTTGCTTCTGAAATAGGTACTGAAAATGTAGCAACTGGCATTATAAAATAAAGAGGTTTGTGTTTCAGGGTTTTTACCTTTATATACAAGTTTTTTTTTTCTTTTGGCACACCGCTAGATATTATCATGTGATTCATACAACTGTAAATTCTCTCGCACTGGCTGCCCGTATTAGGCTGCGTGGACCACGTTAATGTACCTGAGAACATAGTTTTTCGTGCGAACATCAGCACTATTCTTTTGTTGTCAATGCAGGAATTCTGGCCTGATTTGAACAACGAATAGTGATCAGGATTTTTTCTTTTTCTAGACCAATTAAACTTATGTCGTTCTCACAACCCGTTTCCGAAAAGCAAAGTGGAAAGGAAAAATACACACGGCGATAAACAATTCATTTCTTCTACTTTGAGAACTTTCAAAATCATCAGATTACACTTATTAGAAGTCTTGCTTATTTACAGATATTAGATTCCTTTGGTGCCATAAATACCAATAGTTCTTACAATGCATCATTTTATTGAACCGTAATTTAGCCACACTTGTGGATTCTATGAATGATTGTATATTTTTGGTGCGTAGGCCATACACAGCATACTTGCCTTTTTTTCTTCAATAGTCCATGTGCTCTGAAGGGCATCTCTTTATTGAATGTGTCACACGCTATTTTAAAGCAAGCTCAAAACGAAATCCATATTTTCTGTGTTACCCTATAATTGTTAGCCCTTTTGATTTATTTTGTAAAGCTCTTTGAACACAATCAATGTGATTTTCACCGCCTGAGTCTACTATAAGCAGCATAAAATAGAAAATGCGATGTTTCGTTACAGAATATTGTTACAGTGAGACCTATCTTTAATACTCTCGATTTTAATGTTTAATAAAGAAAACTTATACTCAATAAAAGAATTATGACCCTTACCCATCATAAGAATTCCTAATTGTGTTTGATAAAAAATGACTGATTCTGTTCTAAATAATGCTACTGACCAATTATGATTTGATCATTTGCCTTTTGCTATTTCGTATTATCTCAAGATACAACTGACAAATTACTGTATAGTGAGCATACGGCTCAATACAATAATTCACAACAACTTACTCTACAATTGACTTGTAGACATCGCCATATATTTGAGCTCATGAGTTTTTCTTTGCAAACAGTCTGAAGAGTGTGCGTATGTAACCTAATTGCCACTGCAAGTTAATGTAGCAATAATATATGAAAACAATCAATACAGAAGGTTTAATATAGAATAAATGGTCTGCATACACTGCGAATAATGGTGAAAGGGAGATAGTAGTAAAATAAAATTTAAATCAGTGTAGTAAGTATCATTTAAGCAATTCGTCTTAGACTTTTTCTATGCGATGGTCCATTCTAGCTGCAAAATTCGAATGAGTGATTAAATTTTAAAGTCTGGAAGATAAAGACATTACACAAATTTCTAAAAAAAAAAAAATGTTTTTGAGAGCCTAAAAGAACGCGAAAAAAGAAAAATTAAAAGTTGCCCTTTTTTCTAAACCTTGTAAAGTAAAATATGAGCCCAACCAATAAACTCGAAACAGTACTTCGATATGCCTATTTAAATCGTCTTACAAGTGAACAAGTAAAGATTTTCTTTACCGAAGTGACATGCAAGTGACTCATTTTCTCTTCTGTAGTGGATTGTTCCAACAAAGGAATGTCTTGAGACAGGCGATCAGGAAGCAGAAATTTGTGGTAAACTTGAATTAATTATAAACATGGTAGATGCTCAGTTCTTTTATCAGAGTTATTGTTTAGGTCCATCTTTTCCTTCTACCGTGTGTCAGATCCTTTATTGGAATCTTACTTGACATTAGCCGCACAAACAATTATTTCAAAGCAGACATTTATTACTCACTTAATCCCATTTGGAGAAACAACAGCCAGTCGTCACCCTTATCAATGGTCCTTTATTCTTAAGCTACTCTCCACCTTATTAACCAACTTTAATGCCGACGATATCGTCATCGACCTACAACAAGGTAATGACAACCTTTGGGTAGACATCATAAGCGATACTTTTAAAATGCTGTCTCATATCGTCGCCATCGGCATTTACCCCGATTTTTACGAGCATGCCATTGACATGTCCCAAACCACTCTCACATCAGCCGTATCATTTCAAAACTCACAATCCAATTTTGACTCACAGTTCTCCATGGCTTCTCAACTCTCTTATAACGATCCCGATGCCACACTCGACATGGATAATACACAACATATAGAAGACACAGACATGAAGGAATCCAACGAAACTCCTTGCAACAATAAAGAAAAGACATTGATCCAGGTCGAAAATGCTGCTTTAGCTGCTCAAATCATGATGACCCTGATCGAGAAAAAAAACGCTAAACGTATTTTCCAGGTTCGCAATAATCAACGGCGTCAAGCAGGGTTGGAAGTCGATCATGAACCTTGGATTCAATGTCAAGCGAAATTAGAACTAAAACAAGCGAAATGTCCCATCGCCACGCAAAACACCACCATTCAAAAGTTAGTTTTGCTCATCCAAAGACTCACAGATAGGGACCTCGAGAGAAAAATGGCGGTGCATATGAAATACCATGAACTAGAGGACGAGGGAACAGCAAGAGCTATGCCAAGCGCTGGTTTAATGGGGTTATTGTACCACATGGTGCAAATTAGACCTTCTTTAGACGACGATTATATCGTGGATCACTTGTTGAAGCTTCAAACAATTAAAGGATCATTTGATGAATCATTTTATCTCGAACTCTGGTTAACTGCTTTAACGGGATTACGTGAAGCTTCCTTAAATACAAGTTGCAAAGGTCCTCCCGAAGAAGATACCGATCTGAGAGAAAACAAGAGCTGTAACTCGGTAGCTGCTACCAACAGATTATTATGGAAAAGTCTTGTACTTGTTAAATTGCCGTTTTTATTATCAAAGCTACAAAAAAAGCAAGAACCCCAAGAACTAGACGAATACGAGGTACAAAATTATTTTAAAAAAATTATGAATCGAATCTAACAAATTGGTAGATGAACTCGTTAGAATCATCTTTGAAGGAATTAAAGGCATTTACAGGTTTAGTCAACGCATGCAGTCCACCTGGTTGCTGTACTGAATTTTATGCACCGGACTCCATGTCATCCATGTTAGTAGAGCGCATCGCATTTGGACAAGATGAAGAGGACGATTTAATGGATATTATGGATGATGATATGGATTTAAATACCATCACTGTGACAAAATCAGTTCGGGCTATCAGTAACAATGATATTTTCACAAATATTGTACAAGTGTGTGAACATTATGGCTTTGTTCGTCCAGCCATTGCTATAGAGCTTTTAAAAAAGAAGTCTAGTATGGAAACTGAACCCGATAATAATGTCCTCATCATTGACCAAGTAAGAAACAAGAAACGACGACAAAAAAAGGAGAAACGTATTAACCGAATTTACATACACAAATAGAACATTGATCAACGATTTAAAACGATTGGAGCTGATGTTACATTTTCTGGTCTCACTGAATTACTCCATATTGGCCTCATCTCTACAATTCATTTGAGGAAAGTAGTGAGTTTCATACTGGTCTTATTAAAAGAAAAGGCTGCCCAAAACGATTTTTTTGCCTTGTCCAATATATGTGATGCATTATCTGAATGTCCCTGCAGCGTCGATTTAATACTTCAACTTTACACGCCCCAAGAACTCATTGGCCCCTTAGAAAGCATGTGTAATCATTGGAGCCCATCTGACAATACTTTGGATAATAGCGCATCTGAGGATGATTTGGAAGGTGTACAATTACTATACAATAAATTTGGAAAAATTTGGAATTTGACAGTGTCTGTCGTGAAACGATTCAAACTATATCGAGACATGAATAAGGTGTTTGCAGATAAGGAAGGGTTTGTTTACCAATTTTTCACACAGGGTCCAATGATTTACGGGATAGACATACAGGATCCCAGTATCGAACCTTTTATCAACCGCTGGATGAACGCTTTGGCCGGCGGAGATGGACTTTCAGATGATTTGCTACTAAACTCGAAACCTCAAGATTTGTTGATGATAGTGCCCACCATTATTCAACGCTGCATCATCCTTTATGCCTCACAACAGATGGAGACCGAATCTTTCACTGGTATGATCTCATACTTTCAAAAGAAATCTTTGGATTTTACATTGTCTGGTATTATCTTGATCGTCTGCGAAGAGTTACTCAGTGGCCAATCTGGTATTGCGTTGACCTGTCTTTGCCAATTGATCATGTCAGATATTGCCTTACCTCGTGAAATAAGTCTTCATCCGGTCTTGGGCTCTTTAGAATCACTGTTGGAATTTAAGCGTCAAGAAAGTGTGTTTTTGACTAAAGAAGAAGAAGAAAAAAACGTTGCCTTGGCTAAAGGCATGTCCGAATTAACTCAATTTATTATGACTAACAATAAGATGGACAAGCTGACTGAAGACCACTCTATGCTTCATACCGAAACTGTTACAACTAATGTCACGCCCAACACTTTGTTTGAGAAAGCCGAGCTCATGTTTAAATACATCGTCAAAAGTGGAAGATCCATGTTTATGAGTGATGTCGATGCTGATCCAAATACCTTGTGGGATAAAAATGATAGCTCCAAACAGCAAGTCGTTTCCCACTATCTCGATATGTCTTTATTTGAAACCGTGTTAGAAATTGGTGGGGGGCATTGGTTTGTTAGTATGATTGTAGACCAGGTATTGGAGGCCGGTAAAAGTGGTGGGGCTGTCAGAGCTGGTAAAAGCGATATATAGTTTTACAAGATGTTTTGACTAATCATTCAATATGATTTATAGCTGAACTGGGCTCCTGTTTGATTACAACACCTTTACTTTATTCTGTCAATACTCACAACAGCTGTTACAACCTACTCCGTTGTTTACTACAAGACATTCTGCCTTCCATGCTTGATGAATGTGCAGCTCAGAATATGTCCTTCTTTCAAGGTCAAACATTAGGTGTATTCACTAGTGACTGTCTCGTTTTGATGCATGACCGTATTGACTCTGTGAAAAAACTGGGTAAATGGTTTTTTGCTGCGTTAGTGATTGATAGTCAAACAAACAAAAAAGAAACTCAAGATGAAGATCAAATGAAGGAAGGAACAAGGTTTGCTCAATGGGATAACGAGACTACCAAAAGTGCGGTCTGGAGAGGATTCATCAAGGGTCTGATGAGCAATCCTGTGATTGAAGAAATATGGCCGAACGCTTTTATCTAATTTATTCCCCACCCCTACGGCTTTCATTTTTTCTTTTTTTTCCTGCGCACTGTACATAAATTATAAATAAAAAAGTAGCATGTTCGGATGTTATCCCACCATTAAAAATGGCAGCAGTAATAAAAGTGTTCTGACATCTTACTCACACTTCCAATTGATGTTTTTAATACCATGGCCATTTAACGTAGCTTAAGCCTTAGATTACTCAAGTTAAATATGATTGTTTATTGATATGAATTGCAAAAGTAATATAGTAAACTTAATGAGTAAACCACTAGTCTCTTTTCGAGATACATAGTTATTGTTTTTAAAGGATTGGAACTTTTGCCGGTCCACCATGTTGTTACTTTGGATGCCCGGTAGAGTTGTTCGAGGAGACATCCGGCTGTACCAAATATATCCACAAAATCTTGATTGCCTTTCATTGGAAATTTGAGCACAACTGGGGTGTCAGCGATCTGGTCTTGTTTTGTTTTTCCTCCATCGATTTTTTAAATGCCTTTTCCCTGTGTTCAATGGTCTTGACTGTAGCTTTCATTCCTAATACTTGCGATTTAATGGTGTACAGCCTTCGAAGCAACATCCTTAGATTCCATAAGTCTACTTGGGACGAGGGAAGACGTAATGAACCCGAGTGCGATGCAACATAATTATTACCTTGAGCAACACCGCCACCAAGCATTGCTTCAACACCAAGAATCACAACCCCCGAGCATTAATAAAGACCGTTATCGATGAGTTTTATTTCCGAGATTTGACCCTCAACACCACCAATTTGAATGCACGGGACAGAAAGGTTTCTTTTCTCCCTTGGCTTCATGAAGTCATTGCGGCAAAAAAAGTCGGCGTTAACCTTGGATTCACGCGGTCAGGAGACGCCGCTTGTAAACAGTGGACTACAATATGCGGTCCAGAAACACCGCTTATAAACAGTGGACCACTAAATGCGGTCCAGGAACGCCGCCTGTAAACAGTGGACCACTATATGCGGTCCAGGGATGCCTCTTGGAAATAATAGACCATTTTCTGTGATTGGCATGAAACTTGGTGCTGCTGGTGTCCTTAGCAAGTTTGATATTGATCAAATCAAACGTCTTGCCAGAAGGAGATGAGGTACATACCCATAAATCAACCTTGTCGCCAATTGCAGAAGCGTTACCATCCTGGGAACTTTTTTCCGCACAGCCAAGTATCGTGTGTGCCCAGCTAAATATTGTGTGTGCTCAGCAAATTACAGTGTGCGCCCAGCTTAATATGCTATGAGCATTAGAGCCTACAGAGACAGTATCACCCCTAAATAATCTGTTAATACTATTCATACATCTTGTAGTCATGACTAACATACCACTTGCAAAAGATGCCTTCCTCACTATCATCAAATACGGCAGAAAAAATCCTTGACCAGAGTTTGACGACGTAATCCCCCTCTGAAAACTGCTCTTTGCTTGCAGCATTTAAAATCATGGGTGCTTCTTTCATCTTCTTAAGGCTAAACGAAAAACGTAAGGGTTAGAAACTTCAATTCCCAAAAATTCGCGTATACATACACAAAGGCATAGACTTCAAAGTATTGCTCGTCTGCTGTCATTGCATATTCTAATTGAAGCCTTAAACATAGACAGTATGCTTTTTTTATGTTATTCGTGGCCAATGTCTCTACTTGCTTAAGCCTTGGCAGAATGTGGTCATTTTGTGAGACCACATTTGAAGCAGGTATGGCCAAGTTTCGGCTTTTTAAAGTGGCCTAATGTTTGATCTAATACTGAAGCGTGATATAATTAATTAGTCTTACATTCTTCACTAAAGTTCTTAAATAATTTTCTTTCATTTACATCGTAAAAATTGGTATTTCGACGATAATTACATCAAACAGGAGGGTCTCTGTGATGTACCGACAGCAAAGAAAAGCGCTGTTTTACTGTGAAGCCTACAGATACGCCTAAAGAAAAGAAAACACCTTCGTCACATACATTTACGAGGTGTCTTTTTGCATCTTTTATCATTATAAATCAGGCTTTGGTTAATATCAGTATTCAATCAAGATTGTAAAAAAAAAATATGTGACCTACATCAGCATCAGCCTAAAGCTGAGACCCCAACTTGAAAAGTTCCCACCATATACTGATGACTAGCCGCAGCTATAGTATCCCCATCTCCCCCAAAAGGTGGAACATATGTTTTCCTTTATAAATAAAAAAAAATAGATAGTTCGCAGTTATATTTTAGCACTTTCTTAAAAGCAAAAGTCCTTATTATTAGCTAACCTTCTTACAATATTTGATACTCTCATAAAAAAGAAGGAAAAAAAAATGGAAGAAAAGTGTGTTTTATTTATAAACAAGAGCTGTTTATTATGTCAGGATGAGGCAATTGATCATTTGATCACCTATAAGTTTTGGCCTTTACTTATAATAGAAATAGGGGCTTATTATGAAACTAGAAGCGCAGATAACTTTGCTTATTAACTAAATTCACGAACATCCAATAATAATTTTGTCAAGATATCTATACTAATACATGAAATTTTATTGAAAACATTGAATGCTTTACACTTCGAAGCAAACTAGCAACCCCCATTACAAAATCTTTGATGGAACGCAAAAAGACAGAGAGCTATTATTGGGCCTTTATACCTTCTATACTTTGTCTGGCCCGCTGGAACATGCGCATTAGAAATGGTATATTGGATATGAGTACAGTCTAAAAGAATATTTTGCCAACTTTGTATTTTTCACTCTGTCTCTGTTTAAAAAAATTTCCGGAGAAACAACAAACATATCTATATACACTGCATCATCAGCACAAAAATCAAAAGATATATGAGGCTACCAGGGGTCGAACCTGGAATCTCCTGATTCGTAGTCAGACGCCTTATCCATTGGGCCATAGCCCCTCATATGATATTTTGAACTACAAATAAAAATTAATCATTAAATTTTATTGTATGTATTACGTAATCAAAGTCACGTGAAAATCACCTGGCAGAAATATGATTGGTTAAAATGCCATTGATTTTTTAACATTTCACTAAGTCACGATGAAATTTTACAAATGACTACTACATGGATTTATAGTAGAATATCAGGCAGAGAGACCTTATTTAAACTATCCGTGGGAGTAGATATAATGCAGACAATCAAATTCATTTATCACATGTCAACTACTACACAAAACCAAAGATATTTTTATTACTAGTGCGAAAAGCCCATATTAATTTCGCATTTCATCTAATGATAGTTTTTTAATTGAATTCCTTAATAATGAGATCAAAGCAGATCATTTGGATTCGAATTGCTTAGAAATTGTATTGTTAAAATTATGCTATATATACTGTTTATTGATGTGTTTGGTAATGTGGTGCGCACACATTTTGCATAAATGTGGGCTGTGGGGGATAGTATGGAGGTGGCATACAGACATATTGAACAGGTGGATCTTCTTTTTTTTCTTCCTTTTTTTCTGGCGCTTTCTCTTCTTCTACAGGAGCATGTCCGAATCCGGTAGATTTACGAACGATGATATTCCAATAGTACTGCCATACAAATGAAATAAGTGTATTAACAATTACAAACCCAAGAATGACATATACAGGTTTACTCATTAAGTATGTGTTAACATGATTTGGATTCCCATCGAATATCAAAAGCCAGGGGTTTATGAATCCAGTATGAGCAAAAAAATCTAGACCGAAGTAAAAAAGATAAGATCCCATTAATGCAGTAGAAAAGAGCACTACATAAGTTTCGACAAAATACATGGCAAAGGGACCTAATACACTGATACCGATGATAAAGCAAACACGAGCAACTTTCTAAATAGTATAAGCATTAGGATTTTTTATGACAAAGTAAATGTTAAAATGTTTACTATAGTTATCACCAAATTCTCCTTCCATGAGAGAAAATAGACAGCAAAATAGAATCCCCCAAGAGCTTTTATCGAACGCAATGATTTGTTAGAAATTTTGCTTTTAGGATATAGAATAGTTTCGCTTACCTGCAATAAAATATACGCCAATTTGATAAAAGAATGCAAAGAACAAGGCACCAAGTATGCCAAGACCGGCGCTGACACAAATGTATATAAGGTCGCCCAATGGATAGCCGCCAGCAGGCTCATTATTTACAAGGCCAATCCATGTCATAGTGGCTAGTTGGAAATCAAGCTATGTTAACTTTAGCTTTTCTTAAAAATTGTAATGTAGTTTTACCAAAGAAAACAAATCCCGACAGTCCCAAAGTAGGGCGGAAGAATCTGAACCCAAGGATAGAGAAGTACAATCCAAGGATTACACAGACAACGCCAGAAAAACCTTGGGCAGGACTGATGCTATCACCGTATGTATCTAAAAGAGGCTATCTGTTAATAATGGGGTAATGCTTATGAGAGTAATACTTGGTACTTACGCCATAAATAATCAGACCAGCACTGTCCTGTACAATAGCTTCCTGATGGCTTTGTTGTAGCCTTTGGTTTAGAAGTTGAAGAAGCTGTAACAGTTTTTGTAACAGTTACTGCTTGCCCACCTCCGCAATTTACTGTCTGGGTGACTGTTGTCCATAAATTGTTAACGGATAGATTGTTCTCAGAATCGACAGTACGATTGCTTTGATCGGCTATCATCACAATATTCTTTTTATCTTCTCTTCCCCTACACATACTAGCCCAATTTTGATATATATCTAAATTATCTTGATAATCCCCGGCATCTCTTTTTAAAAGAGGAGATAACGTAGGCGAGCTAGATATAGCGGTTGATGTGTACGTTTGTATTGTAGTTTTTGTTACTTTTGGTAAAGCTATGCATGTTGCTAGATACACATTGTAGAAGCATACTAACAACAAGATCAATTTGAGTTTTTGAAATGTCATTGAAACTATTTATTAAAGCAAAAAAGAATAATGAATAGGAAGGATAAAGAAATTGCAGATTTAAAAGTGTGCCATAAATGCTTTTTTCGCAAAAAATAGCATTGTTTTTAATATTTTCATTTTGAGCGTTTCGTGATCAGTCTGTGTTATTGCCATTTATAGACCGATGTTTTCAATTTTTTTGGCACCTATTCCGCCTTTCTTTTTCTCCCGTAACTCTGCCATACGCTATAATAAAAAGTTAGATTGAACCTATTAATTGAACGTTTTTTATATAAACCTGTCTTCGTTCTTCTCTTCTACGCTCGAGTTCTGCTTTTCTATCGTCTTTATTTGCATGTGGAGGTACTGAAGTTGGTGACGCGCTACTATGTTTTTCTGAGGCATATTGTGCAACATCAGGAATGCCATCATCCAATAAATCAAGATCTGAATCAAACATTTAGCATATGGTAGAGATGGATGAAATCGCAAGGACAGACTTACCAATGACATTGGGTCTATGACTTAATTTCATTGAGCCTTGTGCTTTGCTTCCGCTGTTCCCGGATGATGTAGGATATGAACCAAATGAGGAAACAGGCACAGCTACTTTGGTTAAAGGGGGAGGAGAAAATGGCGCAGGCTTTTTTTCGAAAGACTCTATATGACTTGCATTAGTAGTTATAATTTTAGAAGATTTACTTGCTTACCCCAGTTATCACTATTATCTTCATCTTGTTGATCAAAGTCAAATGGGCTGACATCTTCTTGATCCCAGCCACCAATTTCATTATCAATCTCATCAGCTTCTGTGGTCTGGAATCTCGAAGCATTATTCGTTGGTATTTTTTGATGAGGTGATTTTTCAGTTAATAGACTTTCAACCGGTGTGGAGCTTTGGGAATTAATTGGATTTACAATTTCGCCGCTTGGGCTTGCAAACTAGTTTGATAAAAGTTAGTAGATAAATTCGATTGACAAATACAAAAATAAAGCAAAACTCACTCTGGATTGAATAGATGAGACTGCCCAACCTGCAAGTCCTTTTGTTGCACCACCAAAAACCCCAGCCATTCCTGCACCTTGGGCAGAAGCTGCTTCTTCTGACATTGGGGCTATGGTTTGTTCAACGATCGCAGTGTCGGGCTAAAATTTATATGTTTTTAATGCTTTATAAGTTGACCCCACTTTCTTCCTTTAGACTTACCATCTTTTCTGCAAAGTCTTGGACCCTATTCATAAGACTAGCCATCACTTTAAATGCTTGATCACGCACGACCCTAAATTAATGCAGTTAATAACTTTGAGCCTTATGAATCCATTTAATACGAATGTTTTTACTTTTCTTTATCAATCAAGACAGGAGATACAGCAGGTAAAATTCTTGTAGCACAGTCTTGAGCATCGTAATATTCAGACGTTGCTGTTACAAGGCATTGTTATATTTAAGTCGTTTTTAATTTTTGACAAAATCATACCATTAAGAGACATAAGTGCAGCAACTCTGGCAGGGAAAAACCCATCCCTCAAGCTTCTTGTGAAAGCAGGCACCAAAACTTTTCTTCGGGTCTACAAAACGAGAGTAATCTAATTAAGTCAGATTCGAATAGATTTAAAACACTTACAGCATCGGTTAAATGTTTTGCAATTTTCCCCAAACATATGGTAGTGTTAGTTCTAATTCCAGGCTCTGGATCCATTTGTAGTTTTGCCAGATACTTCAATAGGTCGTAATTAATGATACGCTCATTCAATTTTGGGACCAGCAGTAAGATTGATTTGATTGTTTGCTCTCGAATAATTGGTATGGTGTCTGTAAATCCAGTCGCCTATTACAACACTTTAGTATATAACAATATCGTCTCAGTTACTTGGCTTACAATATTTGGAAACACCTGCGCTGTAACCATTTTATTTGTCATATGGTCAATGAATTTGGGCATATTTTCCAATAAACTGACGCGTATAGCACGATCAGGAGAAGAGAACATTCTTATAACAGGTTGCATAATTATTTCTTCGTACTCCTCGTCTGAAAGGTGATCGCCAACCTTCACTATGGCACTTAATGCCTTAGCGCCACCTGAACCAAATTCAAATGCCTTTATCAATTCGGGCAAAATCTTGTATTTTGAAAATTCACTTGGGAATGTTTCGATCGAAGAATCCAGCTGCTTAAAAAACCCCTCTTTTTCGCTTTGCTCTTTTATACTGATGTTTTCCAGAAACAAATTGACCTTAACAAAATCATTCGAAAAGTAACCTTTTGGTCGTAGGCCTTCCTCCAAAAACATGTCGGTTGTTGCTCTTGCCCTGAATGATGGGTTCAATAAACTACTGTAGATACGTTGCATTGCTACAGGTATGCTACCTTTCTGTGATATAAGTGAATCTATACTCTCAAAGCGGTTGTTGTATGCCTCATAGACAAGGCATCCCATATGATACGAGTCGATGGCACCGGCAGGTAAGCTATTATTAAAACACATGCATGTTAATTTGATATTAACTAATCAAAAACTATTGAATTGGAAATGTAAGCTTACTCTTTGATCGTTGTCCATCCAGATTTTTTAACTTCAGGCGTCGCATATCGCTGCGCATCGGGCACCAATCCTCCAAATGTCTGTGCATAATTAAGATCAGAATAAATTTGAGGGCATGTGGTCGACTCTTACCAGAACAATAGGACTCTCTTCCTTCATGGAACACAGTAATTCAAACCCTCCCAATTTCCATTCTCCTGCTTTATTTGTAAAAACAGAAGCCACTTTGACACTACCATGAACCATGTCACAATCGTTATTCAAAAATTTAACAGCATTCTTTTTATGAATTAAATTAAGTAATTCGACCTCTACTAATTGTTTACAAATAACACTTACGGCAATTTTGTATAAACCCCAGAGAATCAAGTTCTTATCCGGATTTTGCTTTAACTGATTAGAGAGAGGTTCAACTGGATCGGTCACAAACATGATGTTCTGTTCTGTCTGCAGCATCAAGCAAAATAAATATATTAACAATTAAAAAATGGAACAATAAATCTGACGAAATGGTCGTACCTCAATGCCATCTAAGTAGCGTAATATGTCGGGATGCCTCATGGTTCTAATTCGTTTAAAAGCATTTCGTGCCAGTTGAATTCTGTCTTTATTCTTGACACAATCAAACACAAAGATTGTTACTTCAGAACCGTCTTCCTAATAATCATTTGGAACAAAATGTCAGAGGACTACACCTCAAAATTAGAATGAAGGTACCTTTTTTGTACCATGATGAAGGCTCCAGATAGAATGGTCTGAGTAAAATTCAACTTTATCGCCTATGCTATATCCAAATCCTGTATTGCTATTACCAAGCAAAGACAAGCTGCTTTTCACTATTCCTGAAAAAAAAGCCATATTGGTTTGTTTTAAGAAGAAAAAAGACAGAATATAAAATTCAATGAAACACCAGATGTGTAACAATCGACTTTAGAAAAAAAAATGCTATTGCGAAAGGTTGACCAGGCACACAATTTCAGAACGATAAATTAATAAAGATAAGGCCTCCCTTTAACGAAGCAGAAGACCTATCAGGTTTTGTTTCTGTCGGCGAGAAAGTCAGATCGATTACTGTGATGGATGGTGTTTGGACGAAATACTTTGAGAAAAACACTGGATTGAAGTCTTAATTCGTTATAAAGATATCTATTTAACATTGACTCCGGGCCTCATATCCTGCCAAGGCAGTCTTCTGTAGTAACAGTTTCACGAGAAGCCTAATTCCTAATGCCAAAATATTTGCATTGAAAAGGATTTAGTTGGCTCCCAACGCTCTCCACGTTTTTGGAAATTGAAATAAGGTGAGTATGAAGGCACAGACAAAGACTAATAGCAACTATTTTTAATTAAATTAACAGAATATTGAGACAAAAACCTCTATAATCGTCTATCACAATCTATAGGTTAAAATTGTGGCGTTTGCCCAGTATATCCACTGTATTTTGGGCACAATTTATAACGTCTTGACATGTAACTGTATACTTCTTACTGGGTTTTTTAGTCGTTAATCTCAGAATTCCATTCTTGCTAACTAATGGGAAAAATGCTTTTTGATCGTAGCTACATCCGCTGGTTTTGATAGTTTCACTTTTTTAAAACCTTCTTAAAATGCGAGATTCTAACACTTATACCGTTGTATGTGTGTACAAGACTGTGGGCGCTCCCTTGAAAAATATTAACTAATACGAAGAATCTCTATCGAAGCATGTAATGCAGCTTAAAAATTTGCTTACGACATAAACTATATCTAATTGAAACATGGGAGTATCCTTTTTTATGAGCGGAAAATTCACCCTGAGGATGCATAGTTCTGTCTTAAATGGGTACGATCTACTTGAGAATAAATAAATTATGAAATAAAAACAATTTCTAATGTTGCATACCAGCATAAACTTGTATACTGTTATACAACTTCTTCTACTACGAGTACACACTTTTGTAACTAAGATTAAATCAGAAAACTTTAAACTGTTTGTCTAACTTTATTTTGCAGATGACCAATGTAGAACCTCCTCGTAGATCTCCTCAAATTTAGAATTATTGACCCACTTGTCGAGCCAAACAGCCCAATTATCCAACCAAGCGACCTAATCGTCCAGCCAAGCGACATGAAAGTTTCATAATAAATAGAAGAATAAAAAAGAAGGCAATTCACTTTGTACAGATTTTGTTTTTGTTTTTGTTGTTTGTTATATGTAATCAAAAGTCGGATAGATGATGATCTATGTCAGTCAAAAAAAAAAAAAAAAAAAAAAAAAAAAAAACGACACGAGCAATACGGGAGTTGCAACATTACTTTATACGAAGTATATGGAAAGATTATAGAAAATGAATGTAGAGGATAACGTTTCATGAAAACAAGCATACAGATAAATATCAACGTACAGGTGAGAATAGATATTTTTGTAACGGGTCTCTTAGGGACAGCCAAATTTTCTTAGGGACAGCCATTTTTCTTAGGGACAGCCATTTTTCTTAGGGACAGCCAGGGTGCGCGTAGTCGTAATGTTGGGATTATGATACTTTAATAGACACCAAGAGGTCAATATAACTTAACAACTTGAAATATATACACGTTTATTAAAACCAACATAGTGTAGACCAGTATATATGTTTTACAACTTACTTTCAGCTTCTCGTTTGGACTTTACCTTAATATTGCTGCGTAAGATTAAGATCAAACGAGCTCAAAGGCGAAAAAGAGAAGATAGAATTGTCAAAATAAGTATAAATCGTTTAATATACATTTATTCGTAATTGCTACATTGTTTTTGATTGTATATCCTTGTTCCCAGGTCTACAGAACATCCAAATCACAGATCTTTCGTTGCGACTACGTGCACTTTGGCTGTCCCTAAGGAAAAATTGGCTGTCCCTAAGAAAAGCGTTTTTGTAAAGTACATGATGTCAATAGTTGTCAATAAAACATATAACATCATATGACAAGAGCTAATATTGATGTGCGGAATTATAAGGGATTGTTCCGGCTCAGTAATGCAATATTTAACTCAAACCTGCAGAATAATTTTGAGTAGACTTCAGCTCATTTGATAGTTATAATGTCGTAGTAGAAAGACTTTTCTTTTTATCAACGTCAGCTGAATATTTCAGCTCAATCGACTATACACTCATGTTGACGAATTTCTAAAGGAAAGGACAAAACAGTTCATTGAAATCAGATATAGTGCCATTGTTTTGGTCAGATGATGATCATAAAATTACTCTTGGAATTATGTCACATCCTGTACCCTATAATTTAGTGAAATCGGACCTTCCGCTTATAGTCTTTATCTAAACATCAAACCTGTAAGATTATTTAGATGTATGATGTTGGGGTTATTTTATTATTTAATTGCTTGAGAGATCTCCAGCGAGATACATATACTTATATAGGTAGAGGATTTCCGATAGATTTTTCATCATCTTAAAGAGGCGCTATTTACTCCAGTATACCTTTTTCCTTATCTAAAAACATATATATATATTAGAAAATGATAGCATGAGAGAAAAAGTGTGCTCCGCACTCGATCGATGGACCAAGCCGGCACGAAGATTTAGACCAACAATACCCAAAAGGTTAAAGCGAGTGAAGAAGGATGCTGCATGAGAGCATCGGTGTCCAAATTGTATTTTTATATTTTTAGTTTCACAGAGTATCAATAAAGATGATTTTTCTCTCGCATAAAATAAAAATAATATTGGCCACGCCGTACAGCTGCGCCGCAACGACTCAATTGCCAGACATTAAGACAATTGACAAACGGAAGTGTTTATAATAGTTTTAATTTCTTTTTTCTTGCCATAAAATTAAGTCCAAAAAAAATCGAGGGAGGGAAAATAACAATTTCCAAAAAATTAAGACTCTGACATCAAATCACAAAAAGTAATTCCCCAACGGGGAGTCGAACCCCGGCCGTATCGGTGAAAGCGATAAATCCTAGCCGTTGGACCATTGAGGATGATATATTTTATTAGATATGTATATATTATTTGTAGACAATATAATAAAAATCTTAAATCACGTGACAGGCACGTGCAAGTTATTTGATTGGAGGAAAGCCATTTTTTTTTTTTACAATGAATTGATATTTTGAATCTGGTAGAGTTTAAGAGGTCAAATAAAACCCTTTGTATTCAACATACTCAAAACGTTTTTCAATGGTATCATGAATAAAGAGAGTGTCTAAAAATGTACGCAGTGTAAATCAATTATTACATTGGAATCTGAATATGTTACTTGAAAGCTTCTTTGTTTCGTACTACCGTCTCATGAGAAGAGTTATTAAACGTAAATGAAGTCGTCATTTCTAATTAGTATTAAAACTCTCGTGGGATATTATTCGAAGTAACCTCGTAGATGACTATCAGAGCTTTCACATAGATTTATTGTTACTTTATTTATAGTAAAAAATTTGTAAGGGTGATATATAAATATTAAAAATATTTAACATAAATCGATTTTAATTGTCATAATCTGGAATGGTTTAAGAGTAATTGGAAATCCGCTCTCTGACTGAGGCTTGAGTTCATTTTTTGAGTCATCTTCCAAGATATTAGATATTTGAATTCTCTTTATCTTTAAATTGCTAATACGGGTGGAAACAATTATTAGTGCCAGTAAGCAATCTTTATCGTTATTCTTATTTACCTGTGTAATATAGCCGAGCTCGTGCCTCCATAAGCTTCGTATAGACGCAAAATAACTTGTTTTCCTTTGCCCGCATCATCTTCAGCAAGCTTGACAGTATCAATAATAATTTGATTAGGTGGATCCATCCTGAAGAGCGAATGAATAACATGCCCACTTTGAATATCACTGCCCTTGGCATGGCTATACCAAATTTTAAGATATTAGTCATGATGCTTATGATAAATTGCAACGCTTTACCGAATAGAAAGCGGAGTATTAAATTCCAAAGCAGCTTGCATGACATTGGAAGAGCTGAAACTGCCTCGGTGTGGATATATAGCATATTTAAACTTGTGTTGACCTGATAAAAAAACTAAGCTCAAGTTCATTCTTTTCTTTTTCAACACTTACCCATGTCGGCATTTTCATCCGGTCCCTTTGGTGCACGAAGCAATGAAAGACGCTGTGTTCTTCCATGTGTTGCATAACCGTATTTACAATCATTCATTAAAGCAATACCATAATTGGATTCTGAAATATCTGCAAATTTATGTCCACATACCTATTCCCAAAAAATAAATAAAAATGAAGACAATAACAACCGGCATTACATATATGTAACATACTTCAAACTTTGCGGAATCAATAGTTGTGTTGTAATGATTGGGTCTTCTAACTACTCCGTATTGAATATCGTATGTAGCCTAACAAAACTGTGAGAATAGATCTTTTGATTATTAGATAATAAAATTACAAAATCTGTAACAATATCCCACGTAAATTCCACTTTCTATGATTGTGCACTATGTAAATATCAAGACCAACATAATTCACTAAAAGCTCTTACCAAAAATTGATGGCTTTCATGCCAATCCACAAAGTTATCAAACTCAATCCTTTCACCAATACATGTGAGACTAATAACTTGCTCAATTGAACTGACATCTGAAATCTTGTGTTGGAAACGAAGTTCTGCTTTCAATGGACCTTCTGAAATAATCTTTTTTTTTTTTTCGGTATTTATTAGCATCGTCGATAAAAAAAAATATTAATATACCTTCAAGGTCTTTTGTCCTTCCAGATTGACATATTTTTGCAGGTGGTAGATTTCAACTATATTTGAATTGTTTAGTCGGCCATGTTTTTTATCTAGTTTTGTCTTTACCATCCCAAGCGTCCCAGTATGTAGGCTAAAAAAAAATTATTGATTAAAAACTTAAAATGTTGCTTTAAAAAAAATCTTACCACATCCTCATAAAGCTGGAGGATATTTCCAAGCGAATTTTTAGGAACAAGATTTCCTCTACCCAAATTTAGCATTAGTAAACCTTATCGTATACGTGTCAAAGCATTCTAGTTTACCTGTCAGATTTCTTATCAAGCAATTCAATGAGCTGTCCATCACTATTGAAAGTTGCCTTCAAGTTTATGTTTTCCAGGACAAAATGTCCAGATTTTGTAGAATACGCTAAAGAAAGAGTCAACTGTTGTCTTCTTTTTTTTGCATCCATTCAATTACCTTTTGCTGCCTTCTCATTTAAAACAGATTTAAAGTCATTTGTGTTTTCGACAAATCCGGATGCACCAAGACCAGGGATATTTTCAACTACGAAAAAAAAAAAAAAATTGGTTAATGTATTATTACCACCATCATTTTAAATGTTTACCTAGAAGATATTCATAATCGCCATCCCATTGTTGATTCGTCCATTTTGTTCCTTTTTCTGGGGAAATTATAACATCAGATCGAACCCAAGGAAGTGTATTGAACACAATAACACCCTGATCTTCATCATGGCCATTGTCTTTAGGTCTGTCAGTAATAAGCAATGACTGGGCTTTATGACGAAGTGTCAACGACTCAGAGATAACCTCACGATGAAACTATGTATTTATACTTTAGTGCCTGACACGTACTGTAATTCTAAAATGATATACCTTATGCACATCAACATAGGCTAAATTTATAGCAGATCCAGGCAAGCAATCGTGAAATTGATTAAGACAAAGAAGTTTCCAGAGTCGAGTAAGCTCTTCGAAAGGATAGCTGTATTTGTATAAATGAGTCAGCCCAGTTCTGATAAACAGGGTCCCCGTATTTTTAACTACCTATATTTAGCATTGATATGATTTGAGTGAAGCTTTGCTGCTGTGGCCAATATCTCAGCATCTCGGATGATAATCTCCCCCTTTCTGTTACCGCGCTTAACAAGTGCTTGCGAGGTATACGTGCCTCGGTGAAATTCGAGATACTAATTAAATGATTAAAAGGTGATACACTATATCAAATTACTTTCTCTTACAAGCTCTCCTTTATATGCTTGTAAACGATCCGATTTCTTCTCAAGGTTTTCAAAAAACGCACTAGCACTCCCTGGTTTAACAGTAGGAAGCCCGTCCTATACATCGGAACTGGTTATATTATCGCGAGTGATATAGTCATATGAATATACATACTACTTCTTTCATTCTTTTCAATCTTTCCAGCATTTCGGGAGTAGGCCCACCGCCACCATCACCATGTCTATAAACACCGTTAGATTTTGTTACATCAGAATTGAAATATTAAGTACCCATAAACTAGCAAACTTGAATTTGAACTTTCGATATCACGATGATTTTTGGAGCTGAATAATTATCATTTAAATGAGTCAAAATTATACAGTTTTCCAAATAAAATACTCGGGGATCTTCTTTTCTTTACCATTTGTAGACTTCACCAGGAGTAACAGAAGCAGTATAACTACGAGCATAATATCATGTTTTAGTAAGTATGCAATCACAAAATGTTAAGTGATACAAACGTTTCTGCTGGGGTTAAATGAGCCAAAATACTCGTATCATCAATACCCGTCCACCAAAAAGTAGATAAGGGGAACTTGTTAATGTTGTTCCATGATAACTTTTGGGTAAAGAAATAATCGCATCCTGATTCACGGAGAACCTGAGGAAGTTGAGCAGAGTAACCTACATTTTTCGCTTTTAGTGTATTTGTGGAAAAAAAAAAGACATCGTTTATAATACCAAATGAATCAGGTAACCAGAATACACGAGTTCTTTTACCAAAGTGTTTTTCAAAAAATCGCTGACTAAAAAAGAAGGACAAAAATTATAAACAATCTGTAATATTACGTAATATGATTATAAGCTTACCCTAAAAGCATCTGTCTACAAAGGGACTCTCCAGACTATAGAAATCAATTTAATATAAATAGCCTTCTATCACTACCCCTTATTTTTAACTTACAGGCATATTGGTATCTATTTACATAATTATTTAATGGATTAAATTTAGGTGCATTACATATGATGTCAATGATAAAACTTACCATGCTCGACCCAACTCTAAAAAAGTGACGTGTTAGTAAACTCATGTCAAAAACCGTAAAATCAAAAACTCACTCCTCCAATAATCTCCCATTGACCGGTCTTCTCAATTTTCTTGATTTTATCAAAAAGCGGCGGGTAAAGGTCTTTCAACCATTCGTACTGCTGTACTTGAGAGCCTGTAAATATGTAATCTGGGTATCTTTCGATCAGATTCAACTGGCTAGACCAAGACCTTGCAATTTTGCGCTTTGTCTCATCATACGGCCAAAGCCAGGCTGTATCAATATGACAGTTACCAACTGCAGTAATTTGGTGTTGGCCAGACCCTGAAGTGGCGCTTAGAAAAGTTTGCGTTATTTGAATGCATTTTTGAATTGATTTCTTGTCGTCGCCGATATAATTATTGATAACCTCATTTGCTGTCCATAATGCTTGTCTAGCACGGGAAGAGTCCTGATCAGTATCAAAAGCAATGCCGCGAATAATACTATAATCTGATGAATAAAAACATAAATGTGATTATGGGGTTTACATACGTCAAATCATGATACAAGCTTTGTGTATCTTTGTTGGCCACGACAAGATCAGCTTTGGAGAGTTCAAAGTATCTATTGGGGTCAGCTACCATGGCATCGTTAGCCCCAACACCGAACATGCCGTTACATGCTGCTTCAATGTAAAAAGTGTATTTGTCTCCAGTACTGGCCTTTTTGGTGACAATGTAATCATGTCGGGATTGGTCCGCTTTTAATAAATGTAAGACAGAGTGCATAAAAAAGGATAGATATACTTACATCCACCTGTAAGACCTTGAAGAGGTATACCATCTGTACTCCAGACCATTCCTTCACATCCCATATCCCATTGAATAACTACCTGTTCTCCATTCAGTTCTTCTGGAATAGTAATGTTTAGTAGAAACCAATGTGTAGACCAGCTGGGACCAAATTTCTTTTGACCCAACTTGAAATCTTCAAATTTTTGTGCAACAGCCTCCTATTTTTCATGCATTTAAATAAGTTCTAGTAACATAAAATATTTATATAGTTACTTTAAAAGTGAGGCGCTATGATTCAAAAAATAAATAAATTATTAAATGTTTTATTTGATCACTCGTTTTTTTTTGTTTACCTTGAGATCAGGTACACTGTAAACTTTCAGGTCCACATGGGGGGATCCGCTTTGACGCTTTATCCATAAATTACGGTGTATTCCCATCCCATGAAATTGTCCTCCGTCCGCTAGAAAGTTATTGATGCGAGAATGCGTGATGTTTTTAGGTACACGCGGCGCATTATCCTTGGGTGGATTGAATGAAATGTCAGCGTGATGACTGTGACAATGTCCATGAATAGTCATACTACAAAGTAAGCGCTTTCTTCTTTTTAAAAAATGAAAAGAGTAAAGAAGAAGGAACTAGATATCGTTGTTAATTTTTTTAATATACGCGATATTATGCATCACCTGATTCACGAGAGACTCTCACACATATAATGTGACCATAACATTAATTGTTTACTATTTTTTATTTCGTTTAACTTTCGATAATGAGTAATTTCACATTAAGCAAGACCTGGCAAATCTTAGGTCCCTTTCCAATTGGTACTCGAGAACAAGATTTCGGAGCAGACCCATTAGAATGTTATGGTACCTTAAGACACATTTACTCTTTTCATTTCTTTTAAGCATTTTTGTTTCAGGTGGCTTCTCGAAATTAAGGTACTCCGCAGGCGCAAAGTATCCTTCCGAATTGGTCGACGGAGGATTTGTTGGTTGGAGTATGCTTAGTTCTATCAACCATACAGTCGGGCCTATTGATTTCCGAAACGCTAGGTAAAAATGAAAAAAAGGAGAAAAGGAGTTTGATAACTGACATTTTTATGCCTTAGATGGAAGGACAACGGAGTGCCTTTTGGATGGTCTATAGAACAGTATCAAGCATGGGCAAGAGGTATTTTGGTTGTTCACCAGCCCACCAAAGTATTTATGCAAATAAGCGGTGTTTCGGAATACTACATCAACGGCGAAAAGAGATATCACGGTGATTGTTACAATTACAACACAACGACTCATATTGTTCATTTCGAAAAGGGAAAATATGTGATAGATGTACGTATGGTTCACGATATAAGAATATTTGGGGGAGGAACGACACCACCGCAATGCCAATTTCAAGTATTGATCGAGCCGACAAAAAAGGAGGATTTGATGGTATACCCTGAAGATTGTGCAGTCATCACACCGTCGCAAACGAAAAAAGATGCAGACCCTATGTGCGAGATATTAATGCCCGATTACTTAAAAGATATCGGTTTTGCAGGGTCATTTGGTAGTGTGTCAATTCAAAATATAGGTGATGATTCGATCGTTGTAAAGTCTATTACTTTATGTGTAGTCGACAGCCGAAGTTTAGAAGGGAACAAAAAGGGGTTATTTGTGGAGTACAAGACTGATCTATTGGTTAAGAATATATCTATCATACCCGGTCAAATTAGACCTATTGGATTTCAATTCCAAAAGGAATGGGGGTCACTGCCTGCAGTGGAGATATTGAAATACTGGGTACGCATTAGTCTTGTGGTGGATGATAGGGACGAAATGACGGAACAAAACGAATTTGTAATTCGTGCATCATGCTCAAAGATTACACACGTAGACTGGATAAAGTCTGTGTTCAAATTCACCTTTTTGGATTACGACAATACAGTTCAATATGGTATACATCTGTAAATTTTGAAATTTTATCATTTTATTGACTAAACAAGTTTTTATTAATTAGCTATGGCAAAAAGGCCAGATATATTAACTTCGAATCCTAAAAAACCTATTATTATTGCTTTGCATGGAGCCGGTGTAGAAGCGGATTCCAGTTTTTGGACTAAATCCATTCCCACACAACCGTCGTCATGGGTAATTATACTTTTAAATTAGAGTCTAACTCCTTATTAAACCAGATCATTTTTTATTTGGCGTATTTCAGATTTTATTTCCAACAGGTAGAACGCCATGGTAAGAAAATGCAACGAATATTCTTCAAAAAAAAAAAAAAATATTGCATAACCAACTTCATACACGTATATACATTATTAGGGGATATGATTGGCATGGACCTAGTACACGGAATGTATTCAAATCCCTTGAAGGTCTTAAGGCAATACAGGATTTACTCCCACCTCATTTTGAGTGCATCGATTCCGCCGGCGAAGATTGGGTCAACGGTATGAATTTATATTACTAAAGTGAGATTTTTTTTTATAAATATACTATTGATTAGTATCGGCACCCGATGAGACATCCAAGACATTGAAAGCTCGAGATGATAAAGAATGGGTGATTGGAAATATGGACAGATTAATTCTGATGGGTAAAATGTGGTGCAGCCACTGGTATAATTTTAAAAGTGGAACTAACACCCTTTTTTTTAAAGGTCACAGCAACGGCGGACAAGGAGTTTGGCATTTGGCTGTGCATTTCCCGGACAAGATTATTGCAGGTTAGAAACTGTCATTGGTTATGTTTTGGACTGTTCCATCTCTTGATATACTCAAATAGGATTTTTTTAATCTACATAGTTGTTCCAGCTGCAGGATACCTTAAAATCCAAGACTACGTTTCGTTTGCTAATTGGGTTGGAAACTCTTTTAGTGATCCATCCTTAAGGGCTGTAAGTATAAATCGACTCAAATGTGATAATTTTGTTAACTGGCCCACTAGGTTTTGGAATCTGCCATCACCGAATATAATAACGACCTGCATCTATCAAATATGGTATAATGAGTTTTTTTTTTATTTTGCAGCTCACACACTAAAAATAATTCAATTTTAGATTGATATAGCAGTTTTGCCACGAGTAGGCACTGAAGATGATAACGTGCCTCCGTTACACACCAGAAAATACGTGCGGATTTTGAATGGATTAATGAAAAATTCTACCGCCATTAAGTAAGAAACACATATACCAATAGGAGTAAAAGAAACTTATCTTGGTATTCCATCATTAGAACTTCTGAAGCTATTGGGCAAGGACATTGGTGGGATTCTGTATTCACAGACAAGATTGTGCAAGACTTTTTGATTAAGCAACATGAAAAACCGAGCCCACGCGAATTCTGTATCACCTCAACAAATCCAGCCGGAATTGGAAGTGTCAATGGAATCCACCTTGAACAAATAACGGTCCCATACAGGTATATTCATAAATGGATAGATAGCACGTTTTTTTTGTTGATTTATTATTTTAGATTAGCTAAAATTAAAGGGGTTGAATCAAACGAAAATATATTGTCAATCAAGACTACAAACGTGTCATCTTTTAGGCTCACAAGACATTTTAAAGGATATCAGAAACTCGTGATTGATGGCGATCGTTTCTCTCATTTAGAGAAAATTCATACTGAAAAAGGCAACGTTGTGTTTTCAATGGATAAAAAGAGTAAACGCTGGAAGGTATTAAGCATATTATGACAAAAAACCGTAAACTCTCATTTAACCGTTTTATTTGTAGCTGGAACAAGTCAAATCAACAGAGCGCAACGCAGCTAATTATGGGCCAATTCATCGAATGTATGAATCAAAGAGTGCATTGACAATTGTTATACCCGAAAAAGGGGACCATTATCAGCATGTCGCATTGCAGATAGCACACGATTGGTATCTCTACGGACGCGGTGATTCACGTATAGTGTATGATGGGGATATTGCAGCCTATGATAAGTGCAGCAGCGGAGGCTACAGAGTCTACTTGGGTCTACCTTCTGAAAATAAACTTATTGATCAGATCATATCGGATAAACCATGTGGTATTGAATTTGAAAAATCAGCTTTGACTGGTATTAAAGTAGGAGATAAACTTTATAACGACCCTGGAACAGGTAACATGTAAACGAAATTTAATTCCCTGAAAACTGAACACATAAAAGGTATATTATTTATGCAACCATGCAACCAACATGGCGAAATGGCAATCATAATATCTGGTGTGGATCTAATTGGATTTGATTCAGCATGGCGTTTGTTACCAAAACGGACCGGAATGATGGTGCCAGAGTGGAGTATGGATATCTTATTATATATTTTTTATATGATTTATATTTTATTTATTATTATATATTTTTAGTTGTCACGAGCAGTGAAATGAAATCGATAGGATTAGGAGGTGTACTAGGCGCAGGGTATGCTACATGTCTAATATCATATAAACGCGTAATTAATACAACCTTAATAGATACTTTGATAATGAATGGAAGCCTTTTGGGTTTATATGATCTAGACTTTAAACAACAGACATGTGTAGATTAGATCCTTTTTAAGAAGAAACCCTAAAATAGGAGAATACCTGTGTTACAATCACTTTTTACTAACGATGATCTTTTTTTCCATGCATAGCATTTGACAATAAAAAAGCACACCTGTTTTTTTTGATGCTGTGTGACTATTTTAATAGAAACCTTGGGGGGTACAAGAACACACAACCTTTTTTAATTCCTTTTGTTTGACTCTATTTTTTTTTTCTTTTTCCTTTTCTTTTCTTTCCTTATATCCTTACTTATTCTACCATGTCAAATCAGCAGAAGGCAGCAGAACCGATATCAATATTAAAGCAGACTTCTGTAAATATTTTCTGAATAAAAAGAGGTCGTTGTAAAAAAGACTAACCCTTTTTTTTTATTGCGTATAAAGTCAAACCAACCTAGCTTGTCAGCCAGACTTGTTTTGAGCGACGAAGAAGATGAAGATGCCAACAAGTACATTTCAGATGGTGACAATGACGACGATGACCACATTACTGAGCCCATGTCGGCTGAAGCATTAGAGTTACTCCAAACGGAAAAAGTCTTGAAAGCTGGATACTTACTGAAAAAGGGTGAAAAAAGAAGAGTAAGGTTTTTATTTTTACATGTGGTTATTTTAAAAACTGACCCTTTTTTTTTTCTTTTATAGACTTGGAAAAAACGTTGGTTTGTTTTGAGAACAACAAAATTAGCCATGTACAAAGACAAGAAGGTAAAAATAGCTAAATGAAAGGCCACAATGAAAACTGACTTTTTTTAAAAATCATAGGAATACAAACTATTGAGAATTATTGATCTACATGAAATTCATAAAGTTGTCCGAGTGACATCAAAAAACAAGTATAAATACGTATTTGCATTTGTCACTGCCAAAAGAATGTATTATGTTCAAGCAAATGATCAAGCAGATATGGATGACTGGTTTAATTTAATCACCCAAGCAAAGCAAGAGCAGCGTTTATACGATGCGGATGATGATACTAGCTCTATTAACCACGATCAGGAGTTCGCCAAGGATGTGGTTACATCGTACAAATCGAATCATATTATACAAAACCAGCGACGTCAGTCTAGCGGTGGTGGAACATATGATTTTGTCTCCCCTCCTGATTTCCATCCTACAAAACCTGTGGATATCCCAAAAAAGTCTTCTTCAACTCCTCTCAGTGAATACGCTATTGGTCACACCTATCCATTGTCTCCCTCTTCAGATCATACCAATCAAATGAGCGTCATTGATGGGATTGCAAGCTCGGAAGATGACGAGGAATATGGCGTCGATAAAGCAAATATACAATCCGAAGAAAGTAGAAATAGAGTCCTGATCGAAGGCTATCTGCTAAAGTTAGGCCGCAATAAAGGCTGGAGAAAGCGTTGGTTTGTGTTACGAACTGATACACTAGCTTATTATGAAGATGATAAAGAGTATTCGCCCCACAGAATTATTCCTTTACACCATATCATTGATTCACTAGAGATTGATCCAGTCAGTAAAAGTAAACAAAATTGCTTCAAAATCATTATTCCAAAGAGAAGTTATGTACTGTGTGCATCCACAGAAAATGACATGGACTCTTGGTTGAACGCTCTGGTTGTGGCTATCAGAAGAGCTAAAAGGGATGCAGACGACACATCAAAGCCTTCAACCCCATCTACACCTCAGCCTCAGTATCAGCAACCTGGACGTCAGTTATCATTAATACCAGAGGGTTGTACTAACACACATGGTGCAAAGAAACTCCCATCCTCACATTCTTCGGCAGACTCTTTTGAAAATATTAGTCATATATCTGGTGTAAGTGGCGCTGGCGGTGTGGGTGGTGCTGGCGGTGCCTTGGGTGGCACTCCATCATCCGCTGGTTTAGTTCAGCTGCACTCAAGAGCATCAGAAAGACTTGGGCGTGCCAAGTAAATCCACATAAAACACGCTTTATTTATTTTAACACTTTCATATACGTATATACCTCATAAATAGTTCCTTTTTTTTTCTTAAAAAAAAAGTAGTAATAACATATTAATAATAAAACTAATATCATAATAACTGTAAACATCCAATTATAGTAAATATTGCACTGCTGTTATTTTTTTCGTACCACAGTGTTACCACAAATGTATTTTTTGGATCACGTGATGCTCTACATAAGTCTTTACGTCGATTGACATGCCATATCGTTTAAACTTCATAGGATGATCAATTTTGTTTTCCATAAAATAGGTGTTTCAGTAGAAGCGTGTAATGATAGTGAAGCAGGTATAAACTACTTGCTGGGGTTTTCGTAAACATTTCTATTTTAAGTAAAGGCCCAAACACAATGGCTGATTAAAATATACGGCGGTGACGAAACAAAAAGGCTCGCTCAAGTCAATTTTGGGCTTCTCTGTCGTTCTAGTAGGTTGATCTATAAGTACACATTCAATAGTTTTTGAAAAGGCAAACATGTGATGCGTCTTCCTATTTTCTGCCTATATGATAATTGGATCCAAATCTGCCTAGTCGGCAAGCTTAAAGCAAATCTTTTGCTCTCTTTTTGAGAGAGAGAGAAGACATTCATGGCTATAAGTAGTGCAGCATCTTTTTCGAATTGTAAGGTGGAAGACAATAAAGGTGAACTGTTCGCTTGTAAATCAATTATTTCAATGTCATGTACAAGGTGATCTTGCAAGCTGATTGAGAGAAATTCCTCGTTGGTATCTTCTGGTTCAGAAAGCCTTTGTCTTTCTTGGGCATTGTTTGTCGATTCGCGGTGTGTTCCAAAGTGACTATTCAATGTCCTAAACGTTTTTAGCCCTTTTCCGCATTTTGGATATTATAAGTTGTTGTTATTCCTCTTGACTGTAATCAATCAATTCTAGAAATATGAATGCCAAATCTTTGTCTTCTTACTTTGAACAAGTGTTATCTTACCGTCATCAAAAGCCACCTGGATAGAGTCAACATGTGTGTCATATTGTAGTTTCTTCGGATTGGTAATTGTAAAACAATAAAATAACTTCAATTACTAATCAATAAACGTTATCTTTATTCTCCTCTAAGAATTTAATCACATAAGTCAAGGCAGACCTTCTGGCTCGGTATTTAAGCATTGTCCTCAAGCTTATTTTATTTTTTTGTGACAAAAACCGCATTTTTTACAAAAAAGCCGCCCTCAGGCGCTGTAACGACTGCAAGTGATAAATAAGCCAAAACCAAGATGTCTGCAAATCCATTTTTAGTTCCAGGATCCCAAACAGGATTTTTTATTTGTTTATGTAGAGTGAAATACAGGACACTTTGGCATGAATTTTTCAGGACCCAGTTCCTCCACACGATATCCATCTGCGTAAATCGGACCATTATAAACATGATAATGTGGAACATATTTTCCTTCCTTGTTAGGATAGAATGGTGTTCTTAGATCATAGACATCTCTAGGAAGACATAAATGTCTCACAAATAAGACACGTAAAAATATCATGCCATTGAAAACAGACCTAATTATTTTTGACGCAGTATCAATACCAAATGCTCTGCACTCACTATCTTCAAGTAAACAAGGTAGCATTTTATACAGGACCGGAAGCATAAATCGGGGTAGCTTTGTTCCCAAGTGTTTGATAGTTGGATCAGCGCATGTCCAATTAGCAGGATGGTATTTCACTGAGCTATGCTCATAAGCCTGTTTTTTACGCTACGGTGAGCTACATGAAAGTATGAGTAATTTTGAGACACTTACTTTTTGTATTTCAGTCCACTCATCTAGTGTGTCTGGTATATTTTTGATATGCATTTTAGTTCCAATTTCATGCCATACCTTGAAAATGGCCTTAAAAAAACCCAGTTAGTGCGCTTCTTGTTTGTTTCACATTTTCATTCTACTAACATTAATTTCTCGTATATCTAACTTCCGCCATTCCCAGTTATTGAGCCAACGGATAGGTTCATTGACAAACAAAGTTAGAGTGTAGAGGTAATCCTCATTGGAGATGGGATATTTTCCATGAAGTTCGTTTAGGCGATTAATAGAGGCTTCACGCCGTTGATACTGCTTATTAATATCTTTCTCGGAAATATTGGGATTGCAGCGTATTTCATTTTGAATGCGCGGGTACGCGTCAATAATTTCTGATAATATAAGCTCCGTATCTTCCGCTCGACGCGGGCACCGATCCATAAATTCTCTTGTTGACACGAGTAATTTACTGACAGAAGGTGTGGCAAATGGCTTGAACAATGCAAATTCTAGTGAAGATCTTGCAAATACTATTGAAAGCATTTAGCATATTTTATATTGACTACGATACGATTATTTAACTTACGCGGAAATTCTTTGCGAAAGATGTCGCTATATATTTCCATAGCAATATCGTGGTTTTGTAAGACCGCGTCCGGATCAGGATACTTTTTTATCATTTTATTCAAATGCTTATATCTGTAATATCGGACATAGCCAAGATATCCTAACACCAATATCAAAAGACTTGTCACGATTAAGTCAGTCATCAGAAAACTCGTGAAGAAAAGAAACATAAGAGAGGGGGGAAAGCAAGAAGAAAAAAATGACTTTCATATTATTGACAAGATTACTCCTTTAAAAAAAAAGGATCATAAGTTCACCCCCTTGAACTTTAAATTCAACTTTTTCGTGCAGATGCAACTTGTTTATCAACTTGTTTCTGTTTTCCTTTATATGTGACAACGAAGATACAATAATAAACATACTATTCGTCATATTACTATCCTCAGCAGCTGGAAGTATAAAGACCATTGTCAATTATTTGATATAGATGAAGACAAGGAGGATTAGCGGTAAATAACAACTCTCTTTGAATTGTATTTGTGTGGCTTAATATCTTCGTTACCAAACAAAAACTAATAAGTTTAGTCTTGTTTGTCTTACCATCGCGGTATCTATTATATAACGGGCTGCAAGAATAGCCTTATCAATAGTAAAACCTCGCTGTCCTTGCTCTTGTTACTGTCACTTAACGAAACATTGAAAGCATCATCGATAACACATGTGCACTAGGCATACAATACAGTAGAGCTTAGGATAGAGAAAAGTTGATTATCGATTTAACATCGATCCTCCCTTGCTTCTAAAAGACAATCTCGGAGATGGGTATAATGAGCAAGAATATGATTTTAGCGGGTATCATTTCACTTTTAAAGCTGCAAGACCCAACAGAATTTTGTACAATATAAAACAAATTTCTGAAACTATATGTCGCTACATATCATGAGCAACGGCAAGAGAGACTGTGCATGACGATTACTGTGTAGTATTTTTATCATTGTCTGTTGTACTCGATCAATTGACTATTTGTTCCTTTGCGGCGTTTGGAGAATAACGCAGACACACCTTTGATCATATTAAGCAATTAAGCTTTGTATTAGAAAAGTAAAGCTTATATTACGATAGAAGATGCAACAATGTCACAGTAGATTTAATATATAGAATTATTTAAACAGCCATGTCAGAAATTCCACATTCCCAGGGCCCGTACCAACCAATTTAGGCCGAATAAGCGCAGCAGTTTTCCCTAGTAGGTAAAACGAGTTGCTGTTTGTATCACAACGTAAAGAAATAAAATAAAAGGTGGCAATCTTACATAAAAGCAAAATTAAATACCTAAATTCACGCACTTACACCGCACAATGCTTTTTTATTTGAAATTATTATAAAGAAATACACAAAATGTTGCCTGTCGTAAGCATGTGGTAATCTAATGCCAATGTATGGGGTAGCGGTAAAAAGTCGTTGGTTTTTTTGTTACCGTGTTGCCTGTTCAGGCTACAGGCTAATCAAGAAATAAAGTGATATCCCACCTAGATATAGCGTCACTCAAACCCAAATTTCTGTATAACTTCAACTATTGATTCCCATTCTATTAACTCTGAGAATCTTTAGATTATTAAACGGAAAGCTTATAGAGCTTATTGGTTACCTAAGTTCTAAGACCACTTTTTACGGAATATGCTCAGCACATATGGGGAGGTTTTATTAACTTAAATCACCTACTTATGTAGTTTCATATATCTAGATTTGCAATTCGCTAGAGTAATATTTGAGTCAAACTATGACTAAAAAAATCCCTCTAAACTTTAACCACAACCCTGGTTTGCTTCAAACAACGCTTTAAAACCACCAATTTGATGCGGATACTCGTCATAAATGCCAGTGTGTATCCCACATATATGCAAGTGCTGATAATGTATATTAGATACATGTACATGAAAAACCGACGATCATTACATTCAGGTAATGCTTGCAGTGACAGTGCCTATATATTTATTTACAAGTGTAAAATTAAAGTTTTTGTATTACGGACCCTTGTATCAAGTATTATACCGTAAGTATTACATAAAAAGTAGTAGCTGTATAAAGCATATCACGTCTTTTTTTTTGCTGACGAATATAAGCTGGTTACGTTGATTAAAAGTCCCGTCTCCCGCCGTGGGAAAAAAACACTTTTCCCTTGTCAATGGTTAAGTTACCCATATAGCTTTATAGCTTAAACAACGCAAAGGAAACTAAAAAAAAAAAAAAATAGAAATAAGAACCAAGCCGGTTTGAAAATTAAATAAAGGCGATAAAACGAAATATGGTTCAAAATAAGTGAATTTTAATTTAACAAGGCAAAGCAAGACTAACTTGATAGATATACGATTTGACGTTTTACCCTTTTTGCTACTGGGGTAAAGACGACTGAATCTTTAGGTATAATTATACCAGGTATGAAAAGGTGCCGATTGGGCGCAGGACAACGGAAAGATCTCATGGGAAAATAGATATAAAGTTCCCCGCATTGTCTGACGTAATAATTGTGCGACCTGAATCCATGGGCCAATATCATTTTTAGACGATAAAGAAAGAGAGAAAAACTTTATTGGGAAGATGTATATAGTATAGTGTACAGGAATTAAATAAAAAAGAAAGGGAAGGGGAGATGGTTAAGTATATGCAAAAAATTTAGAAATGTGGACGAGAAGAAAATTACTTCAGAGCGTTTAAATCTTCTCATTTGGTCTAGCAACTTCTTCTTTATGAGTTACAAAGGTTTGGCCGATGTGTTCCACATCGTTTTTCTTTTCGTTATCAGAATTATGATGCTCACGTTCAGAACCAATGGATCTTGCATCATCTTGAATAGCTTCAACAGCAAACAGCATTTCGATTTGCTCCAAAGAAAGACCCTTGGTCTCAGGGAACCAAAAGTAAACCATGGGAATAAAGAGAACGTTGAAACCAGCAAACAAAATATAGGTCCAGAAAGTGAGATACTGGAAAAGAACGGGAGCAATCATTGCAACCACAAAATTACCAAGCCAGTTAGCAGCTGTGGATAATGAGTTACCCTTTGCACGAAGACCAGTAGAGAAAATTTCAGCGGGGTAGAGCCAAGACATACTTAACCAACTTGCACCAAAGAAGAAGTTATAGAGCATGGTAAATGCCACAGCGGCACTTCCAGCAGCCTTGATGCCATCGGTATTAGCTTTTTGGCAGCCACCTACACATGCCAGTGTAACAACTTGCAAAACGAGACCCCAAAGCATAATTTTTCTTCTGCCAACTCTTTCTACCATAAATACAGGAATCATAGCACCAAACAAATAAATAATAGAATCAACACCAGCCATTAGCATGGCCATGTTAGGTTCCATACCAGCTTGTGACATAACATCCGTAAGATAATATGTTGTAACCTAAACATATAAGTAAGTACTAATGTATGAAAATTGATGTAAGAACTCACATTAATACCACCAAGTTGTTGAATAATTTGACTCAGCATACCAAGCAAAACTCTTTTACGATTATTGTATTTGCCTTTTGTAAATAAGTCTTTATATGACGAAATGTCTTCGCGACGCTCAAAGTCAACTGCTTCCTTAATCTCTTCATATTCAGACACGCAACGTGGATGATTGGTATCACCATCAGTCCAAAGTCTAGCTAAAACCACTTTCGCGTCTTCATCTCTTCCATGTGCTACGAGCCAACGAGGAGTTTCAGGTAAGATAAATGTACCAAAAACCAAGATAAGTGCAAAAATCAATTGGAAGGCTAAAGAGAATCTCCAAGCAAATTCACCGCCCACAAAATGAAGCCCATATTCTAACCAGTAAGCAATTCCAATACCAACAACAAGAATAGCACATTCAAAGCAAATATGAGCACCACGACTCTTGGGCGGGGAGATTTCGGATTGATAGATTGGGATTGTTGCCGTATTCATACCGTTTCCAACACCAGCAATCACACGAGCAATAATGGTCATGACAAGATTTTGAGTGGCCGTTTGGAGAACAGCACCGACAATGAGAATAATACAACCAATGCGGATGGTGTTTTTGCGACCAACCATGTCACTTAAGCGGCCTGTGATTAAAGCACCCACCATACAGCCGAGTTCATAAATAGCAACGGTAAAGCCAACCATGACAGAAGAAGGATAGCCCATCAACTGAAGAAAATGCTGGTTAGGGAGAATACCAGACATAACACCTTGGTCATAACCAAAGAGTAAAAATCCAACGGCAGCTAACGTGGTAGAAGCCCTAAAGAGAGATTTGCCTTTTAGTTGGATCATCAAATTATAAATATAACAAAAAATATATAAAAAAAAGTAAAGAACGTCAATTACCATTCAGATAAAGAGTATTTATACCTTTCAGTTCCTTGAAAAAATCCTACACCATTAACCAAATATTGAAAATGTGCGACATAAAAACATAAAAATGCGGGGAAGAAATTGTCCCGCATTTAACCAAATTTAAGTTCATCTTCATCGGACACAAGAAGAGAAAAAATGAGCAAATTTCATGTTTTTGTGCGCCCCCGGGTAATAAAAACAGATTGGTAAAACCCAATTAAACCAAGAGGTCACTCTGAATCATACTAGAGCGTGTCGATAAAGAAACAATTTCAGACTCTACGAGTAGCAGTACGGCAAGGAGTGGCGGTAGAGGCAGCTGTCGTACTTTAAAATTTAGGCAAAAAATAAAAATTTACGCAAAAGTGCTCGTATTTTCGGTAACCATCCTTTTTCTTCTTTTTAAGCGTACCTTACAGATTCTTTAAATTCATTGTTGTCATAGGATGCTAAAAATATTTGATTCTTGTCAGACTGAAACAACAAAAAGAGACTGTACTTCTAAGGTTGACGAGGCATCGAACTGATCGTAGATTATATATGAGTTGCCAGAAAATTAATGTCCATGAATTACACATTAAACAGACCGTTCCTTCACAATCGTTATAGACTATTTACCGTGTGGCAGGTAAAAATTATAATAATATAAAAATAATACGATTGAATAGACTGGAATTATATTTATAAGCACTTCCGCACTCTTGGTGATCCTTCTGACATACTTTTTATAAAAGAAAAGAAACCTATAATATGTTTGACTCAAAATGCCACGCTGTTACTATATCATGCCCTTCTAAGTCGTTACACGTTCTCCTTAGACTATATATTTGGTTATCAATGTTAAAATAAAATGGCACGCGAGTTCTGACGGTAGCAAGTTATCTTTTATTCTATTTCGTCGTGCAAAACACTGATAATTTAGGGTCCAGATTGAAGTCTCGCTTTATTATAAAGCCAGCATTTGAATCAGGCCAAGGAAGCACATCATCCCCTTGTTAAAATTAAAAAATTCTTCCCTTCAATCTAAATAACTAAATAACAAAATAACAAAGTAACAAATTAGAAGAAAAAATTAATAATTTAAACACAACAATGAGAAATAACAATGACAGGAATTATTCTAGCGTAAACCTGTTTAACAATGATGACACTCTTATATGAATGCATCTTCTTTTGTTTAAGCTATTTTTTTTACTTTCTTCAATACAAAAAAAAAAAAAAAAAAAAATGGGTTGCTGGGATTGGGTGCCGAACGAACTGCTTTTTTCGATATTAAATGACACTTCTCTCAAGTATCACCCCAAAAGCGAACAACATTGGGGTCGCGTAAATCGCCAATGGTACTATGTGTTTCAAGAAAGTAAATACAGACATCTTGAAATGAAAAAAGTGGATTCAAATGAAAGAATATTCAACAATATACTTTACTCGTCTTTCCAGCCTGGGCTTGTCGTGGATACATTGAGCATTGCAGAACTTGATAGACATGAAGAAATGAACAGATCTATAAGTCCACTCAAGGTGATAATGTTGAAATGCCCCAATGTAAGAGAGTTTTATTTAAAATCCATTGATGATTATTTTTGGGTTAAGCTTTTACATTTACTCGAAGAAAATCATGTATGGACAAAGTTGAAGCACCTGGAACCTCCGGTCAATTCAAGCATATACTACAAATACTATCGCTGTGCCTTATATTTTAAGGATACACTCGAGAAGCTTTCTCTTCGAGCTGATATGATGTATGTAGTAGATGATATGTTGAAGACATTTACGGCATTAAGGTGTTTAACGATTGATAAAAACATGTATGACGATGTTCAAAAATGTGATTTCATATTCAAGGCTTTGCCTACAATTAGAAGTCTTCGCATTGATTTTTCCGACTGTAATGTAGATATTTCCAAAACAAAAAGGGAGTCTAATGCCAATTTATTCAATCGTATACAAGAATTGGAATTGATTGGGTATACACCATTTCATGACAAAGACCTTATGCAACTAAAGGCTGAATTCCGGACAATCAAAAAATTAACAATATTACCTACGCCCGGCATTAAAACAATGATCGATTGGCCCTTAACTGAAAATATTGATAGTGTAATTGCATTCAAGTTCTTTATTAGATATATTCATCAGATACCGTCTGTAGAACTGCTGCTTAAAATAGAGAACCTTGGATGGGCGCTCAAAGAGTTTTTTGAGTATTACGATAATATATCTGGACAAGGGAAAGTTGATTCATCGCTCAAAGTTGTGTTTTCTGAAAATACGAGATTGTCAAATAGGATTCATATCAAAATCAACAAAAGGAACATAGTGATTACTGTTATGTTCAAAGAGATGATAGATGACGATACATCTGGTCTCTGGAATCAAACCAGTCAAAATGTCGATAAAGTGAAGCTTGAAATGCAGCACCAACTTTCGAATACAGAAACCCCTCTAAATACCATCCTTTCTAATTACAAAAACTTGCGTCAGTTGACTATCTATCGCGGAGTACTCATAAATTCTTTGTCTGTACCTGTGCTAAAGCAATCCGTTGAACATCTCGTTTTTCATGACACCCTTTGTCATCATGATTATTTTCTGGCCATGTCTAATGCTTTTCCGTATTTAAAAAGTATTCATTTTGAGGATTGTTATTTTCCATATGATAGCCCAAAACCCCATCTTGATGCCATCACTATGTTAGAAACAACCGTAGACACATTTGAATACACCTATAATCATTCAGACCATTGCCCAACGTATACTTTACTCTCGGTCTGCTCAGTAGACGAGCATTTTCAAAAGTTCTTTTTAGATGTAGGGACATCAAAGGCCATGATTGAAATTCCGCAAGAGATGTTTTTGAATATGGTGGAACATCCAGGTACTGTTAAAGATCCCATGGGGTGTCGTGAAACCGAGGTACTTTATATCAAATTAAAGTCAGTTAAGCAATTTGTATTCAATAAGAAAAATTCTCTTAGAAGCAAGAAATCTTTTGTTTGTAATGTAGCTTCTATAATATCACTCTCTATTAAATAAGCATACGATCAAAAATAAAAACTGTATAAATAAATCACATCGAAATATTCCGCTGATATTATGATATTATTCAATAGTCGTACAACTTAGCCATACAGCCAAGTGTTTTACAGAATGAGTTTTATAAAAAATTACTGTCTAAACCTTTGCAAAAAAATTACGATCTAATCTCAGTTTGAGGATGGTAAGAAAGATAGCAGCAAGTAAGTAAGCAACACCAGCAAACATCTTGTAACTAAAATATGGGGCAGAACTAACACCAGCTTCAATAGCACTAGCCATATTTGGTCCAAACACAGACAAAACGTTGGAAAACAATAAGAGGGATAATCCCGAAGGAAAGCTTTCCATTCCCAAGAGAGAGGCAGTGATAGGAGAAATCAAAGCAAAGAACGAGCCACTCGTTAGACCAAAGACGACAGAGAATCCCATTAAACTTCCATAATTAAAGGCAAAAGTCCAGATCAAGAGACAACTAAGCGAGGTAATAAATGTAAACAGCAGGTTGGTATTGATCTTGCCAATACGGTCTGCTAAAAAACCAGTGATGATACGGCCTACAAAGTTACATGCTGAACTGACAGCTACCAACGCGGATCCTTGCGACGCCGTTAAACCAAGATGGGTAGCATAAGAAGGTAAAAAAAAGTATGGGATAAAATACCCAAATAAACCAATATCCGAAGCGACCGAGAACAGAACAAAATTGACATCCTTTAAAATGGAGAAATTGATAATTTGAGACAGTTTCTTTCTGTGTCGAACCGCAGCAGGGTTTTTTTCCCGCACAAAAATGCATGCAAGAATATCACAAAAGAGACAGACAAAGCCAAGTATACGATAAGTCCAACCGGGGCCGAGCGAAGCATTGATGGATGTCATAATGAAGGGTATGACAAGACCTCCGATACCAGATCCACTGGCAATCAGACCGAGTGCAAGTCCACGGCGTCTTGAGAACCATTGAGGAGCAACACCCATGATAGCAACGTAAATACAGGATGCACCAATACCATAGATGATACCTTGAGTCAAGTACAAGTGCCAGATTTGGGTGCTAAAACCGGCCATTTCGAGACCAAGACCAACGAAAATCGTACCTGTAATTAAAACAGGTTTGGCCCCAAAAGTGGAAACACAGATCTGAACAATAGGACTGACTGCGTTTAAACAAACTAAAGCAAGTGTACCGACAAAACTCAGATTAACTGCGGCATTAGGGACATTGACAAAGACGTTCTGTTCATAATAATCTTGCATGACGCCTTTGAAAAAATATATTTAGTATCATTTGATGTGTGATGTTTACCTCACTAGATCATCCTTACCCCTTTAGAAAAAAAAATTAATAAAATATGATTGAATCTGATGTATGCAACTTACCAACTTGTCGAGGTACCAAAGCTAGTGACCTGCACAAGAAAAGCACCGAGTACTACAAACCAACCAAAACCACCGTCTTCTTCGTCTTCGACAGGTGGAAGGTTGTCTTCAGATAATTCGCCTAATGGAATTTCAATTTCTTCAAATTAGCTTACTGTTTCTATGGCATCAATAGAATGCTTTTATGTGATTACCCTTTACGGTATCCGAAATGGATTGACCATTGCTTGAGATAGAAAGGACTTCTGGGTCAGAGAATGTCTTTTCATTCGAATTATCTAAAGTAATAGCAAGTTCGTTTGTCATATTCTTTTTTTAATTTATTTCCAACTTTTTTATGTAAAAATAAAAAAGAAGATATTCAGAATTGAAATGAGTCACCTACGGGGTAGAGTTCTTGCTTGATAAATTAGCAAAAGAAAGAAACTATCTTATAAAGATGTGATTTTTTTCCGTCCCTCTTTTTATCTCCATGTCGCCGCGCATTTGGAATCCCGTCAATATACAATAATCCCACGGGTTTTGCTTGGTCAGTCATAGAAAGATGAAATCGGATTGGTTTTATCCGAGTACAAGATATGTAGGACAATGTTTGACCTTTCAGCGAATAGCAGTGTAATACATGTATCGTATACAGGCACTATCTCCAATGTTTATATATCTGTTTTCAAGTGTCATATGCAAGTTATAAATAAATCGCCATCGCTTTTCGCGGAGATCCGCACTTTAGGAATGCAGGATTTCATTCGCACGTTTGAATTATTTTAGACAAAAAATAGAGACAGGACTATCGTTTCATGACAAGCTGAAAAGGGAAAAAAATGGCCAGGACAGTGTTTTGATTTCATGTGCATTTGGCTCCCGACCCTCCATTGCAATCATGCAGAATGCAGAACAAATGGGAGTAAAAGCGTCACAAAGACAAGCCACCACTCCCCTCCTTCCTTTTATTACCAATGATTTTTTTTGTGTTCGGCTTTTCCTTAATTTTTTTTTTTAATTGTAATCAACATGGACAAGTGGAAGGGCTCATTTGCACAAACCCAATTAGAAAAGTTTGGCTGGGAAAAGTAAGTTAAATAAGCACTTGTATACGTGAAGAATATCGACTTAAAGTTTCATTGTAGCGGTGAAGGTCTTGGAAAAAACAAGGAGGGTAATGTCAAACATATCAATGTGTCCATCAAGAATGACAAGAAAGGTGTGGGAGTCAATGGTGGTAATTGGGAATTTGCGTGGTGGGATCACTTATACAACAAGAGTGCTTCTGCCGTAGTTGTGGCTAAAGAAGAAGGTGAAATTAAATTGGCCACTAACGCCAAACCAGAAACCCGTCGATCCACCACCGGCATTATCTCTACTCAAAGGCCTTCCGGTAAAGTCGTCAAGCAAGAGATTGTCAAGGAAACAACTGTCAGTATGGGATCCATGGCTGATGCACGCAATATGATGGACAGTGTCAAAGATATCCATGTCGATATGGCTCAAAGAGTCGCCACAGCCTCTCTTTATGGCTCATTTGTTAAAAGTGCCACCACAGATTCAACAATCGAGGAAGAGGATGACGAGCTGAAGGATTATTCAGTAAAGATCACTGATGCCGAGTTATTTGCGGCTTGTGAAGGTCGTACCGCTCGTAAGGGCGGGCGTGGTTTAGTAGATCAAACCGGCAAATTTAAAAGAGTCATGCAAGACTATGTGAGACCTGTAGATGAAGACGATGTAGATACCAAAAAGAGAAAACATACTGGCAGTGATGAGAAATCCAGCAAAAAGCAAAAGAAGGAAGACAAAAAGATCAAAAAGGCCGAAAAGGCTGCTAGAAGATTAGAAAAGGCTGCCAAAAAAGCTGCTAAGGCTGAAAAGAAGGCTGCCAAAGCTGAAAAGAAAGCTAAGAAGGAAGCAAAGAAGCTTGCTAAGGCTGCAAACAAAAAAGATTAGATGTGTATAAAGATAAAATAAATATTATTTATTAATGTGTATTTGTAAATTGTGTTTGTTCTCCTCTTGTATGACCATACCACCGTAGTACCCTCCAAGCAATGATAAGTGCAGACGTACCAGCAATTGCAATTCCTCCGTATAGAAACCCATCATGCAGTAACTGTCCACAAATCCCTGCTGTATCCGTACACTTATCCCCAATTATCTTCGTAGCTACAATCAAACCTATGCCTGCCAAAAAAAACAAGGCTAAAATGATGGTCCAAATACAGGCACAAAATGAAATACCTAAACAACAGCATCCTGAACGACGATGCTGTGCTGGCAGCGGTGGTCTCAGCATGGATGGATTACTAGTCTGTGTTTGTATTGGTGGAAAATTTGGTATAAAGTGAGGCGGAGGAGAAAACAAGGCACTATTTTGCTGATGGTTAAATATGGGTTGCACCATCATGGGCGAAGGATACATGAGTTCTTCGTTCTGATACGCTTGGTTATTATTATAGAACATTGAATCGGGCCGTGCGTGATGATGACGATAAGGATCCTCTGCATCCATGATTGGTTTGTGGTAGTCCAGCTGCTTTTGATACTCCATTTTCTGTTGATACTCCTGTTGCCTTAGAAATTCCTGCTGTTTTTGATACTCCTGCTGTTTTTGATACTCCTGCTGCTTTTGATATTCTTGCTGCTGTTGATACTCTTGCTGCTTTTGATATTCTTGCTGTTTTTGATATTCTTGCTGCTTTTGGTAATCTTGTTGTTGTTGGTATTCCTGTTGCTGTTGTTGTTGTAGTCGTTTGTGTTCGTGTGACTCTCTTTCTTGCTGTTGTACACGTAACTTTTGTTGCCTTTCAGCATAGAGATATTCTCGCAAATCCACCGCATCGGGATCGTAATAGCCGGTATCATCTGTTACTGCTGCTGTTGCTGGGCCACTATGTAGGCTTGCCTCATAAAAGTGGCCCTTAGGGTGCTCCTGCTGTAGGGAATGACTCGAACCCCCTGCGGATTTATTGTGGAGTGAGCCTTCATGGAAGGATTGTCTGTTAGGACGTGCAGAATGACTTGAGCCGGCTATGCTTTCTTCATGGAAAGAGTGTCTATTAGTGGTGGTTGGATCAATAATGTAAAAAGGTTCAGCAGGTGCCTCATGTTTGGGCAAAGGTGGTGGCGGAGGATATTGACCCGCATAAGGATCCACTGATTTTTGTTTTTTGGACATAACAAAACACTTGAAAAGGAAAAGAGAAAACACTATTTTCAGCCTCCCCTCATTGTTCTTTTTGTTCTTGAAAATAAACTGATCATTTGTTTTGCCTTTTTTTGGGCATTTTTTTTAAAACCAGTTATTTTGAGTAAGTAAAAAAAAGTGTTATTGTAACTACTTGTTTTATTAGCTCAGTACATATATACAACTGATACACATTTTTTTTTTTGCTATTGTTGTTGAGAAGAGCTCGGTTATTTCTTTTTTCTTTTCTGTCTTTTTTTTCTGATTGTTTTGATTGTTTTGGTTGTTGCTATTGTTTTTTTTTCGAATGTACAAATTAATAGTTACACAATAACAGTGGTATAATACTTCTTATCGGATACAAGGTCTCCTCTCCTCTGATCTTGAAGGTTCTAAGGACGAAAATATATCCCAGAACCTCAAGGTTTCATCACCAGCACCCGTGACAACGGTACTTCCATCATTGCTCATTGCCATGTACAATACACGACAAGTATGTCCAGTTAATGTCGCGATTTTCTGCATTTGATCTGCTTTCCATACAATCACTTGATTACTGGAAGTCACAGCGTTGGAGGAATATCCATGAGTGCTCACAATATCGTCTGATTTCTTACTCCAACCAATATTACATACTTGGGATCCAGTATCGTGCGAACTTGTTAAAGAGCCAGTAATGGTATTCCAGAACTTGATAGTCTTATCTGCAGTTCCTCCTCCACTGACAAGCACACCACGTTTATGCGGACTCCAACTGATGGCTTTGACAGCAGCCACATGTTGAGAGAAACGATGTGCCTGAGCATTTTCATGCGAATCCCACACAAACAGATTATTATCGTTTCCACCACTGGCCAACATAGTGCCTTCGTTATTCCACTTAAGTCCACATATTTCTTGTGTATGACCCGTCAGTTTACGGAAATGGGGGTCAGAAGAACGTACATCGTGATGATAGATGGCGTGATCACGACCACCTGTGGTAAGTATATTGGATTTCCAAGCCATGGCTCCGATACGTGAAGAATGGGTCGACCATGTTCGTATTCGTCTGGAATGATCGGCATCGTACAGTAAGGCCTTGCCTGAATTGGTGCCTACCGATAAAAGGGATCCAACCGGTGACCAGCTCACAGACGTCACATTATCCGTCACTAAATCCAATAATTTTGTAACTCGACTGGTATTTGCATTCCATAAATAAACGCACGATCCTAACCCTACCGCTAAACAATCATTGGCTCCCCAATCCACTAAATTCAAGTAAAAATCATCCTGTAATTCAGGTGCATCGAGTATCTTGATGGCTGTTGTATTAATATGTCGGTTATTGCGGTCTGCTTTCATCAAGATACGTCGTCCTGCTTCTCCAATTGGTAAAATCTGGAATTTAGAGCTATTGGGTGAAAGGATATCTGCTGAGGATGATAATGAAGAGGGCGGTGGCGGTGGTGATGAGGGTGATAATATGGGTGCTTCCATTGGTGATGTATAATCAGTATAATTATGTGTATTTTCTACAGGCTTAGAGTACTGTAATACCCGTCGATAGGATCGTGGTGATTCTGCATTGTAATCATCTAAGGCTGTTTCATCATTTAAAATCTCAGCACGAAAATAAGCGCTGAATCGTCTTGTCTCACCAGAAGACATACCCGAAGGTTCTGCCGCATTATCCTTTCCACTTTTAGCAGCAGCTGTGGCAGACATTTGATAATCTCTAGCCAGGCTACGCTCCCTGGTTGGTATAAATCTATCGCCGTGGAATTGATGTCGTTTCCTACCAAACGGAGAGGGAGGAAAATAGGGTTCGATAGACTGAATGGGTGGGGGTGTCTTTGGACATGCTGGCTTTGAGAAATTGGTATCTTTTGTATTATCTTCAGTGAATGGATCTTGTGGTGTCGGGTCTTCTTTAGCTGACCGTAACTTTCTCTTATACTCGCTCATAATGTGTATTTGTGCTTTGTCGGAGGATGTAAGTGACAGACTATTTTTACATATTAAGGCACATGAATTTATTTAATTTTTTTTCTTTCTTAATATGTACCTTTTCTTTTCTTTATTGGCCCTTTATGCTTTGGAATGTCGGAAATAATGAGCTATGATTCTAAATTAGTTTCTTGTTCTAGCTTGGGTTTAAAGTCCATGAGAATATAATACCTTTTATTTATCTGCTTTCAAATGAGAATCTAAATCCAATGATACACAATGATTACTGATTTATATATTGTAATGAGCAAAAAAAAAAAAAGCCAACGAGTGAAAGAAAATAGGCAAGAAAAAAAAAGAGAGATACGCAGCAAAAATTATTTCTCTCTCCCTTTCTCTCTCTCTCTTTTTAACATATCTTGCCTTTTTCCTTAGAGAAAAAATAAAATAAAAGTCGACGTCATCGACATATAAACTCCGACACAAGATGCCTTGAACCTTTTGTTTCTTAACAGTGATAAATTTTTCCGCCATGCCTAATATTTCTTGTTGTATGCCTGATTTAAGCTTTTCATTGTTTGAATCTTATGATCATGATTGAGTGTTAGCAAAGTCAAAAGGAACACAAAGGCTTTTAAAATATGCAGCCCGTACGCTTTTTAAAGAGCGATGTGCGGACCGGACCTATAAAGTGTTATTGGGGGGTGGGGAGGGGGAGAGTAGTTTATCGAGATGTTGAGTGTGTGGGGATGTGTGGGGGGTGCAGGATGTGTAGTGGGCATAGTGTGCAAAGAAGTCAAGTGCGATTTCCAAGATTAGTCCCTCCTCCTCTTTAACGTCAAACATGCCTGCAAACTCAGGTTCGTATAAAAAATAAAATGAATGGATGGATGCGACAGAGATAGAGGGAGAGATGCAGGGGGAGGGGATGATAACTAGCAAAAAAAAAAAAAAAAAAGACGAGCGACCGATGCATGGAGGAGATTATACTAAAAACAATGAAATTTAGCTCCCAAGGCTAAGGCTCAAGCCGCCAAGAAGGCCGCCCTCAAGGGTGTTCACGGTAAGGCCGTTCGCAAGATTCGTACCTCCACTCATTTCCATATCCCCAAGACTTTGGTTTTGAACCGTGCCCCCAAGTACGCTCGTAAGTCTATTGCCCATGCTCCCCGTATGGATCAATACCGTGTTATCCGTCAACCTCTTAACACCGAGACTGCCATGAAGAAGATTGAGGAACACAACACCTTGACTTTCCTCGTTGATGTCAAGGCCAACAAGAACCAAATCAAGGATGCTGTCAAGAGACTTTATGATGTTGAGGCTGCTCAAGTCAATACTCTCATCAGACCCGATGGTTACAAGAAGGCCTTCGTCCGCTTAACTGCTGACGTTGATGCCCTTGATGTTGCCAACAAGGTATGTCTATTTTATGCGTAATTTATATATGTGTACTAACCCTTTTTTCCTTAATAGATTGGTTTCATTTAAATTGCTCGTTTTTTAAATAAAATAAATCACTGGGAAACAATAAAAAAAGATCACCTCTTATTTATTTTTTATAAACGTGTTTATACGGGTTTGCATACATGTATGTAGTGTTAAGTGGTGCATACCCTACGGCTGTGTTGCATAGTGTATCGACCCGAGAAATGTACCTGAAAAGAGAGAAAAAAGCCATACTAAGAAAAAAAAAAAGCCTATTGTGTGCATACTTTAATGACCGCTTTTTATAAAGAGAGAAGGCTAAAAATTAAAACTTTTCTTTTCTCTCCTTTATAAGAATAACACAATGACCACACTCTATGACCAGCCATACAACAGCGATAGCGACAGCTCAGATGACAACTTTGAGCTGAATGAATACGACCTGGATGTTGTGGATGATGCCCTCTTGAATCCCAACCGGTCGGAATACCTCGACCATTTTGGCTTTAAGATTCAGGTGCGTACTGACGATGAATCTTCTTCAGATGATGATTCCGACTTTGACGAAAAGCAAAAGACCACCAGTGACGATGACTCCATCGATACTAACCTGGCAACTCCTCATGACGACCACCATAAACAGAACTTTTCCTTGACAACAAACGTACCCATATTAAAATCCCCACCTTCCCCTAAACCCGAGCGACAGCGGTCTGTTACCACCACCAGTCGCTCTTCTAACGAAAGCAGACATAGTATTTTTAATCCCTTTAAATCCACTCGACCTGCATCTGTCACCTCATCGATTGGATCTCCGGTGACAGTGGTCTCTCGCCCATCTCAGTCGTTTCAGCAAAGACAGAGTAAAAGGTTCTCCGAGATACCAAATCATACAGGTACTCCTCGCTCTCCCGCAAGTAATCATCGCAACTTTGATAAACTTGTGTCCAAGTTCAGACGCTTCTCTCATAACGACCATCAGTATGACTCGGAAAAGCACCTGTTACTGAAACATGAAGCCTTGGCTGAATTACAAATCTACCGGGAAAAAGGTGGATTTGAGTACAATAGTATTGACTGGGGTAAGATAAATATCATCATTACAGGTTTATTCATGAGCTAAAAACAGATACAAAAAAAACCAGACTTTTGGGTGCTGGTAATTCAGAACTTTGGCCGTGTCATCGAGACTCAAATGGATGATATGCGACAACACTTAATTGCGGGTGGTATCCCTTCGCCCATTCGTGGCTTAATGTGGCAAATCATTTCCAAATCACGCGACAGCTTTGATATGGATACCGAATACAAAATACTAAGAACTTCTGCCAGCCCTTTCGAGAAGCAAATACAGCGTGATCTTACTCGTACCTTTCCCAATCACCCTTATTTTATGCAGGAGTCAGGCAGACAATCCTTATTCAATGTGGCGAAAGCCTATAGTATCTTTGATCAGGAAGTGGGCTACTGTCAGGGCTTAGCTTTTATCATTGGTTGTTTGTTACTGCACATGTCCGAAGGTGATGCGTTTTGTGTCTTGATCAAATTGATGGGTAAATACGGTCTTCGTGGGCATTTCACACCACGCATGGAAGTACTACATCAACATATGTATCAATTTGATAACGTCTTTCAACAAAAGCTACCGGTCATCCATCGTCATATGGAAAATGAAGGTGTCACTCCCTCCATGTACGTCTCACAATGGTTCATCACCTTGTTCTCCTACCGATGTCCTATCGAGCTCTCGTTCCGAGTCATTGATCTGTTGTTAGTGGAAGGCACACAGATTCTAGTGCAAATTGCGCTAGCATTGATTATTCGTAACCAAGAAAAGATTTTAAAGCTGCGATTCGAATCCTTGGTGGAGTTCTTATGCAACGGCATATTCACCGTGTTTGCCGTAAATATCATGTTTAATCGAGTGTGGTGTGGTAGATACTAACAACTCTTCTTGGCTGTAGGAGGATGGCGATGGTTTTGTACAAGATACTTACAGAGTCGATTTACCTGCAAGGTTTATGGCCCGTCTTGCGCAACAATATACCGGTGAAGAAGCCCGTGAATCCAAAAGTATGTCACAAGAAGACAACTTGCGAAGGGTGAACGGTCAACTATCAGAACATATACGATCCGTCGAAAGTTCGCTAAGTGTATTACAGATAGAAAACAAGGATATTACACAGCAAATTATTAGCAGCAAGATGGATATGGCTCGTACAGAAGATGAAAAAGAGCATTTGCGCCACGAATTAAATCAGGTCAAGGCGGAATTTGATCAGTATCAGCGCAACATGGCGTTGGCCTATGATAAACAAATGAACCAAGTGCTGGCTGAAAATCGTAAGCTGAAACAGCAAAATATCATGTTGGCAGATCAGTTGGAAGAAACAGAGTCTCTTTTGATTAATATGAAGCTTTCGTTTGCTGAACGAGAGTCTGAATTCGAGGCATTAAAAAGACAATTGTATAAAAAATAGTAAAAACATAGTCACTTTTTTTTGGTGTTTTATTTGGAACCCGCGTTTTTTTTTTTTGAACGTGTTCCTTTTTTTTATATATTCAAAAACATAATGCAAAGAAAGAAGAGTAAAGTCGTCAACCGTTTTGCAGCAGCAGCAGAAGCAAGTAAAGGTCGTGTCTACAGTGACACTGGCAAAGACTACAATTTAAAAAAAGATTATCCATTTCGTCTCAACTTTTATTTGAAACCGCCTCCCATGGAAATCACGATCGAAGAATTCGAAGTCTTTGCCCTTGACAGACTCCAAGGTAAAAAAAAAAAAGGGAACAGCATACAACAAAAGAGTTTAAATTCATGCTAAAATTACCCAAGTTTTAAGAGCCATCGATACAGCTTCATTACGTAACAGAGATATTGCACAAGAAGCCAAGAAAGCGATCGATACTTTTCTACCCCTCAAGTCCAACCTTTCGAAATCAGACTCATTGTACGAAGAAAGACGTAAAGATCATATTAGTCATTACGTGTTGCGCATGGCCTATTGCAGAAGGTATAGAAGAGGAAAAAAGAAATTAAACTTGTACCTGTCTTTTCTAATACTTTAGTGTAGCGACGAATTGCAAGAATGGTTTATCAAGCAAGAATGTGAATTATTCAAGTATCGATTTGACCAAGAGCCAATTCCCGAAAAGAAAAAGTTTTTAGAAGACCTGAATCTGAATTGGAAAATGGTAAAGAGCTTTTTGCTTTTCTTGCATCTTTATGACAACTAAACATCCAATCATAGTTAACAACCGAGGAAAAGGAATCGATGCGACGAGAACTAGAGCTTTGCTCGCGGCCAAAAAAGTCGTCGATTGGGATACACGATTATATCACTAAAGAGACATTTTTTGAAGTGGATTTCGATAAGGTACCACAAATGGTAGGTCGTCGTGGTGTCTACATCAAAAAAGGTAAAGCCTATGTGCCCATGTCTGAACAGGTGAATATCGTCATGCTGGAATACAAGTCGTACCTGAAACGCGGCTTAGAATCTATCAGCAAAATATTGCCTCGCCTGGAAGAAGATGATCGTCTTCGCCCCATCTTGCAAAATGTTGAGAAACAGTATGTTGGTCTCAGTTACAACGATCCCTCAGCAGCAGCAGGCACCGTCACAGCTTCTCAGGTCGACAGCCTGGTGCAGCGTTATGCTCCCTTATGTATGCGTAGTTTGTGTGATAGTTTAAAACTCGATCATCATTTAAAACATGGTGGAAGATTGCAATATGGTTTATTCATCAAGGGAATGGGTTTATCTGTGGATGAAGCTTTGATGTATTGGAAAAACGCCTTTTCGAATATTACACCTGATAAATTCCAAAAGGATTATGCATATAATGTTCGATACAATTATGGTCTGGAAGGAAAGCGTACCAATTATAGTCCGTATAGGTAAAGAAACTGTCAATGTGTGTATCTATCATGTTACTGACACCCCGTTTAGTTGCTCCAAAATCATTGATAACCCACCTTCTGCCACCGAGAATCATGGGTGCCCATTTAGACATTTCTCACCTTCAAACTTGGAAGCAAGATTACTCCGGGATAATATTGGTCGTACACATGTGGACCAAATCTTACAGCTTTCGCGTGACCGACATTACCAATTAGCCTGTACGAAGCACTTTGAAGTGACACATCCTCAGGACAAGACAAGGCGGGATCCTATCGAACATCCCAATCAGTATTACGAAGCCAGTAAAAGTTTGGATGAGGAACTGGTAGAAAAGACGGAACAAATGGACGAGTCTATATAAAGTGTGAGATCCAAAAATAAAAACTTATAATTGTGTGCTTTGTTTGACAAGGAAAGGGATTTGAAAAATTACCCCTTTTGCACTGTTCGATAACATATAAACCCCATACATGTATTTTGTGTCCTCTCCCAAATGCATGAACATGTATTTATTTTTCTTTTTCGTACACTCCCAAATGCAATTAAATCGATCGGCAAACATTGAGGAGAAAAGCCATGTAGAACATTAAAAATAATAGAGTGCGATTTTCTCCTTACAATACTTCATAAACAGGATCCTCAGGGGACTGTCATATTATCCTTAAGAATATTTCAAGATAAGGTAACTGGTCATCTAGAAGGACATGTATGTAGATCAGATTGTAGTTTGTACTATCCAATATTTACTAAAAAGAAGCACATTTGTAACTCTCTTCTTCATCCTACTGGGGGCAATAGTTCAAAATTATAGAAGAGAAGCATTATTCAAAAAAAGGCCTACGCAGGGTAACCGAATCCAAAAAAAAGTATTCATTATATGTAAATAGAGAGGAGGACAACACCTGGGCACTAAAGCTGAATACATCACTGCTTATATGCATCCTATCCACCCTTTCCACCCTCGTTAAATTGGTAGCTAACCCGTCAGCTCTAATTAATTAAAATAAACGTTGAGAACCCGAAAGTATAACCCGATAGTTCCAACGCGACCGATCATAGCATATATTAGAAACATTTAAGGAGCTTGACAAATCCTCTTAATTACACTTATTGCTTCAATACTGTAATACATTTAAACACCATTTTTAAATCATCATCAGTAAATGTTTGATACCTCTACCCTTGTTCTTTCTCTTGTTAGATGATTTATATGCCGTGTCTCTTAAAACTATGCGAAGAACTAGCCCTTCCGCACAATAAAATAGATGAGATGCCATGTAACTTACCTTACAACCTCTAACTCCTCAGCATTTTGTATGAATTCGGAGAAAACAAGAAATACGTACCTGAAAACACTACCTTCGTTAAATAAATTAGTAAATTGAAGATATATCAAACAGTTCTTCAGTAAGAGAAAAAACATTTGACAAATTTAATTCGTATTATTCATATTAAGGTAACCATATATAGTGTAGCATATTAACATAATATTATAAATATACTATATAGATATATGTAATCCTTGGTTGGGAATCTGTCATTGCGTAAAACCTCTTGCTGGCTGGGATAACATATCTGGGGGTTACTCAGACCTTTGGATCCTTCAGTGATTGGATATTGAATTTAAAAGTGACACTCAGCAGCCAATATATTTTTGATCCAAAGGCTGTTATTAAATACATCGACCAATAGTTTCTGAATCCAAAGGCTGCAGTTCAAAGTTCGACAGTTGCTGTTAACTTGGCATGAATGTAAGGACATATTCAGTACACCATCTTTATAATGGGTGGTTAATAAAATTCACTGGATCCGACCACAGTTATCGAACTTCAATAAGAAATTTGGCCAATGGGGTAATATTTGATATGAAAATAATGTTATATAAAAGGGCTCATTATATGCTTTTCTTTCTATTCACCCTAAAATAAATCAGCGATCAAAATGTTTTTTTTGATCGATATTGGCGATATCGCTCAAAAAATCGAAAATATCGATATCTCCGATATTTTTGATTTTTTGATCGCTGATCGCAAAGCCAAATTTTTAAATCTCTATAAAAACAACTTATACATAAATAAATAGATGTAGCAATACCATGTTAATAGATAAACGTAATTTTTTAAAGAAAAAAAATGTTTATGGGGATGATAGCCAGGGTAAGAAAAAGACAACTTCAGATTACGTAAGTAAAATGAGAAAACGGGACATGTGACTGTGGGTTTTAATGATTTTGTATTTTATTCTCAGCGGAAAACAATGTTTCCAACACTTCCGGCAGTACTACTCATATCGACTTTAAAAGCGTCACCAGTCTTTATAACATATTTGTTATTGGAGCCGTCAACCGCATTCACCAATCCGACAGCAGACAAAAGATCCTCGGCATCAAAGACCACAAATTTTTTTTGCTCAGCCTCATCGTAAGGTTTCACGCGCGGGATAGCCTTTGAGTATGGTGAGACGTCATGATTCTTCATAAGTTCACCAAAAACGAAGTTCGAGCCCGGAGCACCTTCTTGATATGTAAAGTCAAAAAAGAACAAGACTTTACAAACGTACCAGTTTTCGACAGGCCGGAACATCCTAATTACAATAAGTCAGTACACAATAATTTTGATTTGCAAACATCAACTTACCGATTTTTATGAATTGCAGTAAACATAACAAACTCACCACCACGCGAACTTGCTGCGTTCTTCGATTTGCACAAATCAGATATGTATATTTGATTGTTTGTCCAGAGTTTTTGAGAAATGTTGACAAATTGGTGCTGATGGAACGAAGTTATAACAGCCGAAGTATTACCAGTCAGACGAATCAAAAATTGAGAGAGTGCTTTAAGCCAGTCTCTTGCCAGGTAGCCGCCAATGGTATGATTGTGCTTTTCTTTTGCTTGCTTTACAACCTGGCCCAGCTTTACAGTATTTACCCGCCAGTGAAAGGGTGACCACAGCTGAGGCAACAATGGATCGTTGGACGGGTGGGGCAAGAAGTTGTTGACTTTATCCTTCTTCAAATCATAGGCGGAACTATCGATTATACCATCGGATTGCAAAAAAGAGAACATTTCACGAGTTTCCATGACATTACCGGCGTTGACACCAGGATTCAAAGATGAACGGATTCGCTTCTTGTATATGCCAATAGACCTTTCCAATGATCTTGCAGAATAACACCTTAACGGTCTACCAGAGAAATGAAAAATTAGTACAAAAGGGAAGTCTAATAACTATGATGACAATCGATAACTAACCCCATTCGTTTTATCATGTATGGTATATGGTTCAGTTGGTGCATGTTCGATCTGAATACGGTTCTGGAGATAGAGCTGCTATCAAGACAGGTATCGAGGTAATCAAACCAAGTCTTAAAGCATCTATCATAAGCAAATATAATGTTCAAGTAAATATCACTACATAAATTACAACTCAACAATGAATATTTACCTTTCAATTTCCTTCACTTCAGATTCGGATATCGACCATTGCAAACTCAATTGAATACCACGAGACAGGGCAATAAATCCTGTGGTTGCTTCTCTGGCGTGAAAGAGTGGGGCAACAATCGTAGGAATCACATGCACCAACCAGGCGATCCAGTCCACCGAACGATAAATAGATCTAACATTATCCAGATTGACACCAGCAAACGAACCACTGAAATCCGCAGGAATTGCACGAAGGGAGTCATCCATGGCGGTTTTGATGCGAGTAAAATCAGCAGTCTCGAGAGCAAACGGGTACGTGTCTTCGTTACCATCAAACTTGAACCGAGTGTTGAGCTTTGGTGAAAGCATGTCGAAGCAAAGCTTGCTGACATTCGAAAACATATGTAGCTCGTCACACATGAAAAAGTCGATGGAGAGGAAGGTACTCAACTGACCAAAGGGAGAAGCACTTTTAATACCATAGTTGTGGTTGGGACAAGAAGGCTAATAAAGGTAAATCAATTAAAATATGTAAAAAAGGCTACACAAGTTAATACTTACTGCGTCTTTCTCAAGTAATAAAGAAGCTTTGGTTCTGATAGCCGAGTCTCTGCCAAAGAAGTACATACCACCTTTTCCTCCGTCAACTGGGTGACCGCCTTTAACTAAATTTAGAAGGGTCATTTTGTTAGTGTCCACGGTCATAGCTTAGTAACTGACGACTTACCAATACAAAATCTACATCCCCACCAGTTGGTATGACCACTAAACATCAACAACCGCTGGTTGATCTCTATACCATCTGCAATGACACCCAAATTGAAAATTCTAGCCGACGTGACATGAACACCATTCTTGCGAACAACAACAGGTTCACGACTCAAACGATCAAGGCTTTCAATAATTGGACGCAGATACGAGTCAAAGTCTTTCTTAGTGTCACCAAAAAGAATTGCAACTTGAAAAGTATATTCATCGGTGTATCTGCAAATGGTGTTATTACGACGTAAAAAGATTGGATGTATTGTATATAGAGCCAAAATTTACCTGATAGACGGATCAATGCTAGCAATTATAACGTGTACCATCACCATACTTTTTCTTGATACCTTCGAAGTGAACCCATCAACACATAGAACGATGGCTAAATCGTGCTGACCAGTGAAGAGACCTTTAGATTTCATTTCTTTATACGCGGCTCCAGAAAAAAAATCGGTATATGGATCATCGTCTGTCATGGAATCGATTACGTTTCGGTATTTTTCGACTTCATCACGAAACTCGTCACAAGCTAGCATACGACTTAAATGTTCACCAATATCAATCATTTTTACCACAGATTCTTTATGTCTAACAGCGTTACAGTGAGGACAAGCGGTTTTATCGGCATCATCGACAGGATCAAAGAGATAACACCCCTTTCGGGAACAGATTTCATGGCTTTGACTGAAAGAAAGTGGAAGTTTCTTCTTGATCAACGAACGACACTCCTTCAATGCGAGTACTTTTTTCTTTTTATCAAGGCCTAAAAGGTAAACTAAATTAGTAAATAATGATACTTTGTAAATACAAATCATTAACATACTGTTGTTTTGGTTCAAAGTGTTCTCAAAAAATTTCTTCATAACGCGCACAGCTTCTATGGTCATGTTTCTACTAAATGTAAGATAGTTGAACATAATACTACTCAGCTCGCTGGTGCTAAATACGTTAATGGGGACAATGATATCCTTGATGTTGTCCTGTATTGTTACATTATGATCAAGTGACAATGGTTCTAAAAGTGAAAATAATACATCCGGTAAGTTGTCATGATGTCAACAACTCGAGCATCCTTAGTTACCTTCGAAGTTCTCTTCGTCCGTGGATTCATACAAATCCTCGTCTACTTCACCGTCTACAACAAAACCATCATCAGAGGATTCATCTTCAGCATCTACGTCTTGTATGGACATTTGTCCAATTAAGGGAAGAGCGATTTGGTTATCGAGGTCAGCCATATCAACATCATCGTAAAAATCCATTTCTTCGTCATAGTCAAAAGGTGTACGGTTGGTTATTATAGCAGTTGGGAAGCCAGTAGATACTGAAGAGGATACAGCAAAAACAGAAGTGTCAGTTGGGCCAGGTATAATGGAGGCAGCAGTAACGGCCAAGGGTTCATATGTGCCTCTTAAAAGACGTTGGTTAGCGCCGTTTCGAGAAGCTCTAAGGTTCTTGGGTTTTTGAATTTTGGGGTAAACCATTTTGAAAAGTTTTTAAGAATTTTGTTTTTGGTAAGTCGGGAACCGATTTTTGCGCGTAGTTTTATACATGTTGCTACATCTTATTTACAGCTTATTAATAGTCACTGACCGTTCTTAGAACCAATTGGAATTACTCGTGAATTTATCTTATAATTATTAATAGAGAGGATATGGTAATTCTGTGTAGACTATGGATACCTTTCAAAACCACTAGAAATCGTTGTTTGGGACTTCAAGCTTGATCTATTGTTAGATTTTCGTGTAACGAGGTTATTAAGCGAAATTTTTTTTAATTCTGTACCGTGATTGGTGCAAATAAGTTGAACCACTTACATCAAGGTAAATGACAATGAAAAAAAAATGTATCTTTAAAACATCTATATAAGATCCAATACTTACACCTATTTTCTCATTTACATCGATTTTTCACTCTATTTATCACAATGAACGGTACCCAAAACTCAAATTCTCGAGACGAAGTCATTGAAAAACTCGTTAATGTCATTTACGATATGCAAAGAAAGCTTGATGCAATGCCTGCCACAATGAAAGAATATATCTACCTGCCAGTTGGTCAACACTGTGAATGCTGCAGCAAGGTTAAGAAAGTGGTCAAATCCAATGGTACTTCTGCAATTACTTCTCGATCTGGATATATCACTGGTACGTTTTTATTTTATTTTACTTTGTAAGACGAATTAAGTTAATAATTGCCCTATCTTTTCAGCAAGAAATTCCGCTGCTCAACAAATGTACGAATTCGTGGTCAAGGCTGTCGCCTATTACAAGGAGCAAGTTATACCCAATGGTATTCACACCTCTTGCAATTCTCTCGGTGTAAGATCCATCACCGTATGTACTTATACAAAGAAAACCGTTATAGACAAGGTTGCTGCGTACTGGAGATCTTTGGTAGGTACCTATACTGAGGATCAAGCTAAAGAAAGGGCGACAGCAGCTTACAACAATGTCTTCACCATTTGCCAACATTTCTTGAAAGCATTGTACCAAGAACGATTTGGAAAGAATGGTGTCATTTGGAGGGGGATTCCTGCAAACGAGCAGAATGAAGTATTGTATATGTTCGAAAGAATTGTATACTTTTGGAACAAGCGCTCTGGCTTGAACGTTGGTACACCCGTTGAGGCATATCCTGGAGACCTTATCTCTGTCATTGACGCCGAGAATCCTATGCTACCCATGCACCTCGCAGATAAAAACTGGATATCCAAAAATATGATCCAGATAATGTTGAGGAACTCAGCAAGAGTAAGTAAAGTTTAGATATCAAATTAAGAATTTTTAACATTAACATAAACCTCAACTCTAGCCAGATGACATTGCTCATGATACCTCGGGTTCATTTTTGACTGGCCTGGAAAACCTTGGTGTCAATTCGGGTACTGAAGAGAGGTACGAAGACTTGGATATGGGCCTGTTTGAAAATTTATTTTCGATCCCTGATAACAGACCTCTTGTACCATCGTCTTCTTCCGCTTCGGTACAAAATCCTGTTTTGACCTCTCTTCCTCCCTCTGAGATGCCTCCTCTCTCTGACTCGCCTCCTCCCACCTCTGACTCTCCTCCCACCTCTGACTCTCCTCCTCCCACCTCTGACTCTCCTCCTCCCACCTCTGCACCTGCCCTCTCCACCCCAAGTACTACCCGTCCAAAAGGTAAAAGAAAGGCTGATGAAATAGCATCTGGGACCAATAGTCGACCCTCAAGGGCTTTCCAAAAATAGAATTGAGCCTGAATTTTTTTTTTTTCTTATTTAAACTCTGATTTTTTTATTATTTTTTTCTTTTTCTTTCTATTTCTTTCAAATAAAAACTAAACTTAAGGTTTGTATATGTGTATAGTTTGTGAATATATGATTTATCATAACCATTTGTTTACAAATGAAGATATAGTTATGTGACTAAACATTAAACGTGCTGACACTCTCCAAACGGATTAAACCAAGACTCTTTGCTTTAAAAGTAAATTTACTTACTCTTTTTATATGTATTAACACATTTGTATAGCTGAAGCCATCTCTACTTTCACCGCTTGTGAAAAGGTAAATATCTCGACTTTGGTTTATGTGTTCATTATTAGTTAACCCAAATTCCTAAAGCTAGCTACTATCGCTGTTTATTTGAGGCTCGTACATCCCACGGTTTTGTAAAGGTACACATTGCTAAACTTGATAATTTATTCTCTTATTAACGTAAACCATCTTTATGCAGGTAAGTGAATACTGCTGCTCTTCCGAGGTCTTCGTATGGTCATTATCGTAGTTCCTCTCATTATGTCTGTCTCTGGTCATATTTTACTGGTCATTTTCTATATTTGAAGAGGTCTATCATGATCAGATTCGACGTTATTTAGTTTTTTTTTATAAATAAAATTTTTTTTTTTCCAATATATACAAACGTATCAATTTTAAGCCTGTATCCTGATTTAGCAGGGGTGTAAAAGTAATATTATATCGATTATCGATTACCCCATTTTTTTTACCCCATCCAACGATATTTTTTTGTTTTTTTGATTTATGGATCGATATCGTCAATCGCGATATTTTGGAAAGTTTGATCGATATTGCCAATAACGATATTTTAGAAAGTTTGATCGATATCGCCAATCGCGATATTTTGGAAAATTTGATCGATATTGCCAATCGCGATATTTTGGAAAAATTTATCGATATCGCCAATCGCGATATTTTTAAAAAAAAGATCGTTATTTCCGCTCTAATTTGTTTGCGATATTTTTCAATTTTTGATCGCTGATTTATTTTAGGGTGATTAATTAATTTAACTGTTGAAAGTCAATCGACAATCGAATACAGTTCTGTCTCCTCATTTAAACAATGGGCTCTCTGAAATTAGCTGTATCAAGATAAAGACTTGTTGAATTTATTGCATCAATAAAAAAAAAGTCATGATAAAAAAAAAACGTAGTCAAAAAGGAGACATAAACAAGAAAAACACAATCAAAATAAAACATAATCAAAAAAACATAATCAAATATTATAGAACAATAAAATACATGTGCATGATATTTATTTTTAGAAAATGAACCGTTTTTAAAAATACCAAGAACCCGTTGGCTCCTTTGGAAAAGTATTTAAGAAGTACGTTACGGAGGTAAGCATCCCTCCACCGCAAAATTTCTATCGCGGTCAATTTTTGATCAAATAATAACCAGCAAAAACGCGATGAATTTTTGACCACAATCGCCGCGACGGCGGTCAATTTTTTACCGTGATCGCGGCGATAGCTGTCAATTTTTAATAAATCGTTCTTAAAATTTTGCGGTGCTCCTTTCCACTTTTACATACTTTTTTTGTTTTGAATTGACTGACTTTTTGCTTATGAGCTTAAACGATACCTACAAAAACAAATCGGTGCGTGAAATTATACAAATGATGAAGGATCGAAAGAAAAGGGCCATTCAAGCAAAGGAGGAAGGCGAAGAAGAAAACAAAGAAGAGGATAACGAAGGAGAATACGAAGGTATTACATGTCTCAAAATTTAAAACTTTTTGGTGATGACACTTACCCCTTTTTTTTTTTGTTAGAATATGCTGAAGATCCTGGTCCGAGTACACCAGTTAAAAGAAGAAGGCAAAGCAGAAACAGAAAATACCAAGAACTTTTTGAGAAAAAAATGGAGAAGCAAGCGGGAAGACTTCAAAATAAATCTAAAGTTGTAGCTGGTGATGGCGCAAAGAAGTGTAAACGATGTACAGAGGCAGGCGTTTATAATGAGGAAAGAGCTCATACCACGACTAGATCCCCATTGTGTCCTTTTCATCAGACTACGAAGCAAGAGGCAATAACTGCTGCATTAGAGACAAAAGTCACTTCAACATTTACCAGAAAAATTGGGTTGGAGGCATCACTTACTTCCAATATGGATGAGGAAACAAAGACCATCTTTTGTGACAACGTTTTGACGCTCGTCAACTTTATGCGCGAGACTGCAATAAAATCAATGTTATTCGCAAATTTCTATATTTTAAAGCTATTACAAAAGAACAAGGCTGATGAAGACTGGGTGCTGCCAATGATATTTTTTTCTCCTGTATTTTTCAAATCCTGTCAGCAACTGGTTTGTGGGCGTAATATGAGCAGTAATAACACAATGTTTGATAAAGCCGATATAATTGAAAGTTTCAGACAGTACAAATTACTGTATCCGGGAGGCTCACAAGTTTCTACCGATACTGGCGGAATATTTTACAGTAGTGCCCAATCTAGTTTAGCAACACAGAGCGCCACAATTTTCTCAAATCATGTAGTAGAAAGTTTTGAAAAAAGAATGAAGTCATACTTTATATTTTGTCTGGCCAACGTAAGTGACCCACTGTGTTAATTATTCAATCATATACTTACATTATTATTGTATCTAGTTTAAGTTCACAAAACCGGAAAAAGTTGCTCTAGCGGAATACTTGTTTAATAAATGTACAATGCTCAAAACACCTGTTTGGCCAACAAATATGGTGTCCTCTCCTGCACTCACGGAATACTTACTAGCATTAATAATGATGTTCAAGGTTAGCAGCGTCCATACACCTTTGACGGTCTCTAAAATTTCTGAAAATCCCGGTATTGTCATTACAAGCTTGTTTAAAATCTTAAGAGCTACGGAAATGTCCAATGTGGCTCAAACTGTTGCTGCGGAGGAGCCTCAAGATTCTGTATCTTTACCTTGGGTTTACAATATGTTGAGCATAACCTGTGAAAATGAAGTTGAAGATATCAACAAAAGAAGACGGTCAGCTTTGGCAAGGAAGATTCGAAACGCTATTAATTCAACAACACCTGTTGCTTTAAGTAAACCATCATTCCTGTCCGAAGTGAACTTTAACAAAGTACAAGAAAACGTTGGAGCAACACGTCTGCAGTTAGCACAGTCAAGAATATACCTCTCCGATCCTGAGACCAGAGACCCAGATGTTATTGTACCCGAAAGAAAAGATTGTTTTATACCAAAAAATTTCTCTATTCACCATTCCCGTAAAACGTTTTCCATGATGCCTCACTACGGACTGAAACGCCAATACGTAACAATTGATATTGCTACTTTAAAAATTCTTGTTAATAGATCTGACAATATCAAACGTATTGCAATTTATGATCAATCGCTGGATGCATATGCCCGAGATTCGACTTACTTCATGAGTCTATTTGATTTGAAAAAACTAGGACAATCTGGAAGGTAATGATTCTGTCTTATAATTTTGGTTCATATAAAAAAAATAACATTTTATATTATTGCAGTGTCACTGAAATGCTTAATAGAAGAAAAGTCATGATGCGTAATATTCTTTGTACGGACGGGCGCTCGGCTGACTTTTTGTTTACCAGACCTGCAGTTCCCAAGGACAATGAAGATATAAAGCTTGAAATGAACGATTTTGAAACATGGGAGATGCAAGACGTAGTCAGATTGTGGGGTGCCGATCCGGGTGTCACTGACATCTATGTTGCGAGCGATGGAAATGGAAATGATGCGCATGAAATAAGGTCCATATCGACAGCGGAGTACTACGTTAAAGCTGGCTATAAAAAAAATCAGGTAACAATGAATTCGCTCAAGCAAGAAGAAGGGATTACTACAATTGAAACGAATATTCCAACCCATCGAACTTCAAAGCTATCAATCTTTGAGCAACATTTACAATATTACTTCACCCATCTAGACACGCTATTACAATTCTATGATGGTCGATTTACGGATCTTCGTTTCTCTAATTACCGTGGTCAGCAAAGAATGGATAATGAACTTGTAAACATATTTTGTTCAGGCGGTAAAAAATACAATCCGGACAATAAAACCCATCCGCGCAGAAATAAGGCAGATTACAAGCAAAGGCGCGAAAAGAAAAAGAAAAAGAAGAATAAGAAAAAATTGACTTTGCAGGTGGGAAAAACTGTATCTGTAACAACGAGCGGACCTTCAACCGAGACTCAAAATCAGAAATGGAAGAAAGCTCCCTTCAAGAACGAGAAGAAAGTGCCTTTGATCGCCTTAGGAAATGCAGTATTTAACGTGACAATGAAAGGAAAGCAATCTGGTATGCTTCATAGGTTAAGGAAAAAGATGGAAGAAGCAAGTGCAGATGAAAGGCTAATTCTGGTGTATACCGATGAGTATCTTACTTCACAGGTAAAATAATGAACGATTCGGATTGTTGTACTAGATATTAATACTTTAATTTAGATGTGTTCCAATCCTTCCTGCTTGCTGAAAACACTGGAGAATGTTCGAATCCCTGATATTGGAAAGATCCATAATTTGTTGACTTGTAACAGTTGTAACAAATTATGGAATAGAGATATTAACGCGGCTCGAAATATTTACTCTATTGCAAGTTTTATGCAAAAAAATAACAACTTACGTCCAAATAGATTCCAAAGACCTGCAGCAGACCCCAAATCATCCATATCGTAAACATATGTTGATAGTTCGGTAAGTCAATATATTTAATTCAAAAAAAAAAAAAATATAATATTTACGATTTAATCTCCCCCCAGACATGTCCCCGTGTCGAATAAAAATACAGCTGAAAAGAAAAAAATACCTGAGCGGCGATTCAAATATTTTATATAACTACCACAGTTAGTTCAAAAAGCTTTTTTTATTTGATGAAGCTCTGGTTAATTGAATAAAAACTAAAGCATGGAAAAGGATTTGTAATCTATTCAAATCTACTACACAACTGTACACTTGCTTTCCACCGATCATGTACATTATGGAATCAGTTGAAATATAAGAGGAATTCAACTATAATTTTAAGTCGATCTTTGCCATTGGAGGTAATTCTATATAAACAACAAGATTTATCTACACATATCGATTACTAACATTTCTTTTTTAAGCGATAAAGATAAGCTAAGTATTTTTTATTTTTATTATACGCGCCTTTTCCTTCATGGATAAACACGGTTTGGTAGTGCTTTTATAGCTCTATGACCGCCACCACCATACTGTAGGGCTTTGTAAGGTATGAGACTGGCTTTTATCGTGAATAGTCTCCGTAGGCTTGATCGCCACCCTAGGTGAAGACGCAGTTAAATGAAAAAAAGAGCTGACTTGTTTGCTTTGCATACAAGGTGTTTATCGAGACTATTATGAAGTGAAATTGTAGAACTTTAATGATATCAAAGCCACGGTTTGGTAGTGCTTTTATAGCTCTATGACCGCCACCACCATACTGTAGGGCTTTGTAAGGTATGAGACTGGCTTTTATCGTGAATAGTCTCCGTAGGCTTGATCGCCACCCTAGGTGAAGACGCAGCTAAATGAAAAAAAGAGCTGACTTGTTTGCTTTGCATACAAGGTGTTTATCGAGACTATTTTGCTTTGATATCATTTCTGTTCAAGCGTATAGACAATTATTTTGAAATTTACTAACATTATCAGCTAACCATAGAATGGATAAAGAATCACTAGCCAGTCACAAGCTGGTATGTTATGAAAATGGACGTTCCACCACTGTATGCTCCGCTTAATTAACGAGTATTTGGTCAAATCAAGCTGGATGCCCGAATTAGGAATCTATTGAAGAGGAACAAATAATTGTTGACAGGGTGGTAGAGGCCACCGGAACCATTAATATCAAATGGTGTTCATGTTACGTATGTTACTCTCGAAAACACTTGCTAATGTGTTTGAACATCTAAAGAATATAATTAAGTCTTTATTTAAGTATTTGTAATGTATATTGTGTGTACTGGTTTTTTGATTGATGAAAGTGAACCATTACTCGGTGGATCAAGATATAAAAGGCTTTACCAAAAAAAATTCCAGAGCTTTAGAAGGGTTGCAGCTTACATCTAAAAAATACCACTTTGCGTACCTTTTTTGCTGAACACGATAAACACCTCACTGAGATATTGGATGATAATTTTACATTAAGAGAAGAGGATGTTTTACGAAGGTTGACGGAGATATCTGAAGACTTTAGCCTATAAACCATTTAAAAAATGACTTATATATAAGAGAGAAACTCCAAAAAGAATTTCCAAGACCAAAAAAAAAGATATACTCCCATTTTTTGTTATCACGGCTAAGGCTAATCTTTGAATAATCAAGACCTCCCCATTACCAGTTGTAAGCATTGGGGAAGAAAATCGAGTGGGTCGTCGCTAAAAGATAAGAAAAAAAATGGATCACGTGACCTTGAAAATAATAAGTAAAAAAAAAAAAAAAAAAAGACATTCTCATGTAGACATTTTTAACATGAACTAATCATGGTTTTAACGGAAGAAGAAAAGCACTATAAGATTCCTATTATTAAAGAAGGATCCAAGCATTTTTTTGCGACAAACAATGTAGAAAATTGGGACTTTGAATCCTATTTTATATCAACTCATAACGATGTCAACAAGTATAAATACATTGCCAAGATCAAGGCAGATTACGATACAGATCTCAATTGGATACATAGTTTACAAGATACCCCAGTAGCCATAAAGGCACATGTACTTAATTTAATCAAAAGCGAAAAAGTAAAATACTATAATAAAACAGTTAAGAAACGATAGAGTACTTAACTTTGGTTGTTTTTAAAGCCTAATAAAGCCGCTTTGAAGGCCGCTGTGTCAAAGCGTGCTTTCAGGAACAGAAAGGTCGAACAAACTGTGGTGTTTAATGGCCCCATCAACGGTGGTACGATCAACAATATCAGCCATAGTGAAGTTCACTTTCAGAATCATGAGGTTTTTACATTTTTTATTTGTTTTAACTTTTGTGGTTAAATAACTAATGTTACTGATATCCTACCAAAGGCAAGCTCAAGCGTCCCCAAGAGAAAGTTTGAAGGAAAAGGGGAAGCAAACAATAAGGAACGAAATAAAAAGAACGCTGAAGAAGAGGCAATTACCTGATATAACCGCATGTTTTATATTTGACTTGACAACTTGTTCTCTTTATAGACTCCAAGCATTTGGCTCGATTTTAACCATTTTATACAAAGTCATGCTGATGCATTTCATCCGTTCAGGCAAGTCAAATATTATGGATGCTAAATAATATTTATCTAAATTATCAAATGTTGTCTCCCTATTTTAGTCCTGAAGCAAATAACATTATTAGATCTGGCAAGGGAGTTTCTCCAAAACCTAACCTTGACCGTGATTTATACAACAAACATATGGAAGCCCGCAAAACACCTGATAATCCAATGCCTCAAGTCTTTCATAAGTATATTGATAACTTTATAAGCTCTGTAAGCGTTCATTTCACATAGCAAATCGATACAACTATTAACATTTTATTTCATTAGAAAGACTTAAAAGAAGCGAACAAAACAATCAGACGTCTTTCTTTCTTACTGCTGTCTGAAGATGAAGATTATCATGATGATGACAATAATAATTTGGAATTTTTAGAAAAAGTCTTAATGGAAGCGTAAGCCGAATAAAATATATGAATATCTTATGAACTTCCACTAATTCAACTCATAATTGTATAGTCACAAGTCATACTCAAGCTTTATTGATTACAATTCATCTGAAGATGCTTTCAATCAACTTTTCATCTGGCCTTATGCTGATGTTATAGTTAAAGGCACTTCAGTGGATGGTTGTAATCCAGATTTCGTTCAAGGTCAACCCTGTTTGGAAAGTATGAATCGACAACTTAAATCTGCGAACTTACATGTTGACGATAAAAACCAATACAAGTCTGATGGATTAATCAAGCTTTTTGGTCTGAAAAACTTGGAATTTGTTCTTCTAGAGACTTCTGGGACTTTGATCAATAAGGACAAGAATAAACTAAAGCTTGATCATCATAAAGGTGTTTATGGAGCGTTAGCGATGCTTAAATGTATAGTTGATGATTACTCGTATGCCTCTTTGAAATCATTTTCGAAAGTTAAGGTATTCTTTCTTCATGGGGCTGGTAAGGTTTTGGTATATAAAAATAGTGCAATATATTCTGATTATTTTAATAAATAAATAGATAAAGAATTACACTTTTGGAGTGTATGCTACCAGAGTGGAGGAATATTTGACCTATGGAGAGAGGCTAACCTCAAGATTAAGCCTGGCTTTGATGACAAAGCTGAATTTCTGCCTGATCTAGTCCAGTTTTGCTGGGAGGTGAAGGTAAATATCTTATTTCTTATTCATACAACAACAAAGCTAACAGTATTATTAAAACAGGCCAAATTGAACGAGTCTATGACCAACATTATAGGGCTCAAAGAAGAACATACAACTGTTAAAAGCAAGTATAGATACAGCTCTACTAAGCCTGATCTCTTGAGCAGCACAATCAACCCAATCATACTAAAGCTGACCAAAGAAGAAGATTACTCAGAAATGTCTACTTTGGGTCCTTATTACTCTCCCCCTCACCCATAATATCATCATTCTATTTTCGCATATTTACAGTCTTACCAACTTTTTTTTTACTATGATTACCCATTCATATTTTTTTAATATTTTGATGTCCTTAATGAAAAGTCAGTAATTAAGCATACCAATATCAGTAATATTTCTACAATTTGATAAAACGTTTATTTATTTTTATTTATTTTTTTGTACGTCGTTGTAACTTGTCATCGTTTAGCTGGTCTACTATAGATAAATATACTCACCTACATATGGCTAACTAAATGGCCTTTTATCTATATTGGTAAACTGTGTGATATGACCTGTTCTAAGTAAATTTATCGATATCCGCATTAATACATTGGTGAAAGTATTCAGGCATCGGACTGTATTATACTGGCCAACTTTCCGTGTGCTTATTGTACAGGCCCATGTCAAGAAAGGGTCTGGGAGACACTCCTCTGTTGGACAAGATAATTTTATTTTCTTCAAGGTTAGAAGAGAAAAAGAAACATTCAGGAGATGTTATGTCATGCATCATTATATTATGATTTACCTAAATTTAAATACTCTACTACGTCCTGAGTAGTAGCAGAAGCATCCTTATCAAAAAGCTTTCCGAATGAGCTTTGTATCTTTTGTCAAGCTGACTAACAAGTCGGTTGGATTTAAGGTTTGTCATTTTTTGTCGGAATATCATCCTCATGGGTAATTTTTCTACTTGCATGCCGTGCCATCATTTACGTTTGAATCCATAGTTACCTGTTCTGGTTTCATAAGTTCCTCATTTAAAAAAATAAAGTATCGCTTACGATATTAATTTAACTCAGCAGTACAGCATTCTGTATCCGACTGTCATCCGTAAATCATATTATTAGGCCAATCATGCAATCTTTAATATAGAGGTGTTTACTCGTAGTAGAAGATGTTGTATAGCAGTATCGTAGAAATTGATAAAGATTATTAAATAAAATCAAGAAAATTATCAAACTTGCAAAAATTAATACTAAGGCTATTCATTAAACAAATAAAAAGGGGTCTTTATATACACATACATTCAAATATTAATAACAGACAGGCTGATAAAAATTGTGGGTAGATTATTTCAGATAATACCCGGATTTAATGATCGCGTACAGAGACACCATAATGAGATGTCAATAACAATAACAATAACATTCGTCCTTAACTGTGTATGCATTGTAGCACAATATTGAGAGTCAATTGTATTTCTTAATAAAGATAGCTGTGACACCCCAATGGGGCTGATGTAACCCTGATCATATATTTTCATATTAATGTTATTTTTTAAATGTATGTCTTATACTTGTATGGAGAATGATATGAAATCAAGCCTGCACATAAAGTAATAATAAATTTTATATTTAGGATTATCAAATGGAAGATTTAAGAAGCGTGGATAGAGTCATATATTCAGTATATAGCCTCGATCACAACAAGTATACAAGTGTATGCTAATATGCAACATCAAAGGTTATTTAAAAGATTTTCTTTTTTATTCTTTAGTGAATTGTACCCAAAGGTATACAAAAATACCACTAACGTTGTTTGCTTAATTTGAATTTGAATTTGAATTTGAATTTGAATTTGAATTTGAATTTGAATTTGAATTTGTTTGTTCTGCGTAATAAATCTGAATTTTTATAATTCAAGATTTTCAAATCCTCTCCTTCTTTCATGCACACGACCCAATCCATTCTTTTCTTTTGTTCCACCTTCTTTTGCCTGAATCCAACGACAAATTTTCTGGTTGCTTTATACGTGTCATTGTTCTAATCAACTTTGTTAGCTGTGGATGACGCTGGCGCTGGTGGTGTAAACGAATTTTCATATTTTCTTTTAATTTTGCATCGTTAATCGCTTCTTCGGATACTGATTGTTTAAGTGAACTGACAAGATTTTTCAACATATCGTACTCCATGAGTTTAAGATCTATCGATTGTAATGACGTATCCTTATTAACAGTTATAATTTGTTGCTAAAGCAGTGACGAAATATATAGGTACTAAATGATAAAGTCATCTCTAATGACGGTAAAAAAATGCACCGGGTACAACCATTGGATCAAAAGGGATAGTCATATTATCCTTGATGCTTTCGTTCGAAATAATGTAACGGTTTTCGGCCCACGACTGAGAAAAATATGAGAGTACTCCTAGGAGCGTACTTGGTTTTATATGCTTATATATATCTTGATGCAGCTTTTCAACGCAAATAATCAATATTATAGGTTCGACATCATATCTGTTAAACACTTGTTAGCAATAACTTACAGCCCTTTTCATAAATGCTAAATTAAACAATGTCTACACCTACGTCTTTTTGTAGATTTTTCTACATATCTTTTAGAGTTACGTGATCCATTCTTTTTTCTTTTATACTTCTGATCTTTAGCCTTGTGCGAACGACAACCCACTCGATTTTCTTTCCCAGTGCTTACAACTGGTATTGGGAAGGTCTTGCTTATATTGCGAAGACTCGCCGTAGCCGTGATAATAGAAAATGGAAGTATTACCTTTTTGTTTTAAAAAAAGGTAAAATTTTAGCGTTTTTATAAAAAACAAAGGTTGTTATTAACTAACCTATTCACAATACTTATAACTTCTCTTTAGAAAGATAGTGTTGTACAGGATATTCATTTAAAAAGGAAAAAGAGGAAGAGAAGAAAGGGGGAAAAAGTGTTTATTTATAAACTGATAAGCAAGAGCTGGCTTATGTCAGGATAATCTAATTGTCAATTTCAGCATCCATATGTTTGAGCCTTTATATATAATAGAGGAGAGGTTGTATACCCCACTCAAGCTTAAATAAAAGCAGTTAAGAACTTGTTAATTGTCTATCAGCATTTCAGTATCAGCACGTATCAATAGTGAACCATGATGTAGATGTCAATTGAAGTAAATTTTTAAGAAATCACGTAATTTGAAAAAGTGTGTAGAAAAATAAATAAAAAGGACGTAGGTGTAGACATTCTCAATATGACTCGCGAAAGAGTTTGGTCAGCACGTGGTGAAACTGCTATTGTAGAAACTCCATCAGGAAGAGCCACATCACATACAGTGCTGGGTGCTATTTCTTCTGTAGGAGTTGTGAACATGTCTATGATGAGAGAGCCTGGGAATATGAAGAGCAGAAAGGTGACTGGAGTAACCAAGCGTAAGGCACCCAGTGATAAGATGTCGATGCCAAAAAGAACTACAGGAGCTCATTATATGCATTGTATTATTGACACAATGGATATCATGGACACATTCCCTGAAATGCAAGGATTTCATATTTTTATGGATAACGCTCCTATACATATTCCAAGTGTGATTGACCCTTTGATCGAAAAGTTTGGTTATATTCCGGTTTATCTTCCACCTTATTTACTAGAACTTAACCCTATTAAAAAAAACTTTTGGTCCACTATTAAGTCCAAAGTTAAACGCCATTCAGTTAAGGACACAGAAACCCTGACTAAAGTAGAATAGTCGGGTCTTGTGAAGAAGTTTCCCTTCAGCATCTTCGACATTCTTTGAAGCCATTTGATAAATGCTTAAATAAAGAACCAATTTGGTTGCTGTTTGTTTATCACCAAGTATAGCCTGTCTGTAAAATGTTTTGGGGTGACCAATTGGAGTTCAAAAAAGTGACCAATCGACGCTGGAAGCACTGTAAAATGATAATATTCCCCAATTCGAAATTGGACGTAAAAATAACTTTCTTGAAATTTGGATAAACCAGATATTCGAAGTTGCAAACTAGAAAAGGAAATGCTGAGATCGTGCAAAATCCATCCATATTTGGTGTGGATTTATTATTATATGATTTTGAAAATTGGCTACTGTAAAATACATTATAAAGGGGCCATCCCCCTTACAGCACGTGAACTCTTATTGTAATGCTTTCGCCTTTCCTAAAAAAGACGGAGAAAAAGGTACTCCGCCCAATGCGATAAATACGGCACACATTTTTTTTTTTTTTGAAACTTCTTAATACTCTCTCTCTCTCTTTCTTTCCTCCTCTCTTTTCTTATTTATTTATTACTTTATACCCCTAAAACGTGTGCTCCTATTTTTTCCACTAATATATATATTATGACTTTAACCATGTTTCATTCTATGCCTCATCATTCTAATTCCACCATGACGGACGAGTTCTACAATATGCGCAAACAGCATAAACACAACAAGTACAGTCTTGTCACCAAGACTCGTCGAGGTATGAGACCTATGCGTACCACTACCAAAAGAAGAATCAGATACAGCAGTAGTGTATCCTCTTCCTCTACTGTCTGTAGTGCAACATCCAGTCTATTTGAATTTGGACCAAAAAAAGGTAAATAGCAAAGGAAATTCCACACACACACAGAATACTAAAAAAGCAACCTCATTTTCAGATTTTACGCACTTATTTCCACACGAAATTTCTTTTCAAATTATGGCCCACCTTGATTTAGAAAGCCTGTGTGAAATAGCCAAAGTCTCCAAAGCCTGGTATTTTCTCTCCAAGTCCAACGAAATTTGGCGTCAACAATGCAGTATTTGGAATTTAAGCTTTCGACCTTCCTATCAACTGGATTACTACCACATATACAAACAGCATTATTTATTAAAACAACGTTGGGATTACGGTAGAGTTGCTACTCATTATCTCATTGGACATATCGATAGTGTCTACTGTCTCCAGTTCGACTCTTCTAAAATTGTCACCGGCAGTCGAGATCGCACCATCAAATTCTGGAACTTGGAGACTTATCAGTGTACACAAACCTTGGTAGGCCATGAGGGTAGTGTCTTGTGTCTCGAGTACAATGACCGCATTATGGTGTCGGGTTCATCAGATACAACCATCATTGTGTGGAATATGAAGACATGTCAACCCATCATGCGTCTGCGTGGTCATACAGCAGGTGTGCTGGATGTTTGCTTTAATGAACAGGTCATTATTAGTTGCTCCAAAGATAGAACGATTCGTATTTGGGATATCAATAATGGTCAATTATTAAACACCATTATGGCTCATCGAGGCCCTGTGAATGCCATTCAATTGTTTGAGAATAAGCTGGTGTCGGCTTCGGGAGATGCTTTTATCAAGATGTGGGATATTACCACAGGTGAATGCTTGCGTCAATTTGAGGGTCATACACGAGGTTTAGCGTGCGTTCGTTATGACGGACATCGTATTGTGAGTGGGTCCAATGATAAAACAATCAAGGTGTGGAATCCAGAGACTGGTGAATGCATCATGTCGTGTGAAGGACACACTGATCTGGTGCGTACCTTGAACTTTGATGAAAATCGTATAGTCAGTGCCAGTTATGATCAAAGTATTCGAGTTTGGGATATAAAGACGGGTGCATGCTTACTCAACTTTCAAAGCGGACATACTAGCTGGGTATTTGATGTTCATTTCGACTCCACGCGAATTGTCAGGTAAACAACAAAAAATCACAAAAAAAATTACCGGTTTCATGTGCTAACTCTGTTCTTTTTATTATTTAGTGCTAGTCAAGATCAAAGAGTACTCGTGATGGATTTCACTTTTGGTTTAGACACCCAATACTTTTAAACAACACATACACAAACAAAAAAAAAGCATTTTTTAAATCTTTCCCTTTAATAATATACCATCTTTTTTTTATTCTTCTGTAAATATAAGCTAAAACCCTTCTTCTTTTCCAAATGGACATGTTTTTCATGGGTTATTCCCAATAATCAAAAAATTCATTTCCCTTTCGATCAAACCCAGCAGTGAACAATAAGAAGCTACACATGACCTATTTATCTGTCTGTTATTAAAATTTAATAAAACTTACTATAAAGGGGTTTCACTCATCTTTTCCGTTTCTTTTTTTCTGTTTACCTTTTCCTTCTTTTTAATAAATCATATACCTAACATAACATGTACAATAACCAACCCAATATTTACGACATATTGAATAATGAAGATCCAGTGATTGAAGGACCCATAGATACCGACGCATTAGTCAAGGATATATTTGACACCGATTTAAACAACTTCACCTTTCCTCCATCCGGTAAGAAAATATTGAATTATGATCAATCAAAAAAGATTTAACACATATTTGATAGATATGATGTTTGAATCACCTGTAGACATGAGACGCCATTCCGTCAGCTATTTCAATCCCCAACACTACCAACCAGCAAGCCGCACTTCAACTCCATTTGGAAATAATAATCATAATACACCTCCGACCCAGCAGCAGCTCCATCCACACCACCAACAGCAACAACAGCGACTCCAGCAGTTTATCCCATTGGATACCGTCATCGAATCTTCACCACACCGTGCTTCGCTTCCAAACATCTTCTTATCCGATACATCACGTCGTCAATTAAACACATCGATTCAACAGCGATTTGATCGAAAGCGTTTTTATCCACAAGACTGCCCCTTACCCATGTCCGGTGTCGCCAGCCGAAGGTCCAGTATCGCTTCTCCAAACGATATTTGCACATGGAACAAAATGGTGGATGAAGAAACTTCACACAAGAAGTCAAGGCTCGAGATACAAGAAGACAATAAGGATTATCCCGTCATCACAGAAGCAGACCTGGAAGCTGCCAAAATTGATCCAAATGCCATCCCACGTAAACAAAAGCTACGCTATGAAGGTGATGGGTATACGCCAAAATGGGTGCGATATACAGGCCAATCAAAAGAAGGGTATTGCGATACATGTAGGCCGGGAAAATGGCTTCAATTGAAAAATAGCGCCTATTGGTACCATAAGCAATTCTTTCATGGTATCTCGAGCGTGTCAGGCAAAGAGTTTCAAAAACCTTTGGAACAACGTGCAGGAGAGCATGACGTGATTGAAGGTCTATGTCATCAGTGTAGAATATTTGTGCCCATTTGTAATTCTAAAAGAAAAAATAGCGTGCTTTGGTATAGGCATGCACATAAGGTAAAATTATTAAAAATTACCTGGGTAAAACAAAAAGACTGAATCTTTTACTTTAGTGCCATATTTATGATAAACCCAAATCTAATAAACGCGTACAAGTGCCTCCTCCTCCTGCTCCTCCGCAACCACCAAAGACACACCTTCAACCAATTTACTGATTCCCCCCCCCCCTTCATCCCTTTGCACCCAAATTTTTGATCTTGTCACACCCTGTCCATATTTTCTTTTTTCAGAATAAACATTGCATACACATGTAAAATCCAATAAAAAAAGCTTATTTCCTCATCAGTGATGGGTAAAACAATAATAATAAAAAAAAAACTTTCTCCCCGCTCTTGTTCTAGACCTGTCCAGGTCAGCTTATGTTTTTTGTACAGAAATTTGATTTGTTATTGCACTGAGTAGGTGATACATAAAAAAGTTTTGATCAGCTAGACATGGTCAGCTTATTCTTCTCTTACAGAAAAAAACTTATTTTTGATTACAATGGGCGAAGGTGATACACACAAAGTATTGGTCAGCTAGACATGGTCAGCTTATTCTGTTGATTTTTGATTACATTGGACAGAGGTGATACATAAAAGAGTGTTGATCAGCTAGACATGGTCAGCTTGTTGCTAAGCGCTCATTTGCCGCGGCCAGATAAGCAGCCGACGCTGTAGTAAAGCTGTTGTAATATACAACAACCATGTGGCTTTAAAGATGTTCTAGGTCCAAAAGCCTCCTAAGACTCGTACAAAGCCTGTTTATAAAGAAAAAAGTTCAATTCTACATCATCAACCCACTCAGTATAATCTATCGAATAGCTTTGATAGACCTGTTAAAAGAAAAGATCCGCATACACATGATACAGATCTGTTTTCCGTGAAAATCTCTTTTTTCCTCATGATGTATAAGCACACAAGCTACAGATCTACCAGTGGTAACTTCTATTTATGGGCGGACCGGAATGGGTAAATCATTTACCAAACACTTGAAAATCCCGGAATTCGAAAAGAAATTCTCCCCCATCACCATGCAAGCAGTTGTCAAAGTAATGCAAGGTATTCGATTTGTTCTTGGTCAAATAATAATATAGCCTTTTTCTGTATTGTTTGTAACCTTCAAAAGCCAGACGAAAAAAAAAAGAGTGTACACAGCCATAAAAAAAAGGAACGGAATCATCCTTTTATGAAATCCATAATACAGAAAAAAAAAAATCATATAAATACTACTCCATCCCTTTACTTACATATTTTTATTTTTTAAAAAACTTAATACATATCTTATAATGACATTAGAAAGTGCTAGGCATCAAGTGTCTTCGTTTGAACTTAAACTACCTAAATTTATGGTCTTTTGCGTAGTGATTTCAAGTCTTGGCTTCTTTTGCAATGGCTGGGTCATTGGCTCTGCCACTTTACCTGGCAAAGTCACTCACGCTTGTGAAATAACTTCTACACCTTACAGTAAAGTATTTCCTGACTGTTTACCTATGCAGAATGCACTCTGGGGATTTGCTGTCGCCTCATTTTGTATCGGTGGTTTGATTGGAAGTCTCCATGGAGGTCATCTCCAAAACAAGTATGGCCGAAAGAAAACAATTACAGGTAACAGTCTTGGATACATCATTGGTGCAGTTCTGATTAGTTGTGCTACTTCCAACGCCATGTTTATTGTCGGGCGAATCATGTGTGGCTATTCGTGTGGTCTAGGTTCTCTTTGTATTCCCATTTATATTGGTGAAATCTCTACCACAAAAGCGCGTGGCATGATGGGCGCTTGTACGCAGGGAATGATCACGGTCGGCCTACTGATCTCTTCCGTTGTAGGTCTTCCTTTATCGACAGTGCCGCTTTGGAGAGTTAGCTATGCTCTGGGTGCTGTGCCTGCTATTATCCAGTTGATTATCATGCCTTTTTGTGTAGAATCTCCTCGATACTTAATCTCAAAAAGTCATTTAGATGCAGCAAGAACAAGCTTACAACGTCTAAGACCCAACTCAAATATTGAAATGGAGTTTTATAACATGGTGCAAGGTCAATTAGGCTCACAAATGGCTATGGAGATATTAGCCGATACCAAAAACTATCAGACAATGGATAAATTCGATACACAAGATTTCCAAAAGGCTAAATCAGACGTTTTGAGCCATCAACCAGAAGAAAATTTGCGTGATCCAATGAACATGATTCAAATTTTTCAAGATCCTTTAATTCGTCGTATTGCCACAATTGTTATTATTGTGCATGCATTTCAACAATTGGTGGGTATCAATGCAGTCATGTATTATTCTACCACTATTTTTGAATCAGTTTTCAGCTCATCCAGTATGCCCATGTATATGTCTATTGTCACGGTCGGCTTAAACTTTGTCTCCACCATGATCTCCATCTTTATCATTGATCGTATGGGCCGTCGCACTTTACTTTTGGTCTCGGTCGGCGGTGCCTGTTTATTTTCGGTCCTGCTCGTGATTGGTTATGTGTATAATTTAGGTAATCTCTTGGTCGTCTCAATTCTTGGCTACGTCTGCTTCTTTGCCATTGGCACAGGTCCCATTCCTTGGATCATCACTGCAGAATTAACACCCGTGTATGCATCTTCTTCTGTAGGTGCTGTAGCTACCTCCATGAACTGGTCCATGAATTTCCTGGTCGGCCAATGCTTCCCCGTCATTTTTGCTGGCATCAAAGGTTACTCGTTTGTGATATTTGCCGCCACCTCATGTATGGCCGCTGTATTCACGTATTTTTGGCTGCCAGAGACTAAAGGACGATCTCTTGAAGAAATCGCCTCTGAATTTGAACAAACATTTTAATAAAGAAAAAACACATAGAATATTTCCTTTTTTTATATGTATAAATGTCAATACTTGTTCTTCAAGTACTATAAATAAACTAGTCCGCAGAGGATGTTTATATGAAAGATTACACGGTAAAACAAACTGAGCTTCTAAATTTGGGTAACAAAACTCATTAATGTGATAAACGTGGCTATTGTCTAATGAAAAGCTATGATTTAAAACACACGTATAGACATCCGCTTTTTAGTTTTTTTTTTTTTATGAAAGCTAACTCTGGTTTGAAGAAATTTTGTAAAAAAAAAAAGGCAGACAGCTTTATTATTAATTCACACGCTGATAAATAGTTTTTAGGAATAAAGGACATTTATTCGTGTCAAAAATGTCCGTATCCCGCAGAAAATATCCATACCTCTATACGTACGAAATATCACGCATAATTTATGACATGTGTTTTTGGTGCAGATCTCCAAAAAAGGAAAGTCTAAGGATGTAATTCGAAATCTTTACAGAATATTTAAACACTACTGGAAGAAAACTCGTTCATGATATCTCTCTAAAATGAAAGCTTATTCCGGTCTAACATAAATGAATTTGAGTCTTAGAGATGGTAGTGGTGTCAGCTAAATAGGCTATATGGGGATCATGTTTGGTTTAAGGCACTTTGATATTTAAATTATTTAATATTTCTTATCCGAGCCACGGTAGCCGAAGTTCATACCGCCATAATGCTAAGTTAGCTACAACATAAACGGATAATAGAACTAGCATATGATTGTTAGGATTTGATAGAAAAAGGTTGTATTAAAAACGAGTAGGAGCAAACATATTGATTTGTAGCGGATCGAATTCCCAAATTTTTATTCAAAGTCATCTTATTTTACATATCCAGCATGTTGATAAGTTCTTTTGTGTATTTGGCAATTTCGTATGACTCTTGTGCTAAATTTCGCTTAGCTACCGCGTTTGTGTTGTCCGGTAGTTTTGTGAATTCAGTATCTCGAATATAAATTATTTTACTATTGCATCGATCTAAATCGTTCAGGATAATAAAACCTTGGTTTCTGTACTTTAAGCCTTCGCCTTGTTCAAAGGTGTTTTTCGAAGCATTCACAATGTTGGATACAATGTCCACAATAGATGTAATAATCTTATACAAGTTTCCATCACTGGATCGAAGCGCTCCCAATAAATTTTGAACAGAGGCTACAATATGATCTGTTTCTTCCTTAAGAAATTGCTACAATTGATGGTTATAAAATAAGTTAGGCCAAAGCAAAACAAGAATATACTTTTTCTTTCGCCCTTACTGAAAGTTGATTAGGTGTCATTGCAAATGACATGGGCTTGCTCTTGGTGTTATTCTTTTGCTGTAAAGGAGGGCCGCCATCACCACCACTATGGTTGTCAGTAACAGGTCGCATTCCCAAAAGTTTCACAAGGTCAACAATAGTCACGGTCAAGTTTCCTGCTGCTGCATCTACCAGACTAACCGGACTGATGCCCATGCCTCCAGAATATATTTTAGCTGAAGCTAATAAATTGGACAGCTCTGTGGAGAATCGTTTCTTGATCTCATACAATGAGGCTTGATTGGCAGAAGATAATCCAACTTTAATTTCGAATTCTTCAACCTCTGTGGTGATTGATTTACAGGCCATCACAATCGTTCTCATGGAAAACAAAACGTCGGCTGGTTTACTTGATCTATCGGAGAGAAAGACAAATTGGAAAGAAGGACAAACGAAAAGAAAAAAGTTTATTTAAATACCTTGATGTTTTCATCAACTCATCTATTGCAGTTTGATATTCTATAATATATTGATGTCCTATTGCGCCGTCTTCATTTGGTTTTAAGAAATAATCTTTGGATAGATCCTGATGATCCATATGCACTGATTTCACTTTAAAACTTCGTAACTCCATACTGATACTATCATACTTTGTTTTCCAAGACTTAGATTCTTCTGTTAAAGATCGTATCTTTGTATTGGCATTATCGTTTTGTATACGTAATGTTTCGTTTTTGGCTGAAAGGTTTTTTAATTCATCAATCAATTGTCTAATTTCATCTTTTACTTCGCGCACGGCCTATTGGAGTAAAGATCAGAAAAAAAAAATTAGACAGAAATACAAATGTTTGTGTTACCACTTGTTGTTCCTTGTGTTCTTTATTTAATCTGGTGAACCTATCATCGAGTTGCCTGTATTCCTCTTGCATTTTGTTCATCCTGGCTTGTCTATCTCTATCAGGCTATATACATGTACATTTTATCGTAAGTTTTTCGTAATTAAATGCATGTGTCTTGTATTTACCGATTGATTTATATCTGCATTCTAAATAAAGATCAGATTAATAAAGGGAACCCCCCAATTTATTTTTAGAATACCTACAGGTTGATCCATGGCTAACTCCATCATTTGAATTCGTTTTGTCATGGATGCTATTTTTGCTTCATATTCATACTTGATGTTTTCTGCATCCTGATTTAATTTCTGTTTATAAAAAAAATAGAGTTGTAAGCAAATGAGCTGATATAATGGATCCATTTCTTTTTTTTCTTTTTTTTTACTTCAGGTGGTATATTGGTATCTTGTCTTGGTGTCTTAACCATGTTTCCTAAATCAGCCATCAAACTATCTAAGGACTGGATGTTTCCGTTTCCTTCATCATCTGAGTAATCCATGGTCTCGACATTGATTGTTCCTTTAACAGGTACAATCTGTGTCGATTGGCTTGCTTTTGCGTCCATTGATTTCGGTTGAGGCATAGGAGGTACGTCTTCTTCTAAAATATGAGGATATCTTCTCTTCAACTCATGATAAACGTCGCTTGCTAAATCTTTAAACCTTGAATCAGGAAGTGTTGCTAATTTTTGTCTGGCTTGGTTTCTTCTTGGATGGAAGTCGTCCCTTAAAGGTAGAAACGATTCTAATTATAAGTGTCAATACATATTTTTATAGATCCTAATTATTTTTTTTTAAAAAAAAAAACTTTTTTTTTCTTTTTACTTTACTATGACCATCCACGTTTCTTCGAACAAGCTCGTCGTACACATCTGTGGCCAGTTCGTGAAACTGTAAATTGTTTAGTCTTGACAACTTTTGTCGTGCAGCTGTTCTTTGTGCTGGAACCCCTTCAGAAGCCTCTGCTTAAACAAGTTAATTACTTGACGTTCTTTTTGTATAATTTATTTTGCTTTACCTTTGGATAACATGCTGGATAGATACCTCTGAAGTTCAATAAAATAAACTCGGGCCGAAGACTCTTGCACTGAAGCATTTGTCAGTCGGCTGGAAGCAGAGGCCACTGAATACGTTGTTGAACCAGTGGATGTCGTTTTTGACATTTTACTTTTCAGATCCCAATCTTCACGAGAGTGTGTCGAATGAGGTGAAGAGCGAGGATACGCCATACTGTTAATTAATTCAAAAAATAAAGAGAGAGAAAAGGGAGTTGTAAAAGAGAAATAAAAAGGAGAGGGAAAAGGTCTGACATTTTTTTTTTTTTCTTAACCATTATATCATTACATAATTACTCCGCTGTACAACAACGAGCTCTCTCCCAATTAGTCTTATTGATCAGAGCTTGTTTTATTTTTAATATCAAGAATGTATTAACAGATTAACTCGCTGCACTTTCTCTACACATACGGATTTCATCAAGTATTTCCCGAGCCATTTCATGATACTAATTAGTAGTAAAAGAGAAAGAAATGAATTAGAAAATAGAGTTAATGACACGTGGAATTGTAAATTCATAGCCAGCAAAAATTAAAAAACTTACCGGATGTTCTGCATCCAACGCAGTTTTAGCATAGAGTTCTGCATTATTATAATTTTGCTGAATCATAGCATATTTCGCCAATTTAAGACTTATATCGGCCAAATCACTTGTTATTTCCTACATATGATTTTATAAACATCCTTTCCATAAAAATAAAAATAGCTCGACCCAAAACTTACGCCATGCTTCATTTGGTCCCAAACACCATGATAGTAATTGATTGCCATATTGGTTTTACCCATTTTTTCGTAGATCTTTCCCACTTGAATCATAGCCGAGTTTTTACCTGCTTTATCGCAAGCAACCGCCCTTGTATAACAATCTTGCATTTCTTTCTCTTGTTGTAATCCCTTATAACATCCCGCCAATGCTTTCCACATTCTTGAATCATTCGGTCTGATATCTGTTGCTTTTTCATAATAGAACATAGCATCGTAAGGCAGATTCAGGCACTCGTGTGCTTGCCCTAATCCATACCACCCTCTAAAATCACGGTTATTTATACTCACTGCTCTTCGATAACATTCAATTGCTGCTGTTGTATTATTGTCCTCGATGTAATCATGGCCTAGCAATGTCCATACAAGCGGATAGCTCTGATTTAATTTCAATGCGCGCTTAAAATATTCAATCGACTTTGACATTTCCCGTTTAGAACCGTAATAATTGGCCCGAACGCAGCATGTTTCCGCTCGGTATTTATCAATCTTTCCGCATTCTAGTGCCAGCGTACATAATTTATCTCTAGATCCTTGTAAGTAAAGTAAATTTGAATAGATGTCCATATCTTCCAGACGAGCTGGGTGAGATTCTCTTAGATCCTCGAAAAATGATGCTGATGCAACATAATCTAACAATGAGAGTAATCAACAAAAAAATCCTTAATTTCATAATTCCCAACATACCCATATTTTCATAGAACATTTTAGCCCATTGAGATGTCACATAAGGACTATTAGGAAAATATTCGGTTAATGGGCCCATAATCTCTCTGAATAATGATGTCGGCTGGTGTAAATCAATGCATAGTTTTGCCAGAAAGAACTCCTTGATAATACTTGTGCCCATACAGCGATTCAATAAGGCACGTATGTCATCGAATTGTTTCTGTGTTTTTACAAGCATTGCCAACTCAGCCCATGCACTCCAGTTGTACTCGTATTTTCGAATAGACTCCAATAAAACGATGGATGCTTTCACATTATTATCTCGTTTTCTTAATATAGCTCCGTACAAATAAAGGGAAAACGAATCCAGCTCGTTATTATCATTGTCCTTTCGTAATTCATTTTCAAGAGGTATGAGTTCGGCGTTGTGTTCTCGAGAGTCTTCTGTCGTGCCTAATATATCTTGAGTTGCTTCCTCTTTTCGTTTTTCCCCCGCCTATCAAAATAAAGTTAGCCCAAAAAAAATAACTGTGCTGTCATTCATCTAAAATTCGCCTACCAAATATTTTGAATATAGCCTTAAGAAATACAATCTTGGTGATTTGAATCCTTCGAGTATACTGGTGACACCATCAAACTGTCGCATTTGGAACAGAGCTTTTGCATATTGATATCGATTATATTCTAATTCGGTTAGTGCAGGAAACTGGATCTCGTATGGGTTATGGTATATCGATACGGTGGGTAAATGAGCTTCGGTTTTTGTAAATGCACTCTTCTTGTCTAACAGATCGGGTCTTATTCCATCCAAAATTTCTGTCGCCCTACATATTTTTCAAAAAGTTTTTTTTTTTTTCGCAAATTTCAGTAACCTTGTTCAAAAAAAGAGGGAAAGGCTATGCAGACAACTACCATTTGACAGAATTAAATAAGCATCGTTCAGCACATACCACAATTGACTGTTGTAATTGGGTTTTTAAGGAACTTACAGCTTCGTCAGTGAGAATCATACTCAATAAAGAAATTAAAAAGTAAGTAAAAAGACCACATTTTTTAACGTGTCTAACGGCAGTCACGGTTCATGCGAAAATGAACACAAGGCAAGAAACTGGTTTTTCAAAACGATAAACGACTTGCTTCAATGGAAAATATTGTCAAAACGCGCAATCTCATAATAAACAACCCGTTTTTTTAAGGTGAGAAAAGTCGGAAGTGTATCACTCATGTATAACATTAAACATTGTTCCTTGCGCAGAAAAAAAGTTAACCGATACTCATATTTCCGACAAGCTTTTCTAACAAGTACATTTAAGAAGCTCGACTTTCTACTGAATTTAGGCGACTATTTTAATTAATAATTGTGAGCATACATTTTCTCGAAAGTATGTCCATAAACTTACATAGGCAAGCTTGACAAGAAATCACGTATTTTAAAGCTCCGTTAGACAACCTCTTCAGGGTCGTATGGAAAAAGCAAATTTGACCACATAGTGTCCTCATTAAACAGACGCAAGGGCAATATTGGTTTAATGAATGATTAAGAGCACTAGCTTTACGCTCACACTATTGCATCCCACCAACCATTTCAATATCATATTTAAAAATTAGCCCAAAAACCAAGTTTAAAAGTATAGATTACACATGTTTACTGCGACAAAGCTGAAAAAACTCCACCTGGGGCATAGTTACCTCATTTTTATATAAACTAATAAAAAAGACATTAAGCTGGTCAAAAACTTTATTATAAATTATTATGTACATTCAAAAATTTATCTTCTTTCTTTGACAAGATATTTTAAGAACAAGAAAGAAGTTGTTAATGTTACCAATACAAAACAAATCAACCGAATTACATCTGACCAGAATGCTTGCCCGTTGAATCCAAACCGGGCTAAAATAATAGGCCCAGGAATTTGGATATCGGCTATGGATTTGTCGCGTAAAGTAATGTCTTTAAGCTCGTTTACGATGAGCGCTTCATACCCATAATTAAAGAAACTGAGATACTGAAGCCAGCTAAATAATTGTCTTAGTATATGCATGTTGTATTTCTATTGTGTTTCATTTATATTACCTCAGCATGGGCGGAATGTGATCTAATATTTAAGCCATATTAGCTATCCTACATCTGTCATATAAGAATGCATGGTTATTCTTACCTTTGTTTAATAAGAAACCGCCAAACAACATCGAGAACAAAATGACTAGATTTGCCAAAAGGTTGGCTGCCGATAAGTTCTTGAAAGCAGTAGCAAAACACAAACACAACCCCGCAGCCGCTAGATTAAACAATACCAATACGAGCAGAAATTTACCAAAAATATGAATGCTTGGGTTTAGTCCAATCATGTAATAGCTGATTGAGCCCATGACCAAAGGTGGGAGGACACGCAAAGGAACCACATCAAAAAGTACTTTAGCTACAAAATAAGCGCCTGGTGTGTAGTACCCGTTTTCACGCTCTCGCATAAACAAGATCCTTTCCTTATTAAACATGTCTAAAGCACTGGTCGCTGCAAAACCCAGGAGAGCACACATAAAGAACAAAACACCCAATCGATTCTGTACGCCGGAAAGATCCACATCCACCTGCCAAAAAAGACTACCGAGCAGCACCGCTAATAGAACAGAAAATCCAAAATGTGCAAAGAATAAAAATGGATTCCGATACAGGTTGATAAACGTACGGGAAGATAATAATGACTACAATAGTCCGGTTAATAATAATGATAAGAGTAAACGCATACAACAATAGGCCTGGTATCTTACTAGTTCATGGTAAAATTGATAAATAGAAAATGCTGACTCTTCTTGGCCTGGTGCATCCACCCAGACAGAATAATTTATTTCATCTTCATTTTCGGAACGGCCAACACGGTTCTGAATTGTTTGAAACAGGTCCGAAGAGTAAAACGAATCAAGCAAAAAATATGAATGGTTAGACTCAGAAAGTAAATTAAGTTCGCCGGACCCTTCTTGTTGTATATCGTTTGTAAACGAATATGGAGTATGTATCTCTTCCAAAGGCTGCGTATCGTCATCTATTTCACCAGAAAGCAAAGGCGTTCCAGGTTTGGTTACTGCATCTTCTGGTCGTTTCATTGTAAGATCAACTACATATAAAAAAACGACATGTTAATCATCATAAGCAGCACATAAAGTATATTAACACGTTACTCAAATAATCTGCTACATTGTAATCTGCAGGAATAGGAAAGCCCAAATCCTTAAAATAACTTGAACATGTCTTAGCTGGGCCAAAATAAACCTAAAATAAGTTATGACTCAGCTGATGTATTCTGTTTTATATGTATCCAAGTCTTACTAATTGCCCGTCTGCCAAGAGCATAAGGGAGTCAAACATTTTGAATATATTAGATCTCGGCTAAAGTGGTATTCAGGTCAGTATACAAGTTAGATTATTTGACGGATAAATATCTTACTTGATGAATAGTGACTACAACAGTTCGCTTTCCTTCATGTGCCAATTTTTTAAGGCATGCCATGACAACGCCAGCATTATAGGCGTCAAGACCACTTGTTGGCTCATCCAAGAACAAAAGACTGGGACTTGTCACAAGTTCTTTACCGATACTTACTCTTCTCTTTTCACCTCCACTGATACCTCTCTGTCCAGGCATACCGATTTGACTATCTGCAATTTTGTTGATACCCAACTCTTGAATCACGTCTTCAACTCGTTTTTGTATGGATTTTAGCGGCATGCAACGTGGTAATCGCATTAAAGCAGCATATGTCAGTGTCTCTCGCACGGTCAATGTTCCCATCAAACTATCATCCTGATCCACAAACCCGGTTAATCGTTTGAACTGACGTCGAGTGGGCAACATGCCATTAATCAAAATCCTTCCACTTGTGACACCTCGTTTGTGTTTCTTTGATAAAATATCGAGTAAACTCGACTTTCCTGCACCTGAAGGACCCATAATGGCCAGCATTTGCCCTGGTTCGACGTATCCACTAATATCCGATAGAATTGGTTTACCTGACACCGTGTAATTGATATCTGCAAATGTTAGGGCTATTTCTGTTGAAATTGGACCATCACCCTCATCATCATCGTCCAATGATAATTCAATACGAGTTCCAAACATTTTCTTTTGTCGTGAAGCAGTAATCTTTGTAATCGTGAATAGCAATATACAGGCTAGCGAAATAGCTCCAATTATCATCAACTCTGTGTAACTCGAAAATTCTTGATCCTTGTTTTAGGCAGGTTAAAAATAGGTTCAACGGATGTACGAATAATAAAACTTACGATGGGTCCGACATCCATATAATCTTGCTCGTTTACACATTCACCTACATCACACGCAAGCTGAATATTGTCAGGAAAGACGCTGACCAGTGTAGAGTATTCTAGTCAAGAATGAGATCATTGTACTACCACATTTTTTGCTTTAAATTTTACCGTTGTACCAACAATTTTTTCCGTTTTTGCAGAACCATTCAGACGGTCCTTTTACATTTTTTACCAATTCGGACATGTCTACATTTCCCCCGTCATGTTAACCTTGAACTATTATCAAATATTCTTGAATAAACTTACCTACTTCTTTACCGCACATGAAGGCGTCTTTCATGCAACCGCATTTTGCCTTTTTACAATGACCCTGCACATCGTTATCTCCCGAAGCTAATATCCAAAAACTTAGCGAGATGTTAATTTTGAGAGAAAGTGCTGGTACTTACTCGCTTGACTACATTCACTAAGTTCACAATAAAACTGTTCCTCTCTATCTTTCCAAAACTGAAACATACACTCATTCTTACCCCATTCACAAGATAGTGACACATGCGTATTGTCAATCCACGGTATATCTGCATGATAATTAGAACAAAAAAAAAAGAACAAAAAAAGTATCAGCAAGACTAACTTGTAGTAGCACACCAAGCATGCATGGATTTCAATCCAATAGCGTTTTTCAGACATGTTGCGTTGGATCCTTTAAATGGTTGACAGGATTGATCTTGTTGACATACGTTACAATTCACACCTCCCCAACTAAATTAACGAACCGATAAGTTAAACCCCATCATGCCCTCTCTCTTTCTCCCCTTTTTACCCTGAATCACATGCACAATCCTGATCTATCTCCCTGGGTGGTCGGTTCGGCTCATACAGTGATCCACATAAAGGCTGTGAACAATCCAAGTCACCTTTACAAAAAAAAAGGTGGAAGTCAATAATTTTAAGTAAGGCTATTTTTTTTGTTTCGAGTGTTACCCCATCCCGCCGGACAAGTACAAGCACCACTGATGCTACACTGCCCTCCATTCGTACACGTGTTTGTTGGCAATTGACAGTTAAAACAAGTCGGGCACTCTGGACATTCTTGCCGCTTTAAATGAGGAAACATTAGTTTTATATTGCTTATTTCAAAAAAGAGAAGGAAAGCAGGAGAAATAATAATGGAAATACAATAGATTCAAACTCAGTCAGGGATCAAGTGACTGACCTTCCCACCCTCCAAACTGATTCAATAGGCTGGCAACAGCTTAACGTCACTTGTGCTGCAGGAACATACATTAGTATTAAATATTGTAAGGCCGCATAATTATGTAACGAAGGTTTTCTCTGAACCAAAAGCCTTGCAATAACGTCTTGATATAATTTATTTGCTCTACTTATACCTAAAAATAACTGCTTATGTATCACCCAAGGTAGATCTTTTAATAAAATTTCGCCTTGCTTGAAAGCAACATTATTGAAAAATATATCTCCAGCTATTATGTTGATTTACTCATCTAGCCTTCCTCCGTCTATACTATCGCTTCTGTAATATACAGAAAAATTGACAGATGTACTAGCGCTTTTCTTTCTCGAACTCATATCGTTTGTAATAATAGTTCTTTCTAAAATAGTTTTCTGTGTCTATAGTTGCGTGTATTATTGGCCAGTAATAAATTGACAATAGACTGATATTAATTCTAGCAACCTTGAAGCAAATTACGAAATAGAATTCAAAAAGTCTATGAGATAAGGCATCTCTGAGAACTGACCAATTAAAATGATTCCACGTGTATATCACGTGACCTTTGTTTTTATTTTCACTGGGTTTAAATACATCTTAAATTTTAAATTGACATGAAATGAATCTGATTGTCTTTATGTTTACCTTGTATAGAGTAATAAGAATAAACAAATGTATAGAATAACAAGAAGGAGACTGTAAGACTAATTGTTAAAGAATACAGACAAAAAGATATAGATTTGCACTAATAAGCTTTGAAATCTGCAAAGAAGTAAAGATAAATCACAAGTGTTTAAAAACAAGTAAAGTTTATCAGAAAGAAAGAATTCGATGACGTTTATTATTATAAATCAGACAATCTTATATAGACGTTTTGACAGCTGTCAACTATGGTACAAAAATAACTAATACGAAAATGGAATAAAATAATAACAGGGTACGGAAAAACTATGATGAGAACAATACAAAAATAGAGTAAATCAAATAAGGGTACGGGAAAACTATGATGGAAATAATATGAATAATAAGAAAAATAAAGAACTAAACAAAACAGGAAGGTAATAATAAAATAAGTGAGATACGAAAGAGAGCGACGAAATAACAATAAAAATAATTGTAACTGAGAAAGAAGAGAATTTCACGAGTAACCGACTAAGATAATTAACAACCTGCCAATTTTAGAAAAGCAGCAAAAAGACGCGAACTGAACCTTCGGAGAAAGAATACCAGAAAAACTTCTAGAACACCAAAAATAGTTTCACCGCAATATTATTTGTCGGGTCTTTATCACGTATTTTTAGAAACTCTTTTCTCACCGCCAAACTCAGTACCAACTAGATCTCCATTTCTCAGACAAGATTAACGCGCCATTCCACAAATGAGGGAACCAGAACCAAGGAACAAAGAAGAATAACCAAAATAATATTACCAAGCCACTTTTAAAGTGAACGAAAGCGATATCATTACCAAACTGCGCACGCATCAAGTACCGCCCACCTAGCTTGAAGTTCCACTTTCAAAAGAGCGTATCCACAAAACTGTAGACATTCACCTTCGAATTCAACCAACTTTGAAATTGTTCTTGAGCATCAGACACACCAACAACGGGCACCATGTGTTCAACCTCCTTATTATACATTTTCAATAAGTCACCGTTTACCGCGTGTTTCAACCTAAGACTATTAGACCCAGTCAAATGGTAAGTGCCATTCTTATTGACTTGCAACACCGTAAAAGGACCTAACCATTTATCCGAAAACTTAGTTTTGGGGACGACATCCTTAAGCAACACCTTGTCACCTATTTCGAACTTCTTTCGAAACACAACTCGTCCATCGTAACGCTCTTTGGCCTTCAGTTTTCTTTCATCAGACTTGAGCCTAGCCACCTCACGAACCTTGGACATTTTTCTTTCGATCAAAAGGACCCGATCGCGGACCTCTTCTTCTTCTTCGCCGATAACAAAATCGAGACGGGGAGCTACCCAGACAGCAGGAGTTCTCATTTCATAACCAAATAAGAGATAACTTGGGGTATATCCAGTGCTTGAATTCTTAGTCGTCCGAATGACCATCAACGCTGTATCGACATACTTATCCCAATTTGCAATGTTTTCTTCATCTCGAGCAATCTTAGCTAACACTGACACCAAGCTGTAGTTCAACCTTTCGCACATGCCGTTACACTGAGGACGATAACTAGTGGTCATGATATTTTTACACCCGATTTGCTTCAAGAACTCATGCACATACGTAGAAATAAAATTTGAACCGCGATCGCTTAAACAATAACGAGGAACACCCCAGTCCTTGACAATACTATACAAGAATTCTCCAGTCGTCACCTCATTAATATCAGGAACCGCCATAGCAACAGGCCACCTAGTCAAATAATCAATACCCGTTAGGATATATTTATTTCCGCGTTCAGTAGATTGCAAGGGACCTATAGCATCAACACCGATCATTATGAAAGGATCCTTAGTAGTTTTGAAAACAACACCCGGGTTGGAACGGATATTTTGTATACGAGCACGGAACTGACATGTGTCACACGACTTGACAACGGCAGTAACCAACTTCCTTCCATCGTGTACCAAATAATTACGAGAGACCTTATCCAGTGTCTTAGAGATTCCCAGATGACCTTCCTTGTGTACTTCAATTATTTTCTGAAGAGCATTACCTTCGTGTAATAGCATCCTACCAGTTTTCTTCTCAATCAGCACACCATCATCATCAATCATTAACAAATTAGCCCTGTAGCGGATTTGTCGAGAAACACCATCAGTAACATCCTTAGGATAAAACCCATCAGTTAAGTAGTTATAAATGGATATAAACCACGGAAAAGACATAAGACCCATTATGAAAAATACAGTTAAATAACAACTCCAATTATTTAAAGGGAAAATCAACCAATTCAAAGGTAAACAGAATATTTTAAACAAGTATTAGAGAGAAGGGATACAAGAAATAAAAGTTTTAGACCAAAGTTAAAGAAGAGATTAAAGATTATGTTTTTATTTAAAATAAACTAAGTTATTTATACAATCTACGAATAGATTCATCTGCACATTTTTTTTTTTTTTCTAACAATATTACTAATATTAAACGATCCTAATGATCTCATCGAGGTTACCGACTTCAAGATCCACGATCTTTCTGGACAAGGGATCTGCTGGATTCGATTTTCCTGGTCTATACCTAATCTCGAAATCATAGTCCATTAAAGACGCCGCCCACCTTGACAATTTCGGGGTACCCTTCGGATTTGCAAAGACGTATACCAATGAGCTGTGATCCGTGATCAACACAAATTTCTTGCCCTTCAACCAATGTTTGAAGTACTTAACGCCAGTTACCACCGCCAAAGCTTCCAAATGGTGAATAGACCAAGTCGACATACTAGAACTTAAGACCTTAGACCCATACGATAATACTTGTTCATTCTCGAAACCATCCCAAGAGTCCACTTGACTTGCGATGAATGATATTCCCTTGTTCGAAGCGTCACACGAAACACATTGAACACGTTCGCGCAAAGGCGCAGCCAAAACCGGAGCCGTTATCAAAGAGTTCTTTAATAAATCGAAGGAAACTTGTTGTTCTTCACCCCACTCGAAAGCACAGTTCTTCTTAGTTAACCGGATTAAGGGTTCAGCGATTTCTCCATACCGGTGAACATACTTGCGGTAATAGCCACTAAGACCCAAAAAGCTCCTTATGTCGGTTGCATTTGCTGGCACAGGAAAATTCTTGACCTTCGTAATGTTACGTTCACCAGGAGTGTTTCCTTCCGCACCTAAGACATGACCTAAGTATTCCACCTTATCTTTACCAAAAAAGCACTTCTTACGCTTAAGTTTCAAATTGGAGGCGACGCAAGCTTCGAATAGCAACTCTAGATGGACCTTGTGTTCTTCCATGGTATTGGAAAAAATGAGTATATCGTCCAAAAAGACCGAACAGAAATCACCAATAAACTCCTTAAATATAGAGGACATTACTCTTTGGAATTGTGCGCAACCATTTGTGAGACCTTGAGCTAATCTTTTGTACTGAAAAGTACCCTTGCTAGTAATGAACCCAGTAACTTCAGCACCTTCCTTCAACGATAATTGATGATACCCAGACGTACAATCGAAAGTGGAAAACACCTTAGCTGAACCCACATCTTCAATCAACTGCGAAACAGTAGCCGTAGGATAATTCTCCTTTATGATTTGCTTATTCACAGAACGAAAGTCAACCACAGGACGCTTAACCGAAGTTTCCTTTTTATTCACCAAAAAGAGACAGCTTGACCATTCACCTTGAGAGGGCTCGATTATATCAAGATCCAACATTTCTTGCACATGTTGATCCACTAGCTCTTGATCCGACCAACCAAGACGAAAAGGACGATTCCTTACGGGTACAGCGTTATCCTTAAGCCTAATACTTGCTGAGTAGCCCTTGATGCATGTAAGACCTGAGACCTCAGAAAAGCAAGATTTATATTTTTCGATCACCTCGCGTAGCTCTTCATCAACACCTTCGGTGATATTGTCGGCGTTATACTCCAGAACCTTCTTGTCATCAGTACTGTTGTTCTCATCACCAGGGATCAAGTCATCCTCCAAAGTACTACAATACTTTTGGCTAGCCGCGACAACATAGATTTCTTGCTCCTGTTTGGACTTGAAGGGCATACGATTTACATGAGAAGTACGACCTTGAACCTTGATGATACCAGACGAGGTTGGCACCCTTATTTGGGAGTGAACCAAATCCAAAGAAACACCATACGCTTGAAACCATGGGACACCCAACAAGCAAATTTCAGAACCATCTTGCACCGCCATGTGCTCAGGCCTGATTTTACCACCTATTTCAACCGGTACATCCATAACAACATTTGAAGGTTTAGGAACCTGATCTTGGTTGAATCCAATAAGATGTAGACTATCACCATTTGGTACAAGACCAGCAGCAGCACAAACCTTCGATCCCAGAATCGAAACAGACGCACCAGTATCGAACACCGCCTCGATGAATTTGCCATTAATGGAAATCATGGCACGAAGAGGAGAACTAGATTTCATCTTCTGTAAATCATACGGGTAACGATAGACAGATTCAGCATCACTAAACTCCAAATCACCTTCATCTTCAGATAACTGCATGACATCAGAGCTGGTAGAACGACTTGAAACAACACCATAGTCTTCATCAGAAGCAATAGATGAAAAATCATCATCGATATCAACTTCGTTGACTTCCATGGGAGCACTAGTACCAGGTAAATCCTTCAAACCAGCAATGACCTTATCTGTTACACCAACAGACTTATTCCTAGCAACAACCTTAGATTCGCGAAGATACCTAATACCATCAATAATTTCAGCAGCAGCCTCCTTGTCCAAAGATAACCACTCCGCCATAGATATTCCCGCTTCGGTTCCTAAAAGCTTAGACCAAATTTTTGACCTTTTTAATTTAACAGGGTACCGCCTAGCCTTATTCCTAGTCTTGCGCTTGACTTGCTTTTGAAACCCAGAACTAACGACCTTACGATTTGAGGATCCAGCCATAGCTTCAACAGATGGAGGCGCCATAGCCCTTCGTTTGACACCATTGGTCAAAATTTCATTCGCCAAAATTTCCTTAGCACCATCGACCACCGTATCAACCAGTTGGACTTCTTGAGAATTTAGAGGATTTTTATTTATTTTGGGAACATCAGTAACCTCATTATTTACTGATGCTCGTTCTCTTTTCCCGACTCGGCAGAAGAATCAGCAGTATTACCCAAAGGAATACTATTACTACCAGTAGCAGGATTAGAGGCAGGAGCTTGACCTTGATCACGCAAAAACTTGGGGCAATCATACTTCTTATGACCAACTTCACGACAATAAAAACAAGTGAAGACAGGACGAGAACCATTATTACCATTGTTGCTATTGTAGGAGACGAAAGGTTTAGGTTGACCTTGTGCAGCACCTTCATTCAAACGCACCAAATTAATACTGAGCTGTTCAAGTTTAGCCACCAAAGAATGGACGTCGGAACTAGCCACAGAAGAGACATCGGAAAAACTTGACCTAATCGAAGGCTCAGGTTTATAAAGACCTTTCTCAGAAACAGCAGTACGACCAGAAAAATTATATTTCAAGAGACTCTTCTCAACTTGCTTGGCCTTGATTTTAGCACCCTCAAAAGAACTAGGAGTACCGTCCTTTTCTACCTCAAAACCGATATCAGAACGAATAGCCGACAAGAACGTACGAATCTGGAAGGCATCACTTTTATTCTCCAAAAGTTCAAAAAGTTCTTCCATCTTCAAGGCAACATCATCAATACTGTCGCCTTCGCCTTGCTTCATGTTCTGGAGTTGACTCCACCATTTATCTTCTTGGTCAGCCAAATATTGTTTCTTGAATAAGGTAGTAAATTCATCCCAAGAATTTGCCTTGACACCAATGACATTAAACCAAGTTTCAGCCTTTTGAACCAAATGATCACTGACGAGGAAAAGAACTTCATCATCCGTAAGCTTAGCAGAAACCTTCAAACGCTCCATTTTCTTGAGCCAAGTATAAGCCACATTTCCCAAGTCTTCACCAGAAACAGAAACGCCAGAAAAGCTACGCGGTTCACTAACACGCCAGTTAAAGCCCTTTTTCGTAGTTAAAGTATCAGAACCAGATTTTTGAGCCATTGTAGAGAGCACCTAATTACTTGTATTTAATAAACTTTCTCTGGTAGATCGGACCACTTGAAATGAATCTGATTGTCTTTATGTTTACCTTGTATAGAGTAATAAGAATAAACAAATGTATAGAATAACAAGAAGGAGACTGTAAGACTAATTGTTAAAGAATACAGACAAAAAGATATAGATTTGCACTAATAAGCTTTGAAATCTGCAAAGAAGTAAAGATAAATCACAAGTGTTTAAAAACAAGTAAAGTTTATCAGAAAGAAAGAATTCGATGACGTTTATTATTATAAATCAGACAATCTTATATAGACGTTTTGACAGCTGTCAACTATGGTACAAAAATAACTAATACGAAAATGGAATAAAATAATAACAGGGTACGGAAAAACTATGATGAGAACAATACAAAAATAGAGTAAATCAAATAAGGGTACGGGAAAACTATGATGGAAATAATATGAATAATAAGAAAAATAAAGAACTAAACAAAACAGGAAGGTAATAATAAAATAAGTGAGATACGAGAGAGAGCGACGAAATAACAATAAAAATAATTGTAACTGAGAAAGAAGAGAATTTCACGAGTAACCGACTAAGATAATTAACAACCTGCCAATTTTAGAAAAGCAGCAAAAAGACGCGAACTGAACCTTCGGAGAAAGAATACCAGAAAAACTTCTAGAACACCAAAAATAGTTTCACCGCAATATTATTTGTCGGGTCTTTATCACGTATTTTTAGAAACTCTTTTCTCACCGCCAAACTCAGTACCAACTAGATCTCCATTTCTCAGACAAGATTAACGCGCCATTCCACAAATGAGGGAACCAGAACCAAGGAACAAAGAAGAATAACCAAAATAATATTACCAAGCCACTTTTAAAGTGAACGAAAGCGATATCATTACCAAACTGCGCACGCATCAGACATGAACAGCTTCCGTGGCGCAATTGGCTAGCGCGTCTGACTGTTAATCAGGAGGTTGGTGGTTCAAGCCCACCCGGGAGCGTTTCTTTTTATTCTCCTTTATATTTGTGGTGTATGTAGTAAATTTCTCAAATGTGAGGGAGGTCTTCAAATAAACACATTTAATTTTGATACAACAGAGTGTCAGATATAATTTTAGACTAAGCTCTGTACAACTTCAATTTAGATATAACCATTTCACAAAACTATAATTCAATAAAGATCATCTTTGATTTACTATACTTAACTTTACATAAGCACATCTATTAAAATCCTTCTGACAAGAGTGAGCGGATCTTGATGCAGACTCTACCTTATCTATATAAAAAAATACAAAATCAATTATGACTTGGTATTGAATGGGTTCATCTCAAGATAGTTCTATATTAAAGTAAGTAAGAATCTGAGCACCCATCAAACTATTGAAGTAAAAAACCTTTCAATTGTTGCTACTTCTGAACTTGGCTCTAGTAATATAACATATGGTATATCTACAGAAATATGTAGGCAGTTGTTATTTAGATCAGGCAAGATCTTCTTGCTATCTTACGCCACATAATGTGGAAGTCATAGAGCGAATTGTGAGTCTCCGATAAACCGGCAGTAGCTTTTGAATCCCAGTCGTGGAAAAAAGATTACGACGAATGTGTCATATAAAAAAAAAGAAGTAAATTTTTTTTCTCTCTATTCTATTCTTCACTCTATTTATACTATTATGACCATCAGCTACTACGTACGCCAAGTAACACTGGAAGATATTAAATTTGCCCAAGAGGGTACCGATGTGTATAACTCTGCATACACTACTCACGGTAAGCACATTGACAAATGATGTAACGTATATCAATATCCTAATTTTTATACTTTTATTAGATGGCTGGACCACTGAAGCTAGTATTGTTCAAGGAAAACTGACAGATAAAAGCGACACCGAACAATTCATTTATGATAGTGTCAAGACTGATAAGCTCACCCAACTATTTGCTTTCGAAAAAGACGATCAGGGTAACGACGCCCATGTGGTGGGTACACTTATGATTGTGCCTTTTCCTGATTTACAGGAACTGCCTACACCTGGTGAAGCCATGATTACGAGATTTGCTGTCAGCCCTGATCATCAGTCTAAAGGATTGGGCCGTCTTTTGATTGAAGGCTCATTTAAAGTAATGAGGGAACAAGGATATGAACGCTGTTCGATCCGAGTCTTTGAGAACAGACCTGAAATTTTGGCTTGGTACACAAAGGTTGGGTTTAAGGACACCAATGAGCGTCGCGCATTTAAAGCACCTGAAGGCAAAAAATTAGTTCTGCCTGTTGGTTTTGTCATTATGAAGTTGGATCTTTAAAGTCTACCTCGTATTCTTTTGAAAAAAAAAACACAAATAAATATTAGAATAAAGTAATACCGATTGAACCTGTACAGAGGAATTCAAAAATTGAAAAAAAAAAAAAATGTCTGTATATAATCTTGCTTATATTCTTCATTGAATCAGGGCTGAATATTCAAGAACGTTCTTTTTACTGATAGTTGGACATGTTTTAATTCTAAAACCACATGCTTTTGTGCTCATTTCTAACTCCAATTTACTCTTAAGATCATTCCTGTAATTGTATGAATAGAAGACGTTCACACAAATTTCTAAACAGTTCATGTCTTTGCTTGTACTACAGTTCTGAACCAAAACAGCCAGCATAATTGATGCGGATAAGGTCTTAGAAGCTTACCTTATTAAAGACATATGTCAATTGAAGGGATTTCCTCAGGTTAGTTAGTGCTGTATTTTTTGACAGAAACAACCAGCTACGTACACTACATTCAAAATAAAAAAAATAAAAAGAAGGTCTCGCCGAGACTCGAACTCGGATGGCAAGATTCAGAGTCTTACATGCTAACCAATTACATCACGAAACCACAATTTTTCAACGGAAAAAAAGTATAAATAATAAAGTATTTTACAAAAATTAAAAAATCACGTGATAATCACGTTTCGATCATCTTATTGGTGGGATTATTTTGATACTTTTTATTAAGCGGGAAGAAAGCGGTAAAATGTTTTACGCTTATAGAAATAAAAAGGAAGAACTTCAATTGGAGTTAAATATATGGGGGTGCAGCAAAATCAAATTCCTTTAAATGGAAATAAACGATCATATGCATCAGTGAATGATTGAACACCAATGGAGTACACGGGATGGCGAGGGGAGGGGAGGTGTCTAAGTTCGTGAAATAGTGGGACTTATACGTTTTTTATAGTACTTTGGACGATGACTACGCACAGAATAAATAGATTTCACAGGTGATGGAATTCGTGATGGGCTATTTCTATTCGGATAAATTCTAGTAGACTGTTGAGGAGGCGGTACAAATATCGACCTATTTGTAGAAGAACTTCTTCCGATCCTAGAAATTATATCATCCTCGTCTGTTTGTTGTTGATTATTAAATCTCATGGGATTGTAAATCATGGGTTCTGCACGGTTCATTGGAGGACGAGGAGGCTGATTTGTAAACGTGGACTGTATGTTGGGGCCAACTGTTTTTCGTTTTAACCTTTCGTACATTGTCTAAATCCTGTTAATAGATGTCCCAAATATAACGTGCTAGTGACATATAGACCTGTAGCTTTTGAAACTGTTTTGTTTTGTCTTCTAATTTCGAATATATTTGTTGCGATTTTTTCTTTTCTGTTTCATAGTCATTTATAATCGCTATGTAAAAAATATAAGTGCCGCAATTAATAAAGACGGCAGGAGTACCTTAATTACCTTTTTGTTTTCTCTCTCAACTATATATAATAAATTAGTCCATGTGTTCCATGTTTATATGTACAGCTTTAACCTTTAATCATGTGAATCAAATCCCGTTGCATTAATTCGCTTTTGTTTCTCAACTCGTTATATTTTTCTTGGGTGCTCTTTTGAATGACTGCCCTGAAGGCCAGTTCTTGCGAAGTTTGATATTCATAAAAAGCAATTGCCCTAGCACAAACATCCAGAATTATGTCTGGCTTCAAACCTGCAAGCACAGACTTCTTAAAAGTTTTAGTCATGGGCCACAATGACGAGATTTTTTTTTTTTTTTTACCGATTTATACTCCTCTGTCGGATTCAGTTGTGTAATGATGATATCGTCACTATTTTAATAAATTAGTGTATATTGATGTGGTAGGGAGTACAAGACAAGCTTTACCTTCCTTCAGACAGAGTAGTGTGACAAGCCGGACATATCAGCTCCTTTGAAAATGAGGAATTTGCGCAGCTTTCACAAAAAACGTCTAAGGGAAACGATTTCCAATTAGCAACAATTCATGTCACAGAATAATATCCATTCATACGCGAACAAGAGGTAACGCAGGCCTGTCATGATTATGATTAAGACTGTAATTGTAGGTCTGTATGTACTTACATACCCGCTGCTCAGCAGAGAGAGGTTTTCTACATTTAACAACATTGCAATGAATATCAGGCTCTGTCATTTCTACCTTTTTTTTTTTTAAGGTTTGGGGCTAGTGCAGAAAAGAAAGAAAACGGAGTAAAAAAAAAAAAGAAAGAGAGAAAAAAGAAGAAAAAAAGTGCTTCATATGGTCACAGGTTGTGTAATGGTAAAAAAAGATGGGGTATTTTAATGCGTGCACAACAACAACGGTAAAAAAAATATGATAAAATAGAGTTTAATGATAAATTCAAGGTCAATAAATATTCAGCGAAAAAAAAAAAAAAGGGACCCGACTCTTTGTTATTCTAGTTGAATTCAATGGTGTAATGTGCCTGGGAAGGTAATATAATAAGGGTTCAAATACAACTAAAACACGCCGGACATTCAAAGTTGTGGTTCAATACACAGACAAAAAGGTTCCAATTTTCACAATTTCTTTCTTCTTTTTCCTTTTCGGTTAATTTTTTTTTAATTTATTTTACAACACATGGCTGTCTTAGTCAACTCAAGAACTTCATCAAAAGTGGAAAAAGCACTTCTTCTTCAAGCATATCTCGACAGTCGACAACACAAAAATATGAGACAGCAGCTCGTATGGTAGAGGAAGAGAAGATTGCAAAGCAGACCATGCCAACTTATGGAGGACTGGAACGACTATGTTTTTAAAGTCTAAACTTGGCGAGTAGGTTCATTTCACCCCGAAATTTTGTTCATGAAGAACTAACACTCTGTTTATATACAGTGGTGCTTTCTCAAAAGTATACGAAGCTGTTCAACTGTCTACAAACGAAAAAGTAGCAATAAAAATTGTTCGCAAATTAGAATTAAATAATCAACAGGTAAAAACTTACATTATTACTTTGATAAATAGCTAAAATATCAAATAACATAGAAATCAAGCGTATTAAAAGAAGTACAAATCATGAGGACTTTGGATCACCCTTCTATAATCAAATTACTCCATTTCATAGAGACAAAAGAGGTAAAAGAAAGAAATCAGTAATAATAACAATAAAAAAAAAAAACCAACATTTTTTAATTAGCATTACTTCCTTATCTTGGAACTTTGTGAAGGCGGAGAAATTTTTCATCAAATTGTTCGTCTTACGTATTTCAGTGAAGATCTTGCTCGTCATTGTATCGTCAAGTAGCTGAAGGTATTCGATATTTACATGAAGAAAAGGGTGTTGTCACAGGTACATATTTCATCGCTGCGTAAAATAATATACACGTATATTTAAATGCATACACAATTAAATAGAGACATTAAACCAGAGAATTTATTGTTTGTACCAATCGAATTCAAAGAAAGAGATACACCATTACCTTCCACCTGAATTTGATGAGCCCAAAGACGATGAAGGCCAGTTCGTAGCCGGTATTGGTGGCGGTGGAATTGGACTGTAAAAATAGCAGATTTGGGTTATCAAAAGTAGTTTGGGATCAACAAACCATGACACCTTGTGGTACAGTGGGTTATACTGCCCAGAAATTGTAAAGGACCCACGTTACTCAAAATCTGTTGATATGTGGGCTTTGGGTTGTGTTCTTTATACCTTCCTGTGTGATTGTCCTCCATTCTATGATGAAAGTATTAAGGTATTGACCGAAAAAGTCGCAAGGGGCAATACCATTCTTGAGCCCCTGGTGGGATACAATTTCGGATGAAGCAAAGGATTTAATAGAAAACTTGCTTCATGTTGACCCAGAAAGAGATACACTATTTTAGAATTCCTTGAACATCCATGGATCAAAAACAATACCTATTAACATACATACACACCTCTCTCTTTCCTCCCCTTTTGATATAACATACTCTATTTAACAGGAAATGTCGGATATCGATACGGAAGCCATTATTGCTAGAACCACCAAGCGATTTACCCATTGATTTGACTTCAGTACCCATGTTTACAGCATTGGTGGAAAACGTAGGTGTACCTCCTCACCCCGAAACAGAAGCAGAAGAATTTAAACGCATGATTCAAGAACGCAATAGAGATGAGGAAGAATTAGAAGCAGCTGTCCCTTTCCCATCCGGTATGTCAGCATCCGTGATTAATTCTCGTGCCAACTCACGCGCAAATTCACGTGCACCATCCATCACTGGAGCTTCAGGTACAACTACTCCCCGTCGAGATTTTCTCTGGTGTGTCCTCCATGAAGGAATGTTTGATATTTCTTATGCTGTGCATCGTATGACAGAGGAAAAACAACGTAGAAAGAATATTAACAATCAGGAGATACCTCAAAGAACCGCAGATCGCTATTTATGAGTGCTGTTAATGGGGATGACGATGATATAACGGAGGATGAGATAGATTTAGTAACGGATGAAACTTCTTCAGTCAGACCAGTGAAGAAGACACTGTACATGATTTAAAAGATAAAATTGATGTGATGAATATCATGAATCAGCCCAGTAAGCGAAAAGAAGGTCAAATCAAATAAGCAACACAATCTATTTGAACTGAATATGAACAAAGCTACCTTGTTGGGCGAAGAAAGATCCCTAGTCCTACTCATCAAGTTGATGACTCTCAACAATAAATTAGGGCTGGTTCCTTTCTGTTTGATCATTTATATTCCTGCATTCTACCACTATATCATTATCTTGACACACATTTCCTTTTTCTTTTTCTTTTTCTTTTTTTTTTTTTTAACACTAATAATACTAATAATAATAAAATCAACACTCTTTTTTTTTATTGAATCAAATGACTATCTTTGGCTTTGGATGCAGTAATAAATGCTGCATGAGACCAAGTTAAATCTCTAGCTCCAGCCATAAACCCAATATATCTATCATACTGTTCTGACATGGATCCATTACGAGCTTGATGAAATTGGATCGTTTTCAAAAACTTGTCTGCTGCATGTGTTGTCTTTTTAATAATCTCTTTTAAGGTTGCACTTTCGGGTGAATAGTATCCATCATCCACCTGCATGATTCGTTGAAAGAACCGTCTATTTATACTATTTACCGAAACACCTAACTTCTCCCATTCTGCAATTGCCAAGTAATTAATTCGGTGTAAGCAGCTGTAGCCAAGAACCAAGGATTTCCGACAGATGTATCATATCCGTCATAGATATCTTCAGGGTAACGGCCAATGCATGTACCTAGTGCGTCACTCTGTGACTATTAATGGGATACAATGGCTCAAATGACTCTTCCAACGCAACAACAGTAGCCAGCATCTGTAATTTGTCATTTAATAAATTAAAGATTAAAACCATAAACAAACCTTGTCAGACCCAGGTGTAAAAAATCCTACAATTTAAAATGGTCAATATTCGATTTCATTCCACCCATGATTGCCCAAATTATTATTACCATCATTTCTACTGGCGATAATATTCAGCTAACAATGTAGACACATCTAAACCCGATGGCTTTTGCACACCATTCTGAACGTTCTGAGTAGCCATAATGTAGTTATGCTGTTCTGACCAGAATGTCTCGATTCGCTTACCAATAAGATGACTAGCCAGCTTGTATTCCTCGACGTTACGATTGGATAATTTAAAGAAATCAATGCCATCCAACAAGGCTTTACGCATAACCATTAGGGTAAAGAAATGTGTACCTATACCTCTTCCCACAAATCAAAACTAGGTTGATACCATACTTTGCTAATATAATCCAGTCCCTAATAATAGCCGGTACAAGAGTATCATGAATCCAAGGCTGTCTTGTAACCGTTGTCTAGCCATCGGTTTGCAATCAAGAAAATGTGATGGCTCTTTCTGCAGGACCATCATTTTGAGGTCTACCCCAAGTACCTTGAAACTTGATCCATCCTTGTTGAACTTTGGTTCACCCAGACAATTGCAACGCGTACTTGTCTTTTGTACATCCATTTGAAAGTCGACATAATCATGCAACAAGGTATCATTGGTCTCTTGCAAAGAAGTAGCACACGAGCAACTAAGGCTGAATCTCTTGTCCATGTATAGAAATAATCAGGTTGATGTGTTGACAAGGAAGCAGCAAAGAAACCCCTTTTAGTACCGGGTGGATTGATATTATCAATATCGTTTCAAAACTTGTTTTATGTTGCTTTGAAATCCACTGATCAAGATCAATGTCACCTTGTACAGGATATATATCAAGGGAGCAAATAGCAGTAAAAGCAAATATCTAGTAAACATGATGAAGAAGAAAAAGAAATTTTTTTCTTTTGCATACGTTTTTATAATAATGACATACTGTAACGTGATTTGGTAGTCCGAGCTTGTCAATCAGATGCTGTTGTTTATAATCAGGTGGTTAAGCAACATGCTGTTTGTTGGCTTTGTGTTACTTGACTGGGAGTGCACCACTTCAATTCGATACTTGATTTTTTTTTCAGACACATGTTGATGATACAGATTTCATTGTAGTTGGTCAGCCTTTACACTGTAATCACACGATGAGATTTATGATTCTAGATGCGTTGACGTATCTGTACGTTATTCTGTTTTATAAAGATCCATGTTCATGCTGCTGATGCTCTCCAACTGCAGCAGCCACAAACTCCGACTGATGGGCTTCATGGACCCAAAAGTTGTTGTGACAAAGTTTGATACTTCAATTGAACCCTATACTTGTATCACACTGAAAAAGGATTAGGAATCAAGGCTAATGAGAGGAAGTGTTAACTGTCAAAATGTGAACAAAAAAATATTTGAAACGACGCATGCTTCTTTTTATAAAAAAGCCACCTGATATTTTTTTCCAGATACTTTTTTTTTTTTTTTTATCAGTTCTCGAATTTTCTTTTCTTCTATATACACACAATGGCCAAGGAAAGAAATCAACCAAGCCCGTCGCTTCTTCTAACTGGAAGAAGCTTTTACCTGTAAGTAAATTTACGATCGAAGAAACTTGACACAGTAGTTGACAGATCGATACTAGACATTGCTCCTGCCGATTCAAAGAAAAAGAGAAAGGCTCTGACGATTTCGAAATCAGTCCTAATTTCAAGTGTTGGGATAAGAGACAAAGAATTGAGTAAGTAACAACTGCCGCAGGAAAAAAGAAAAGAAAAAGGGAAACTAAAACATGCAGCACAGGAAAATGAAGGCTTCTCACATTGCTAAAAACAGTAACCACCACCACCACCACTACCATACCAAAGAAACGATACCCCAAAGATGAATGGTTTGGAGAGTGTCGATGAAGATGACTTGAAGAACGTGTATGCACACAAGGAAACACCCCAAGAACAAAAGTTGAAAAAGAAGAGTTTGGTAGCCAAAATGAATGCAGTTACAGGCGATCAAGCAAGATTAGGTAAATACGTTGCCATCGATTGTGAAATGGTGGGTGTTGGACCTGAAGGAACCGACTCAGCATTGGCTCGTGTGTACTTGTGAACTTCCACGGTGCAGTGTTATTAGATATCTATGTCAAACCACAAGAAAAATAACAGACTATCGTACACATGTCAGTGGTATCGAGGCAAAACATTTAGAGTCAGAGGAAGCTTTATCATTTAAAGACGCACAGTTCAAGGCAGAGGCAATCATTCGTGGACGTATCTTGGTCGGTCATGCTGTTTATAACGATTTACAAGCGCTCATGATCTCTCATCCAGCATTGTTAATTCGCGATACTTCTCGTTATAAGCCTTTCCGTAAATTAGCAAAGGGCAGAACTCCTGGTTTGAAAATGTTGGTTAATGAAGTGTTGGGCATTTCCATTCAATCAGGATCTCATTCATCTGTGGAGGATGCTAGATTCACAATGCAACTTTATAAGAGCGTCAAGCTGGAATGGGAAAAATCCTTTGGTGCCAAGTCTGGCTTAATTTTAAAGAATTTCAGCAAAGGAAGAGCAAAACAGCAGTAAAAAGAAGGTGTCGATAAAGGAGGTCGCTGAAGATTCCGAGTCAAATAGTCAGTCTGATTCCAACAGTGATTCTGACAGTGAAGACGATGCTTCTGACGATGAAGAGTAAAACTAAAATAAAATGAACCGACGCATAAAAATAATTAGAAAAAAGCGTCACTGACCTTTAAAAATAAGCTTTTTTTTTTTTTTTTTTTTTTTCGTTCTTCTTTCCCCTTTCCCCCCCTCTTTTCTCTCACAATGAGTTTATCGGTAGCTGATATATTTGAAGATTATTTAGAAGTAAAACGAATTCTCGATTTTATTTCAACAGAGTTCTAACTCTAAGAATAGGTTTGCAAAACTTGCCATCTGAAATCGATCAAAATATGCATGAGTTAAGACGAATGGATGATGATCTACAAAGTAAGTATATTCTATATGCATTGCACTTTTTCTTTAACTTGTTCTTAAAAAAGAGTTCCGAGAGAATACACAAGACATAAACGGTCTTACATTAAGCAGTCCAAAGCGTTAGAATCAACCGATACGCTTGCCATGGTATCTGCTCGATTGCAGTTGGAGAAAATTATAGACGGCCATGCAAAAACAGGATCAAAAATTGAATTAGCCATGAGAATGTACGACCTTGTGTCACGACCATTGAGAGGTTAGATTCTCAGGTCATGACAAAGAGTAATCTAAACAAGTCTGACTGGATCAGAAAGGGACCTCAGAGAAAGAGACTGGATGGTGGCATTCGCAAAAGGTAGAGATTTGCATTTCTTTCCTGTTTATACATATACAAAACTGATACCACACAGAATTCATCATTCGTCCCGCCCGAACCCTCTGATCGGTCATTCAACTCACTGGTACAAGTGGTGATATCGATCCAATGAGCCTACTATTGTTATTGTGGTCAAGTTCTTTTGGTGATTGATCGCCTGTGACGGTGAAAACGTAAAGTAACTCTCCCTACACTCAATTTCACCCCTACTTAATCTTTCTTAGTGTGAGAGGAATGGTTTCATTAGCCTGTGTGGTCTTATAGAACCGCCCGCGGGCAATGGTTTTGTGAAGAATGCAACAATTTAATGCAATATAGCAGCAGTAGCGGTGAAGACTCTTCCTCTTGAAAATATACCTTTTTTTTTTATCATTAAACACCGATAATCCTGTCTGCACCCTTGTGTTCGATCTTGGGCAAACGTTCACAGTTCCACATAATAAAGCTTCGTTACGCCATGCAGACATAAATTGGGAAACTTGGGGGGCATACGTCAAGTAAATCATTGCAAGTCCACAATATGCTATTTAGTATAACCTTCGAAAAAGCAGCATATACGGTTCGTCATACGGGCACGGAATTATTGAGCACGGACATAATCATGACTACTCCTATCATGTTATGAGATGAGGAGCAAATAATAACACTAATATAGGTACTGACATTATGAATTTCACTAGAAATAATGATCAGATGGGTTAGGTATCAAGATTTCAATTCAGACTCACTAGCTATTATAAATTACGATTTAAAGAAGGTCAAGATTATATTCCATGTAGAATATCACAATTAAAAATCGCTCTCGATTTATTCAGGTATGCGAAGGATATCGTCAGATCAGACAAATCAAGAAATCCATCGTAGTTATATTCAATTCACAGCAGGTTTTTATAAAGTACTGGTATTTTGGATAAAAGGACCCGTCGAAATGGAGTCAATGAAGTCCAATCATCAATTGTAGCGGAGTTAAGGATAACGAGAGAAGTACACCTATAAAAGACTAATACAAGACTGTAGACCCGAGACATTGGTAATGTAGATATCAACTACAAAAAGATTATTTACAGGTAGATATCTACTACCCTTGAAATCAATACGATAAGGCACTAGCAGCGCCTCACTGTCATGAGCTACAACAGCTGCCACCTACCAATACAAAATAAGATAGGGGTTTTTTAGGAGATTGCGCAAGGGTTAATTGAAAAAGGTCCCAACCCGATTGACTTATGAGCGCTGACCCGGTATTATGAGCACTAGCGTTTATTAATAAAGTACTATGGTGGCGTCATTGACAAAATGAGTAACAATCTTACTTCTAAGCTTATTATATGTAGAGCTTTTTTTTATTGCGATAAAGACACCATTGAGTGATTGGTTGCATAGTGGATTAACAGCAGTAAGAAGACTCTTTTATCTTCTATAAAATATTACAAACTAGCTTCACACAGTATATAAGCTTATTTTAAGACACGAATATGCTTTATGAAGATCCTAGCAAGACATGAGAAAGGATCTACTTTTGCGTCGCATGATTTAATAGAATGCGTGATTTTTTTTTAAGAAAAAAAAACGAGAAGAAATCCATTATAAATGAATCTTCAATATGAAAAAAAAAATAG